ACAGAAGTAGGTAATATCAGAAGAAAACAAATACAATCTGAGATAAGGTAAAGATAACAATTTCGCCCCTAGGTAAATAAAGTGTCAAACCTAATAGAAGATCAAACTTCGATTACAGTAAAGTAAATATCAGTATCAAGAAGTTTTTCGTCCAACAAATTCAAGATTCACACAGTTTTACTATTGACTTTAGTGTCCTAAGTGCAAAGCAAGGCTATAACAAGAAGTTCTATGAAAGTAATGAAATGAAAACTAAGGTATAAGAAAATCAGATATAAAAAGCAGTTTTTATATCAGTTAGATAAACATACTCGCCATGCAAGACCATAGGGTCATCCATTAGAACCTTCCTCTTTGTGGCAGTAGAGCGGGGGGCAGATCGTAACCGTTTAGTCGACGCTGCTTCAAGCACAGGGGTGGGTCTCATCTTCAAAAAGGATGACTTTCCAACTGACAAAAAAAAAATGATTATTGATCCATAAAGGTAGCTCAAAGAGCAATAGAATGTATAAAAATAACAGGAAAAGGAACAAAAAAAAAAAAAAACTGATACCTAAGATAGAGGACAACAAATCATCGTCATCAGGGACAGATGCAGTTCTCTTCGACTGAATCAGTCCAACTGACTCAACAGAGTTCAAACTTTCTGCAGTTAGTGTGCTCTCAGTGAAAGTGCGCTTTTTCCCAGTAATATTATTGTTTCCCACATCATCATTACATGTGCCAGGGTCTTCTTTATCTGGCGTATATTCAACCATGAAATCATTTCCATCCCCCTCTCTGTTAGGTGCAGCTAATACCTTCTCAGGTGCAGGCAAATCAGAATCAGTAAATCCAGTCAAATTTTCCAACTGTTCATCAGTCGCGTGCACATTATCCAGCTGCTCATCTGGTCTACTGTGCGCCGGTCCATCACCTTGTAAACTAGAATCTGTTTCCTGATTGACCTCAGTGGCAATGGTACAATGATCTGGCAGAAACAATAAAACTGATAAGAATAAGGCAGGCAGGCAGCACTAAGACGTCGCATTAGACTTGCAATTTATTTGCCAACAAACCTCGGTTCTGTTCTCCAGGGGATTCAAGTGGAGGAACAACATTAGACATATCAGTTACAACATTGTTAACATTGGTTCCGGCCTCGGTCATTACTTGATCAGGATCCTCCATCTCCGTGGTGATGTGAGAATAGCATGGAGATGTAACATGCACATGCTCTACTCTGTCCTCCTCTGGCTCATTTTGTGTGTTAACATTTTTAGCTACCGGTGACGTATCTACCTCCACAGGGGTAACTGCTGATTCTGGGACATTATATTCAGCAGACAGGTCTTCCCCACGTTTATGCATCTCATTAGCATCCAGCTCCCCGGAGGTCTTCCTACCTTCTTCTGCATTCACATCCTCAGCCTCCATGCGATCATCGCATGCCAGCTGCTCTCTGACACTAGACGAGTTTGGCACCTCAACTAATCCAGGAGTTTGAGGAGCTTGAGCATCTTCAACGAACTCATTATTCATAGCAAGATCTTCAACCTATCAAAAAGTGATATTCATAAGAAACAAAATGCAATAATACTATCCAATAATCTTACCAGAACACTAAACCAATAAGTCTGTGGAGATAAGAACTAGAAATTTGGAATTTGCAATTGCAAAGTACATTCAGAAACATTAAAATATATTGAAGCAAGCACTGGAAGTCAGGTGACAGTTATTCAGCAACTATATGTATGCCCTTCGAGAATTATGTCTCTGATGGTACGCACCTGCTCTTCATTGAAATCCCTGGGTATGGCTTCAGAGACTCCTACCATCGCATCCTTTATCCCGGGTGTTGCCGCATCCAGATACGCATTGTGATCAGTTCTATCAACAAATAGAAAAAATACAAGTAAAACTTTTAATTGGTGACGTGCAAATCCAAATTGTACACCAAAAGACCAGATCTAAGAAGGATAAGACTTGCCGAATTGCAGTTCTAATTTACTATCTAATACCAGAACAAACACAAAATGTATGGATGTCATGGAACTAAAAAAGCATGGTTACATAGCTTGGAAACAGACATTCAACTGCCAAAAAGGAATTTATATCTTTCAGTCAACTTGAGTTCTTCCCTCATCTGAACATTTATAATTTTTATGATAACAATCTATAGTATATGAAAAAAAACTAGAAAAGGTAATGAATAGCTACAGATCATACGGCTCATAGTGCAGATACTAATTAATTTGAGAAACCATAGGGAAGCAAAACTGAAATTATGCTATGAAGAACAGAGTACAGACAATAAACAAAAACTGACCCTGGAACTCTCTCATCGTCAGATCCAATAACATCCTTATCCTGGAATACTGCCTACACAACAATAGAGGATAAAACATCACACCCAGAATTAAATAATAAGAGAGAAGCTCTGAGTTTAAATACGCAAAGCTTCACTAGGAAAAGAAAACATAACATCATCCTGACCCTACAACATGACTACAACCTGACACTCGAAATAACAAGCTTTTCATAGTCAAGGACTCCGCAACTGGATGCCAATCAGAGCTTCCAGCTGCTGCGTCTACCCAAACCGTAGAGAGAAAGAACCCAAAATCTAGAGGCAAATGAAATCTACAGATAACCTCATCATATTCATTTTCCTATATGGTTATCCTATGTCTTGTTCCAAAATGACTTGAACAAAAAAGAATTTTTCTGTTCTATGAACACGAAAATACCTCATCAAGATCCAAAGCAGCTTGAGAAGTGTCGCCATCACCAAATCGTTCTGGAAAGGTATGAAAATGATTTTGCTTATTTAAGGAACAGCTGTTTACAAACTAAAGACAAGTGTCACGAAACAACCACTGACCATCTAATCCAAATTGTGACGTTGAGTATACAACACCATCCATGGTATCCTGGAGGGTGATCTGCTCTCTTGTACTAACATGATGATCAACGTAATTACTGCTAGACAGGAAAACAAAACACAACAAATCAATAACGCGTCTGATTAATTATGCATAACAGCTTAAGAGTAAAATACGAGCGTGAATGTTAAAACATCACGAAACCAACCCCTGAAAGATCTCATTGTCTGGAAGCTCAAAGTCATCAAGATCAAATGTCTCTGGCAACGTAATAGAGTGATATGGCGCTGTGGATTCTTCTGGAGGTAGGTCAACTGCAGCAGAGCGAAAAGCTTGCTTTACCTTTAGCAATGCCTCACTGCAATCATCGAAGAGGTAATTCACTTTTCTTGAATATATACGCACTACACCAAGCAGAAGATGACTAGACAATCGCAATGCAATTGGAGCTTCCGGAAAGAGAATAGAATCTGCTCAGAAAAAAATTAGTTAGATTAGGAAATAATTTGATGGAAATATCAGGGCAAAGAGAAAAAAAAACAGCATGGCATGGAAATAACTTAGCGTTAGATGGCTGGGATTAACAAAACAAATATAAGCAGGCAAAATTCATGTGACATGATTATTAATGTCTATATATAGAGGATACAGTATTGATTTGAGGTATGATAAATGAAGATTAGCATTAAAATATCGATTCAAAACATTTGCTGACCAAACTAAAATAAAGATAAAAGACATTTATAAACAGGTAGCTATTTAACACATTACGTTGGATAAGAAGTGTGAACATACAAAATTTTGGTCAGACCCTAATTTTTGTTTCTCCTCAAAAACTGGTTTCCCTTGTTCCTCCAATACTTGCAGAAAACAATTCATCTAAAAAATTTAGCTTCAGCTAACCCTACTCTGGTCTAATTACTGAGACCTGAATCAGAGACTGAACATCAAAAGCAAAAGCAGATTAAAAAAAACTCACCAACGGAGACTCCGATATCAGTATCAGCCACCTGATTCTTTCGAAGCTTCCTCTCTAAATGGGCCGCAATCCATATTGTCCCAAGTGGCCCTTTCTTAGCTAAAATAAACTGCGAATAAAACATTCCTCGTCCTCTAGACCCAGAAGGAACCCTAAAAGTTTCAACAAAAAGGAACCAACTTGGTTAGAAATTTCAGCTTAACAAATTGAGCTTCAAAAATTGATAGGACAGCTAAATCCCTTTCCAATTTAGTAGCATACGAAGACATCTTCAACACAAAAGATGCGTCTACAGAAGAAAACAAAAAAAGTTTCCAAATTTCGACAACAGAATCCAAATTTAGCTCAAACCGACAACAAGGTGTCGCAATTTCCACTGAGCAGAGACCCTCGACTAGTTACGCGAGCTTCGAAAGTAGAATAGAGAGCAAAAATTAGATCAATTACCGAAAAATTCACCAAGCTCAGAGACCAGCTCGATTTGAACAGAGGTCCTCGCTGAAACCCTAATTCGAAAGAAAAACACCCAAATTGGGGAAAAGCAGAATCTTTTAAGACAGAACCCTTTTTCTACTTGAAGATCAGACACAACAACGAGCTAAGCTCAGGAAACAGTTAAAAAAATTGTGGAATTTGCAAATTGCAAAATGCGAAAAAAAGTTTCGAAATTTGGATCTTCGGGTCGATAAATTTTTTTGTATTTTAGATTAAAATGAAGGATTTGGTGCGGCAAAGGAACACATGTTTCGTGATAAACGTCGTGTTCTTATTGGTTGAACCATGAGCGGGTCCCGCATTAGCTTTAGATTTAGATCAATTTTTCTCCAACAATTTTGTTTTTGTCAACTTGTCTTCTCCCAACAGTATTTAGCTTCACTTAATTATTCCCAAATTTTTATTTCAAAACATTTCAACTCGGCGGCTTCTTTGCCTCATTGCGGGAAAATCTGAAAATATTTCGAATTTACAAATTAAGAACAAAGGTTCTGTTAGAGAGATCTGACAACATTCTGCTGCAACATGAAATTTAGGCCCAAATACTACTGGACAAGGTAAGTTTGGTAATAAAGCCTATCACTTCGACAAATGATAAAATTCATTTTCTTCAAGTCATATGAAATCTGAGAAGTATCACGATTCAACTGAGGGGGAAAAAATAGAGTGAAGCATATGATATAACTTCTGATTTTTAAATTTCTGTAAAGGTTTTTTAGTCAACGAGTATGAAAGTACACGCAAGGTGCAGTCTTATTCGTTAATTCTCTACTACAGGGTGATAGTAATACTACTTTTAGATACTCTGGTTTTGCCTTTGATCTTGATACGGATGCGTCTTTGCCTACTGATGTACATCACAAACCTGAGTTTCCCAGCTTTAGTCATCTAAATCTTTCCCGGCTTTAGATCATTGTGCTTTTTTTTTCACTCTGCTTCGAGCTCAGCTGCAAACTGATCTAACCGTTCGGCTTCCAAATCAAAATCTCTAACTGTAGCGTGATTCACTGATCCATCATCGATGCTCGCGTGTATCTGTCTCTTTGCATACCTGCGCATTCATTCAGAAAAAGAAATACATGTAAGCAATAAATCAAAATGGAGACAGACTCTAATGGCAAATTAGGCGGAAATGACTCGGGAGAGTTTGTACCATCGACCGTTCATTGCTTCTATACATTTCTGTGCATCTCTCCGATCCTTGAATCTTACAAGAACAACACCCTGTGGATGATGCTCACATACCTGTAAAATAAGAGATAACGATTAATACTCCAAAATAATCTCAACTTTCAACAAAGCTTTATGCAGCACAACCACAAGCTTAAGATTAGAAAAAAAAACACATAACATTATCACCTTCACTGAGTCAAACGGTCCATGCTTCAAACTCTCCTCTTTCACGTCTTCCTCTAACTCAGTAACCAGATCCTCATCAGCCTGCAAACAGAGTAAAATGCTCAAGTTATCAGCTACTTTTTAAAATGGCAACTTTCTCATACTAACTGTTAGACAAGACCTTACCCTCAACTCAGCTGGACTGAACATGTAGCGCAGAACGACTGTTCCAGGTATTGAGACCTTAGCATCATCTGTACCACCTATGTCAAGAACAAAAAAGGAAAAGAAAGAACACGATAAATATGCTTAGAATCCACTAGGAAAAACTCCACCTTCAACAACTAAAATCACCACCTCTTTATTAATTTTCATATGCTAAAAATCAACTAAAAATAATCAGAAATAGATTATATCGACATGACTAAATGTTCCCTTTTGATCTCATGCTTCCGCAATGGCCACTAACCTAAATAAACAAGATAACAGGAAAATTGGCTAAAGAACAGGTAAACACGCAACTTCATCGGAAAGAAGAAGAAAAGAATGATTGCTCTGTAACCCTATATCGAGTTTCTAAACTCTGCTTTTGTTTTGATAGTCACTGAAAGGTTTCCTTCCAAATTGTTTAGGTAAGAGGTGTCTAGAGTCTTGTACTGGTTAACTTAAGAGAGTTCTACATAGAATCTGGTAAAGCATAGAGAAGAAATATAATATCTTTCCCTAGCAAACGAAATTATAACTACTATCAATAAACTTTCCTATGGTCGTACGGAAATGAATATTTAGCATCTCCTTTCTGTGTCTTTCTAGAAATAAAGGCAAGTTTCTAGTACACAAAAGTGAAAACTTACCCCATCCAAGCAACTTTTGCTCGACCTTTTTAAGCTTCTTTTTCTTCTTGTTATCGGTTTGCTTAGTTATAAATCTCTCCCCTGAGTGAAAAGAAGAAAGGTAAAAGCTAATAAGAACCATAAGTAAATATTGTCGAAACAAAATCCACTGATGGAATGTTTTACATAACCCGTAAACAAATAAGACGTTATACAACAAATTGTGCAACAGTATTCACCTTTCTGCTCGAACTTAGCTCGAGAAACAGACATGAGGAGCTTGTCAGCTGGACGTAATGGAGCCCCATCTAAGATTTTAATTGCCAGATCCACTGAGGGCTCCTAATGAAGAAAAAATAATTATTATTATAAATTAACTAAATAGACATGAAGAGGAAACTGAGACATAGTTTAAGAATCATAACCTTATACATCCCATGACAGAAGAATTTCAAGTATTTTCATTACCTTCATATACGTGATAAGAGCATCACCCTTTAATTTTCCTGTCCCCTTGTCACTGTAAAGCTTTATCCGAGGCTTGCCAGTGTCATCCTGCAATGTTTATCCGTTCCACATTGTTAGGGAAAACTTACACAAAATTCCAAAAAACAAGGAAAGAATCACAAGATAGTGAGATTTTACCTCCTTAATTATGCCGCATTTAGAAAAAACTTCAGCTACCTGTAATTGATATCCCTAGTATTAGTTCATTTCAAAGCTTCATATATTCATAATGGTAGAAAAAGTATGACCACAACTTACTTCCTCAAGGGTGACATCATCGGGCAACCCAGTAACATAAATATGTGGGTTCACTTTTAACTCAAACCACGAATCTGGAGGCTTGTTTGGTTCCTGAACATGAATTTGAACTTAGAAACGCTAGCAGAAATTTTCATGAGAAAATGCAACTTTATTTTCTTTGATTCATAATTTCATACATCACAAACAACCTTTACTAGTAACACAAAAAACGATGGTATAAGTATTCTGCTAATCCTAATATAAGTATGATGTCTAAAAACCTTTAAGATGTAGATATCGTTCAAATGGTAATTTACCCACTACAACTTAGCAGCTAAAGAAAGATTAAAAACTCCCCAATCAAGAAAGCTAGTACTTACAGCGCAAGGTCGAGACAAGTGAGAAAAAACATGATTTGGCCAAAAAACGTGAAGTGACATGCATGACCTTAAGAAAGTGAATGATGATTCAAGAAACCAAAATGAAGAAAAAAGAAAAAGAAAAAAAGAAAAAACCTTCTTTTCAGTTTCTGGCTCTGGTAGCTTTCTCTTGCCGTTAGCGTTTATTTCGGCTGTTTCGTCAGAGCCATCTTCTTCTTTCTTACCAGTCACGTCATCCTTAGAGGCATCCTTCTTATCAACAGAAGTGTCAAGAATGTTTATTGTTGGAAATACTTCATCTTCCTTAGCAAAGGTCATCTCTTCGAGTCCGTACGGGTCAACGCTACCCAGTGTTGAATCGTCCTACAATAAAACAGCATCAGCACGTAGGTTATTTTAAGAAAATAATTATCTACTCTTTCAAAAGGTGCTCCTTAGGAAAAACCCAAACCAAGTAAAGAGTAAATAATACACTGAGTAGGCCTGTTAGGTTTCCTGATAAATGCAAATAAAAATATGGGAGATAATCATAGTATATCTAAAAATAAGATAACGCCATGAGCCACCAAGCTAGATGACACATGTAAATGATTCCACTTGTGACTTGAAAGTCCAGGTGGACAACCTGAATTCCCACGAAAATAGCAGAAACAAGGAAAGAACGATTGATTCAGTTGACAAAGTAAAGCCTCACCTGAGGAACCCATACTCTACGAGCTTTGTCCCATTTGTATCTTGTTCCATCATCATCTGTGAACTCATCTTCACCCTCAGGTGGTGAAGAAGCCCTTTCATGATCATCTTTAACAAGCTCAATACCATTTTTTAACATTTCAGCCTCCACTTCTGCTTCTTTAATCTCTCTCTGCCACTTCTCAAATTCGTCCTCAGTACTAGCAAAGGCTGCAGAAATAACATACTGTAGTAAGCGTCTTCCTCACTTTGCAAATTATAGCTTTGAAAATTTTCTGTCTAAATAACTGACCAGAATTATCTTGCTTCTCTTGCTTGGGTCCAGCATTAGATCCATTACTCAACCCAGATGCACCTGGTTAGATACGAGATAGTAAGTTCCATTGGTCTGGGAAACAAATTCTACACTAGACGAAAAAACCAAAAGTTAAATTATGTAGCAGTGATGAAAAGAATCCTACCTACAGCTGCATAGCCAACCTCAGCTACAGAAATTCTTGACATAAGCTCAGGGATGGCAGAAAGTGGTTGCCATTCGCTTCGTCCGTCAGCCCAAACGAGGGTAGTTTCTAGTAAGTAACCATTCCTGAAATGGTCTGCCCAATCAAAGCAAACAAGTAAAGTAGAACGCTTAATAGCCCATTACAGAAAGAGACACATGTTGGATCTTGTTTAATTGAATTTGAGAAAGAAATTCACATTTGATTTTACAGTACATATGTGAACATAACTAGACATCTATTACAATGGTATGAAAGCACATCTAGATCCAATTTGTTTCTAACCAAGCTGTTTGAATCACATAATGATCTTACGGACTTAATACAACAAGGAAGCTGTTTACATGAAAGACTTACCACATAGCTCAGAGAAGGTATATGGACCCAAGTTCTGCTGATTTTCACCAAGAATGTACCAACCAACCTCAGTAGCTGCAGCTGCATAACCATCAACAACTCTTGCCTCTACAATTAAGAAAATACAGATTATCAAGACGAGCATGCCATCCATGGCCTTAACCAAAAAAAAGGTCTAGATGTAACTATCGCAACAAAAGGCATAGAATTGACTATAACACATGTTACAAATAATGCTTTTGTAATATCCACAGGTACTCAAAGTTACACACTGAAAAGAAAACATACCACACCTTGGGATCATCTATATGCCATCATAGAGAACAAACTACATTGGATAAACAAAGACATTCACAGTATATCACGAAAAACAAAGAAGTGAAACACATCCTATTCCATGTGACATCTCTATTGGAATGACAAGGTGCAGTACACGACCTACGTAATTCGTTATTGACAACGTGAACCTATGTTTACTCTTAATACCCTTACAGCTAAAAGACCACAAAATCTCCTAGATTTTGCAACTCTGCTCAATCTCCTCCAAACGCTAAGAACACTCTCCCACAAATTCCAAATCCTTCCCAAAAAAAAATTCCTATCAAAACATCTCCAGAAACCACTACTTTTATAACACACGCCTCGCGGAAATCTATAGAAGACCAAAATGAGAAAAAAAAAAAAAAAAAAAAAAAAAAATGAATAAGCGAAAGAAGAAGGTTTAACCTGTCGATGATGGTGGAAGCTGTAGATTACCAGAATCGGACATATTTATACCTCGTTAACCTTCAAAATCACGAATACTGAAAACGAAATGGAAACCTGACTAAAAGAGTGACGCGTTCGAGAGACGACGACAAAAAAAAGTCCGAAGAAAGGTGAAAGCAGGAGGAGGAAGACGGTAGAAGACCCTGCTCTTGTTTGGATACAGATATAAATCTTATCCGTGTCTCGGATAAACATGAATCAGTACACGGCCCATTAGCATTAGGCCCATCTTATAATTATAATTATTACTATCTTTAAACTCATTCGTTGGGCCCACCTTTATTAAAATCAAACTAGCCGTTACACGAAACAGCCGTTCCGAATCGAACAACGGTCATATTTAGAAACCTTTACCTTCTACATAAACAACAAACTCGTTTGTGCTTCTTCTTCATCCCAAACTCACAAATCACACACTCTTCTTCTTCTGATCATCAGAGAAAACGAAACCCATTTCTCAAAATCCCAACTTTTCCAAAAACTCAACTCGGAAAAAATCTCAAAACATCAGTCATGGGTTTCATTTCTTCTTCTTCACCAGTAGAAGAATCTCATTACCATACTCACAAGATCTTCCTTTTCTCCAACTACATCCTTCTCGGTGCCGCTTCGAGCTGCATCTTTCTCACTCTCTCTCTCCGTCTAATCCCTTCAGTCTGCGGATTCCTACTCATCCTCCTCCACGCAACCACCATCGCCGCCGCTGTCTCAGGCTGCGCCGCCGCTTCCTGCGGGAGAAACCGGTGGTACGCTGCTCACATGGTTGCCACCGTGCTCACAGCTATATTCCAAGGCTCTGTCTCTGTTCTCATCTTCACCAACACTTCTAAGTTCCTCGGGAGTCTCAAGTCGTATGTGCGTGAGGAAGATGCTGCTGTGATTTTGAAACTCGGTGGTGGCCTTTGTATTGTGATCTTTTGTCTTGACTGGGTCGTTCTTGTCTGTGCTTTCTTCTTGAAGTACTATGCTTATGTCGATGGTGGTGATGGCATTGCAATGAAGAGAACTGGTAAGGTTCAGAGTGAGGAGAATCCCAAGGACTGGCCATGGCCGTTCCAAGTTTGAAGATTAGTGTCTTTTTGTTGTTTCTGGTGAGAAATGTTGAGTGAGATCAATATCAAATGTTGGTTTTTGATCTGTTTCGGTTGCTATTATTGTGATTTGTTCATTTGTTTTTTTGAGTGTTTGATGTAATTCGTCAATGATCTATTACATATATATAGTCTTTTCCTATGATTCACAATTGGCATTCTTTTGGAATCTACAATTATAAGGCAAAATTCCAATTGGATGAATAAAAATGAAGTGAAACTTGAGCGGGAACACAAAAGGTCGAAGAATCTTCTGTTCATGGGAAGTGGTGTTTTCACATCTGTTACCAGAGAGGAATCAAATTTGAAAGTAGAAAGAACCAAACACACAAGTTTAAATTTAAAATATCTTATTGAACTTGAGAGAAAACATTATAGAACTTGGATACAATACTGCATACAGAAGAGAAGTAACAAATAAATAAAATTGTCAAAACAAAGCAAATTCTTTGGAGGAATTCATTTAAGTAATCCAAACAAAGCATAGTCTAACACATACTTTATCTACACACGTTCCGACATAACATTCTTCTGGCATCATGGTGTTGGTGAAGGAAGATCTTTATAAGCTAGCTTGGGGTTATAATATGGAAGAAATTGTGTAACATTACCTCTCTTAAGCCCTGATCTTTCGACCAAAAATCCAACTGAATGGTATGTTTTTTGCAGCTTCTTTGTTTCTCCCTTGAGCCCTCTCTTCAAGTTTGCGGATCCTAGCAGGCAGTCCACAGAGGTAGTCCTGTTCAAAGCAATTAAAGAAAACCAAAAGTCAGAGTGGATTGTTAAAGAACTCAGATTCTGACTGGATTTCCAGTTTGATGAATCTCCAATTGCACAAGAGAAGTTACAATGCAATTATAGATAGGATAGGTTCTGTAAAGTTCCTTGATGCAAGATAAATTTCTGAACAAAGTAAACAAACTTAATTGAACTCGGAAGTTTCATCTCAAGTAAATAACAAAATTGGTTTCATGGTTCCAATGTTGTTACCTGGGCCCTGTGTCCTTCACTAGAAAGGTCAGACAACTTCTCCACATTCCACCTTTGCACAAGAAACTCCAGTATATCAGCATAGTCCCTGGCAGTGTAGACACCAAGCCTCTGGGCCACGGAAGAGAAGTGGTCAAATAGATTATCATCATGACCATCGTACATCAAATGAGCAGGCATCGAGATCTTTTTCTTCATCATGTCAGCAAAGCCAACGATTGTGGTGTCAGGGTCAATTTCAAAGAGCTTTTCTACGATTTTGGTGTAGGCTGTTTCATGGCGCCTCTCATCAGCAGCAATGGTGCCACAAATCTTCCCAAGTTGAAAGTCTCCAAGATTCTTAGCCAGTCTGGCAGTGTTTCCATGGGAGATGAAGGTTGCTCTTTCTTGAAAAGAAGTGTAGATGAAACCCAGGTAAGGATTGTTTTCAGTTTTTGGATCCTACAAAACAAAACAAGACACAATCAATACGACCAAAAAAGAGACTTGCGGGTTCTGGCTTTATCGAAAAAGCTAGCCATCTTTTAAGCTTACCATTCCAGAACCAATGAGGTATTGAATTGTCTTTTCAATCTGCCTCATGTCCACTCGTCCAGAGAGATAAAGATACTTGTTAAGAAGATCACCATGTCTATTCTCTTCAGCAGTCCATGCCCTCGTCCATACTGCCCAAGGAGAAGGACTTGCTCCCGTCTCATCTCTAACCCCGTCCAATGTATTAATCATGGTCTGATAAGTGGGAAGTGCTTCCTCTGTGATCATATCACCAACAAGCACTACAAAGTAGTCATCAGTAAGCTCCATACACCTTTCTCTTAGCTCCTTCACTTGGTCATAGAATCCTTCTGACTCAGGTTCAGGGAGAAAATCTGTCGGCTGCCATGATTTCTCAACAGGTTTTAAGTAAGCCAACAAGTTCTCTTCAGCCCATCCTTCTAAGGACCTAAAGATCTCCAGCTTTTGAGGTGGCATTGAGTATTTCACCTGGCTATGCACCTCTCGAGGAGGGATATACAGTTTCCTTCCATTCGTATCCGCTCTGCAATTCCAATAATAAACAACATTCTAAAATGATTAATAGGATAATAAGAAAGTTCATAGACTGAAAATGTTGTTATTAACACAACCAACAGAATAAGATGATATGGTTTCGTGTTTTTCAGGTAAACCATTTTGCAAACAACTAAACAAGTTATAGTCTTGAAGAAACCTCCAAACAGGAGAGATTCCCCAAACACGAGAAAAATCAGTTTCTTGAAAAAATAAGAAAAAATACAAACTAACATACGTGGTGGTGTTCAATGTTCATCGTTAACAACAATGGAGGAGGACAACTGCAGCACAACAAGACAAAGCATGCTCTAAATGAAAGGGAAAAAAAATATCTTCTAACCAAAACTAGTATCACCAAAATAACAAGCAACATAAGGAAATATTTCAGACCTAAACTTGACCAACTACAGTACAAAAAAGAAAAACACAGACATAGATGTATGTATGCATGTGCAAGACATAGAAGAAGCTCCAACAACCAAATACAAAGACATTTAAGCCTTTTAACTTTCTTTTTTGTGTGGAATGTGAGTTAAATTTTAAAGGTCTTATTATATACACTAGCAATAAATAAATTAAGAAGGAATTGATGAACATACTACATAGTAGCCTGATAGGCCAACAACCAAATTAAATAATACAATATTCAGAAATAGTAGAGAACAATCCATGCATGCATATGGAGAAGAGTCGGATATTTGAAGAATTACAATGTTATCACTAAAGATTAGTAAAAACCAAAATTTTGACAAAGATTTCCATGTCCGTATCAAAATATTCAAACATGTCCACAGATTCAGCAGAAAGGCAAATACACTGTGTATTGATCATTTCTAAGAACTAAATCAACGAGTGGTTTTATCTTGTTCATAGATACGTTGGAACAGAGCAAACAAGCGTTGATGTGTATTAGTGTAGATATATAAATAAAGCCATGTTAGCAATCGCAAAACCGAAATAAATCTGGATTGATTTAACAAAGAGTGTTTATAAACATTCAAGCGTAGATCATGATGCACAAACTTAAACCTCAGAAATAAAAATTTCTAACAAAAAAATACAGATCATGGTATTAAAGAAAAAAAAAAAGAGAGAGAGCAAAATGGAAATGAAGCGAAAAACTCACGTAGAAGCGGAACGGATAGTGGAAGCCATGAAAACTGTGGAAGATCTGGAGCCATGAGGATGGGAAGAACGGTGAGAAACGGATGAGGAAGAGGAAAAAGCGATCCGATCCATAGCCATAGCCATAGCCATTGTTTGTTTTTATGTGCCCCTTCAAACACCAAATAAAATAGAACGAAAAAAAAGAGAAGAGATTGGAGAAATAAAAGAAATAAGAGAAAGTATTTTCGATGATAACAGAGTGATAAAATGTTTAGGATATCTAAAGGAGAGGGAATCAGAGAAAGGAAGGGTGAAGAAACGAAACGATCAATTTCAGACTAAACTCTGGAACGTGATTATTCCAGCAAGTGTACCTACGTTACATTTATTGCATAATCAAAAGCTTTCTTTTTTTTACATCACTGCCATTTTCTTCACCTGTTTTATCTATCTCTTGTCCTTATTTGCTTGAAGAAATAATAAATTCTAATCGGCCCATGGGCCTCCGTTGCTGCTTTATTCGTCGAAACACGCTATTGCATGTCGTTTTGTTGTATCATGCTGTCGAAGCAAAATATCATATTACGCGACAAAGATCTTTGGTATGACGGTAGAGACAAAAAACATTGTCACTCATATGTTACATGTCGTCATTACAATAAACGCTTTTTTTTTTTTCCTTTTCTTGATAGAAGTATTATCGCTTCTTGTGACGATGAGTTCCCGATATGATGGATTTACTCATTCATATATGCTAGTAATTAATGCCCGGAATGTTTAGTGGAAGATTCTTCACAAATCACAAGTGTTCATGTCGTCATACCGCGCGCCGCTGCAACGTAACTACAACTCTTAATAGTTGTAATAAGCTTATGTCTTCTCCATACTTTGCAAACAATGTGAGTTCAAAGGATATAATAGATGCGTCTTCTTGAAGTACACTCTCGACAGCCAGTGGATTTAATCAATATTGGTCATATAACGAGAAGGCATGACACAAGAAGTGTGGGAAATATAAATCATAAGTACATATACATCCACCATTGGATCAATCTTTTGTACTGGTTTTCAAGTGATTCACGCATGCAAGGCTCTCTATAACAAGCGTACAAACTGGCTCAAATAGGACGGACAGTACAATATCCGCAATGTATTGTCTATAAGTATCCTCCTTGTTGTAGTCACCAGTTGTTGTACTTTCAAGACTCCCAAAGTTAATAAAGCTTCACGAGGAGGATATGATTGAATACATGTAGGCATTTCATATAGTAATTAAGCGGATCACATAACATGATATACCTTATAAAGTTCACAACCAAAACAATAGTATTTACTTATTATACATGGGTAACACATCTTAAAAGTATAATCATTTCCAACAAAAACACATATAAATTTAAAATATTTTGTAATGTTGTAAAAAAAAAAACTTTGAATTATTTTAAGAACAAACGATGAACATATAAAGTCCTGCACTAGTAAGAAAAAAAAAATATGAGAACGTGAGATTCATATAAATAAAAAACTGAAACATAGTTTGGTAACCCAGTTCATACCCAAATTCACATTTTGGACCACAAAAACATAGTTTATTTATTTATAATTGTTTGGTTATTTCATTGTTAATTGTTTCAAAATATATCTATAGTTTCACATCTCTACCAAAAACCCAGCTAAACGAAACAGAAGGTTTTGACCCAAGTTTGACCCTATCGTTAGCTCTTTCCTCTAACCTCTTGATCCTCTGCGGCAAGGTGCACAGATAATCCTGTGCTCTCCTTCCTTCGCCTGACAACCCCAAACCCAAACTCTCTACCTTCCACCGCCGCAACAGAAACTCGAGTATCCCAGCGTAATCCGCCGCCGTGTAAACTCCAATTCGCTGCGCCACGGCAGCGTAATGGTCGAACAGATCGTTATCTCTCCCGTCGTGCATAAGATGAGCCGGCATCGTGATACGCTTCTTCATCATACTCGCCAGCGCCAGAACCGTTCCGTCGGGATCGATCTCGAACAGCTTCTCTACGATCTTCGTGTACGCCGTCTCGTGACGCTTCTCGTCAGCTGCGATGGTGCCGCAGATCTTCGCGAGTGTGGCATCCCCGTAGGTTGTGGCTAGCCTCGCCGTGTTGCCGTGAGAGATGAACGTAGCTCGCTCTTGGAATGAAGTGTAGATGAAGCCATTGTATGGATTGTTCTCAAATTTCGAATCCTGAACCGTTGTACCAAAAACAACATTAATATGTAACACTTATATACTAATGATCAAATGTTCTAAATTGCGAAATATGCTCACATAATAAAGGAAATAAAAACATTATAAGACTTGTGAAAAAATCAGTTTTTATATATTTATGAAACTATAATTAATGAAAACTCTCAAATTCATCATATATTTCAAAATTTCCAATGATTCCTAGAAACTTTTCCCTAAACCGATATTTTGTAAAAAGATAACCAAAAAGAAGAAAGACCAAATTTCATATGAAAAAATAAATGCTAAGGAAATGATAAGTAGATATAGTAAAAAAGAATGGAATGAATACTTACCATACCAGAACCAATAAGATATTGTATAGTCTTCTCAACATGTCGCATATCAACACGACCAGTAAGATAAAGATACTTGTTGAGTAAGTCACCGTGACGGTTTTCCTCAGCCGTCCACGCTCGAATCCACACCGCCCACGGCGATACACTCCCACCGGTTTCATCTTTAACGCCGTCAAGAGTGTTTAACGTCGTTTGATATGTCGGAAGTGCTTCCTCCGTGATCATGTCTCCCACAAGAACTACAAAGTAATCGTCAGGTATCTCTTTCGTTCGCTCTCTTATCTCTCTCACTCGGTCGTAGAACTCTTCGTCGTTCTCCGGGGCAGGTAAAAAGTCTTGTGGTTGCCATGAATCTTCGACCGGTTTGAGATAAGGCAATAGTTTGTGTTCTGCCCAATTCTCCATTGATTTGAAGATCTCAAGTTTCTCTTGTGGTATTGTGTGTGTTATTTGGTTATTCACTTCTTTGATGGGTCGAAACTGATTGCATGTTTCCTTCTTTTGCCTGCAAATTAAAAAAAACAAAAAAAAAAAACACAATTTATTATCAAACACAAATATAGAAATGGGGATCATGTGTACTTTGAAAGAGATTTTGCGATATCTTTAAAGAGTACAAACTATAAAAGCGTAGATAGTGCGTTTATAGTAACACTTTGAAATTTATGACAATAAACTCGATAAGTATATAAAAACAAACTATTTTTGGAAAAAGGAATTGCAGTGGTTACGTTATCATTTAACAAGAAAGTTATAACATATTTTTGGTAACATGTACCAATTTAACATAAAATGTAAAATACTAAAATAAGGTTTTTGATTGTATCATTGCAATATATTTGTTTTTCATGAAAAAAATATTTCATTGTATGTAAAAGAAAAAAATGGTGATGATATTGATTGGTCGATTAGTCCTATCGTTTTTAGTTGAAGAGGGTAGTGTCACCACATCCAGATTGGAATTTTGGACGTTGTTGATAATACTGAATTTAATATATTTCAACTAAACATCTGTACAATTTTTACCAGAAACAAACAAAAAAACAACAACGTGTGTTCAATAATTTTTGCATGGTGGGGTGAAATTGTGAAAAAACAAACCAATATTGTACTTCGCCTAAAACAAAAATAAAAAATTTCTTTACAAATCAACCGTATTTGTAAATCAAAATGATCTCTATATATATATAGTCTTTACGATTATCTAATTAATGTAATGATGATCGGTGACCAATCACCAAATGATGCATACACAACACACGCATGCAGACAGACGCACAAACGCATAAAGTTGCATACCAGATATAAAGCATAGTGAATAAGTGATTCTGCAATATGATAAAAGCTATCAGGTGGACCAAAAAAAGTTGACATCATCATCATGATACGAATATGGGATTAACGAAGATACATAGAAGAATCCAATGACTTAAAAACAGTATTATTATAGTCCCCATTGGACGACATCGCGAAATAATGAATCATGAGTCATCTATGCATATAATAAACATTAAGACCTCCCATAGTGAGTAAAAAAGACTTTAAAGAAACTGCGGAATTGTTTTATTTTTTATTTATTCGAGTTCAGAAAACGACGCTTTGGTTTTAGATATTCAATCACATGATAAAATATAAGACAGTAGTAGTAATTATGATATTCATGTTATGCTTAAGAGCCTATATATCTAAACTATGTTCTAATATAGATGTCTAAAAAGAAAAAGAAAAAAGAAAAAAAGAAGAAGAAGAGAGAAATCGATCGAAGATCTAATAAGAATGAGTAAATGAAAAAGAAAGTGAATATTATATCGTACCTAGCAGGGTTCGTGGTGACACATGAAACTCGAAGACGACGAGAAGGAGAAGATCCACGGCGAGGAGATGTAATAGCCGCCGGCGAGGTGAAAAGCAAAGCCATCGACATTTTCTCTCTCTCTCGGCAAGCTAGCAGATTTTTCTTTCTCTCTCTCTCTCTCTCTCTCTTGTGTCCTTGTTGTGCGGTTACAAAGGAGGGATGTGTACTCTTATATATATACACATGCACAAACAAGAGAGTTGACTAGAGTTGGAGTGTTCTGTCCTCTTCTTGATTTATTTACATCTGTGATTAATTATACTATATACTATACTCCGTAAGCAACCATGTCCATGGACATCTGTTTAAGTTTAACTTATAAGGTAGTGTATTCTGATTGTTTTTTAAAAAAAAATATCATCAATCTTCCTCAATGTAAAACTCCCGTAGAAAAAGCCATTGTTTCCGTGAAGAATATATAGGAAAACTCCCCGTAGACAAATGAAATACTTACTCAGTAACAAAAAAATCAATTCACAATAATAAGCAAGCAAAATAACATGCAAAAACACATTAATTATATTTATTTAATCTCCCAAATATGATTTTTTAAAAACATATATACGTAATACATTTTTTTATATACTACTATATAATTACGAGTTAGAGCTCAGAAGTAGTCGATAAAAAATCATTGTCTACAAAAACTGATCGATTTGCTACGTAATTTCTAAAAATAGGAGCCTTCCTAGGGGCCTAGGGGGTTTTCCAAATTTGTGTTATGTTGCTTTTTTTAAGAAAGTATATTATTTTCTTAGAATAACCTGTCATTTCTTGAAATATATCTTGTATATTTGCTTGTGGAACTATGGATTATAATTCAATCCATGATATTTTTTGTTCTGTTTTCAAGTAATAACTTCTTCATTGGAGGTCTAGTCAAAAGTTTACGAAACGTTCCGAAATGAATGAACCAAAAACCATGGGAAAGTAATCAAAAACCAAAAACAAGAAAAGAGACGTAACACAAGAACGTAATATTTTTCTTCACAAGAAAGGTCATGTTAGTAAAGTCGTAACCGACGGTCTATACTGGATGTTGCTCGAAAGTAAAGTTGTCGCAAAGCAAAGTTTGGTTTTTGTAACATTGAGCGACTTGAGAAGTCACCAAATATCAAAGACTTGATTAACGTTATTGAAAGCTAATTCTTTAGTCACATACTATTGTTTAAGTATGCTATTCCGATCTGTGGTTGATCGTTCAACTTAATGAAGAACCTACTAAGTAAAGCATATTAACACCTACACCCAAAAAAAAGAAACCTATTTACTCTCATTTGAGAGATTTCTTGCATTCTGAAAATCGCATTGCGAAGGAAGGTTATTATAAATGATAAACTATTGATTGTGTTTGTTGAATATAACAACAAATTTTGATCTTCTTTTTAGGTAACCGATGATTTTTAATTATTTTTTAATTAATTTCTAACGTATAAACGTTACATAAATTTATAAATAAAATATGGTACTTTTTATTTGTCAGATATCGGTATATAAAATTGAGAGTAAAATATTAAAAAAAATTGCAAAAAGAATTCAATTTTTTATTTTGTAAATTTTATGATGAATTTTAAATTATTAGTTTCGAAAATTAATTTATATATCTTTTAAGATATCATGTATAGAGATGTTGAAATGTTAAATATCTTATTTATTTATCTTCCCATTGTTGATTTTTGTTTCAAGATTTTTGAATACATGATCATTCTAAATGTGCATGATAAGCTGGATTATTCATCAAGTTTGTCAGAATAAACGAGTTTACATGTTCCTATTGCTTACTTTTGATATCAACTCTAAAACGACGATGAATTTGGTTTTGTGTTCTCTTATTGATGAAGAATTGTTTATCTTTTTTGAACAAAACTAAACCGAGCTAAATTGAACCCAAACCAAAACCAGAAATAAACCCAAATTCACACTCTTAATCGGCACTAGCAAAACCGAAATTGTACCAAACCAAATTCTGGATGATTTGAACCAAAGTCACCAACTAAAATCCCTTTTCGAAATCGAATAAAGCAGAAATACTAACCCGGGTCGTGTAGATTCCACCAAACTTGAATTATTCTTCACCCGACCCGGTTATAAACCCGTTTTAAAAGTCACGCGCTCGGGAATATCAGTACACGGAGGACCCACATTTCTATGCTGATACATTCAGTTTTAATGATAACGTTACCGTCACAGCGAAGCTACACTATATACCTTTGGATTCGATTAAAAAAGTATTCGCCGCTTATAAACGGAGTTTGCCCCGAAAAATTAGGAGAAGGAAGAAGTAAACCCCCCCCCCCCCTCCCTCCCCCAATCGCACCACCATGACCGCCGTCTCCACCATTTCCGCCGCCGTAACGGAAGGCGCGAATGTTGTTACGCCGAGATGGATTAATAAGGGAATAAATGGAAAGTTACGGGTGATGTGTAGGTATGGCGGTAATATAGTTTCACTTCCGCAGACGAAATCGCCGCGCTACCTCGGCGGAGATACTCGAATCGTCGCCGTTCCTCCCTCCGCGGAAACGTGTTTAGCCTCTCTTGTTAGCCACCTCAGGGTTACGCTCGGAATCTCTTATCCTTTCAAGGTTAAATATCAGCTTCCTGATCAAGAACTGGATTCGCTTATCTCCGTGGAGACGGATGAGGATGTTCAGATCATGATGGAGGAACATGGATATCTCTTCACCGAGTCTTCGATTCCTCAATCGCGTATACGATTGTTTCTTTTCCCCTCCAAATCGCAATCGAATGATGCTGGTGCGAGTCAGGGAGATTCGGCTCAGTGTAAAACGGAGACTGATATCGATTGGCTTGGAATCCAAGAGTCTAAGCCTATTCTTCACGAGCTGGCTCAACCGGTGCTTCAGCACCCAAAGACTGATACGTGGTTCGTAGACGCGTTGAAGAGCGCGGAGATGATGCAGACTGGGCGCAATAATAGTGCAAGTAGCGGAAGCGGAGATGGTAACAGCAGCGGTCTTTGTGGACAGGAGTCGATGATGCTCGACACTAATTCGTCCTTTGGCTCAACATCATCCTCCGTTTCTTCGAGCAATTTGCCTCCGATCAAAAGCACCGGCGAGGACAACTCAGTAAATTCGCAGGTCAAATTTGCACCAGTAGAATCGGTGACAAGGTATCCTATGCTCTAGCTGCTTGTTTACACTGTTTAATTGCTTTATCGAATAGTTTTAGGTGTAAGCGTTCTGAAAGTCTTACTTGTTCATTTGTTGTCTGGGAACGCAAATGACCATGCCAATGGCACAGATGAATTTGGTAATGTTGCAACATGTGGGGTGATATATAACTTACATGTTTAAGTACAAAAATTTGAAGTTCTTGGAGTGATACTGTTGCAGAGTTAGGTTCTCTTCTATATGTATATGATCTGTGAATAAGTTCATAGGCTTAGGCATTCAATACCTTGTCTTTTTTTTTTTGCGATTGCGTAAGGACCTTTTGTTATGGTGGTGAACATCTATGCTCTCAACGTATATTATTCTTTGTGTGGTATTCAGCGACGGTTGTTAGTTTCATCATTCATAAGCTATAGTTATTCTATCATTTGAAGTTGGGCTATATGTAATTCTATAGAGAGATGTCACATGCTATTGTTCAAATGTTATTTTTTAGCTGATAACCCTTTTGTCTTACCGTATGAACAGCTACAACAGCGCAGTCACCCCAATCTCTTCTCACGAGCTACCTACACACTCACATGTTTTGGAGAACAAGTTGTCTTCAAACTTCTACGAGAATGGGTTAAACAGACATGTTCCAATCCCAGTTTCCGGGTATCCACCATTTATGAACCAAGCTCAACAGCAACAAATCCAGGTCATTTACACGGGAAATCCTTACATTACCGGAAACTCACCTATGGCATTGCCTGCCACAGCATACCATCACACAAACCACACCCATTATCAGTTTCCGCCGCAACCATACCCAATATATTACATTCCAGTGGAGCAGTACAGTTCGAGGCATGTTCAAGCACCGCCTGTGAAATCTGGTACTGTTTTAAACTCCCACCAAGTTGATTCCTCAGTGGTCCGGACCAGCAGCCCTCTAGCACCAGAGTTGTCCTCACAAGTTCACCCTCCAGCCAAGCCTGTTGATTCATCTGTACAAACATCAAGCGAAGCTGCTCCTAGTACCACTTCCAGAGATTCTTTCGTCTATAACACCAACGTTGATGACAATGATATAGCTCGTGCTCAGATTTACAAATCTCAGCCTCCAGCGCCTAAAGTACCGTCGCAGTGTCAAACCAAGATACTAACCGAAGCTTTGGGTCAGCTACACACCCACAATTCTTGAGAGAACTAAGAATCCGTTCTCATGTAGCTTCACTTTTGGGTATTTGGTTTTACAGGTTTGTTTTGGTTCCCATACATATTATACATGCTTCTGTTTTTTTTTTTTTTTTTTTTTTTTTTTTTGTCTCTTTCAGTCAAGGAGATCCTTCATCCTTGTTCGCCTTCTTTCACTCACTTTGTTGTAACACGGAAGTTTACGGGGTTTTCATCTTTCCAAAAACATTTTATAAAGAAATTTGTAATATTCATACATTCATTTTTGTCCTCTTGGTGATTGATGAGAATTCATCGAACGTATTTTACGATGGTTTTTGTTGGTAGTCTGCGGAATAATTATGCTATCTTACATGTTTTTACCAGCAATTAGCCAAAAGACTATGCACTTTCTATAAAATTTTACAATTTCAATTCAAACTACAGTAGAACGAGCTATGAAAACGTTGACTTTTCTCGAAATCGTCTAGGCACGCACGCATACCGTCCACGTGTCCTTAGTGCTTAACACAGTTGGGTTCAACTAATCCACGATGTACCATTACACTGTTGCACGTGATTCGTACCGTCACTCTCTTCCGGAGTGACTCATCGGCAAGAACACCGACACGATCTGGTGAATCGAATCGGATCGGATCGAGAGAGTGAATTCTCTATCGGAATGCACAAAGATATTGGAACGAAAGAGGTGTTTCCTCTGATTGGGTTTTAGGGTTCCCGTGAAAGAAGAAGAAAACTAAACATGGACGCGGAGCGATCGTCGTTGTGCAACTTTTTTGTGAACTTCCTGATGGAGGAGAACTACCTCTTGACGGCATTTGAGCTTCTTCACGAACTCCTCGATGATGGCCGCGATGCCCAAGCAATTCGTCTTAAGGAGTTCTTCGCTGATCCTTCCCGTTTCCCTCCTGATCTGATTTCTCGGTATAATTCAATTCGAGGTTCGCCAGTTCTTCGCATTGCGTTTGTATCCGCCTCTCATTGTTATTTTATTTGTTACCGACATTGTCTGCTAAATCGTACCTCTAAGTGTGGTTGAGCTGCGTTAAGTTTTAGTGATCTTTTGGGGATCTATTGTAGTTGTGTGAAGAAATCGATTATCTTATTTGGTCTTACGTTAATTCAGAAAGCAGTTGAACGTGTAAAGGTTAGATCATGGGCATGTTTTCGAAGTTGGGAAAAGCACAGGTGTCAACAAAATGATTGAGAAATCCTGAAAATGTATTTGTTGCGCATCAAATTGTTCTCTTCTCATAGTCTAAGTTTGAAAAACAATCACAATTGAAGGTTTCTTGAAAGGTGACTGGTCAGCTTGTTTCATGACCATGTCGTATCTTGTGTCTTATTCTGAGGTTTTTTATTATATACCTTTTGGTTAGCTTCAGGGTTTCTAAGACAATATCGTTGGTAGAGTAGCTAGTAATTTTTACCCTGCAATACAGTTGCGGATCCACAAAGTTTGTTGGAGGAGAAAGAAGCGTTAGCTGAGAAACTAGCTATCAGCGAATATGAATTTCGTCTAGCTCAGGAGGATATTACAAGATTGAAAACTGAAGGACAGAAGAAATCTGATCATTCTATTGACAAGTCTGAAGGTAATCCATAACTCAAATATTTATTCTGCTCTTTCTCTTCTCATAGTAAATCTTCTACTTCGATAAATGTGTATGCATCGATACTCTGTTCATGTTTCGTGCCATGAAGTCGGTAATTAAGGTTTCAGAAGTTTCAGTGATGACAGACCGGTTAGGGAGTCTACTTTAACTAAATCTTTATATAGAAATTATAGAAATTTTTCCTCTTTTTTTTTCTTTGCAATAAGTATTTGCTAGTCTAGGTTTCAGTTCCCCTCCATTGGCTATCTCCTCTTTATTTTCGTTTTTCTCAATGGAGATATTTTCTGCATAGGTTTACTTTATGCAAGCAACCATTTATAATGCACATTCGTGCACGATAGCAGCTTAATCACCAAACTATGTCCTTATACTGTTCGTAATTTCTCAGAGTTGGACTCAGATGAGTATGGAAACAACAGACCAGAGATTCAACGGAAAAAGAAAGATTTTTCCTTCACAGATATAGGGCCTTTGAAGACCAATGAACGTCGAGACCTAAACTGTGCAGTGAAAGAATATCTTCTTCTTGCAGGTTACAGGCTTACCGCTATGACATTTTATGAGGAGGTATCTTAATTTGATGTCTATATGTTTATCATTTTTTCTTGCGTGCTACAACCCACCTAGTTAAATTTGTTTTATGTTTATCTTCTGTTTTTTTGGGTCTGATTTCTGCAAACGCCATTCTGGAATCTTGATTAGCTTTTTTTTTCTTTTCGCTTTTTTCGCTTTTTTGCCTATTTTGGCCTCATTGCCACTCCATCTAGGTAAGTTGTAATGAAGAATAACTAAAAAGTAACCGGACCTTTTTAGTAGCTTATTTCAGTTTTTAGTTTTCCATTTTTTTTGTAACTCTCTATGGTGAAGCTGTCTAAGACTTATCTCTTCTGAAGGTTGTCTTCCTACATTTCAAAACCTCAAAAAAAGAGAAGAAATCGTCATCTCTCTTTTGGTTAGCTTTTCCTTTAGAAGCTGCTGATACTGTCTTGTGGTTGGGTTTGAGTTGATGTATTTGCTAGGTTTTTGGTTAATCTTTCTCTTTTGTAATTTAGTTTATAGACCAAAACTAAGTTTCAGGTCTGAATTATCTGCAACTCCAGAAGGAGAAACAGAAGTGTTTGAGCTATTTCCCCGTGCTGGTATTGTATATGGAACAACTTTGTAAATATGATGTATGTTCTGTTTATCTCAGGTGACAGACCAGAACTTGGACGTTTGGCAGGACAGTCCAGCACATGTGCCTGATGCCTTGCGCTATTATTACTATCAGTACCTTTCATCAACTTCAGAAGCAGCTGAGGTTATTTACTGAAAGCTTAATTTGCATCTTCATCAAATTGAACTGATGCTGTCAGAAAGATCAATAGCTTGACACTTAGTTCTTGGACGTTATTTTCTTATACAGAACCAAGTTCCCTCTCCTTTTGCCTCTCCATTTTTCCCTTTAGCTATTTCTGAAACTTGATGCGATTTTGATTGTGGGGTGGTTATGTAGAATGGGAGCTTGATTTAAGTGCAACTTTTTGTATTTTAGAATTAGACTAAGTACTTAAGTTCAATTTTGAGCATATGTGAGAATAAAGATCTACCAGAACGTTCTATGCAGTTTACTTTGAATTTCTCATGGTTCATAATTTCTTGGATGCAGGAGAAAATAGCCATGCTTCAGGAGAATGAATCGCTGAGAAAGGAGATTGAGAGGCTAAACAAAGAAAAGGATGGACTACATAAGAGCAATGAAAATTTCGAAGAGCAAATCAGTGCTTTTAACAAGTCTACGGAATCACTTCAGAAGGATCTTAGGGATAGAGAAAAGCAGGTAGTCATTTTTTATAGACTGGATATCTTAAAGAGACGGACTCTTTCATATCTGAAATGTAAATACCTGAAATGACACTGATAGTTTTCAGGTGCAAAGTTTGAAGCAATCCTCAGAGCATCAAAGGAGGATCCTCAATGACTGTAGGGCTGAGATCACTTCTCTTAAAATGCATATTGAAGGGTCTCGTGCTGGTCAATACATGTCAGCGAATGAAGGTGATCTTGTAAAATTACAATCCAAGGAAAATGTCGAGGAACAGATAAGCTCTCTGCCAAAGGAAGTTGAGAAACCAATAGTTGAAAAGGATGGTGGTTTGATTTCTGAAAGTTCTATACTGGCTGACAAAGGGCACATACAAACAGAAGACGATCTGGTGGTGGAAGAAGTTAAGAATATAATAGCTGATCAAAGCGAGGTGGCAACAGAGGCAACTAATATAATTTATGCCGACAATAGTACTTTAGAGAACCAGAAAGAAGTCTCAAACTATTTGTTAAGTCCATCAAACGGTAGTTTTTCACCCAGTAAACTTGGAAACATCTTGATAGTGGATTCTGGTATTGGTCGTGGCTCTAACTCAAAATCAGACAATGCAAATGGTGAAGCTGCTTCTGAGGAAATGGCAAGTCTTGATCATGCTTTGGAGTACTTGCTCTTATATCATGAATGCTCTGTTTTTTTCACCTTTGCCTGATGATCTAAAACTTTGATAGAGGTCATGTGACATGTCATCTCGTCAGAGAAATTGGTAGCAGTCAATGTAGCTGTCTGCTGTCCTTCCGCTATATTTTGCTAATGTTTTTGTCAATAAAGGTTAGATTGGTTTTTTGAATATCTTTTACAGGGTATAGGAACGATTCAGATACTCGCAGATGCTTTGCCAAAGATTGTTCCGTATGTTCTGATAAACCATCGAGAGGTTTGAGTTCTTTTTCAAATTTTACCAGCCAGGGGCAGTGGATGAAAGATTAATTATTTGTTTTCTTTGGCTGATAGGAACTCCTTCCCCTGATGATGTGTGCAATTGAGCGGCATCCAGTTAGCAGTACAAGAGACTCCTTGACTCATACGCTGTTCAACCTGATCAAACGTCCAGATGAACAGCAGAGGCGTATTATTATGGATGTAGGTTACAGCATTAAATTCTACGCTTTCATTATGTATAATAATACTTCTAAGGTTTTGAGCTTGAGGCCTATTACTGTTATCTCAGGCATGTGTTAGCCTATCAAGGAATGTTGGGGAAATGAGAACAGAAACAGAATTGCTTCCACAGTGCTGGGAACAGGTGAATGCTTCTCTTGCTTTACAAGTTGTTTGTGCCGCTTTGAAATGTGTTATTTTCTTAATATGATGATTACATGCTCTTTGTGTATATTTCAGATAAATCATACATATGAAGAACGCAGACTGCTAGTTGCTCAATCATGTGGGGACCTTGCAGAATATGTCCGCCCTGAGATACGCGACTCTCTTATTTTGTCCATCGTACAACAACTCATTGAAGATTCTGCCACCGTCGTACGAGAAGCTGCAGCTCATAATCTGGCATTGCTGCTTCCACTTTTTCCGAATACAGACAAATATTTCAAGGTCAGTGTCACTAAATTTGCAGCTCTAAACAGGCTGATTACAGGATTTCTAGGATATGGTGGTGTCTTTAGGTTGGCATGAGACAATAGAATAGACGTACCACGTGCGGTTATTATAAATAAAACCATGCTACAAAACCAGCTTTCTACTTGTTTATTAGGTCGAGGAGATGATGTTTCAGCTGATATGTGATCCATCTGGCCTGGTGGTTGAAACCACATTGAAAGAACTACTTCCTGCGGTGATAAAATGGGGTAACAGGCTGGATCATATTTTGAGAGTTCTTCTCTCTCACACATTGAGCTCTGCTCAGGTATAGACTCAATACATTATCCATCCAATTTAAGATTGTAACTGTGAATGGTTGTTTGGAAAACCTCATTTCAAGTACTTTTCATTTGCAGCACTGCCCGCCCCTTTCTGGAGTTGAAGGGTCATTGGAGTCTCATCTACGAGTCTTAGGTGAACGTGAGCGATGGAACATTGATGTCCTGCTAAGAATGCTCATGGAGTTGCTTCCAGCTATTCACCAGAAGGCAATGGAAACATGTCCTTTTTCTTCTATCGCAAAGTCAGAGGAATCTGCATTCTCTGTTTCTTTGCTTGAGACCTATGCCGAGTAAGCTTCTCAACTACTCTTGACGACAAAAAATTCTTCTAGTTTCTGACATCCTCTCGTATATTATCTGACTGGAATTTCTGACCAGGGGACGTTCTGAGTGGCCTATGTTTGAATGGATGCATGTTGATTGCTTTGCTAACTTGTTGCAACTGGCATGCATGTTGCCCCAGAAGGAAGACCATTTGAGAAATCGGATAACAAAGGTATAAATTGTGTTGGCAACTGTTCTCTTATCTTTTATTGATCTTAGTATTACTTACTAATATATGAAATTCCTCCGTACTGGTTTCTAGTTTCTCTTGGCTGTATCTGAACTTTTTGGAAGTTCCTACCTAACTCACATTGAGTTACCTGTGTTTTTGGTGGCTGTTGGAAACGATGAGGCTGATCTTCAATTCTTACCTTCTGCAATCCATCCAAGGATAAAAGGTTACTTAATTGCTGGATAGAAAGCGACAGAAAAATTCCTTAAAATAGGATCTCACATGATTCTTATTTCCTTTCTCCAGGCCTGAAACCAAGAACTGCTGTAGCCAATAGGCTTGCCACTCTTTGTATTCTACCACTTCTTTTGGCAGGAGTTCTTGGTGCACCAAGTAAACGCGAAGAGTTAACTATCTTCTTACGACAACTCTTAGTTGAGAGCAAAACAAAAGAAAAAAACCAGTCGTCGAAGCACAGTAGCGAAGTTTTGGATGCAGTTCGCTTCCTTTGGTACGTGTTCTTAAGTTCCACTATTAATTATGTTTTCCTGGAACGTCTTATTCTTACTAATGTACTCAAACATTACAGCACTTTTGAGGAGCACCATAACATGATATTTGGGATTTTGTGGGAAATGGTCGTGGATTCCACTGCAGAACTCAAAATCAACGCTGCTAAGCTGTTGAAGACTATCGTAAGCTTCTCAACAACAACTACGCACACATAAAGTTCACCTTTTTCCCAAGTTTTCTTTCATAAGCTTTGTTATATATACTTGCATAGGTTCCATATATCGACGCCAAAGTAGCTTCTGCCAATGTATTACCAGCCTTGATCACTCTTGGCTCGGACCAGAACCTGAATGTGAAATACGCAAGCATAGATGCATTTGGATCTGTAGCACAGCATTTCAAAGTGGACATGGTAATAATGCATAATAAAAACTCTCGAATTACTTAATGTTAATGGCATAAGAAAATTCTCGGATTACTTTTATGCGCTAATTAAATTGTGTATGCTGCAGATTGTTGATAAAATCCTAGTCCAGATGGATGCTTTTCTCGAAGATGGTTCTCATGAGGCTATAATTGCAGTCATTCGTGCACTCTTAGTTGCTATTCCGCACACAACAGAACGGCTTCGAGATTATCTTTTGTCCAAGATTTTACAACTCTCGGCAAGTCCAAGCTCTTCAACAGACGTAAATCGTCGCCGAGAAAGAGCTAACGCGTTCTGTGAAGCCATCCGTGCACTTGATGCAACAGGTAGGAGTATCAAAACCAAAATGTTCGTATTCTTTTTTCATACATGTTTCAATGTTCAAAGGTTAACTCGTTTTTGTTTTGAAACATGTTTCTGAAGATCTGTCTCAAACAAGTGTCCGAGAATACCTCCTTCCAGCGATACAAAACCTACTGAAAGATCCAGACGCGCTTGATCCAGCCCACAAGGAGGCGTTAGAGATCACAATGAAGGAGAGATCAGGTGGGACATTTGAAGCAATTAGTAAAGCAATGGGTGCACATTTGGGGATTGCATCATCTGTGACAAGCTTGTTTGGAGAAGGTGGCTTGTTGGGGAAAAAAGAAGCAACGGAAACCACAGCGATTGCACCGTCATCACCAACAGTTCAGGGACCGGAGTCACCAAAGGTTATGGCTGCAGCGACAGAAGACACCAGATTCAGACGTATCATGAGAGGCAACTTCACAGAGATGCTAAGGAGTAAAGCCAAGAACCAAGATGAGACATAGCCACAAAATCACTAAACCGTAATGTAAACCAGGTTTTTTGTTTGGTTCAGTTAATGTTTCTATTGCATATATTATTAATACTAGAGTAATAAAATCATGTTATTTTCTTATTTTGGCTTGGTGAGTACTGTTTTAATGCTATTCTCTCTTTTAGCTATTTAGTTTTACTTAGGAAGAAGACAGAATATGTTTTATTTTTTTAAGGCCAGAGGCTTATTCATCTGTGTATACTAAAAATAATATCTTCTTGTACGCAATGCAGTGTTATTCTCAAGTATTGTGAAGCATATGAAAATTGGAAAAAGTTGCAGTTTGCACTCCAGTGCGAATTAATTAAAAAATTTAGGTGGTCAGTATATATATATTGGTTCCCTTAATTTAATGTTTGTTGAGACAGTTTTGATGAGACTGACTGGAATGATAATTATTACTCGATTTCACCAAGACAGACAAGAACACAAAAGTAAATAAATGCACAAATTTTATGTCAAAAGCGGGTCAATTATTGTCCAGACATTGATGGGCTTTTTTCGTGTGTAGTAGAAGTAGACAGAGTGGGCCTCGCACGCGTGGTTAGGCTAAATGACAAATTGAGAAGGGGCCTCGTAGTAAGCGTGATTAGACAGACTATTCCCTGTTAATGTAATTTTAGACTTGTCTCGGTGGAGATTATGGCTTTATATACACGTGTCAGGTGCTTCCAAACATTTTTTTTTGGGGTTTTATGTCGCATGAAATATACTACTCCGCAAGTAGAGCGAGCGATTAAATGAACTTTTCTTTTACAATTGCGATTTGGTAAATTTTATATGCGTATAAATCTAATTTTAACTAAGATTACACATAAACCCATTACTTTAAATTTTGATTTATTATTATTATGAACACTTCGCCGTTGCTAAGTTGCTAACTTCTCGCATCTTCTATAAATGTGACAGAACTAAAAACAAAAACAAAAAAAAAAGAGTAAAAAGGAAGAAGATTCGCGATCGGACGGCGAACTCTCGATCCACCGTCGGATCTCACCATGTCACTCTCGCGGCTACACAAATTCAAGCTCTTCGCCGCGCATCGTAGCTTGGAGGCATCCGCCGCCGGGAACCCCACGATGAGTCCGACGAAGAGCCCTGTATTTGATCTCCGGCGACGCAAAACCCTGCGGATGTTGTTCGAAAAGAGCTCCGAAGGTCGCAGGCGTAATCTCCGACAGATCCTTGAGGATTCACCGGAATCTGATGGAAATTCCGGGAAGAATAAAAGGGGCAACCGCCGTGCTAGGCGTAAATTGAAAGAGCTTTTGGTCACATCGCCGTCTCCGCCGCTCAATGGTGGAGAAGAGATAGAGAGAGGAGGAGGTGGAGAAGAGAGGAGGGAGAATATGTCGCCGGTCGGTGGTGAGGGGAGAGAGTTAACGGGTCGAAGATTGGGTTCGTCCGGTTCGGTTCAATCATTTCGGTTTAGGATTTTGAGAAAACCGTGGCGACCAGTCCTGCTTACTATTCCTGAACAATAATTAAGAAAAAAAAAAAATCATTTTGTTCTCTAAAATTTGTCTCCTTTTTTATTTTGCTTTTCCTTATATAAAACATAGTACTGTATACTAAAAAAAGAAAAAATGTTGATGAGATCTTCTAGTTATAAAATGTGATTTATAATTTCCATGGCTTTGTTATTACTCCGTGGATTATAAGATTTTTTGACTAATCGTTACTCTCTATGATTTTGTTAGTTTAAGTAAAAGAGGTTGTGCTTTGTGAATTAAAAAAAGAGCAAAACAGAACAAATGTTCGAGTTAGGTTAATTTAAATAAAACCATTGGATCTAGTGAATCTTTTGAAGTAGAAGAGGACAAACTTACCACATGTGGTAAACTATATTCTATATAGTTTTTTTATATTTTGGTTTTGGAGTGTAACATGATATATTATTATATAGTTTAGAGAAGTGGTTTTGAAAAGTTCGCAACGGCTCTGTCTCGAGAGAGCCAAACAAAAATGATTTGGGGGTTAAGTTTATGGAGAGCAAAATGAAAAAAAAAAAAAATAGGAAGCCCATGCCATGCCATGAGGAAGGAGACACACGCGTTTGCTTCTTCTTAAAGTTTGTCTTTCTTCTTTTTGTATATGACAGATGACGAATTTGATAGAATAAAGTGTAAAATAGTATCATTTAGGAATGAAATGTGTAGTAGGCTTATAAAAGAAGTGTCTATGTTGTCTAGCAGTAGCAGAGAATGGTGTTTCTTCTATTTCTTTCTCTTAGTACTCCAGAGTGCAACTGTCCTATATTCGAATCAGTACCGTCTCAGCAGCAGCAGCAGCATCTCTGTACCCTTAAAGTTAAGATTGTAGGCCAAAAATGAAAAAGAAAAGATTGGTCCAGTTCTCAGCTTCTCGCTTCCTAATAAAAGGCCCAAATATATATCCTTTGTATGTATTAATGGGCCTTAATAGTTTTGATGGGCTACTCCGGCTCAATTAAAACAACAAAGCCCGGCTCTAACTCTCTTGTCGTAATTATTTATGTAATGAAGCGCGTAAATCACACCGCGCACGCATAACTCTGTATAGTCGAGTTAAATAGTTCACATTCCCAACTTGCTTATGAAAGGGACAAAGGTCTCTCTGTCTCTCTCTCTCTCTACAAAGTCTAGTGGAACATTTTTATTTCTCATAGTGCATTATACATTTTTCTAGATCTAACTTTTCATTTTATTTGCTTTATTATTCCCCTTTTTCTCTTAATAATTATTATTGGACATTTCCTTTCTTTTTTTTGTTTGCCGTCAATATTAATTATTTGTACATACAGTACATTGTATAAAAGGGTCACATAAATAACTTCATAGATAATAATTACCCTCTCTCCTCTTGGAGTGCCATAAAAATCAGCTTCGGATTATAAAGAAGAGGACCACAGAAGTTTTGTACCCTTTTACCAACGAGAAGATTCAATTTCAATCACTCAATCCCAGTAGTACTGTATGTACACCATTGAAAGATCAAACGCTCAAATCAAATCACTTGGTTAAGTTTTTAGATTGCTAAAACATGGGACACATATGGTTCACAACTGCTTCGTGTATGCTTCTACTTACCTCTTTCAACCACCTATCTCAACTACCCCTTTTCATCCGCATGAACTTATCTATCATGTATGACTGGTAACCAAAGGAATAGTAGAACCTAGCTCCAACATCATTAACTAACTTTAATCATAGCCAATATTATTTACAAAGGAGAAATATATATATATATATATATATATATATATATTGAGAGAAGATAAGTTGTGGATCCTACAAACCAGGGAGATAGGCCGGGGAAGAGGATAAAACTATATAATTCCCACTAATTAGGAAAGAATTGTTCTACTCAGAGCAATTATTATCACAAAATCCAGCTTCGTCCTTACCCAAATCGATCATCGTACGTACTGTGGTTTGCTCCGGTTACATTCTCACTCCAGTTTTGACTTTTTTGAGACATTGAAAAACATCCGTTCAATGATTTGACTCTTTCTTACCAAGCAACCAGGGAAAAAAATATTACGTTTGCCATCTTAAATTTCACAGACAGGACATTAACTGTTGTTGTTCTCGAAATTACAGTATATTGCTTACTTTACAGTGCTTGTCTTTAATTCGATTCACCATTTGATTTTGTCGAGATTATATACGGTTGCCACTACTATAGTTAAGACTTTGATTAATTAGTAGTATTTGCAGTTTGTTTACTGTATTTGTTTCACTCCAAACGCGTCGTCAATGTAGACATGTAGTGTAGTTAGTAGTTACCTCTAAATAAAACATGTTTTTCCCCCTTATATAAACTTTAAAAACACAATATATTAAGTAAACCATGTATGTTTTGCTTTTGAGATATGTCCGCTATATAAAATTAAAAAACTTAATAGATTAGAACTGTTTAAACTTTAAAATAATATATTAAGTAACAAAATGAAAGTTAAAAGATGACGTATAGGTGCGTGAATCGTGATCGAATACAATGCAGACGTCAAGGCGGTATCGGATACCGATTCAATATATGGTATTGGACTATTGGTGGTGTAAGCCTGCCAGTTGTAACATGTCTAAAAGTAAGAATCACGTGCATGTTATGAATAAAAAAATAGTTAGACGACTGGAGTTAAAAGGTTAAAAGGTTAAAACTTTGTTTGGTCTTTTTCTCATCTTGTTGTTCCCACTAGCTATCATTATGTCATAGATCTGGTCCACATATTTCCGTAAACGACGTCGAATCAATATAGAAACAAAAAACTCTTAAAACTACCAAAGACAAATTACTCAATTCAATCACCCAAAAAAAAAAAAAAAAGAGAATCTCTGAAAAGTCAGACACTTATAGACAGAACAAGAAAACCCCATATCTCTGCTGAATCCACATATCTCACTCACTCCCACTTCTTTCATTCTAAAGTTTTCTTTTGCCAGAGGATGAATTTGAGGTTGCAGCTGCGACTTTAAGCATAAAATGGTGTGAAGTGAAGATATCGTCAGTACAGATAAGCATGGAGACTACTATGTGGATGTGGTGTAGAGAGATGAGAAGTCTACTTATAGTTCCACTGTTCAAGTGTTTGGTGGCTATATGTCTGGTCATCTCACTCATTGTTTTCGTTGAAAGCCTGTATATGAACATTGTGGTCATCTACATCAAGCTTTTTAAACGCAAACCCGAGAACATCTACAAATGGGAGGCGATGCAAGAGGACATAGAGCTCGGCGATCAAAACTATCCCATGGTTCTTGTCCAAATCCCAATGTACAACGAACGAGAGGTGTTTATTTATTTACTTTTATATAACTTGTTCTGTTTTTATTTTTTTCATTTATTTAGTGATCGATGCAGCTTTTAAGTAAAGTTTCTTTACTCCACAGGTGTTTCAGTTATCCATTGGTGCTGCTTGCACACTCGTATGGCCATGGAATCGACTCATCATTCAAGTTTTAGACGATTCCACTGATCCCACTATCATGGTACATATATTTATTATTCTTCTAACCCCATGATATTAACTCTACTAGTGAAAGTTTATTTTTCCTTTTTTGTTTTTTTTTTAACATTTAATAAAATTTATTTTATAAAGAAAACAAATTTTAATAATTATTGTAAATTGCCTTCACAATTTCCATATGGTTTTGTTATAACCACAACGATATGGTTTTATTATAACCACAATAATTATTACTTATATGGTGTTGTTATAACCACAATGATATCAATCTCTGGAAGGACGTTGTGTTACTTTGCAGGAAATGGTGAACATAGAGTGTGGGAAATGGGCAAGCAAAGGCATCAACATAAAATGTGAGAGGAGAGACAACAGAAATGGGTATAAAGCTGGAGCTCTCAAACAAGGCATGAGGCATAGCTACGTCAAACAATGCACCTACATTGCCATCTTCGACGCCGATTTCCAGCCAGAGCCCGATTACCTCCAACGCACTGTCCCATTTCTCATCCACAATCCCGAGCTTGCTCTCGTTCAAGCTCGATGGAAATTTGGTATGACTACTTCTATAGCTACTTGCAGATATATGCACTTAACACGAACACATTATGTGTTGTCATTTATTTATAGTCATTGGTGTGGCAGTGAACGCAAAGAAGTGCTTGATGACTAGGATGCAGGAGATGTCCCTCAATTACCATTTCACGGCAGAGCAACAATCAGGATCCACTAGACATGCCTTCTTTGGCTTCAATGGTAATAAACTACTACTACATCCACATCCTTCCTTATCAACATTTATTTTAAATACCTTATCTTGTTGGTCATCACCAACCAAACTTCATATTTTATTTATTAGATCCTCTCATTCTATATTCTTCCTAGCTTCACTTTTTTTTTTACCGACAATTGATAAAACATGCCACATTTGTTTGTATATATATTTTACTTTTATCTTTTTGATTGATAAAGTTAAGTATTAATTATGGAATGTTCAACCCAAAAGCAAAATGGTAATGAGAAATTGAATACAAATTTGTGATAGGGACTGCGGGTGTATGGAGAATGGCAGCAATGGAAGAAGCCGGAGGTTGGAAAGACCGGACCACCGTAGAAGACATGGACTTGGCCGTTCGTGTTGGTCTACACGGTTGGAAATTTGTCTTCGTCAATGACGTTGAGGTATTTTCCAATTCTCTAATTTGGACTATTTGTAGTTGAAAAGAACAAAATATAACCTCGTATATATGAACCAGTCCAAATCTTTAATTAATCTTTGTCACATGTGGTGTTGTTGCTGTACATACACTTTTATGCACTGTTGCAGCACATGACTATAATTCCATACGGAATAATAATGCAGCAAATAAAATTAAAGAAAGAAGTATGCATTAACGTGTGGATATCGATCGATCGATATTTGTAGGTGAAAAGTGAGCTACCAAGTCAATTTAAAGCGTTCAGATTCCAGCAGCATCGATGGTCATGCGGTCCAGCTAATCTTTTCAGAAAGATGACTCTGGAGATTATTAGCAACAAGGTACACTACACTACACTAACTATTATTCTCTCTATCTGACCCAAAAATTTTAAAAAAGAAGAAGAAAGATACCAAACTATATATGTAGTTAGAATGATTTCATTCTCCAACTTAATTTGTAGTTCATTCCAAGGCACAACACACTCACGTGCCACCATTCTTTTTGGTTTCTTCTCCATTATTTATGAGAGAGACAAAACATCCAACGTGATGACTAGTACATGAGGCATATATATGCACATTTAATTGCGTTTCGTTTTATGGTTTTGATCTTGGTTTTTTTTTGGAAAACGTTTGGTTATTAATGAATTTGGTTTTTGTAATTATCATGAACAGAGAGTGACGATTTGGAAGAAAATGTATGTGATATACAGCTTCTTTTTTGTAAGGAAGATCATAGTCCATTTCTTCACTTTCTTCTTCTATTGTGTCGTTCTTCCTACGAGCGTTTTCTTTTCCGAAGTCAACATCCCCACTTGGTCAACTGTTTATTTTCCTTTTATGATCACTCTCTTCAATGCCATTGCCACTCCAAGGTTATTACTATACTGCCACAACAATTGATCATCAATAGTGATATGCATATATACTTACGTATATATAATTAACGTTTTTGTGTATGATCAACATAATTCTATATATAGATCATTCTACCTAGTGATATTTTGGGTATTGTTCGAGAATGTAATGGCTATGCATCGAACAAAAGGCACTTTCATTGGTTTACTCGAAGGAGGGAGAGTGAACGAATGGGTTGTTACTGAAAAATTAGGAGATGCTCTTGAGACCAAGTTACTTCCTCAAATAAGAAAACCTTGCAATGGAGTTCTCGAAAGGTAACTCATCAATTAAACCTTTTTTTTTCTTCTTCTTCATTGGATTTATCTTCAAAACTAAGTCAACAATTTTCATTTTGCTTTGGCTGCTTCTAGGATAAACTCAAAGGAGATGATGGTAGGGATATACATTTTGTGTTGTGCCTCCTATAACCTTGCCTTTGGGAAGACATCGTTATATATCTATCTTTACATGCAAGCTATTGCATTTATTATTTCTGGTTTTGGTTTTGTAGGAACTTAATTGTCTTAGTTTTTTAGACATTTGTAATTAGTATTAAATTCTTCCATATTTATTTTTTTTTTCTTTTCAATTTCAAGATACTGTAGGTTAGATTTCGTTATACGAGTATATTATCCATTTGTTAAAGAAGAAAATAATTAGTCATTAATCATTATATAATTGTAAGGAGGTCAATAATACCTTGATGTTTTTTTGGGTACAATATTGTTAATTCTTCAGTTTATAAAGTGTGCGTAGTGCGTTAGATTATGTAAAGTGTAATTCGTTTATTAATGACAATTCTAGATTTACCAGTTTCCTCCACTTCTATCATGTCCACTAACATCTTCAATGATTCGAAGAAGTGTGAAAATAGTAAAAAATTAAAGATCGACGAGAAAGTTAAGAGTGTAATATTTTCGACAGCAAAAAAGTACTTTAACAAATAAACTTTTTAAAAGTATGGGAAATTTTGGAACGATCCCTAAAAAGCCACCAAAACATGAAAAATTACTACTATGTTTGTTGTGTATGCCTCAAAGCTTCAACAAGTATTCTCCATTCGAAGAATTCACGTGCTTCATCTTCACATTATTGCCAAATCAAACATCCTTTTTTAGTTTAATGTTTCTTTTTATTCAGAAAATGTGACATTACATGATTTATATATACACGATAATCAGTCAGGCTCAATTACTCAATATATATTTCGAGTAAGTTATCGAAATACACCACAGTAAATGAATATGTGGTCCAGTCAAGTAAAAAATGTATTTGATTTGGCATGTTGGCCAACTTTTTTCCAGCACTTCCTTGTGCAATTCATTTTGCATCAACCTAACTCAGAAGCAGAGTCTTCAAGATTTACCAAACTCACCTTCAAATCTTCTATTGCTCTCTCTCTTTGGTAAGCGAAGAACTTCAGTGACTGCCACAATGGTAAAAGAAAAACAGAGAAAAGATTAATTCAAATGGGGTTCACAACATTCTTTCACAGTTTTTTAAATGAAAGGAGAATTCTTTCATTTGTTTCACTTACGCCGAGTCGCTGCATCGCAACAGATCTTTGTAACGCTTTTCTTTTCGTCAAAAGATTCTGTGCCATCAGTTTTGATGAAGGACGTTTGTAGTTCTTGCCACGGTATATGAGTATCGCATGTCCTTCTTTAAGTTTTTCAATTGAGATAAGTACTCCATTGCTCTCTGCTTCAAGGGATTTCGCTGAGTAAAGAACTCTCGAGAATATCTTCTGCATCGTGATCACTTTCGCAACCTCCCTGTGCTTCCAATGCTGATGCAGACCTTCCATTACACCATAAAAAACTCCTCTTCTACCTACAAATTTGAAAGTTGTGTAAACCAATCTCATAACCATTGGATTAGGGATTAAGAAGAAGCCAATAATGGATCCAGTGGCTCCTACCGAGAACCAAGCTGCTGTTCATCTTCAGCCCTACTCTTCTCAAGCATTCTCTTTCTTCCTTTGTCAATATCTCAATGTCATCATCTCGCTCAGATGGTTTCCATAACGAATTTAATCTGAACAGTTCCTTTGTTGATTTCTCTATCTTTAATTTTAACTGCAAAAAGAAGGAGCAACCCATGGAAATTCTATTACAAATAGGTGAACCAAAAAGATGCAACGTTTTGGAAGCTAAAAATGCTTACAATGGAAAGCTTGTGTTCTTGGCTTTTGAGTTCCTTTTCTAGCCTTGCTTTCTCAGCTTCAGTCTCTAGATTTCGCGTCTCCATTTCTCCAAATTTTCTTTGGAGTTCTTGAAACTCTAATAAAGTTCCAGTTTTACTTGTTTCCTCCAACTGCTTACCATTTGTTACCACCTCCACGATTTCTATCTGACTCTCGCGTTTAGTTTCTTCAAAATGTTGGTACCTACTGAGTAATCTTTCTCTGTCTATAACTAAATCGGCATTTTCATCAGAAAGGAAGTCTTTGCCTCTGAAAAGTATTATCAAGTATCTGTTTCGTAGTATCAGAACTCCTCCAGTGAGATGCTGAAATTTTTTTGTGTTAGATCCCAAAAATTCGCATCAGCGACAACAATGTTGGATATAATCAGAAAGTGAACTTAAGAAAAAAAGATAAAAATTACCTTCAATTCATCTGCCATTTTCTCATTGTTTGTATTAATAGCTCCCCATTTGATTGCAATCTTTGCAATAGTACTTCTCTCCCATAGTTTCACAATAGCGGAAGCTAAACCTTGAAGCCCGTGGTTCCTCCCTTCAGAAATGAATGAAAAAAGATTGTTGAACACTCGAGGGAGAAAACCGCAAGCAAACGCAAAGAGAGCAGCACTTAGTAAATACCAATGTAAAGCGAAAGACAATAAGTATACGGAAATGAAAAACAAAGACAGAGACTTTAAACATGAAATGCTGCATATTCTGGCAAGTAAGAGATCCATTTCTTGATCTTATCTCTTCTCAAAGTGATTAATCTACTCAAGAATTGTTTTTTTTTTGGTTTCAAAGAAGATCTATTTTGACCAAGTTCTCTCATTTTTGCATGATATCTTCAGGAAACATATGAACAACTCTCCCTGAAGCTCAACTTTATTGAACACAGACAAAGTGAGGGAGAGAGAAAAAGTAGTGCAGACAAATTACCAAGGACGAAATGAAACGGTAAAGCTTGAGCAATGTTTCTCAAGTAGGTAAGCTCTTCATCGCTTAGTTTAGCTCTAGTGTTTGGTGGACAACGTCTAGATGGAGTTCTATATCCATTTACCACTTCAGGAAGCAAGTCAGCATCAACTGGAAACGGTCTTCTCATCCACCAATCCATATATCGAGGTCCTAAACCATCCAATAACCTATCAGCTTCTCTCTCGTACAACGATGAGCTAATCTCATCTTGTCCAGACTCAGTTTTCTCTGTTGAATTACTCGGTCCTCCTCGATAAACAACGACAAATTCCTTCTTGCTTAACACAACCAAGCCTCCAGTCTTCATCTATTCTTGAAAACATGAGAAATCATTTCAGAGTAACATCAAAGGTTTCAACAAGCTTCAACGGATAAATGAAGTAGAAATAACCAAACCTCTATGATCTCTTGAGCTCGCTCCATATTCCGACACAGAGGAATATCAAATCTCACCATAGCAAGCTCATTCGACCTCCAGATCGATCTAATCTCATTCACAACAGGCTCAGTAACTCCTGCTTTTCTCACATTCACCCATTTTCTCATCTTCGAAGCTTCACGTCTCAGCTTATTCAACAATCCTTCGTCGAGAATAAGCTCAGCCGTCGTCGGAACTCTCTCCTTCTTCGTCCTCCGCAATATAAACCTCTCTTCTTCTCTTTCCCATGGCATTCTCCCGCCAAATCTCTTCTCCGACGACTCGGTGGTTTCCTCCGCAATTCGAGCTAAACAATCGAATTCGCTCAAATCACCCATCTGGGTATCTTGAGAATCGCTGTCCTCATCAAGCTTTTCGACATTACGCACAATTTTCTTCATCGCTTTCCTTCCCCTGACACCACTCTCTCTACGATTCAACGCCTTGAACGTCTTCTCTTCAGATTTTCGTGGCTTGTTCCTCTTCTCAGCGTCGAGAATCTCATCGGGTCGAAGCAAGAGAGGACCTTTCATCCATGGAGCAGTCGGAACCTTAATCGCGGCATCAGAGTGTCCTCGGTTCTCCCTAAATTTATCAAATTGAGGGGTTTTAGCGGCATTCGAAGGGTTTTGATTAGGGTTTAAGGAGGAGTTAGTGATCAAAGATGGAAAAGCTCGCGCCGAGAGGAACAGAGGAGCTAGCATTTGAGTTAAAGTCTGCAACTTTGAGTTTTCGAGCCCACATTTTTTACAAGAGACACCAAAAGGCTCACAAAGCGACAAAAAAACCTTGGATAAGATAAGAATACACAGCTCTAAGTATACACATTAATTAACTGGTCAATGTAAAACTTATGATTACAAAAAAAAAATGTTTCTAAAGTACAATATTAAAACTTTATTAGTAGCTTAATATTTACTAATTGAAAAAACAAATAAACTCACAATTTTGAAGTAAATTATGGACCAAAACCAAGAACTAAAGGAGAAATTCTTAACAAAGGCTCTAAAGTCTCGGCTGTGAATTTCCTCGCAAATAAAAAACACTTGGAAGTTGTAATGTTCTCTCCACCACGGCCATAATAGACACACTCGTCCGTAAACCGGATCCGGTTAAGAAACTCATCGGTGATATCAGGCCAAATAAACCGACCAGGATGTGGACCGGCTTTGGACCAATCGACCCACGTCAAGGTCCGGTTCGAGCTCATCTCACCATGCAACATGTGAACGAGAGTTGGGATATAATGCTCGTCCATGTAACAAGGCGGTTTACAATGCTGATCGAATATTTTGTAGTAGAACGTGTCTAAGATGATAGGAAGGGCAAGTTCTCGAGTTGTCTCAAACCATTGTGATCCTTTTCGCCAATGTGTGATGTTGATTTGTGGATACATTTTGGGGTTGTAACGGCCTCTACCGGATTTTCTTGGGTCGTCGAATGAGCCAATGAAGCTGAGGTTTGTGCCGGTTAAGTAATCGTAGATGGTTGTGAAATTGTAGAGTGGGATGCAAGAATCGGACAAGAGCACAAATCTTTGGTTCGATTCGTCGAGAAGAGCATTGGCTAGTAGTCTCTTCTCTGCATCTACCATTGATGATGTTCCCCAATACACCGGCTGTTTTGACAAAAAAAAGTTTCCCAAACCAACATTAATATTATTGTTAAAAAAAACTTATAAATATATATAGATATATACACAGATTCAAGCATTTTTGTCCAATAAAACATTTTGTAATTTCTTTAGAATTAAGCTACAAGGATTTAACAGTGGCCTTAATTAATCTATCGAGATTAATGGAGAAGTCAGAAAATTATTTGATAGTTTTGTCAACGTCAGAAATAGGTAAAAAATTTGGTTTTATTTTAGACGTAAAACTTGACAGTACCGATCACAATTTTGTACAGGTTTCTTTATGCATCGTACGAACGTAGTATTAAACGTAATAAGCATCCATTTCATACGACCATTTCATAGCTCTGGGCACGAAGCGAATATTCGGAAAATTTATAATATTTGTTATTTGCTTCGCCTCGACCGAATAGTTGATTTTGCTATTTGCTTCGATTCGTAAATTTTCGAGTATTCGGAACTTCGAATATTTGAATATTTTTCGTACTATTTGCGAATTACTTGCTTCGCTTCGATCTATTAATTTTTTCTTTTTAAACTAAAAATATATAGTACATAAATATAAATATAAAATGATAAATGTGAGATATTAGAGGTTCTTGTTTAACATGTTTTCAAAGTAAGAAGTAAATGTAACCACCGTCCATAGAATTCTCACATTTTATTTTTACTATTAATTTTTCTAATAAAGTTTTATTTGCTTAAGAACAACATTTAGCAAAAAATCCAACGGGCCAAAATATAATAATTTGAATAATAGGCCTATCAGATATATACCCAAATCTATAAATACACATATTATATATATATTATATAATGATTTATATTTATACATATATATATAAATATACGAAGCGAAGCGGATATTCGGCACTAAAAAAATCAATATTTGTTATTTGCTTCGGTTTTTACGAATACTACATTTTCATATTTGTTTCGGTTCTATGTCTTATAGATATTTGAATTTTTCGAATCGAATCGAAACAAATATCAAAGCGAAGCGAATCTAACGAATATTTTGCCCATGGCTAGGCATTTCAGTGTATATATAATATCTAGAAATTGCAGAATAGTCTATGTTAGAATTTTCTTAAAGAAATGTTATTTATGTCAGAATAAAATCAAATGGGTTCATGCCTTGATGGACCATATGCAAGCGTCGAATAAAAAGATCAACAACACACACACACGTGCCACGTGAAAAAACCAACCTGTCAAATCCAAGAGATAATATATCTAAGGAGAACTAGCGCTAGATGTATGCTAATCATGTGTATAGATGTTTAACAAAAAAAAAAAAAAAATCATGTGTATAGATTAGGGGGTAACTATATACGAATATAGTAATTAAGAAAAGAGGAAGAGGTAATTTAACTAATTAAGGCTGTTAATTAATTTGTCACCTGGCTTGGGATTTTTCTTGAATAGAAGACAGAAGTTTCCGGGAAAGAATCTTGAAAAGATGGATTAGTATGGACATATATTGAATAAAACCCTTCATGTCCTTCAAAGAACTTCTCCCACAAGCCTGCCAGTGGGAGTCTGCCACCTGTCATGAACATGAAAGCCACCTTCACCACCATCTTCCGGTCATTATCATGTCTCCTCCCAAACCATGATGTTGATGCTGATGATGATAAGGATGATGGTGGTGATGATAATGACGAGACCTTGGTGAATAGTTCTTGATCGGTCATATTGTGTTGAAGTGCTCGTAGCGGTAACTCTTGTATGATGTCCATCGTTGTGGTGTGGTTGAATAGTAGTGTAGACCATAAGGGTTGTCGTTGTGTGTTCGTCGTAGACATGTGGAAGGCTTTTAGTTGCAGACAAAGGAAGAGACCAACCGAGAAACCTACTACAAAGAAGAGCGAGCTTAAGAAAAAATTTCCCTTTTGTAAGAGAATCGATCTCAAGGGCTTTGAGATCATTGGGTAGTAGCAGCACTGTTCTTCTTCTTTCTTGCTCTTATGATCACTAATGCCCATTGTAGAGAGAGTGAGAGAGAAAGAGAGAGATGATGTTGTTGTGATCGTTGAAGATTTTTCAGCCAGTAGTTATAAATGTCTTATTACAAGTTGTAAAAGAGAAAGAAAAAAGAAACAAAGTATTTGGAGTGTATTGGACAACGTCAAAGGAGCTCTTGCAAGTTAAGAGGGTAGACTTTGGAACGAAGACTTGACCTATTTGGCTTTTTAGTTTCTTACATTTGTTCTCAGGTCAATATATAAATATGAAGATTATGTGTTTAACACAAAACCTAGGATTTATTAGATCTTAAGTCTTTAACACGATATGACGAAAATTTAACTTGCCCATAGGACGGAGTAAGAGATTGTAATTCAAGTAAGGGTGTGATATATATGTTGTTATATAAATAAAGCCTAGGGAGATTAGTTTAACCGAATTCAAATTCTTCAATTATGTGTAGTCAAAATTGGACCAAATCTTAATTAAACACCTTGGTGAGAGGTGGATATAACCGAGTAGTTCTGTATATCAAACCTATTCCTCCATGATCTATTGAATTATTTTATATGTGCTTGTGTTCAATTTTTGTTTCTCTAGTTCTTCTTTTCAAGGTCTAGCTTATGACCAAACCAAAACAATTAGCAAATTAAACTACTCAAACACAAAAAAATAAAACAAATAAACAATAAAAACAAATATGTGATCATCCTAAAACTAAAAGCTTTCAACTTTCTTAATTACAAGTTGAGGAATATATTAATCAGTGACATGGATGAGTGAATTATTAAAAATGGTGCAATGCTGAAGGAAAATTAAGAGCGTGCAAAATGTTCGGTGCTGACCCACGAACCAGTGCACTAGATATTTCATGCCTAACTTCAGGTTCACTTAACGACGACAGGTCACATTGCCAAAATTCCTAGAGATAGTCAGAATACTATGAATCTTTGATTTCAAAATTCGATAAATTACAGAGGTTACTTAAGTAAGCCTTGTTGGTCGTGATTGGTATACTAAGATTAGTGGATTTTTAATTAAAACAAATTTGCTTAGTCAAGCAACAAAAGTAATTAAAGACCAAGCTTGAGAGTTATTTACTTTCTACTCAAAGCTGTTTTAGACATACAGAGACCATTTATTTTCGGCACAATCTATGGTCACAATTACTACAATACATGTAAGAGTTTTCATTAAACTATAACGAAACAATTACAAATCCGCTTATGCCGAAATCTCCAAAAAGTTTGGGTGGAGTTGATAATTGAAGAACATGTTAGGTCAATTATGTATTAATTAAAAACATTCGGGTAGTTAGTCGAAACATGCATATTCTTTAGGGGCAAGTTTAGTATTTTCCCCCAAAATATTAAAGAAACGTGAGAAAAAAGGAGATCCGGCGTCGTTTCGTAATCACTCTCAAATTTATCGAATTAACAAAGCCCGACGCCGGAGAAGCTATGGCGACGACGAGGACAAGCGACGAAATCGACAGAGAAGCAGAGGAGAATCGAAAAGAAGCTTTACTAGCGTCAACACAATCTCTTCAACCTAATTTCAGTCGTTCCAACGTCACCCAGAAACAGATTTCGAAATTACAGGTCTGATTTTCAGATTCTTCGACTCCCACTTTTCAATTTTTTTTTGCACTGATTATTTGGTAGTAATGATTTATGAAATTGAAGCCCATTTTTGGTTATGTTTTGAGATAACCAGGAGCTACACAAGAGACGTATGCAAATAAAAGCCAATACAAAGATTCATAAGAAACCTAAAGGTATACAGTTCTCTTTTTGTGAATCCACAGTTTATATACTTCATATACACAGTAAAGACTAAAAAGTAAAAACTCTTAAATGAAATGCAGCAGCGAGCAAGAATTGTCAGAGTAAAGCAATTGAAGATGGCCAACAAAGCTCTCAGAAATTTAAAGAATCAACTTCCTCTTCTACCTTAGAAGAACAGAATCATAATAAGACACAAGTTACAGTTCCGACGAAGCCACAAAAGCTGTTTTGGGGGTGAGCTTTTCTGCTGATTTTAGATTTTATTTTTTCGTGATATTGACAACACTGTGCTAATGCGATCTTTGTTTTTTCTTTCCCTGAAAACAGGCTAGATACTAGGGAAAGGTGGGAAAGGAAAGCCAACATGTAGTGTGATGAACCGATATTCTCGTTATTGATAACTTAGTCCATTGTACAATTTACCGAAGATTGAGATGAGTGGTAGATTAGAGAAAAGACTCACATGCTAAATAATGAAACAAAGTGGCTTTTTTATGTTTTCTCTGGCTGATTTTTCTTTTTAAAGTTCAAACTCCAGAGGTAAGAGCAAGCTCTATTTCCTCGAGTGATCGTCCTTTAGTCTCGACCACGTTTCCTGCAATGTAGAGGACGGCAAGGAAGCAGACTCCAGCAAAACCGAAGTATACACTGCTGATTCCAAATCTAGTCACTACGCTTAAGAAGTAGAGTCCAATCACAAAGTTTGATATCTGTAATGGGGAAAGAGAGAAAAACAAACATTAGAAACAGAGAGAAGAAATTCTGTTTTGAACGATACAAATTACAGATATATATATACCCAGTGCATGCCAAGAGAAAGAGCGACGGCTTTTGCTCTGATTCGGGATGCGAATATCTCCGGAAGAAGAAGAGCCGGTACTGGGCCAGCACCAAGTGAGAATGACAGGACATATCTAGTTAAGCAAGCCAGCATGAGAATCAGTCAAGTCCTGTACAGAGAGACTATAAAGAAATTGTTAAAGAGAAGATTAACTTACAGAACAGTTCCAACAACGGCAAGGGTTCCAGAATATGCAGCAAGAGCCTTCCATGTGAAGGACAAGGAGAGCAACAGCATCGACAAAGCCTATTCAATAGAAAATCACAGATCATAAATCTAAGTTAGCCTGGTTATGGTAATGCGGCTTAAGATTTTCGAAAAATGTGACTGAGAGTTATGATATAACTTATACCATTCCACCAAAGCTTGTCAGTAGAAGACTTTTCCTTCCCATTTTGTCCATCAAGGATGAAGCGACAGCAGTGCCTGCGACAACATATTCTTGGGTTATTTATTTGGTTATGTTGGAATTCAATGGGAACATAGAAGAGAAAACAAACCAAAGACATTTGATGCTCCAACGAGAGCACTGGCAGCTACATCAGATTGGATTCCGGCACTACGGAACACTGACGTGGAGTAGTACACAACTGCATTTATCCCGGCTAACTGTTGAAACAAGAAGAGAGCTGCACCTACGCTTACAACTACAACAGTAACAGACAAAGAACAATGCAAATAGATCATTATGATATGAGGTTTAGAAGGAACATCTTGACTTAACCTGCTGCAAGCTTTTATTATAAGCTAAACAATGTATCTTCACCCAGTCTTGCAATACCTTTCCAGTAGCGGCTACTGAATAGATCTAACCATCCAGCTTCTGGCTCAGAACCACCTTGGCCAGAGGTTGATAAGTCACGCACTAGTTCAGCCACTCTTTCTTTACCATACAGAGTTTTTATCGCCTTTTCAGCTTGAGAGACTTTTCCTTGCTGCAAAATTGATTTCCCTGACTCGTCAAAAAAATGATCTCAGCTAAGTATGAGTTCTGTTCCTGAAGAGTACCTGAACGAGCCACCTTGGGCTTTCTGGAGAAAAAGTCATTCCTACGGCTAGTAGAACAGAAGGGATAACTGCAACACCAAACATCGTCCTCCACCTAGAAAACAATGAGATTGAAACTTATATGAACACAATACTGAACCAAGTAAAGATAATATTGCTTGATGATTAAAGGACATACCATAGAGGGTTTGCTGCAAGGGGTAATCCAGCTATCAAAGCTGCAAGTATTCCTATACATATGAACAACTGGTTCACAGATCCAAGTGCTCCACGGATTTCCGTTGGTGATATCTGACCATCACCACACGCTTCAGCAATATAACATATAAAAAAACATACATGATATTATAAAGTTAAGGGTGCAAAAATGAAGAAACTCAGTATTAAAAGAACCTCAGATATGTAAAGTGGTACAATCGCTGATGAGATCCCGATTCCAATTCCAGCGAGCACACGTCCCACAATCATAGTCTGCACACTCTGAGCTGTTGCACTAACGAATTCAAAAGAGGGTCAAAATGCGTTAAAAATCTCACTTAACTTGCCACCAATAAGTAAGACTTATTGCTTGAAATACCATAAGAAAGCACCAATGGCAAGCGGGATGGCATCCAGTTGAAACGTTCTTGTTCTTCCAAATTTGTCAGCTAATGCACCTCCGGTGAATGAACCTACTGTTGCACCAGCAAGCAGCGCACTAACGATCCAACCTGCTCAGAAGCAAAAAAAGAGAGAAAACCAATTATTAGCTTGGTTTACTAATCATAACACGAATCAAAATGCTGTCAGTCCAGCAACAAATCAGTTGATAAACAAGAGGAGTAATAAAAGTCTGATCAAATACTTGCCTTGCAAAACAGCATTATCAGCGATCCCAAGATCCTTAGCAAGGTATTCAAGAGCACCATTAACAACCCTGATTCAGTCCAGTGAAACATCATCATCATCATCATCATCATCATCATCATCATCATCATCATCATAATCTATATTAACCAACATCCATGATCGCACCAAGTTAAACAGTGATTCAAGTGTAGTTGAACTCAATACCCAAGATGATAACCAAACAAGATAGCACCAAGACAAGCAACACCAACAAACGGCAAAACAGTCCCAGAGCTTTTCCCTTCAGATCTCAGAGGTACAGCTTCTTCTGCATCCCCACCTTCATTTTTTCCAATCCTCAAAACATCAGACAATGACTCCATAATTATTTCCCAAACAACAAACATTAGAATATTACAAATTATATAGTAAGCAATCACAGAACGAGGTACAAGAGAAAAGAAGGACGAACCAGAGGAGGCATGAGCTCTGACAGATCGAGGTTTGACCGAAGAGAAACTCATAACGTTGTAGATCCCATTTTCAGCACGTGCAAGCTTGGCACCCATGTCTTTCTTCAAAGGAGAAGAGTAGAGAGGTCCGGCGGTTACGGTCTTACCGGGGAAGCGAATTCCGGTAGAAGTCGCCGATCTGTTGAGGAGGTTAGAAGAAGAGAAGCTCCGTTTCTGAAACGCAAACGCGGCGTTTCCTTTAACAGCATACGTAGACGACTGCATTTTTCTTCTGACTTTTTTTTTTTTTATAAACGTAATTGCGAGAGGAGGACACAAAGAGAGAAAAATGAAATTAGTCAAAAGAATGAGAAAAAGATGGCATTAAATCCACAACAGTACTCAGAAACGATGAAGACGCAACATCACGAAATCGGGAAAATCGATTGCATTGAGAAGAAAACGCACTCTCGATCGCGACTGATTAACAAACATGCGAAAACTTGAGATTTGGAGTTTGTAGTCAGAAATTTTACCAGAGAGAAGCTTCGGAGACTCCGCGACTAGAGAAGAGAGAGAGAGAGAGATGAGTAGTGAGTGCTCCTCTTGCTCTACACCAGAGAGATGATTGTGATTGCAGAGAAGAACACTTACTGTTTAGCTTATTGTCGTTTCTTTAAAAAGAGAAAAAAAAAATTTGGTTGCTTATAAGTTTTGGATTTTTGTGTAAATAATTCATATTTATCCAAAACCATAAGGAAAGATCAATGAGTTTATTTTCATTTCTTATTTTGGAAACAAAAGAAAATCACTAATTTATTTAATGAATGTGATGCATCTTTCAAATTTTGGATTGGTTATTTATACTAAGAAAATTCCAAATCATTAAAATGAATATCTAACTCTATTCAATTAGCGGGCTTTTTTTTTCTTTCTAAAAGAAATACTTGTATTGAATTTGAATATTTTCTATAGTTCTATCACTTTAACTTAAAAGGAGCAATTTATTATTTAATTATAACTGCAAGAGAGACATACAAATTATTCTTGTTCAATATATTATCAAAATACTCAATCATGTTTACTTTCATTTTATCATCGTTGATTGGTTTATTAAGCGTCAAATGATATTGGACCAAAGTTCCAAGGAAAGTACGTAATAATATGGTAGAAATGGCCACGGTAGATTTTCTGGATTAGATTTTGGATGACGTTGCTGGACGCCGTGGTTATATAACTCTCACGTGCCATTCTGTAACTGACGTATTTATCACAGTAATTAATTTGGGCTACTATACGTTAGCCCATCATCATATTGTGGGCTACAATTACAAGGCCCAATAACCCAAAGGAAGGACCAATTTGTAAGATCTTCTCTGTCTCTCACGGAAGAAACTCTCACTCATCAGTTCATCCATCCTTCTATCTCGTTCTAACGTCTTCTCTCTCGCAAAAGAAAAAGTCTCTTGAAATTTTCGAAATCTCCAGAAGAGGAGGTAAAGCAATTTTCTTTCTCACTTACCGTTATTCCTGCTGCCATGTTATTACATAATCTAAAGCACAAACACATGTTTAGTTTTATCCTTGTCGCTAGCTCATTACTAATCTGCTCAGTCTTCCTTCTGTTCGATTACACTTATTTTTTTTGTTTTTATTTTTTATCTCTGAAAATGGGTTTACGAGTTCGAAATTATTTTAATTGAATCTTGAAGTTTCTCGTCATTTCACTCTCAGTAGTTCGTTCACCAAAGGTTAAATTTTGCGATATCTGTTGATAATTTTGGTAGCTTAAGTGAGTAAAATGATGGTAATTAAATTGATTGATTCCACTTCTTTGAATGAACAGTTCGATGATCTGCTCAACGTTTACACCAAGTATTTACCATTTTCACGCGGAAAGGCCTGTTTTCCAGAAACCGAGGTTTCGGGTTTGTTCATCTACTTCTAGTGAGAATGACAGATTCAAAATAGAGTACACTCCTTGGCTTATCGTAGGCTTGGGCAATCCAGGAAACAAGTATCATGGAACAAGACACAATGTAATGTAAAGCAATCCTTTTTATTAAAAATATAAATAGTTTTAAGTGATTTGGAGGTGTTGAGTTTTGATCTCTGCAATGCTACAAGTTTGTCTTGTTTTCAGGTTGGTTTCGAGATGATTGATGTTTTGGCTAGAAAACAAGGCGTTTTGATGAACACAATACAGTCTAAAGCTCTAATCGGAATAGGTTCTACTTCTCTTTCTTTCGGTTCTCTTGTTTCAAACTTAATCATTAAAAACTGATGAATTGTTGCTTCCATGTTATGATCAGCGCAGGTGCTATCGAAGAGGTGCCTATCTTGTTAGCCAAACCTCAGACTTATATGAACTTCAGCGGTGAAGCGGTTTGTACTTTCTTACCATCAATCTTATCTTATTGCTAAGTTTGCAAAGATCAGTGTATCTGAAACTGTTATATTGTCGTTTAAAGGTTGGATCTTTAGCTTCACACTATCGAGTACCATTGCGTCACATTTTAATGGTAAACTTACCGACTTTAGCATCCCTAGAAATCAGAACAACGTTTGAATTCATGAACCTTTTTGTTGAATCTTGATGCCGGTTTCTCACTCCTAGATTTACGATGAGATGGCTTTACCAAATGGAGTTTTGAGACTTCAACCGAAAGGAGGTCAAGGCTATCACAACGGGTATAAATTGTGCCTCTTGAACCTTTTACTGTGTTCTCTGATCTCTTAACTGATGGTACCTTTTATATTTGTTACAGAGTGAAGAGTGTAATGGGGAGTTTGGATGGGCGTCGAAACTTTCCTCGTTTAAGCATAGGTATGTTTTTGGTTTGGTTTGGGTTAAATCCGAGAATCCGAGACTACCCTTAGTTCCTCTCTCAAGCTTTTTGTTTTCTCAATTTTTGTCAGGCATTGGTAAGCCACCAGGGAACATGGATATGAAAGCTTTTCTTCTTCAGAAGTTTAGTCCATTGGAACGGAAACAGATCGATGAAGCACTAGAACAAGGAAGTGAAGCAGTGAAGACTCTTGTGCTCAGTGGGTTTAGTCAAGGAATCTCAAGATTTAATCTTGTGCAAAAATATAAGTTTCACAAAGTATAATATGAGATTACAAACAAAATTAACAGTTGACGGATTGATGTAGAGATTCTTTAGCATTTTTATTTGTTGTAAACAGTAAACAAAAAGCATCATTCTTTCTCAGTATGAATCCTTATAACCCTTATGAATAATGCTGCTTTGAAGCGTCAGTAACCAGGCCTATATGCTTAAGCAGTGTTATACAAACTTATCAGTAATGTATGTTGGCGATTGCAGATTCTTAGATTGATTTAGATGAGTTTACCAACTGATTTCACGCTGTACAATAAAGCATGTCAATGTAGAAGTTGCAGTTGAATGGTTGTTTCTACATAGTAACTAATGAACTGAAATTAATCACCAAATTACTGATATTTGCCATGGTCATCTGTATATCTTGATGTAGAAATTTGAGATGAATCTGAAATTTCAAAAAAGTTTTCAAAATTGAAAAACACAAAAGCTGTCTTTGTAAAATAGAACATTAAAGATTGTGAATAAGGAACTGAATGAGAGAGTTTCCTTCATCCTAAATACCACAAAACATAATCAAAAGCTCTTTCTCTACCCTGATGATCATCATCCATCAAGCTTCAACCGGGTACTCAAATACGACATCTTTGCCAGTAAGTTTACGGTAGACACCAACCATAGTCTCCAGCTTGTACTCAGTGTCGTTCTTTTGCTTGGCATCCAAAAACACCTGTGGCATAGTATTCAAAACAGAACGCAAAGATGTGATTAATTTCATCAAGAGAAAGATCTGAGTTTATTCTTTGTAGGTGATTTTATACCTTCGTGACCTTGGAACCATCAAGACGGTATCGAGTACGCTTTCCAACAATCTCAGCGGGGAAAGCAACATCCTCGAGCATTGCTTCATGAACAGAGGTAAGAGTTCTGTTACGTGGCCTCTGAACAGCAGCACCCTTCTTGGGAGGACGCATGATCCTTCTTGTGGTAACAAAGATAACATCCTGTGAAAGAAACAAAAATTATGGCAGAGTGTTTAGGAGCGATTGTAGTAAGATTTATTTAGGCATTTACTAAAGAGACAGAATTTTATAAATTACCTTTCCACTGAACTTCTTCTCAAGCTCTCTAACAAGACGGGGATGAATCTTGCGGAAGGCTTTCCTCAATCTGAATGGGACGTAAATCACAACAGCTTTGCGGTTTCCAGAGATATCCATGTGACTACAATGAAAGCTCTAGTTAGTTTCCTTCTGTAAAGGAAAAATACAACCATGAAATGAGAAGGGGGAAGAAACAAGATAGAGGGACATACACAGCTTGGTTAATGTAGAGATCTTTCAACTCGGATTTCAATTCCTGGTTGGTGTTCTCCAAATCAAACAAGGCCTAAGAGAAAATGAAAATTGCCGACAATGAATAAATGAACAAATTCCAAATGAAGACAAATTATATAAAATGCCATAAAAAGGTATTAATTACCTGAGCAACTTGCTCCTCGCACTCTGTTGGTTCCGCATTCTTATCCTTCTTGATCTTGTTCTGAGCAGAGAACATCTTCACAGACCTTACATTTCAAAGAAACAAAACATGAGAAGGTAAGACTTTAGGCATATGGACTTACTACAAGCACAACAGTGACCTTGTAGTGGGAACTTAAGCACCAGATACGAATCAAATTCTATAAAACTCAGGATGAACATAAGGTAAATCTATGAACACAAACTGACAAGTAATCGTTTCAACCAAATCTCTCAGCTGTCAAAATGATAGCTAAAGCATATAAACAAAATTTTTCTGAAGCATGGTAATGCTCGATGAGCTACAGAGGCTTAAAGCAACCAATAGAACCCTCATCCTAATCACAATAAGGGCAATGAATGCAGAAGAGCAATCACATAAAGCTGAAAATTTTGCATCATTTTACACAGAAGTGAGCACTTAGATTTCAGCAGAAAACATCAGCATTGCCTCTCAAGAGAAGAAAAACTCATTCATGACAACAACAACACATTCGCATATAACGATGTTGACCGGAGAGGGAGTGAAAGAGAATCTCTTACCGATTAGCAACGCACGATTAGCAAAATCTGAAGGAGCGAAGAAGAACCCTAAGATTGACAAAAATGTTGCGGCTTCTCTCCTTCGCAGCTCACTTTCGGTAAAATCAGGTTTTATTGTTTCATGATTAGGGTTTCAAGGTAGCCAAAGCCCTGTGAAGAATTTTAACCCTAAATGGGCTTTGTACAAAGCCCGTTAATTAACAAACTCGTTTCTTTTAATAAATCCCAAGAACCCAAACTTGTTATCCTCTCAGAAGTCAGAAGTCTATGCAGTTTGGGAGAAATGCTTAATGCACCTAATGTAGCAACAGATACTATTGTTATCATGTACGTTTTGTTAATTTTATTTTACTAAATATAGAACTAAAAGTTTTGATTATCATTAAAATTCATGAATACATACAGTATATGCTTTCTTGGCCAATATTAGTACAATTAGTGGGTAAGCTAAGCTACTAGTGTTGTTTGTTTTGTCTACAAATACTAATCTTTGCTTCACCTATGTTGTACACATAATGTTAGCGACTGAGCGGTGACAAAAGTATAATACTAGTCCGTATTACTAAGTCGCTTGGTCATATGTAACCCATAAAGAGTACAAGTTCTTATGCTTTTATACAACTTCCATCGTCGTGCCATAATTTGGTATTTTGATTGTTCGAAAATAACCCAAAGTATAGAAGATGACACAAAGATTTGCAAACAATACGAAAGAAAATAAATCCTTTGACTCAGATTTTATATGATAGTTGAAGATATGATTCCAAAGTTAAAACGAAGTTATCATGTAATATTGATTGCGAAATAATGGCCATTTATTTGCTAATTCGTTGAGAAATACCACCCTTCACAAGGTACAAATGGAATAGAAATAAATTCTACCTAAAGTAAAACGAAACAAATGTTCATAAGCTACACAGAAGTAACTACTGATCCCTCAGCTTGCAAACTATGCTCGTCCAGCCACGAGATAATATCGGACAAGACACGCAGAATCATGTCGTCAGGTTCGCCTTCGAGCAGAGAATGGTAAGCATTTTCATACAAAACTATCTTCTTGTCCGCACTTTTCGCTTTCTCGTAAAGCTCTCTGCTCACTGACGGATCTGTCACTGTGTCAGCTTCTCCGTGTAGAATCAATATTGGCAGAGACACCTACAAAGGTCAAATCAAGAAATGTTATCATTCTGATTCTGCTCTTCTAGATTGAGGTTTTTCTCATACTTTTTACCTTTTGCAATTGTTTTTCAATCTCTTGAGTTGTTCGAAGCATTTCTACTGCACTGCGTAGCCGTGGTTTGCCGCTGTAACAAATTACATTGTATGGTGTCTGCAAAAAAGAGTACACTAGTTTAGTAAAGAAATTGATTTAACCAAAATAAGTTCCTCAAATCTGTTATTTATGTTTGTACCATCTCTCTCTTCCTGATATCTCTAAACGCTGCTTCTGCTAAATCCTTTTGTGGAACCAACTTTTGTTTCGGTAGAACACTGGCTAGACCAATCAAAATCTGTTTTAATACCGGTGGTGGAACCAAATCATCTGCAATCTAAAACAGATAAGTATGCAAAGTTAATGTTTATGAATCTTATGATTAGTAATACGAGAGGTTTGCTTAATGACTCTGCAAATAAAAATAAAGAAAGACAAGCCTTTACTTTGCACATTGGTGCTACCAAGACTGCGCCAGCCCACGCATTTGGTTGTTTAAGATGTATTTTGAGCGACACGGCTCCACCCATTGACTGTCCAAAGAGAAAGCTAGGTAGAGAACTAAACTCGGGCTTTTCTGCATCCAAAAGATTCGAAATCTAATCAGTAACTAAAACATGAACCTAAAGCTTACCCTTTGGACTCTCTTGGTTTTAATACAAAGTTACTATTACCTTTTATGTTGGAGTAATGCTCCAAGACATCTTGAACAAGAAGATCAAAGCTAGGGATATAACCATGCAAGCCCTCCGATAAGCCAAATCCCGGATAATCCATAGCGAAAACCCCATAACCCGATAATGCCAATCTCCTTGCAATTCCTGCAAAAAGTAAGCTAGTGAGCAATCAAACAAGCCTCAGTCTCGTTTTCATACACAAACCATTGGCTAAATAAGAAAACACAAACAAACATGCCTTCAAAGAAAAACGTGCAAGTATCTCCATAGCCATGGCAGAAACAAACCAAAGCTCTAGGGGTAGAAGCTTCAGGAAGCCAGCTTTTGGAGAAGATCTCAATTCCTCTCGAATTCACCTCATAAGACTACAATAAACCATGTATCATCTCAAAAACAACAACAAGAGGTTCCTTCAAAACTATAAAGTATAAACTAACTTTGATTCATGAAAAAAAAGAAGAAATCATTCTCTCTTTTACCTCCTTTGTCTTAATTCCATTTTCAGGAGTCTGCAAACATCATGAAAAAACCAACATTTTCAATCAATCAATAAAAACACAAAAGTCGACTCAAAACAAAGCTGAAGCAGAGTGGTCAAAACTAGTCTTAAAGTCTCAACCTTTCGTATACCCATTTCAATTGGAAGAGAGACGAATATAGTAGATTCAATTTTGAGATATATTTGTTACTGTTACCTTGAAGAGGATATGATCAAGATTGAGCTGGATATCTTTCAAGGAATCACGAACATGACGACGCGCAGAAGCTTCGTCAATATTAACGTCCTTGAGTCGCCGGAGCTCCTCATTGTTGTCTAGCTTCGCCGCAGGAGCCATGGATCTACTTCTTTGCCACACAAATCTTCTTCCTTTATCTACAAACCCTAAAATATAAAAAAGATTTATCCTTTTTGAAGATCAATCAAATTGATCCACGCAACAACAACAAAAATTTATCTTCTACACGTATAAAATATTGTTGTTTGTAGTTGAATTATTCTAAAAAGAATACAGCTTTTATTTTCCTAACCAAAGTTATAAATTTAAAAAAAAGTCTCGAGTTTGGGAATTGAAAATGAAAAGGGATAAATACGAATAATATTAGTGACTAATGCTACCGTGTAAAGGACTGAAAAGTGGAAGCTTTGCTGATCTCAGAGCCATTAACAAAAAAAAATTCTAAAAAAGGCTCCTTCTGAATTTTAAAAAATTGTTTAAATACATATAGAAATCAATAAAAACTGTTTTTTTGTTAAAAGAAATCAATAAAAACTATTAAATTTTCAACTTCATTTTATTTTTGATTTTGTTTCAGAAAGATAAGACTACACGAAAGTGAGGGTGATGTGGTTATTAGAGAAATCATGAGAAATACGCAATTATTATAATTCTATCAATGAGAGTTTCTGCGGTTCTTGTCCACTCTTTGTCTATTTTAGTAATGGTTTTCAGTATCATCGTGTGAACAATATTGTCGGAAACTATTGGTTTTGTGTGTAGAGCTCTGATGAGAGAGAGAGAGAGAGAGAGATTGGATCTTCCAAAAAAAAGATTATGTGACGATATATGCTAACGCGTCTGTGTCCTTTGGTAGACGACAATCCATTAATGCTATGCCACGTGTATTTGATGAGTCAGATCACGTGCAATTTAGGTGAGGAGTTAGCAGCATGATTTGTTTTCTAAGGAAGAGAGCATAGCAAGGAACCCTCCTCCTGACCACCTGATTGATCTTCAACTTTTCGTTTTTTCTTTTTATATTAAGGCTAAATCTAAACAAACTAAGATATTTTTCACATTTCTTATAGTGTTTATGAATTATTTTTAAAAAATATATATACAAAGGAACATCATATTGTATTGAGAAATCATCGGCAAAAAACTCAAGTTTTTTATATATTTTCTATGAATTTATATATATTAAAAACCACCTTCTTCTTTGCTATTTGGTTCTCGGACTTTTCCTTTACTTTGTTGTTTTATAAAGAAGAAAATGAACTGGAACCAGATGTACTTTATCAGAAGACTGTAAACCACATCAAATATGGTTGGTATAATTAAAGAACATAGTTGGGACTTTGGAGTCATAAAATAAAACGAAGAAGGTAAAATTTATAATGGCAAAATAATGTGAAAGTTTAAACACCATTATTGTGGTGATATAATAAGTCTGATAACAATAATTTTATGTAGAATTCTAAGTATAAAACTAAAACGTTGTTTTAACAGCATTTTGAACTGACAGAGTTAGTGAAGTCTTACAAAGTAGTTTACTTACCTTTTCCACTAGGAAGCCTAACGAATCAATCAATCTGCATCGTTATACTTATATATACCGGGCTTACGTGCTGAGACTCTCGGCAAAACGAGTCTAGTTGATGGCCTTTATTAACTCTTGGGCATAAGTTTTATCAAAATAACTCTATGCATTCTTAGTTATGTGTGTGTGTGTGTTTTTAGTCTTTTCTTATAAAACATTAATCTTGTTGCAACTTTTTGTTTTTTTGGCAAATGGTGTCAGGTTATTTGATTCCTCTAGACACCCAACATTTAAAAATTTGATGAGGTAGTAAATATAGATTAGAACATGAATTACATAGATTTATGAAGAGCCAAAAGTCTAGAAAGTAAAACAAGCTTTATTTTTTTTTTTTGGTAGGAAAAGCCTCCCATTATTAAGAAATTTTTTTTAAAAATTACACACGAACGGAACGCGGGTACGCATACCCATTCGCATCCTCCAAGAGGATCGAATTAAGTTCAACCGGACAAACACTAAAATTGTGAAAACCCAAAGACAAAGAAAAAGCATGGTTAACTAACCCATCGGCAAGACGGTTAGCTTTCCTATATACATGTGAAAAACGGATTATGCAGTCCCGTAAAATAAAACTGTAACACAAACATATTAGGAAAGACAACGGATACGTATCACCGATCCCTGACCTTAAAAAACAAGCCTTTATAATGTCTACAAGTTTAGTTGTTTACGACACTGTTGGCACGTAAGTAGTTGATTTAGGAAACTCTCACACTGATACATAATCAAACGTATTTAAGGATTTCAACTACTGATTAAGTTTTGGAATTTTATACTAATCTAAACCCCACCACACAGTGACAGTGTATATGTCCTTATCTTTATTTCTGGAAAAAGAAGTATAATCAAAATATTATTCAAAACAATGCCCCATTGGCTTTATTCTTTCCTTTGTTCAATGCGTAAATGGCTCGCATGTCTCTCCCACTGTCCCTTCTTTTCCTCAAACAAACAAAACATCTCTCTCTCCATAATTATTACTATTATAGCTTCTTAATTTTAAATATTTTTTTCCACAATTATATAGTGTTTTTGGTTCTCCATAACTTTGTGACTAATTCTTTGCTTAACTATTTTTATTTATTTATGGTTTCTGACTTTCTTTTATACGTCTCTTACTAAGTAGACATCATTTATAATTAGTAACTAGACATCAATACGGAAAACGTTAGATTAGTAGAAACGTAGAGTTTGTCGGGTTTTATAGGATGGCAAAGTTTTTTTGTGATAAACAAATATGTAGAAGGAAGCCATATGATCCTAACGATACGTTCGTTAAGAAAATCTGAATTCTTAACTCAAGTCTTTTAGAACAAGAATTGAAAGCTGGTCAGGAACTAACAGAAAAAAAAGGAAAACTTATCAAGAGACCAGGCAAAGTACGCGAACGTACGTATATACCACTAGTCCACTCTAAGCTCTTTAATAGGTGAAAACATAAAGAGAGAGATCACAGCAATATCTTTCGTAAAAGGGTGGGAATATGTGATTAAGTTTCATGTAAAATTAGGTTCAAGATCGCTTTCAACGAGAAAGAGGGTTGAGTTTTTATATGTAACTCTACATGACATAAACAAGTGTTACTTATATGTTGATAATATAACATGAAAATGCAATGATAAATCAAATCTTGTTTGAGATAGCCAAAAAATCCAAATCTTAAATAGTATCTCTATCTCCAATGAAGTTAGTATTCATCGAAAATGTTAGTATTTGTTAATCATACAAAAATGATTCTCCAAAGAAAAAAAAAGAAAAAAAAAATAGTCAACTTTGATTGTATTTACTTGTCTATGCTGATGTGGACACGTTAAGTTAAAGTGTTAAACTATGGAAGCCAGCTTTATTTAACAAATAAATAAATAGTGAAATAAATAAAGAAACATCGGACCCGATAACAGTTTCTGCCTGGTCAAATTGTCAAACTATCACTAATGAGAGCATGCGTTTTTAATATGCTACTGCTTTTTATACAAATAAGACAAAAAAATATACAGAATCTATTAATTAAAAATAATAAGATCTGCTATAACAAAAAGTAAATAAAGTAAACCTAGATACTCATGTGAATGTAGTAGGTTTGTTATACTATAGAAATATAACATAGGGAATGGTAATATATAGTAATATATATGTAAATAGTTGTTTGCTAAACTACAAGAAGATATTTTCCATGGATCCCATATAGAAAGAAAAATTATTTCATTGCCATTTACCTAAGATTTCTTAAAATACAATCACAAATAAGCCATTTACTAAAATATAGAATTAGAATTATAATATACCATTTTCCCAATATATGGTAAAAAATAGAATTTAAATGCATTATTTTCTGTATTTTTGCACCATGCTTAAGTTCTTAATTATTTTGATATCATTTTTTTGTTAGTTTCCATATTTTATCTTCTCTGAATATAGTATTTATTTTAGATTTTGTAGTCTAATTTCTGTTCTTGTCTTACCAAAGAAAATTATTTATTATGTTACAATATCAATAACAATAAGAAAAATATTTTTGGATACCATCATTTATGTTTTTGTTCCAAAAATATCTCAAAAATTTTATTTTCCAAAAATACCACAAACAAAAAAAAAAGAATAAAATTATTGTTTTTATGTTTAGATTGACTATTTATATTTATACTATAGTTTTTAGGGATATAATTTAGTGTTTAGAATTTTAAAAATTAAGTTTTAGTTTTGTGGGTATTTTCGGGAAATAAATATTTTAGTGAAATTTTTAGAAAATAAAATTTATAATGATATTTTGGATATTTTGTGATATTTAATCCTTAGAAAAAATAGGATATTGAAAAATATTTTGAATAATATCTAATGTGTTTTAAAAAGAAAAGAAGGAGAGAAAACAAAATCATAAGCTATTTTGACCAATCTAAAAGAAATAATTATTAGTTACAAAAACATATACAAAACGCATGTAAATCGGATTATTAAAGCTGTCCACAAATATCACTATTACGACGGCGATAAAAGCAATTTTCCAGTTATTATATATCACAATAATTAAAAAATAAAGCGAAATTTCCAAAATCATGAAAACGACATCGTTTCAAGTTGTCTTCAACCTCACCCACACTTTGTTGGGTCTCAACCCTTTTATAAAATCCTTATTTCCTCCGACGATTTTTCGCCTCTCTCCCCTCTCTCTCTCTTTTTTGTTCATCTATCTTCTCCGTCACCTTGCTCTCTCTCCTCTCCCGGAGATTCTACTCAGGTACATCTCTCTCGTTTCTCTTCCTTCGTCTTCTTCTTTTCTCAAGTTTCTTCCTTGGCTGATTTTACAGATCACTGTGTAGTTTTTTCTCTTGTTCATTCACAATATATTTCCATAGATATTAGATCTATCGTTTTCGTTTTTTTTTTTGGTTTTTATCCTTTGATTTTTTGTTTAAACTCGACTCAAAACTTCTGCTGTGTTCTTCTATTTTTTTTAGTCTACTCATGAATTTTTGAATTTTCTCGGATCTGGGTTTCGACCTAGTCAAAGGTCATCGTTGGCTTTATTATCCTTAACTGGTTTCCGTTTTTTTTTCCTTCAAAATCCTTTTTATAGCCAAAATCTCTTTGAATTTTGAATGATGTGTTTTTTTCTTTCTTTCGTTGAAGAAGCTCTGATTCAGATTCGTTGATTCTGGAGTGAATAATTTCTCAGATCTTACAAAGTTTTTTTATGTTGATGTTGGATTCTGAAATTAGATTCGGATGGTTTGTGTTTTCCATATAACAATCTCTTGCTGTGATGTGATGGATCTGATTCGGTTTGAATTGGTTTGATTCAGGCGTTCTTCAGTGAAAAGATGAATCATTGCAACCTTCAGCAGAACGCCTTCATGTCTCGTGAGGAGATGATGGGATTTGATCGTAAGGATCTTGTTGTTTGTCCTAAGCCTCGACGTGTTGGTTTACTCGCCAACAACGTGATTCGCCCTCTCAGATTACATATGAGGTATTTTGAAAGCATCCTCCTTTAGGTTCTGCAGTGATTTGAAACTATCATCTCGCCCTCAAAGTGTTGTGTTTTATGAGCTCTCTGTTTTGGATTCTGTAGTCAAGCTGCAGTTGATTTGTGTGATTCTAAAGCGGGTGCAGAGCTTTTGGACATCATTCGTAGAAAGGTATGCTTCTCTGATTCATGAGTCAATCCATCGTTCTTTTCTCTGATTCATTTGATGATTTACTGCCAAAGCTTTCCTTGAATCAGTAGAGGTTATTATCATCTTTTATGAGTTCTGATTCGTAATCCTTTGTTCTTATATCTCTAGGAGGATAATGGAACAATAGGGCAGTTACTATCATCATCGCCACCATATTTTCCCGGTTCACCACCAAGCAGAGCGGTGAACCCATTAGCCCAAGATGCTCGTTTTCGAGCTGAGAAACTCAATCCAACCTCACCAAACTCTCCTTTCCTTCAGCCCAGTTCAGCAACTGGTTTTCCATCTCCATCTTCTTCATCATCATCATCATCGTCGTCCCGTGGTTGTGTTAGGATGAAATTTGGGCTCAACTCGCCTGCAGTTAGAGTAGAAGGATTCGATTGCTTGAACCGTGACCGCCAGAACTCGAGCATCCCTGCCATGGCTTAGTAGACAAGAAAAGAACAAGTGTACATAGAGATTGCGAAATCGTTCACCAATGCCTAACAGAGGAGGATTTGATTACTACTGCTGCTACCACCATTACTACTAGTACAACCATTTTTGAAGTAAATGAATGTTTTTTCCTAAGAGAGAGAGAGAGAGAGGAGGAAGAAGGGAGGAAGATGAAGATTAGTTTCCGTCGCCGGTCACCGTTTTTTTTAACTGTTTCATTCAGGTTAGTGTTTGTATATAAATATGCAGTATTTAAAGAAGAGTCGAATCAATGTATTCGTTTGGTGTTTTTCTGGGTCGGGCGGATCTTTATTATTGTGATATATATATATATATAACTAAGGAGGGGAAGATTAGAAGAATCTGTAAAATTTTCTCGGGAAAACAAGAGCACTTGTTTCTATCTTCTCGTTGTAATATAGATAATCAATTTGGATTTATCTTCTTATTTACCATTGTGTATAGTAATGTTTCTTTGTATATTGTATTTTGGTGTTTCACTACATCTGTATATCAATCAATGTGTCGCAACTCTCAAGCATAGTCAGATACTTGAAATCATATGTAGTATGATGTAGCTTGCATTATAACTGGAAAACATTAACTTAATCAACCACTCGAACATAAGTGATTGTTGAGCTAAAAAACTTCTATTGGATCCTCATGAACCGCCAGCGTATTGCAATGTCTCGGAACACCAGAAGGGTGTTGTCAGACTATATAAGCTTTCCGATTAAAAAAATCCCATCTGTTTCACCTCCACCATGCTATGTGTATGTGTGTGAATGGACTAAACTTTTAGTTTCTAATGCATGGTTTTGTTGAATCTCAGCATTTACAAACACCAGGAGAATCCCTTGTTTATCCGTCTACCATATACATTTCAGTCTGATTTGAAAAAAAAAATGTTGCAAATAAGGTCTCTTCCGAATAACAGAGATCATTTTGTTCTAAGTTCCATACATCTTCTATCTTTTGCTTGTCGTCATGACTCAAAATCGGTGGTGTCAGTGGCCCAGGCATGTTTTGAACTTGCAACATATGGTCATCTTCCTACAAAGTCATTTGTTGTGGCAGCTATCCATCCAATTCTGCTTTGACAATTTCTTATGTGGATCACAATGTCTCTTTTGGGAAAGATTAGCTCATTCCTCGATTGCCAAGTGCACCAAAAGCACCACAAAGGATAATTAACTACTGCAACTGTTTACCCTTTCACAGGTTCACTTCCACTACACCATAAGGATTCCTCTAAGATAGTCTTCGAGGTCCAAAATCTTGCAAATTATCCTATATACACTGTTTCTGTACCGAGAGTTCTTAACATAAATATTGGTTTTATCAAATTTTTGAATCCCTCTTGTTTTTTCTTCTTGAAATTTAATATCATTTACTGGATCAATATGTAAACCAATATACAATGTATACCCCATTCGAGATATTTCAACAAAAACAAAACCAAATTGGGGTACCAATTGAAAAATACCTTTACACTATCATGTCTTGTATATATTTTAGTTATAAGTTACCCACCATCTAGATATATATATGTATAAAAGTTTAATTTAATCTCCTTACAATGTGCAATAAAACTCTGCAATACAATATCTCTGGAACCAACTGACTAAACTATATGTTAACTACGTTGTACTATGATTCTTACTTCTTTTTGTTTGGTACAAAACATAAAATTCAGACAGTTATATACGTTCCGCAAGACAACTAACCGAACAAACGCATCGGTTGAATCAAGATAACTTACTACAACGACCATTAACCGCCAAAATTTCTCTCTCTTTCTCTCTTTTGCCTCTCCTTACAATCTCTCTCTTTTGCCTCTCCTTACAAAACCTTTCGTTGATCGAACTGTAACATCTCTCTTCCCTCACTCTTTGTTCGTCAACTCTCAAGCATCGCACTGTGCTTGAGAGAGAATTTCTCCTTCTTTTCTTTTTTGTTTCATCCTAGAAAGAAAAAAGAGAGAAAACAATTAGAAGAAGAGTGAAAAAACAAAAACAAAAATGGCGGGTGATGAACCAAAATCATCCGCTGTTAAAGACGACGCTGATGAAGATCCCTACAACCATCCATATGATGGTTTCGGGTGGTTCCAAAATGTCATGGACGACCCGAATCCAAATTTGATGGACATGGCCTTCACGGAAAATACGTCTCCTTCTATGTGTCCTCCATTATTACCCTTGGACGTTGACCAAACTCAGTTGTTCCACGAGCTTGATCTTTCCATCTCTAATTACGATACCAACGACGATTTTGATGTACTGTCTTTTTTCGACGACGGATTTACAACATCTTTAGATATGTTAGAACCATTAAATGATGGTCCTAATGAAAACGTTAACAATGATTCCCAAGCAGAGATTACTTATGATAACAATAACAATGTGGGTGAAACTACTAGACTTGAAGTGAGTACTCGTGTTTTCGGTGATCCTAATGGTCCAAACTATGAAATTGGCGGTACATCAACAATACCTGTAGCCTCTGATAAAGACTTCGCATGCGACTGTTGCACAATGCTTCGAGAACTAGTCCATATCAAGGGTACGTTTCATTAATATTTTTTTGGATATGTTGCCAAAATCTTTTATCGTATAATGATTGGTTATATAATTCTATGATTGTGTATACAGAAGGGGAAATAATGACTACCCTCGTCATATACGGAGGGATTGGTTTCATTTGCCATGCGTTTCTCCACACTCGACTGCTTCCTTCTGATTCTACGGAACCGCAACCACAGAATCAACCTGAACCTCAAAAAATTCATCTGATGGATTTAACTATGGAGGAGGTAAAGAAGTTTATAGAAGATTATTGCTCCCAGAGATTAGCAAGCGGGTTATCACTTGTGCAAGACACTAATGCGGCATTCTATGAAGCCATGAGTGTCAACTCCATTTTTAACCAGTCTCCGCCTATGTTGGCACCATCAACATTTACTGAAGCTCTTGATGTTTCACTTGTTCCGCTAAATGTTGGACTAGCGACAGAGGAACCCACCGCTGGTATGCAGAAAAAGAAGAAGAATCCGAAAACCCCTCTCGCTGCACAGGTTTGGTCTCGAACTTCTCAATTTTCACCCCTTATTTAACTCCATATGTTCGGTTAGGATCTCTCCTTTTTGAGTGGAGACATGTTTCTTGCGCTACAAGGAGACCTATTACTAAAAGAGTGAATGTTTATGGTTGGGTTTTGGTTTGAAAACATGTTCATTGCGCTAAAAGAAAGCCTTTTGGCAAAGTGATTACATAGAGTTGATAGAAGATTTTAGCCGAACGCTTTGAATACATGAATAATAACTACCAGTTTTCCTAGAACAAACGATGATATAGAATATTAGAACTTAGTTATCAAGGATATTCTTTTTATTATGTGTTTAATTTGCTACAATCAATTCTTTATAATTGGTTATATTTAAGAGAGAATTCACTAATCTTCGGGTATTTTTTGTGGTTAAACTTATTTGTGCCGAGGGTAAGAACAGAGAGAAAGGACAAAAAAGATGAAGGTGCAAGATTTAAGTATGCATTTTCACCTTCCGATCGAACAAGCGGCGAAAGAAATGAAGGTGTGTCCGACTGTTATCAAAAAGATCTGTCGGGATGGAGGCTTAAAGAGGTGGCCATATCGTAAGGTAATTGAAAAAAAAAAAGACTATAAACAAATTTCACTTTTTATAGTTGTTTTGGCGTTCTTTTGAAGTTGAAGAATTGATTTGTTGATATGATTTTGTAGCTTAACAGTCGCATGAAAAAGATTGAAGCATTGAAGAGTTTGTTATGCACGGCTAAGTCCGAGGAGGTGAAGGCTCATGTTGAAGCTGAGATTGAGAGGTTGCAACGTGAAATCGAGACAATCTGTAGTGACGCACTCAAATATGCGAAGTAATTTGTTTTTTTTTGTTTTTAAATCTAAAAATTTGGGATTTCGTTTCTCTCAAGATTTTTGTCATTTGAGAAAGAAAAAAAACGTGTTGGTAAACTTAAGTTGCCTTTGTAATGGTAGCCAGTTGGTTGTATAGTGACGAATGTCACAAATATTTTTGAATTAATATATAATTAAAAGACGAGACATTATCATATTTGAGACATTATCATATTTTTGTTACGGTTTTGTTTCTACATTTAGTTGAAATAAAAAAATTTGGTATCAATTGCTTCAACATACAGTATATTTTGTTTTTACAAAACAGGCGGCTAACAGAGTCGCCCACAGTCACAGGAAAAATTGAAAATAGAAAACCATAAGTTTTGTCCAAAAAAAAAAAAAAAAAAGAAAACCATAAGCTGCTGATGTGTGGTTTTGGAAATGGACATCTTTATTTTGTGTACAATAGTTACTTAAGAGAAATCGAGTAAAGAAATGACTAATGTCCGTCATAAGACATAAATTGAAAACTATGTCCCGGCCGGGGTGATGGTTTTCAAACACCATCTGCTTACTAACGCGGCGAACCGACCAAACCTCATACGCGCGGACGTGATTACCACGTTCCTTAAGTAAAAACACAAAACCCTTTCTCTCTGTTTTGTAACATTTCTTCTTCTTGTACTCCCTTTGTCCCAAAAATACAGGGAAATTATTCGTTTTTTGCTCCCACCTCCTCTCTCTCACGCATGCAAAATCTCAAACACAGATACTAAAGTTTTAACCTTTTTGTTTACTCCGTACATTATTAAGTTTCACAGTACATCACTAAGTTGGAGGTTCTTGAAGACAACTTAAAGGAGTCAAGATGAGGATGAGCTGTAATGGATGCAGAGTTTTGAGAAAAGGGTGTAGCGAGAACTGCAGTATAAGGTCGTCTTTGGCTTGGATCGAATCCCCTGAATCTCAAGCCAACGCAACCGTGTTTCTTGCTAAGTTCTATGGCCGTACTGGTCTCGTCAACCTCATCAACGCCGGTCCGGATCATCTTCGTCCTGGTCAGTATGTTTCTACATCTTCTGATTCAAAAATCTAGTGATACGACTGTATCTGATAGTGTAAACTGGTTTCTACTTTGTCGCAGCCATATTCCGTTCACTGTTGCGCGAAGCATGTGGGAGGGTTGTGAATCCGATCTACGGTTCGGTTGGTCTATTGTGGTCTGGAAGTTGGCAGCTTTGTCAAGCCGCGGTCGATGCGGTTTTGAAGGGTGAAGCTATCACTCCGATCGCCACGGATACGGCGGCGAACGGCCAAGGTCCGCCGATTAAAGTTTACGACATTCGTCATATCTCCAAGAAAGAGAACGCCGCCGCAAATGGCTCGAGCCGTCATCGGAAAAGATACAAGACCCGACGGGTTAAAGCTAAACAGGAGGAGAAAGCTAACGAGGCTAGTCACGACTCGTCGCTGAGCCACCAGTCTGAAGATGAGACAGCGAATTTTCCGATCGAGCTGGAGTTGAAGCTGGGGATTGAACCGGTTCTTTCACGTGTTGTTGTGCCGGTTAAGAAGAGGAGGATGGGCGTGTTTCGCACGTGTCACGTGAAGAAGTATACGTGTAACGAAGATGTTGGACTTTCAAAGTAAACTTTAAGCTAAAGTATATAGACTTATACAGGCCCAATAAAACTCAGTTACCATATAAAACATATGTCATAATTTTATTGGATTGACAATTGTTGTAAGCGAGTATAAAAGATTTTGCAGTTTTCTTGGATTCTTTTTGATATGGCGTTAATTAGGGGTTTCTCTGTTCATCATTCGTTTCTTGATCTGTAAGTTTAGTCACTGTGGGTGAGTTATTATAATGGTATTACTATGTATATATATCAAGAAATGCATATAGTACAATCTTATTTAGGTTCTTTAATAATTATCATCTATGAGATTGCTAATTTGCTAGTTTCCATGAGCTGATGGTTTGTTTAAAATATGTATAAATTTGTTGAGGTTTGCTAAAGTAAAGAAGAAATAGTGCATATCCTGCTGCACAAGAACAAGTAAAATACTTATTCATAGAGGGAAGAGTGCTTAGAGATGAAACAACAATGGAGGCCAACAGAGTTTATGAGAAAAGTGTCATTCTCATTATGATGACCAAGGTGCGTTTGGATTTAGTAATGGAAGTTTGAGGTTTAGGATTTAGCTTATTGATCTTGTGATATATATGCTAATAATGTGAGCTGGTTCATGTTCCATTTTAGATGAGATTCTTGTACCTTTTGCACCTTGTGATTCTGAAATGCACTGTATATATTTAGGTGTCTGCTGAGTGGTATAACTTGAGGTTTATTTTAGGCTAACGCAGAGTCTCCTCTTCCAATATCATTTGTGTCCCGGCTTCTATACCAAAGTGAGTTATACAGTTTGGAATTTGAACGGTAGATATGGTTTTATATTATAGTTCAGAGAAAGTAGCTCCTTAGGATTTTTTTTAATGGAAACGATGTGATTCGTGAGAAGGGTGGTGTCGGAATCGTTCTTGGCTTGCAACAAGATTATACAGTTCAATAATAACATAACACCATTCTAAACCAAACTTGAGTTCTTTTTTTTTTTCTTTTCTCTTTTGGGGTCGTAAAGTGTGGTTACATATTGTTTTCCGATGGAGAATCAAATGTCTTGTTATGTTTACTTTTTGCTGTTTTACACAGTTGTTGGGGTGATTGATTTGTAGTACCTACCTTTCGTTACAAAAAAATTGAGTATATAATATATATGTGGTAGCTACTAGCTAGCTAAGAAAAAACACAAAACTGTTTACTAAACATTTTTTCTTACAATTTTTTACATTTTTTGGCTGTGTAAACAAAGCATTTTCCGATTATGATTATGTTTTTCCACGAAGCTACAGTATAATTATAGTTCCTTTGTTAATTTACAGTTTCTACACGCCTTTTGTATGATTGTATTTGGGCAAAACCTTTCTCTGCCACGGTTAAGACATGGGGAGGGGAGGAATAAGAGAAGTAAATATTCTTATCGAATGAAAAATCCATTATGTGCCTTCAAAGAGAATATAAGAAAAGCTCGAATATATATCACAAATTGATAAAACTATAGTCAAAAACACTCTTCCAAAGATTTTTTTTTTTTCACACGGTTTAAATTTGTGCCTTTGTAATAAGGGAAAACATGATGATCAAAGAGTCAAAGTTATAATTTATAGGGTTCTTACATTTTGTTTTTGTTGAAACAGTTATTAATTATAGTTTGAAATAAGTATGAGCCATGAGGATTGAGGAGTATAGAGTAGACAAACATAGTTTGTAAGTCGTAAGCTTATTGTCTTCATTTGATTTTCGATGAAAACGTATATAAAAAATTTTACAATGAAAAGATAAAACAAGGGTTACAAAAATGTAAAAGAATATTCGAAAGGGGGAATATATCATAAGAATTTTGGAAGATTTGTGAATTGTACTTGCCCATAGAATCTTTGCCGACTTTATGTTCTTTTGACTTCTCTACTTCTGTTTAGTTATTTAAACCTATAAAAAACAAAAACTTCCACACACTGTCATTATGCATGCATATAACTGAATATTTCATTTTTTATATATTAACATATAATGTAATACATGAGGGGATGAGCCAAAGATTGTTCTTCTGATGCTTCTGAAAGCTTTTTGTGGGTATAATAAGTTCCAACTATGCATGCATCTCAAGAAGTTAAAAAGCGATTCATTATTCGCCCTCTAGTAAAGTTTATATTTGATATCTACGTAAAGAAGACTGAACATTTTTTTTTTACAATTTGAGAACTTTTTTTTGCTTTTTTCTGTTTTAATTTGTATCCATTCGTGTCTTTTGGCTATTGGATAGTGATATATGTAGATAAAATGTTATAGGCATAAAATTCCAAAAACAGTCTTGTTCGAAAAGGACAAACATGATAATAGTCTTGAGTTCCACTTTGTAATGATACATTTTATAACAAGTGATGGAACAACACGAATTGCTTGGGATCAAATCAACTGAAACTCAACTTACTATCATTTAACTATTCATTATACCACGACTGCGCAACAAAACATTATTCTTTTGGGATAACTCTAGCTAGCTTCTTCTATGTTTTCATGTAAGCTAAGCAAGCGTGACGGTAATATTCCTTGCAATTATATGACAAAATAATAATTCCACGTGATATAATTCCTTTTGTAATGTGAACACGTCAATAATTACATTCTTAAAAGTTGAATAATAGTATGACGGGTTTGAAGTGGTGAAGATTCACCCACTTGATATATAGATCAAGGATCTATATTCCCATCTATACTATAGTCATAGATGCTATAAATGACAATAAAATCCGAAATTACAATCGGAAAATTCCATTTATTATATTTTAAAGTTGTTTTAAAAAAAAAAAATTTACCTAAATGAAAGTATCTTTGATAAATATTTTGTACAAACTTCTCTATATAAAGAAGAACTGGAATGAATCTCATATCTCACTCAAACCAAACTCGACCAACAACATTACACTTCATCGTCCAAAATAATAAAAAAAGAGTATGGCAACCATTTCTTTCTCTCACAACCAACAACCCTCAGACAACCGCCGTGGCGGATCCCACCACCACCGTCATGGCCCTGTCGTGGAAGAAATCGAAGGTCTCATCAAAGTTTTCAACGACGGCTGCGTCGAAAGACCTCCCATAGTCCCCACCGTCTCACCCACCCTTCACCCATCTGCCAAAGCCACAGCCTTCGACATCAAACTATCTAACGACACGTTGATACGTGTCTACATCCCCGAGGCCGTAGCTTCGCCGTCCGTTACTCTCCCTCTCCTCGTTTACTTCCACGGCGGTGGTTTCTGCGTTGGCTCTACCGCTTGGAGTTGCTACCACGACTTCTTGACCAGCCTCGCTGTCAAAACACGTTGCGTCGTCGTTTCGGTAAACTACCGTTTAGCCCCTGAACACCGTCTTCCGGCGGCGTACGACGACGGCGTTAACGTCGTCTCGTGGCTAGTCAAACAACATATATCTCACGGAGGATACTCTTCTTGGGTGAGTAAATGTAACCTCTCAAACGTTTTCTTGGCCGGAGACAGCGCCGGAGCCAACATAGCTTACCAAGTCGCCGTTAGAATCACCGCCAGTGGCAGATACGCGAATAGTTTAAACCTCAAGGGCGTAATCCTGATCCACCCTTTCTTCGGCGGTGAATCAAGAACGTCCTCAGAGAAACAACAGCAACATCACTCCAAGTCATCGGCTTTGACTCTTTCTGCCTCGGACGCGTATTGGCGCCTGGCTCTGCCACGTGGAGCGAGTAGAGACCATCCTTGGTGTAACCCTCTGGTCGGCTCGACGGGGGTGAAGTTGCCGACGACGCTGGTGTTCATGGCGGAGTTTGACATACTAAAAGACAGAAACTTGGAGATGTGTAAAGTGATGAGAAGCCATGGGAAGAGAGTTGAAGGTATCGTTCATGGAGGTGTTGGTCACGCTTTTCATATTCTCGACAACTCGTCGGTGTCACGTGATCGAATCCACGACATGATGTGTCGTCTTCACAACTTCATACATCCATACTAAAGACCTTTTTTCGCAACCTTTAATTAATGCTGGACGTCGAACTAATAATTAAAACTAAAAATGTTGTGTGTTTTATTGTTGATTATATATATAGTAAGTTGCTTTTTAGTTTTCTCAATGGATGTGATTAGTATAAATTAGTACGATTCCTCCTGTCATGTTTGGATCAATTATGTAATTGTCATATATATTTATATAAGGTTTTGGTTTGTGTTCGAATAGATATACAGTAAAACCTATATAAATTAATAATGTTGGGAGCATGAAAATCTATTAATTTATAGAGTTATTAATTTATCGATAAATTAATTTATAGAGAGATATTCCTAATTTGTAACATATTTTCAAAACAATATTTAAAAATAAGATTTAATCATGATAATTAGTATTTTATATAATCAATTACAAATAAAACAATAATTATTATGTATTAAAAGAGAATGCTAACTATATTTCATATAGTAAAATATTAGAAATAAAATCTAACAAAAACTAATGTGTCTATATATACATAATTTTGAAAAATTTACCTAATTATTAATTTATAATATTGATGGGACCATATATTTACAAAGGATTTTCAAAAAATTTATTATCTTATTATTTTATCGAAATGTGTCTAAAATTATACTGATCCCAAGTTGGGATCGGAAAAATTTATTAATTTATATAGATTATTAATTTATCGAGTATTAATTTATAGAGGTTTTACTGTATATAGACTTCTACTTTTATTTTATGTGCAGTTCTTTTTTGACTCATTTTTTTTTTTTTTTTTTGGAAAAAAAGAAAAGAAGTAGCAGCTAGAATCTACCTTTTGTTTTCTAACGTTTATATAATTTTTGTTGTCATAGTTGACTTTAATAACTTTGCCTTCGTGACAGAGACCCATACAAATGTTGTAGTGTATAAAAAAATATACTATTTCATACAATTTTAAGAATAATAAAGTTAACTCACTAAAATTTCGAAAATATTTTGGAATGTTAGCTATTTTTTATAGTAATAGTTACATGTGTTTAGATACTGTTTTTCCAAGAGTTAGGTTTACGTATGTTTCACACCAAAATATTTTGGAATCGAGTAAAAAAAATAAATGAGAATAAGAAAAAACCGAATTGACTAAACTCACACAAAAATATTCTAGAATCGAGTAAAAAATTTAAATAAGAAAAAGAGAAAAACGAATTGACTTAATTCATTAGTGTATGGTCCAAAATATAGAAAAGAAGATGATATTTATTCTTTTTGACAAGGTTTGTTCATATAGAGTGTTTAGCACAAATTATTATTTGATAACGAAAAAAACAAAGTTGGTATCAATATCAATAACTTAATTTCGATACGTGCAAATTTGTACACATATGTATAGCTTACAACACATTTTATTAGACTACTGTTTTCGACATATATGAAAATGCAGTGTCAATCCAATCAATATTAGACAATTCAAATAATTGAATGATTCATCTAACAAGTTTATAGAATCTGTTTAAGCATAATTAAATCAGCTCAGTTGCTAATGAATTATATATATGATGAGTGATGACATAACCATTTTCAGTATCCTAATTAAATTACAAAAACAAATGATCAAATCAAATTTTTATGGAATCACATCATTATATGGAGTATCTATGTACAAAATTATGTTAAAAAAATATATTTCTTCAAATGATAATCGTTATTTTTATTAGTTTTAATATAAAGATTGCAAAAAACTGTTGGAGGACAATGATTTTTATGGAATCAATTAATTGGACTAAAAGTATAAAATATATGAGAATATTGGTGAAGTTTGTAATTTATGTTAAAATGAAGTCTCCAGAGCAATTAGAGTCTCTCAACATCGGCTTTCTCTCTTTCCTTACTTTTTCTTCATCAGAAAAATTTTAAAACCCAGAAAGCCCTAAAAACCAAGCTCTCTCGCTCTCGCTCTCGCTCTCTAGTTCAGTCTCCAGTTTCTCACTTCGTGTGCTCACGCCAAGGTTATCGAAAAAATGTCTGTACGAGTTCTGAATCCTAATGCCGAGGTTCTCAACAAATCGGCGGCGCTTCATATGACAATCAACGCCGCCAAGGGTTTGCAGGATGTGCTCAAGTCGAATCTCGGTCCTAAAGGAACAATCAAGATGTATTTATCTCTTTTTTTGACTTATTTGGATCTATGTTCCATTCTCTTCATTTTCCTAGATGTTGTTTCTTTTGGCTTACCTTCCGATTTGTTTCTCACTTCGATGTAGGCTTGTTGGTGGTTCGGGGGATATTAAGCTCACCAAGGATGGGAACACGCTTTTGAAGGAAATGGTTAGTTTGAGAACATAAATCTAGATCCAAGTGATCTGTTTGATTCAAGCTCTGTATTGCGTTTTAGTGGTGAAAGGGTGCTTAAAAGCCCGTGACTTGTGTCATGTAGTATTATATTCTAGGAGGATTGTTTCGATATTGATTCTGGTGTGCTTCACAGACTAAGTATGATTTGATTGAGTACATGTTGACTGTAGACGTCTTTCAGCAGGATATATTAGGTTGAAAAATATATAAGTTTTTAGTGTTGTTCACATGACCAATGTGGGATTCTGATTCGGTAGTATTGGGATAGAGAAGAAAGACGAAAGCCTTAATGATAGTGTCGCCGTCTCGGATAATCTTTGATGTTAGTATGGTTACTGGTATTGCTCTCAACGGAGTTATCTTGGTTTTTCATGATGCTTACACGCTTGTATCCTAACTGTTGCAGCAAATTCAGAATCCAACAGCCATTATGATTGCGAGGACAGCCGTGGCACAAGATGACATAAGTGGTGATGGTACTACTTCCACTGTCATCTTCATTGGCGAACTTATGAAACAGTCTGATCGCTGCATCGATGAAGGTAACTCCTTTTTTAGCTGAAATTATGTACCTTACATTAATTTGTAAGAGTTCATTAGTTTTAGGCTCCGCTATTTTTGTTTTTATTTTATTTCTCATTCTATGGGTTGTGGTTAACACATGAGTGTGGACCAACAATTTATATTCAGCGACATAGATTTGCCAAGCTTTGTTTATATTGGTTATATAATATTTCACAACTGGTGGCAGTATAAAATGATATCTATTTTTGTAGCCAAATCTCAATGAAGGTTTCCACATGTATCAGGTATGCATCCACGTGTCCTAGTTGATGGTTTCGAGATTGCTAAAAAAGCTACTCTTCAATTTCTTGAGAACTTCAAGACCCCTGTTGTTATGGGTGATGAAGTTGATAAAGAGATGCTGAAAATGGTTGCCAGAACAACACTAAGAACTAAGGTATTCTTCATTTCTATGCTTTATCTTTCTTATCAAATTATTCTTCTTTTTTGCTTTCTAATATTGATATATTCTTGTGGCTTGTCTAGTTGTACGAAGGTTTGGCTGATCAACTGACTGACATTGTCGTTAATTCAGTGAGTTAACCTATCTCTATTAGAATCTCATTGTGCTTTTCATTTTTTCCCCACTCAGATGTCTTATATATGCACCAATATTGGTTTTCGAGCGCTTGTTTGTTTTTTAATTATATGATTTCCGCATATTACAGGTTCTCTGCATTCGAAAGCCTGAGGAAGCTATTGATCTGTTTATGGTGGAAATAATGCACATGCGTCACAAATTCGATGTTGACACACGATTGGTATGTCTTGAAGTGTGGGGTTTAATGTAAAATAGTTCCCTCAAAAACTTGTAGGTTTATTTATGAAAAACTTGTATAGAATGAGATACATTTTTTTCTTTCCGGTTATGCTTAATTACGTTCATAGTTTTGGACCTGATGCAATTATTGATTCAATCCTTTATTAGGTTGAGGGGCTTGTTCTGGATCATGGTTCAAGACACCCTGACATGAAACGACGCGCAGAAAATTGCCACATCCTAACTTGTAATGTATCATTGGAGTATGAGAAGAGGTGTGTAATATAATTCTTTGGTCAATTCAGTGAAGAGAAAATAAGAGCATGTATGTTTCTGGCGATGTAGACTAATATATATTTTTATCTGTCAGTGAAATTAATGCAGGATTTTTCTACTCTAATGCGGAGCAGAGGGAAGCCATGGTTACCGCAGAAAGGCGATCTGTTGATGAAAGAGTTAAGAAAATAATCGAGCTGAAGAACAAGGTGGGACTGATACCATTTCTCCCAGCTGTATATTCTAGAACGTTGTAAAAATTAATAATACATGTTTTATTTCTTGTGCAGGTGTGTGGTGATAATGACAACTTTGTTATCATAAATCAAAAGGGTATTGACCCACCATCACTGGATCTTCTTGCTAGAGAAGGGGTAAGCTACTTCTATTTTTCCCTGCTTCCACACTAAATTAGAAATAGCTGAAACTGTTTTCATCTGATATATAGAAACAATAAGAAGGATGCTATATGTATTGTTAACTGAACTTAAATTGACAATAGAGTTAAAAGAGCAGTTCCTTGGCCACTGACTGCGCTTGTCTCTTCTTTTGTACGTAAATTCTCTTGTTTAGAGGTTGTTAAATCTAATTACCTTTCCTCATGTGTCCAGATTATTGCTCTTAGGAGAGCAAAGAGGAGGAATATGGAACGCTTAGTTTTGGCCTGTGGTGGAGAAGCTGTGAATTCTGTTGACGACTTGACCCCTGAGTCTCTTGGATGGGCTGGACTTGTCTATGAGCACGTTCTTGGGGAGGAAAAGTACACCTTTGTGGAGCAAGTGAAGAATCCTAATTCATGTACTATCCTCATAAAAGGTATTAGGCCGGCTTCTATGTCTTCATTAAGTATTGAAGGTTCATTCACTCTTGTATTAGTTTTGGTGTTCATTCTTGATTTCTTTGGTTTTCTAGGGCCTAATGATCACACTATTGCCCAAATTAAGGATGCTGTTCGTGATGGTCTAAGATCAGTCAAGAACACCATAGAAGATGAGTGTGTTGTGTTAGTAAGTGCCTTACTAAATCTTGAAGCATTTAGTTGTTAACCTTGCTTTCTGTTTCTCTGCAATGCAAATAAATGGTTAATTCATGATTAAAACCATTAGCACTTAGCATGTAGACCTGTTGATATGTTCTTTGTTATGTTGATGTGCGGTTGCATATATCTTTAGGGAGCAGGAGCTTTTGAAGTTGCTGCAAGGCAACACTTAATCAATGAAGTCAAGAAAACTGTTCAAGGGGTAAAATTGATTATATTCGTACACTAATTCTCACTACACTATTAAATGCATATAAAGTATTCTAAATTACTAATACAATCATGAACATTGCAGCGTGCCCAACTTGGCGTTGAAGCTTTTGCTAATGCCCTTCTCGTGGTACCAAAGACACTAGCAGAAAATGCAGGTCTTGATACCCAAGATGTGATCATTTCTCTTACGGTATGCATTCATCTTTCATATCATCAGCAAACTAAAATCAGTTGTAGAAGGAACACAGATTTATAATTGCTAATTGTGATACTCTTATGCAGAGTGAGCATGACAAAGGGAACGTCGTAGGACTGAACCTTCAGGACGGTGAACCAATTGACCCGCAGCTTGCTGGTATTTTCGACAATTACTCAGTGAAACGTCAACTTATTAATTCAGGGTAATGTTCTATCCAACCCAATATAATAAAGTTTTGGGTTTTCGGTTGAAGTCATTTCAATAGCCGGGCTATATTTTTTTGCTGCAGGCCAGTGATTGCGTCACAATTGCTTTTGGTGGACGAAGTGATTCGTGCAGGAAGAAATATGAGGAAGCCTACTGCTTGAAGTTCTTTGTTTTTAACTCGCTTTCTTCTTTCTAAGCACCTCAAATTTTTGTTCCTTGGTTTGAATCCTGAATGTTGTGAATCCTATGTCTTTTTTACTATGAGAATCATCTTTGAACCTGATCTCTAGATTTAGTGGTTTTTTGCAAACTGAGAAAAATGGGAATACAATATCTATTACTTTCCTTAAAGTGATCACACCCTTATTAAAAAGAAAGGCAACAGTTAACGCATGAAAGGATCTATTTATCCATAATCAACAAGAAAGAAAGCAACGACATTGTATTGGTCGGACTTAAATCTCTTGTTCGACAAAAAAATCATATGGCCGAGGCTGAGACTTTACCCTCTTCCTGAAGCATATACTCTCTTTTCATTTCTTCCAAGACATTATCATTGGTGCTGCAGAATCAACAAAAACTTTTCATAGTTAGACAACATTTAAGCATCACCCCAACACGGGAGATATTCATCAGGGTGTCACCATAAAAGAGCTTGTGTAACAAGAACAAACTTTATACTGACAGTGTTACACCGACAGAGAACACAGACACAGTTCTTCCATCTCTTTAATTGCAGTAACAAAGAATCATCCCTTTCTTTAAGCTTATATCTGGTTACCGATATACTAGCATATATCCTAACCACAAGTTATCTCATTTTATCATACCAGACTTACCAGAGAAGGATATTAAGAAAAAACAATCAAGATCCGATGCACACATACTGTACACAACAAATCTATAAATCTAACAGTGAATGCAAGATGACATCTTCAAATAGGAGGAGGAGCATTAAGATGTGAGAACATACAATTGATGGAGGCAAGTGTTGAGCTCTTTAGCTTGCTTACGACATGTCCATACCACAGAAAACGTTCTTCCTGTTGCGCACTGAGCATACTTTGAGACGAACTGATCACATTCCATCAATGCCTTTGCCTTCATCTTGCTACGCAGCGCTATTAACAAAGTAATACATAATCAATCAAACAACCTTGTATCACACCACTAAACGTAGGAAGCAATGACAGCAGCTAGATCAAACCAGCTCAGATGCATAAAGGGTGATAAGTTAAAAGTGGACCTAATCCTTCTACACCAAGTGAGCTCAATTCAAACTAAGAGGTAGATGATAATAAACCAGGCTTAAAGAGTATCGATCTTAGACCATTTTCGAGGCAATCAAAGACAACCATTTTGGGGGTTTAGGGTTTAGAACATAACGAGATGAAGAAGATGCGACATTGTTAAATTACCTTCTTCGACCTTCTTCTTGACGTGATTCTCACGAGCTTTCTCCACATAGCTCCCCATTGACGGACCTTCGAGCTTTTCTCCGGCCTTCTCCGATCAAATCGATCAAGAGGTCTAAAATGGGTTCAGGGCAAAGGGTAAATCTGTCAATCCCCTTAGGAAACTTTCTCTTTTTTTGAGCATTGTACCCCTCTAAAAACAGCTATATTATACACCTGACCTCCTAACTTATGTTTTCTTTATATTTCACCCACACAAATTAAAAATTACCGAACATTACAAAGAGAGAAAACATAAGTCATTAGGACGGTCAACCATGTAACACGTGTCGCATACTAATTGGGTTTTAACGTTTTCTCTCTCCTCCAGTATAATACACACGGGGTGAGTCTGTCTCCCCAATTTCTCACTCCGCTCATTTCGCTTCGAATTCAAAAGCCCTAATTCGAAAATTCACAGTTTCACAAGGTTAGGACACGATCTTTGTACTTCGACAATGTTTTTTTTTCTCTGCCAATGTAAACTTTTGATTTTTGTAATTTTTTTCTTTAATTTTTCCCTGCTATTATCTTGTTCTTCGCGTTTTCGTTGTCACTTCGAGATCTGTTTGATTCAGAGTTAGTTCTATCGATTCTTACTCTACTTTTTTTTTTCTTCTGTACGGTTTGTTTTTGGATGGATGTAGCAGTGTAAATCGTTTGTAAAACTGTGTTCTTGGGGTTCGTAGGTTGATTTGTTAGAGATAAGTTGTTTTCATATCTCTAAAATAATGTAAGATTGTTGCAGCATTACTAGGGAATGGTTTAGTTCGTGTACTTTTGTTTTTTTGTTTATTGCTGCCAGTTGATAATGTTCTTGTTTAACAGTTTTTTCTTAGAAGAGTTTTGCAAAGATGTCTTCTGATTTGTCCCGGGAAGACAATGTGTACATGGCCAAGTTAGCGGAGCAGGCTGAACGTTATGAGGAGATGGTTGAGTTCATGGAGAAAGTTGCAAAGACTGTGGACACTGAGGAGCTTACTGTTGAAGAGAGGAATCTCTTGTCTGTTGCCTACAAGAACGTGATTGGTGCTAGGAGGGCTTCCTGGAGGATTATTTCCTCTATTGAGCAGAAGGAAGAAAGCAGGGGTAACAGTGATCATGTTTCGATTATCAAGGACTACAGAGGAAAGATTGAAACTGAGCTCAGCAAGATTTGCGATGGCATTTTGAATCTTCTCGAGGATCATCTCGTTCCTGCTGCTTCCTTGGCTGAGTCCAAAGTCTTTTACCTCAAGATGAAGGGAGATTATCACCGGTACCTTGCTGAATTCAAGACTGGTTCTGAGAGGAAAGAAGCTGCTGAGAGCACTCTTGTGGCCTACAAGTCAGCTCAGGTTACCATTTTAGTCATTTGTGTTCTTCTTTCTTTAACCTATAGAGTGGTAAGAAAACATGTTGACTCAAGCTTCTGATTTTTATCTTTTTATTTAGGATATTGCTCTTGCTGATCTGGCTCCCACTCACCCAATCAGGCTGGGGCTTGCTCTTAACTTCTCTGTTTTCTACTATGAGATTCTCAACTCATCTGACCGTGCGTGTAATCTCGCTAAGCAGGTTTGTGTTATTTTCTTATTTTGTTTATGGTTACGCTATACTTGTATCTACTATTTTTAGCTAGTAAACCTATTCTTCCAACTGTTCTGCTTGATAAAACTTAGCACATACAAAGTTCTTTGTCTGTCAATGGTCACTGTGCTCTTGTATATATGATCTTCTTGTTTCACTGACCTATAGGATTATACTTAATTATGATGATTGAGAAAGTAAAGCCTGCAAATGTTGCCTTAAGACTGACTAAATCTGGAAAACCTTCACATTCTGATTCTAGTTTTGATTCAAGTACCTTTTTGTTCACTAACCTATAGGATTGTAGTTAATATGATTTTCATGGTGGTAGGCTTTTGATGAGGCAATCTCTGAACTAGACACATTGGGAGAGGAATCATACAAGGACAGTACATTGATCATGCAGCTTCTCCGCGACAATCTCACCCTCTGGACTTCTGACTTCAATGTACTTGTCCCTCCTTACACTCTTCATTGTTGGCAATCTTTTAGTGATTGCATCAAGCAACTAAGATTTCTGTTGATAACACTTGTGTCTTTTCTTATTACTTCCAGGACGAAGCTGGTGATGACATCAAGGAAGCCCCGAAAGAGGTGCAGAAAGGGGAGGAACAAGCCCAACCACCGCCTTCGCAGTGATGAAATCAAGTTCATGGAATGATTTGCAAGAAAAAAAAATGTATGGCTTGGTTCTGTGTGTTTTAAACAGAAGAAAGAAAACCTCGTAGTTTGCTAAATCATGCGTTTGTAGTAGTAGTAGTATTAGCAGCTGCAGGATTTGATTCTATCCATGGAGTAAAACTTTTGTGTGCTTCTCACACATTTATGTTGTTGTTGCCACTTGATTCTCTTCTTAAGAGTTTTGTTCCATTAAACGAAATATAGATGTTCATCACACAACTCACCACAGAACTTCCACCAAAAAAAAAAACTCACCACAGAACTTTAAAGCCTCTCTCGGTTTGGATCAGCTATTGTCTCTTGACACACCCTTAAAAGGTTGTGTAGGTAAACATATAATGGAATTACAAATCATAAACCTTAAAGTTGTGTAGCAAAAAAGTTGGATTAATATATAAAAGAGCTTATTAGTTACATACACGGGAGGTATTAATTGGTCCAAAACGAATAATTAATCACCCACCTAATGACACATCCACTCACATACAATCTCGAAGTGAACAGTGAATCCCACCGAAGTGCCCTGCTTTTTCCTCTTCTTTCCACTCACTTTCTTCATATATATATATATCTCTACCTCTCTCTCTCTCATTGTCTCTCTCACTTTCGTCTCCATCCATGGTTTCAACTACTTCCGTCATAGCCTGGTCATTACTCTTTTCTCTAACCTTGTTTTGTTTCTCTGTTTTCTACTATTTCTGTTTCTGACTTGAGTTATATTGCACCTTCAATTTGATTTGTTTTGACCAGGGGTTCTGGAGAAGACGGGCAACTAGGACTTGGGACTGATGAAGAAAAGGAATTGGCTTGCGTCGTCGAGGCTCTTGAGCCTTTCACCGTTCGCTCCGTCGTTGGAGGTAGTCGCAATTCCCTCGCCATTTGCGATGATGGCAAGGTAACTTTTCGAATTCACTTCCATTGGTTTCTTTTTTGGTGGGTTTTGCTTACAATTTAGTAAAGTTCAATGCTTTCGATTGATCTGCGATTTGATTCTAAGTTCCTGAAGATTTTATTAGGTCGCTTACAAAGGGTTTTTGAGGTTTTTGAGATCTGATGGACTAACCAGGAAGGGTTAAAGTCCTTGTTTTATTTCTGGTTCTGTATCCATGGAGTAGTTTATGATTGGTTTGGATTCATGTGGCACCAAAGTATAGAAATGATAGGATTTTCTTTTGCCTGGCAATCGCTGAAAGATTTTTGATTTTGATCCTCATTTTGGTTTTTTGTCAATCTGAGAATACATTTTTTTTTGAAAAGGGAACTTAAGGTTTCTCTTAATGGTTTCTCAGCTGTTTACATGGGGTTGGAATCAAAGGGGTACATTAGGACACCCACCAGAGACTAAAACAGAAAGCACCCCTAGTCTGGTTAAGTCTCTTGCCAACGTCAAGATTATTCAGGTAAGAAATACTAACAAAGATCAAGTGTTTTTTGTTATTTGCTCTAATACTCTCTTCTCGTTGTGACTTACACTGAATGATGTTTCTGTGATGGATCGTAGGCAGCTATTGGTGGTTGGCATTGTTTAGCTGTCGATGATCAAGGCCGAGCATATGCTTGGGGTATGCATATTTCTCTTATCTTCTTCCTAATGGTTGTGACCTTAAGATCTTCAAAGCGACAATTATGTACCTTTTTCCTTTGAACCTACTTAGGTGGAAATGAATATGGACAGTGTGGTGAAGAGCCTTCCAAAGATGAGTCAGGTAGGCCAGTCCGGAGGGATATTGTAATCCCTAAGCGCTGTGCCCCGCAACTTACAGTCCGACAGGTCAATTATGCTGTTAAACTCTCTGAATTTACCATATACCTCAAATTTGAATGCTCTTTATCCGTCTAAACCATCTTTTCTCTGGTTTTTATAATTAAAGTAACAGGTAGCTGCAGGGGGTACTCACTCTGTTGTTCTAACCCGTGAAGGTTATGTATGGACTTGGGGTCAACCGTGGCCTCCCGGTGACATGTATTAAACCAAATTCCTTTCATTTATGGATTTGACATTGTTTGTCTGCTGCTAGTAATTGTGAGATCTCCTATAATTTATTCGATTGCAGAAAACAAATATCTGTTCCTGTAAGAGTTCAGGGTCTTGAAAACGTTCGTCTGATCGCTGTTGGAGCATTTCATAATTTGGCTCTGAAAGAAGATGGGACTTTGTGGGCTTGGGGTAATAATGAATATGGACAACTTGGAACCGGAGATACCCAGCCGAGATCTCATCCTATTCCAGTACAAGGCCTTGATGATCTCACTGTGGTATGTGGTCTAAAATTTCTGGTTTAAGCACTTATATTGAAACAGATGCCTTCCGATATTTAAAGTTTAAACTGTAAAGGCCTATGTTATATCCGAGTGTCTACTATGGAAGCTTAACTTTCCCCTGGTAAATGCATGTTTTAGGTTGATATCGCTGCTGGTGGATGGCATTCGACAGCATTAACCAATGAAGGAGAGGTATTAGAACTCATTTAGTTTCCTACTATTCTAAAGTGTCACTCATGGCTTGGTTGTTTCTAAGGTTGATGTAGATCTTAATTGTAAAAATGTTGTGACTTGGCTATATCCAATATTAGGTCTATGGTTGGGGAAGAGGAGAACATGGAAGACTCGGATTCGGTGACAATGACAAGAGCAGTAAAATGCTTCCACAGAAAGTTAATCTCTTAGCTGGAGAAGGCATCATTCAGGTAAAAGCAAAAGCACCGATTTCCCTACTTTTTCGCATAACCTTGAAAGGTCTTATCATTCTTTTCTTCTCAGGTCTCTTGTGGTGGAACTCATTCAGTCGCTCTGACAAGAGACGGTAGGATCTTCTCGGTAAGTCCTCTTAACCTCCCTTTGTGATTAAAACAAAAGTCGATCTCTCAACCTCTCTCTTATATCGTTTCTTGTGATCAGTTTGGCCGGGGAGACCACGGTAGACTCGGGTATGGAAGAAAAGTGACTACCGGACAACCATTGGAGCTTCCTGTAGACATTCCACGGCCGGAAGGACAGTTTAACCACGCCGATGAAGAAGATGATGGAAAATGGATAGCTAAACATATAGCTTGTGGCGGCAGACACACTCTAGCTATTGTGGAATGGAAGTGTGATCAGGAGGAAACCGAATAACCATGGAGAAGAAAGAGAAAGCAAAGACACAAGAGGGACTCTAGAGAGAAGCATTTTGTTATAGAGAAAAGGGGAGCAAAAGCAAACCGTTAAGCTTTTGATACTCCCATCCGATGAATAATTAATTTTTATGAAGAGGAAGAACTAATGATATATTATTATTACCCATCTCGTTATGATTTTGTTTTTCTGATTAATATAGAATAGGTAGAAAAGAAAAAAAGAAAGGAGAGAATCTTGCAAACACAGTTAACTCTTTCTTGTTGTTGCTTGATTCTCTTGGGTTTAAGGTTTTCTCAACAACCTTTGACTAGATGAGGAACACAAACAGGGAAGATGTACTTTGATTTTCTTGCTTGTCTATGCCTGGATCTCACCCATGAGAAACATCCTGTTCCTCTCTTCTTCTTCTTCTTCTTCTTGTTGGTCTTCTCATCTTGTTCTTCTTCTTCACTCATCTCTTGCTTCACTTCTTCTTCGTCTTCTTCTTTACTCATATCTTGCTTGTCTTCTTCTCTCTTTTGCTCCTCTAAATTCACATCCTTCAAAACCCCAAATAACGCTTCATTAACATACATTGATATATATATATATATATATATATCTTAAGAAGAGCTAGACTTGGATTTATAATTTGGTTCAAAATAATGTATTTTCCTTTACAAGTCAGAAGTTATTAGTCTAGCTTTTAGACAATGATTTGCAGTTTAAGGTCCAAAAACCAGCAATTGTTAATACTTGTAAAAACAACATCGATTGTCGAGACTTAATGAAACAAATTTCTTAGAACTAATCGTGTTTGAAAAACATGAGACTGCTGTCTGCAACTCTTCATAATTCTATAGTGCCTTATCGAGTTACAAAGCCATCATGATATACCTCAGAAGTGATTAATCATAAAGTCCCCATATATAGATAGATAGATAATGTATAGAATAAGGATGTAGTCACGTGTGAGTTTGGAGACAATAATCACGAAATGGGGTCTCTAAAGACTTTTCAAGAAATAGTTGTAGCATATGATTTATACGTGGTGTTTCTATGATGAATACCCTCCTCACGTCACGTATAGAGAGACTATATAGACTGTCATGTGTACTATGTTTCATGTATCATGATTTTCAGAATCTTAATCTTTAAGAAAATGAAACAATGGTAAAATGTAAGGTTATCTACAAAAACACAATAATACAAAGAGTTTTATATCATTGTCTCTTTCTAGGAAAAACATGTGGTACGATCATTTGCTTGATGCTTTTCTTATCTTGCGAAAGAATCTCTAATTATTGATGCACGAACTATTCAAACTTTTTATTCAATTATTATAATTTCTCCGTACCTTTCCATGGACCTCCCATGCTAGCGACTATATACAGTATAATACATTTCCGATTTTATTTTATTTTTTGTAATTTTTTTTTCATTTTTTTTCTCTCTCTCTCTAAATTATATTTTGGACGCAAAAATCAAAATCGATTTTTGGTATAGACCCTTGGTTAAGAAAACTTAGGTCATCACTTTTTTGAATTAATTTTATATTGATTCAATAGTATCAATTTTTTTTTAAAAAAAATATAGTTCATATAAAGTTAATAAGTTATAAACTAAACTATTGAGCTTGGATCAATCAGTTTTGGCTATGTCTAGTTTTTTTTCTTCCAGTTCAGTCTACTAATTATGAAATTCTTGCATGGGTCAAATTCAAGAGTTATTATGATTTTTATCCCATCATTAGTAAAGTCAAGGTTATATATATACCTCTTGTTGACCTTCCAATTTGAGATTGAAATCAACGGGCGAATCATCAGCTCCCACGTGTCGTTTCAACGACCGTTCCATGATCGGAGGCGTCTTTGCCGGACTAGGGCTACCGGAGCTAAAATCCACCGACGTCGTACTCTGAATGCCCACATCTCGCTTCAGTCCCACAGCTTTCTTCTCTGCTGAAAAACACCCCCCAACATTTTCTTACTATCAGAAAAAACCCAATTAAGAAAAATTAACTTATCACAAAAAAAAAAAAAAAAAAAAAATAGTAGAAGGGCAGATTTAATATCAATTACCTAGAGCAAGAAGTACGGGATCAGGAGCATAAAGATCCTCGTGGATGACTCTAACGTCAGGATTATTAATTGATTTGTTTTGACCAATACTCATCAATGGATTAGGGAAAGGCAGAGGAGCAGACATGGTGGATAAGTTTCTGAAGGATCTTGCACTTAATGTCTTAGCAGACAAGCACTCCATTGGTACTTCTCCAGACAATGGGTTGCAGATATATTTCTCTGCTTCGTTCCACTTCGAGTTCAACGCAAACCCTTCTTGCGCTAACCATTCTCTGTTACTATTATACATTGTCTTTGCTTGTAACGCTACGATAAATCAAACAAAAAGAAATAAAGACAAAGCACATATTGGAATGAACATTACTTTTTCTCTGTTCTTTTGTTTCGAATTAACTAAAAGGGTTGTATCAAGTTTCGAGCTTTATAACTAATTGTCAAAAGCCAAAAAAAAAAAACTTACCTTTAAGTGCATTGGTGAAGGAATATGTTGAAGGGTCAATCTCTTCTGTGATAAAAAGATGATTTGGAAATTCAAAACATTTTCAAAGATAGGATTGATAAACTTTGTTAAGATGGAAACTGTCAAAGTTTAAAACCTTTGAGAGTGTAGCCAGGAGAAGAGGCAGTACTGCAGGAGATGTTGTTGAAGTTTGTTTTGGAAAAAGACTTGTGATGATCTTCTCGGAAGCTTCCAATGTATGAAGCAGAGAACCTTCTAGAACTCGGGTTTTCGCGGATTACTCGAGCTCTTCTATCCCATTCTCTTAGGTTCATAATCTCAGGCTCATCTCCTCGCAAAGCCATGGAAACGAAATGTTTCTTCTTCTTTTTTTTAAAAAAGCCAAAACTTTTGAGCTTAAGGAGGGAGGGAGAATGAAGCAATCAGGCAGCACCTATATAAAGAATTTTTTTTTTCTTTTCTTTCTGAAAAATAATAATTATTTTTGTTACCTTATCTTTATATATATTGAAAATTTTAAAATATTTAAATATATATATATATAGGAGAGATTGTTAAACGAATTGACTGCTTGCCCTGTGTTTTTTGAAATACAGTATAGCAATTTTGTTTTTTTCTTGGGTGTAATCCATTTATAGGAATCAAACTCACTTGGCATTTTCTGCTATTTTGTAGTATTTTTAAAACATATGGTCCTTCTTTCTTTTCAAAGTTTTGAGTTCAATTTCCTGTTCAAAACATATTTTTAAAAACTGTTTATTTATTTAACATCTCATATACTATGTTATATACCACAATTATGTGATCCTTTTGATAATTTAATTAACCCAAGAATCAGATTGTATAAACTTAAACTTCTCTTCGTGATAGTTACCAAATGCAAGAAAAATAAAATGAACGAATTGTCAAACATTAGTCATTATCATGTACTGTACTAGTCATTTTCGTGTTCATTAAGTTCTTTATTTAAATTTTAGTTCGTGGGGATTATAATTTTCAATGTATGACAGTAGTAATACTACTGGTACGTACACTATTTATGGAGTTGAAAAAAATGGCACAGATTTTGGAAAGGTGGACACAAGATCTTTTATGAGTGGTTGGTTAATAACCACATGCAATTTCACCTAATATAATAACAATGTTCAATTGAAATGAAATGTTGAAATCTTGATGTAAATCTATATATAAATAATATGATAGAAAGCGACTTAATATAATACTCACCTTTGTTGGTTGATACACATTGAAAGGAAAAACTAATGCAAACTAGTTTTTGAGTTGTCGTAGTTGGAACCGCTTTGAGTATCCAACTTAAGACTAGCTTTGTTTGTTGGTGCATTTCCAAGAGAATTACGAATCATCATTAAAAGTTCCGACAATAGCTTACCTATGCTGCTCACTAAGGTGAATCTGTCTTAACCACCATTGCCACCAAGTAGTTGCAAACTAGAAATTTTTTTTTAGAATGAAATGAATTGAATTAACAATTTATTACAAAGATATATGTTTACAAATTAATTACTTCTGAAATAGTACTCCCATATGTATAGTAACAGCTAGTTATTACTTATTAGCAGAGTTCCCACAGTAACAACTTCTATGAGTCTTGTTGTGTGAAGATAATGAAAAAATTCAGACCTAACGAAAAATATTGTTGGCCAACGTCTGAAAAATGTGGAGATGGACCAAAGAAGAGATGATGGCACATGGTATAGGAGTTGGCAGAATGTGGAGAATGGATAGGATGATATGGAGTTTTATATATAATAATAATGGTTTAATTTTTTGATTTTCTTATAAAAAAAATGTAAAAGTGGTGTATAGAGTGTTGTACTGTTGTTTTCAATAACATGGTCTTATTTTGTTTTTGATATTTGAGGGGGTGTGATCGAGTCGAGTGGGACTCTATATAAGAAGGAATCTACAAATAGTGGGTTTTTGAGTGGGTTTTTTTTTTGTGGTCGTACACATATCAATATCCATGTCCATGTGAATGTCACATTCATCATTGTTGTACATGTGGTGAAGATGACTAACTTATATATATGTAATTTATATCTTCTTCTTCTTCTTTTCAAAGCAAGTCAAGCTCTTGAATCTTCTTAATAACTATCTATATCTATGGCTAATGGCTGTTTAACATTTATATAACGAATTAGTATAAATACATAATCATCTAACATCGCTTTTGTTTATAACAAAACACTTATAACTTAATGTTATAAACTCTATAACGGAGCTAATTAGTATATCTTTTCGGATTGTAAATAAATCTTTTGAATCTTAGATGATTGTTTAAAAGTTGAGTGTCCAAATGTTCAAATGTAGTCAAGTTATATATATCAAAATATGAAATGGTCCAAGCTAAGTAGAGAGAGAGTTGCATGCAGTATTGGCAGATTGCAGATAAAAATAATAATAATAATAATAAATCCGTGGTTGTTATATAGTTTTCACAAACTTTTGAGTTTAAGGAACATAAAATTAAAAACTGAACCGGATGAAAGATGATTGAACCGGCCGGTTAAGGAACTAGAAATTTGGATGACCCACAATAGAAACTAATGATTGTGGTGGGCGCAGAAGATGCATGCAAATGTAGGCATCACTTGTGACAGGTGAAACAAAATTGCAATTCATTTATTAAATATTTGTCTCTTCTTTTTGCAGATTTTTTGATTATCATCATTTAAAAAAAATAAATTAAATTAAATTACACACTTTTGTTCTTCTTGATTTTTGTTAATATTCTCTCACTTGTTGTCTTTACTTTTGTCTATATATATTTTGGTTGTTCATCTTCAAAAATCAATTTTAACCACGAAATTCAAAATTTCGAGCAGATGGTTTCTTTTTTTGGAGGGTTGCAGTACAAATCATGGCAATTTCTCTTTTTACACTTATAGGGTAAAGTATTTATGAATCACTTTTCCAATGTGACCAAACTAGATTTATTGCAGGAGATATATAAATATATGTAGTACTTCTCCATGTGAAGTCTTCTTCTTCTTTTTTCTTTTTTTTTCTTCTTTAAAAAAAACTCCATATGATCATTTGAAAAATGTCTTTCAAAAATTTGTGAAAAAAAGAAAGAAGAAGTGATAACACACCAAGGAAACTACATTGAACAACAAAAAGTTTAAATCCCATATAATTAAAAAAATAACTACTCCATTAATTTTGACCAAAAAAGAAGTACCTCCATTAAAATTTGATATTTATGACTAAATAATTAGTGATTAAAAATCGTTGTAAGAAAAAAAAAGTTTTTGTTCTTTTAATATTTGTAACTTAATAATCCAAGAAAAAACTTGGTGTGACTTTGTAAACAATTAAGGCAGGCCACACATAGTTTTAGATGTCTTGAGCCCATAAAAGCCTAATGAGTGAACGTTCAATAGCCCATATTAATGCCTGATTGCAAGATTAGACTTTGACTCTATTACATGTAATGACTAATGACTTTAGAGAGTAGAGAAACCAATGGGCCAATGCCTCAACACATGAATATGATGAATTAGTTACCTTTCCAGTATTATTAATGAAACTAATCGCCAACTTTGAAATCTTGTAATTTGATGAGACAAATAGTTTTCACTTTTCAGAACATCTTACATGCACAATTCGATAAAGAAAAAGTTTCTCTGTAAAGTTTTTTCAGAAGGCTGTAAATAAAATATCACAGGGTAAAATGACTTTAGATAGAAAGTCCTATGATTAATAACTAGAGAGATCCAAATTATTAATTATAGGACTTTTTATCTAATAATATTTATATTTACATGTATCAATAATATGAATATTGTATATGAGGGGTCCAAATTTTTATTTTTTAAGTCACTAATTCCAAGATATCGGATGCTTCATAAAACAGAAACTAATCACACCATATAATGAAGTCTATAATCAAATGATTTTAGTTAACAAAGCTAAGTATACTTACAAAGCCGAAACTAGTACTTAGATGCGTTGAACCGTACAGTACTGTTTTTAATTACGGACATAATCTTTTGATTAATCCAAGGCAAAGATACGGGTCTAATGAATGATACATAAAAATGATGTTCAAGTTCACTGTTACTATCTCTAATCTATAGTTATTGATCATCAAACATATCAATAGGAAAATAAATCAGATCAATATTATCAAGGAGACAAGATAAACAAGGTTGTCTGGATTATGCCAAACAAGAAGCATATGCAGTCCACGCCTATGTCACGTGAGGTTGGCTTCGACTCTTCTTCTTTTTTGCTATTGTTCCTTCTTCTTCTTTTTCTTTTTTTTCTTTTTTCAGTTTTGATTTCTTTAATTTGTTTATTCTTTTTCTTGTTTAATAAGTACAACTATTTGGGAATTTTTAAATTACAATGGGGTTGGAAAACGAGGGAACGTGAACTTTGGAGACAACACAACTTCAAGTCTTGTCTCTTTGGTTGATTAACCTTTTTTTTTTTTTTTTTTTTTTTCCTTTTTTGCTTCAAAAACATTGATTTAATGATAATTTTTTGTAACTAATTGGTATTACATTAGTATGTTTGCTTCTTCTTTTTTCTCTATCTGAAAAGTTAAATAGAATTCTTAGGGTAATTTGAACGTAAAGCTGATTGAATTTGGGGATATATATATATTCAACAAAAGTCTTGATGAAGAAAAACGACCCTGCGACGTAACATCTAGCTGAGATATGTCCATATAATAATTTTGAGTTATCAAAAGAAATATATATATATATATATATATATATATATATATATATTTTGACCAAACTAATATATATATATATATGAATATATCTGTATTTTTCCGTCCGTAAGTCATAGAGTTCTGTCTTGAAACATGGCATAGAGGAAATAAAGCTAGTGTGTGGTGACCACTAATTAAACAGTTCCCGTATTCTAAGAGAGCTTTAGTATTTTAAAAATGTGATTAACGAATTAACAAACAAATACAGTATATGTATGATAATTTAAAGAGGCTAAGTTGTATGGTTTAGTGGGGCTTTGAAGCAAGCAAAGGCCAGGTTCAAGTTATGTTTGATTGCATGGTGGAACACGAGAAAGGACATGTGGGATATTGTTTTTACATGAGAACTTGGTTTTGATCATTGTTTTAGTTTCTTTGATTGGAAAATTAAAGTTGTAATCACTAGTCAGCCCAAGTTCCAATTTTGTTGGGTTTGGTGAAGTCATTGACATGTATTATATCCATTTTATTACAAGTGTTTTTTCACATGCATTAAAAAACAAATTACTATTTTCTTTTTTTGGTTATATATTTAATTATTTATCAAAAATGTAACCATGCATGCATGCCGCAAGCTCCCTCTATATATACACACCTCCAAGAGTAACTCCTCCATCAAATCAGTTCTCTTCTTCTAATATCCATAGCCGATTTCATCTATAGCAGTCTAAAGCTACCATTCTTCTTTTTATAGCTTACTCTTTAAAAGACGAAAACAAGTCTCTTTTTCGCATAGAATCAAAACTTTCTCCCCTGCAAGTTTTTTTTGTTTCACCATTGTTATATCAAACGGGTTATTAGGAAACTTGAAAATGGAAATGAAGAAGGTCATGATGAGCTCAGAGAGATCAAAGGAGAAGAAGAGATCAATAAGTAGAAGGATGGGGAAGTATATGAAAGAGCAAAAGGGAAGGATCTACATCATCAGAAGATGTGTGGTCATGCTCCTTTGTTGGCATGACTGACTAAAAAGAAAAATGTTTAACTGTGCTAAGTCCAAATGTATGTGTGCATGTGGTTTAGTAAGTGATCAGGGAACGAGTAATTTATAGCTAGGGGGGAAACCGGTTTGCTTGGTTTTATTTTGTGATCATCTACCAAATTGTACATATAATGACCTCAACCGGTCGAGTCGATGGTTGTTTTTCTTAAAACTAATGTTATTCTATGCAATGGTTTAGATATTATTGTGTGATTCATTAATGGGTAAAGAGTTATAAATTTCTAACGTATTAATCTGTTCATCAGAATCAAGAGACGTATAATCTCATTAGATTTGGATTCAAGTTTCATATTGATCAATACAACTAACATGATTACTTGGTTAGTAAAATCCCGATAGATAAAGTCAAAAGGTTCCAAAACTACTACTAATTATGAATTACATTAAGATCATAATTACTATTGCTAAATATACACAATACAAATTTTCAACTGCAAATGTACACTATACAATCTTTCAGTCCCTTATTTAGTCGTCAAAGATAATGACCTCTTCTTCAAATATATGCTTCTTCTACCGCTTGCAATACCGCATGATTCATCATCATCACCATCATTGGAAGAGCCCTCTGAATGAGCGAGCAATTTTCCCTTTTGCTTCCAGTCCAAGTTATCATCATCCGTGACATCATCATCACCACTATATTGTTGGTCCCTATGGCTCTCTTCTTCTGAGGACTCATCGTGTGGTGTTTGCAAAATCGTGACACTTTCGTTCTCCCTATTTCGGAAAGAGAAGCTTCTAGAACCTCCTCCGTACAATGGAAGAACATAATCTTTTGACTTTGACTTTGACTCATCTATGTCTCTTCCAAGGCTATAGGTCGAACAGAGTTTCCTGTTCACATTTTCCCTCTCTTGAACCAGATCACCGATTTGATCAACCATGAATTCATCAGCCTTCGATTCATTCTGAAGTTTTGTTATTGATTTATCGATTTCTCTCTTCTTCCTGTGCAGCAAACGCTAAAAAGAGAAAAACTGACCGTAAGATACTGGAAAACAGAGATGCAAGAAATGAGGTAAGATACTTGTAACATAAGCTAGGGCTTCTCACTCTTTTGTCCAAGAAAGTACTGAATGGACGTCCTTGAAGCTTTTTTTTCTTCCAGAATATAAAACAGAACCTCACAAGAGCCGCAAATATGATCATGATCACAAACTCGAAGAGTATAAACCAAATTATCGCTCTTTCGTTACCTTCAACAAAAACATGAAAGTCATTCTTAGAGATATATGAACGTTCGATAAAAATATTTTTGAGGACATTGGAACATAGATTTTCAATTGTGATTAAGCTTACCAATGTAGATATCAAGATGCTCAGGTTCTGCAAACGAACAGCTAGATGATAGCTTCTCATGTTTGGAACGACATTGAAATGGATTGCCACGATTAGATGCAGCAACGAAAGCAAGAACAATCCTCTCGTCCAACACAAAATGTTGTAGATCTTCATCTAATAACAAACCTGCAATTTGATCTGATACAAAGACCATTATTTTTTTTCAAATCATCGAATTTTTTTATATAGTTTCTTCTAATAGACTGAAACTACTATATAGTTTCTAATAAACTGAAACTAGTCTTAGTTAAAACATTTGGGGTTTACCAGAATAACTCTGCGACCAATGGATAGATTTTGCCTCTGGAACTACAAGTGAAAAGACCGCGGTCTCTGGTTTCTTGGCCGACACATAAGTATAATCTTCAATGACAAGGTCGAGCTTTCCTTCTAGTTTTGTCTGAGAAACATAAACCGCATAGCCGGAGCAATCGAGTAATGGCTCTATTTGGATTACTGAATCTGTTAGTGCGTTTTTGGGTATCTTATAAAGCTCCCCTATTCTTGAGAAGGAGTACAATGACCCATCTAGTGAACCAATCGATACCCAACCTGTGAAAAAAAACAAAAAATATCAGCTAAAGAGATCGATCTTACAGGTGATAATTAATTATCTGATTAGGTTCGTTAATGAAACTGACTGTTTGAGTCTATGACAGGGTCTGAACCAGATGTTTCTGCTAATGGACCGACAGTATTTTGCCACAAAATGTTGCCGGAAAACGAATCTAACGCGAAAACAAGCGATTTCATAGGGAAAACGACGTAGACTAGACCGTTATTCCCCGGTGTAACGGTGAAGAAACGATCCACTAGAGTAAAATCTTGAATCCATTGGTAGTAAGTGCCACGGAGAGATAACGAGTAGAGTTCCCCTTCATTGTTTGCAATCTAAAGAAGTGGAAACAGAGCAAAAATCAAGAAACTTAAGCATATGATGAAACGTGCAATGGAGCGAGCAGAATAACAAGAGAGCTTACATAGATGCTTCCTTGGCAAGAATCAATCACTGGTCGAGAATCGAATGTACAGTTATCGTAATCCTTTCGACATCCTAATCGGTATCCGAATCGTTCGGTCTTAGGCTCTGCAATCCAGAGTTGCTGCCGAAGCATATTATAGGCGTAAAGACCATGATTCTTAACCGTGATGTAAACCGAAGAACTCGATATGCTAACAGCGAAACCGAGGATCGTTTCACCGGGATCGAAGAACAATTCCGGTTCGAATTTGGTTCCGTTTCTTGGGAAATTAACTCTCAGGATTCGATTCTCTGCAAGAACAAGCATCTACGTACAAAACAACCATCACTTTGAGAAACAGAGGAATCAAAAACAGAGTGATTGGTTTCATGGTTTAGGAGTACCTGGTTTAAGCCGGAATAAACCGGAGGAAAATCAGTGTTACATTTGAAATTCATATGTACCGACCAAGCTATTGAACCATTAGACTCGAAGGAGAAGAAGTCGTTGTCGGAGCAAGCATAGACTCTACCGTCGTCTCCGATGAGTGTCCTCGACAGAATTCGAACAGATTTCTTCTCCGCGATTTGGTCTTAAAGAGTTCTCAAAGAAAGGCTATTAGTTTCGAAAACTGTCAAAAATGTGGCGGGAGAAAGGAATTACCTGATAATTGAGAAACCACGGAGAAGACGAAGAAGAAGGGTAAGGAGATGAAAACAGATCTACAGGTGAGCATTGTTGCAGAGACGTGAGCCATAGATATTACGTTTTTTTCTACATCACACACTGAGTAAGATCAACTTAACACAGAACGACCTCTGTAACTTGAGATCGACGTAAAGCATTAGAGAGGAAGAAAAGTTTTAGAACCGAAACCACCCACATGGAACCGCCAATTATGCTTGCGACGGTTTACTACAGAGTCACACACTGTGCCGTTTATTGATCTGGAACAAGAACTGCAAGCCGTTTAATTCCCATTAATCCTCTAAATTCGTAAAGAGTCATTAATTCGTTAAATTTTAATTTCCCCATCAGTAAAACATGTGAACATACCAATCAAGCTTATAGTAGTAGTTTTTTATTCAGACACTTGCGGCCAACAACAATTTAAAAAAAAAAAACACAAAGGTCGTATTTGTGTGTTTGTAATGAAATCCCTAGAATACAAAGGGAATGAGAGCCTTGACATGCTTGGGGAAGTCATCAAACTTGGAAAGATACCAAGTTCGTGTAGCATAACTCCGACCGATGAGGTAGAACATTGTTCCCATGGCGAAAGAAAAGGAATAAATGGTCTGAGAGATGAGAAAGAAGCTCCAAAACACAAGGATCTCGAATAGATAGTGAGGGCATATGATTATATCAAAGAGACCTCCTTTTGGTATCTTGTACTCTTTCTTCCCATCGTCACTCCTTAGCTTAGCCAGCAGAACATGGTGATACAGATTCCCAACAATTCCCACCACGAACATTACAATCCCGGCGAGTTTCATATCGAAACTTGGCTCCGTAAGCCCCAAGGTGAGGTTTTGACTGTATAGCATCAAAACCGTGGATGAGAAATAGCTGCTACTTATGACGATGGCCGAGTCTACAGCCATCCCACCACTGTATTTATGTATGAACAGAACCTGTTCGATGAAATGTGTCAGAGAGAAACGAAGCTACTGCTATACCAATTCATAAAGAAGATAATAACAAATCCTAATCAAACCCAATAATTAGGCACCTAACAGGCTTAAATGATGATAATTAGGCAAGTATGTGAGCTAAGGTTATTCAATTACGAATGAACATAACTTGTTCGATAAAATGCGTGAGAGAGAGAGAGAGAGGAAGCTAAAGATTTGTTTACCTCGAAAACCCTCTTGAAGAAATGGAGGGCAAGAGCGGCTTTGAGAAGAAGGAACCTAAGATCATCAGAAGGTAAGACGAAGAAAGAGGCCGAAGCAGCTAAAAACGCAGGCGTGTATAACCAAAGCATTCCATTTCGGCTAGAGATGCTCCCCAATGGCTGCTTTTGTGGTTTCGCTGTTGATGTTGACGATGCGGCGAATTTGGAGTATTTGAGATGGTTCCCAGTCACTTCAGACCAACCGATCTTGGCTAGAGCGACTAATCCAACGGCGCTCATACCATTCAGCAATATCGACGGAGGCGGTGGATATACAAATCTTGTCACCATTTCCATTTTTTTTCTTTGTTTTTCTCTTTTGGAACCGGAAGAAGAAGAAGCTGTTTTATGCAATTTTGGATATGTTTTGTTTGTCCTCTCCAATTTCCCCTTCTATTAATAGCCACAAAAATATTATGAAAAAATACTTGACAATTAAGGAGGCACCGACAAGAGAAACCATATTCGGTAAAACGTGTATAAAAATATATACATCAAAAACAAAATTAATTATTATAATCAATATTTGTTTAGAATCAATTATAATAAAAACAATAATCATCATGAATAAATAAATTACTATAAAATTTCGATACATAAAATTTATTAGAATTGAATTTTAACAAAAATTAATGTAAATTTGAGAATAAATAATAACATAACAGTTATATTTCACTAAATTTTTTATATGTATATAGATATATATTATCATTTTATATAATTATTAATTTATAGTATTATTGGGACTATATATTTATAAAGAATTTTTTAAAAAATTATTGTTTTATTATTTTATCGAAATGTGTTTAAAATTATACTGTTTCAATTTGAAACTGAAAAAAATTATTAATTTATAAAATCTATTAATTTATGGGTGTAATTCTTGTCTTTACATCTAATTATTAGTGATCGTATTAACAAAAAAAGCTTTATATAATGTGAATTCTGACTTGTGAAGTCTTTTGTGTGAACGTTTCTATTTGTGGGTGTAATAATGTAAGTCTGACTTTTGAATCTAATGTGAACAATTCGAAACATGCCGTTTTGCCTGTTTTAGTGGACGGATAACGTCCACGTGGTGTTTCCTTCAATGCGCAAAACACGTCGTTTCTCCGACGAAGAGAAGGACTACACGCCGTTCAACTGAAATGTTCATCCCTGACGTCGTCATTGATTTTAAGTTCCGTTTTAGTTTTGATAGCCGTAGCGCCGTTTCTAGGAGCAACATGTGTTTGTCTGTTCACTTTATCTTTTGAATTTTCTTTTCCCATCAGGTAGGTGAATTGTGTACATACTATATGAAAGGTGGAGTATGCTGTAAACCTTGTGAGAAGATGAATTCCACTTCTCAAACTTGAAATCCAAACAACCTACTACACTGTATGCACAGTTTTCCTCTGCTCTACATATATACTTGAAACTTTTGTTTATATAAAAACACTACAGTAATTAATCCTAAGTACATTAAATAACTTCTTACACAACAAGCCTATACAGTTACAGAGACACAGCATTTCCCCCCCCCCCCCACCCCCAAACAAAAACCTCTCCTATTATACAACAAACCAAGATTTCCTACAGATTCAAGAAATTAACAAAAACATCTTCTTCTTCTTCTTCTTCTTCTTCTTCTTCAGGTTCATGCATGTATAGGCTTCATCTAGGACCAGAGAGCTCCATTGCTTGCACCAGTAAAGTGGAGTCATCTGTAAGATCAGAGTATCTGTCTGAGGATGAGATTAGTTCATTGATCCTGTTGCTACATTTTGAAGTACTATCTGTTCTTTGAGAAGCTTCCCATCTCTCTGCCAGTCCATCTCCTTCCAGCATTCGAACAACTTCAGACATTTTCGGTCTGTGTCCTGGCAGATACTGTGTGCACAACAAAGCCACTCTTACCATTTCGTCTAACTCTATCTCATCATAGCTCTTCTTCTTCAACAACTCTTTATCTACAAGTTGCTCAAGTTTCTTTTCTTGATGAATCTTTTTAACCCAATCAAGCATCACACCTTTCTGGTTCGCCGCTTTACCAAACTCAAAAGCTCTTTGTCCCGTTACAAGCTCAAGAAGAAGAATCCCGAACCCAAAGACATCGGTTTTTTCAGAGGATTGACCAGTTGATAGATACTCTGGAGCAATGTGACCCACCGTGCCTCTAACCGCGGTTGTGACATGTGAATCTTGATGATCCAAGAGTTTAGCTAAACCAAAGTCGCCAACAACAGCTTCACAGTAGTCATCAAGAAGTATATTCGCTGCTTTAACATCGCGGTGGATAATCTTGGGATCACATTGCTCATGGAGATACACAAGCCCTCTTGCAGCTCCTATCGCTATCCTCTTCCTAATGCTCCAATCAAGAACCGGTTTTGCTTTCATGCGAGATGCAACGCTTCCATTAGACATGTAAGGATAAACCAGAAGCTTCTCTGCTTGTGTAATGCAGAAACCGTAGAGTCTTAAGAGGTTTCGATGAACAGCTAAACTGATCATTTCGACTTCTGTCTGAAACTGTATCTCTCCTCCTAATGCTCCTCCATCTTTTAGTCTTTTCACTGCAACCACGGTACTGTCCCCAAGTATTCCTTTGTATACATTTCCATAGCCACCTTTCCCCAGTAAGTTCTTACTGCTGAAGTTATTCGTTGCGATTTGAAGCTCCCGGAAACCAAATCTCTTCAGGTTTCCAAGTGAAACTTCCTCATGATGATTCCCATCTGATGGAACATAATATATAAACTTTCTTTAAAATGAATCATTTTAGTTAAGAATGTTCTGTGCTAGAAAGAAACTGAAAAGGATCGTACCCTTAACATCAAAGAATGTGTTTTGGTTATGTCTTTGTCTCCACCAGAGAAACAACCCAACAGCAATGAAGATCAATGATACAGTGCCAACACTGGACCCAACCGCGATTGCCATTTTGTGATTCCTTGATCTACTGGTGTATAAAGGAGCTTTATAAAAAGAAAAGAGTTGTTAGACTTAGGATTTCTCAGAATACCAATATTGAAGGTTTTTCAAGTTAGTTAGTTAGTTACCTCCAGTTGCATTCAAATTCATAGACATTGGTATCAATGTAGTTCCATTGCAGTCTGGTTCAGTCCCCGTGGGACAGATCAGCGGGTTCCCAACGATGCTGTAATCAAAAGGGAAACAATGAAAGGGTTATCATAGAGATAAAAGAGAGAGTGGAAGTGTTAGACATTGAGAGTGGATTAATCAATCACCTAAAGGTCTTTGGAGCAAATCTTGGAACTGGACCACTGAGATTGTTGTATGATAAATCACTGGGAAATAATAACAGATCAAGTAAGTCTATACATCAAAGTACATGTTACTAGCAAGTGGTTACTGGTGAACATGAACTAAAGATATAATTAGCTTACAGGAAGGCAAGTTGAGTCATATTGGATAGTGACAGTGGAAACACTCCAGAGAGAGAATTGTTGTTAAGCCTCCTGATGGATACACACAATGTAACATATCATGATCACATATTCCTTACAAAACTAAGAGATCCATAAAATAAATGTTACTAATCTTACAGGTATTGCAGGCTTCGTAAATAGCCTACTGAAAAAGGAATTTCACCGCGGAAGAAGTTGTCAGAGAGATCAAGAGTCTCAAGCCTCGTAAGCCGACCAATCTCAGCAGGAATTTTTCCTGTAATGTTATTGTTCTGCAGTAGCCTTTAAGAGAACAAAAAAAAGAATAATCATCAAGTACAGACACAAACACACAAAGTGTAATCAGTGTTCAAAATTTTTGTAATGACAACATAACACAGTAATTAGTACTCACACAATCCGAAGATTAGTTAAGTTGGTAATGCTTGGAGATAATGTACCAGATAAATTCTGACTAGGTGTGCCCCTGTTATAAAATTAAAACTTCAGATGAACATGGTTTGCTCATCAATATAATAATAATAATAATATGAAATGTTAATAATGTTGAAAACTTACAAGCCAATGACAAAGTTTTCTGAAGAACAAGTAACCATAGTCCAACTACAAGGATCAACAGCATCTCTATCCCAGTTGTCAAGAACACCATGAGGATCATGTAATGAAGCTTTTATGTCCATCAAAGCTTGCACTATAAGAATCACACATTAAAGCTCATTAGATCAAGAAACAACAAACAAACACACACATATCTATATGTAAACGCAGCTAACTAGAAAGGTAAAATTGAAACTTAAAAAAAAAAAGGAGTTAAATTACCTTCAAAGTTAACTCCTTTAGGAGAAAGCAGTCCGTTTACAGAGCAGCTGGTGAGAAGGCATAATAAGAAACCCAAGAAGCAAAAGAAAGATCTTGTTATCATGAGCATCATAACTATAGTACTCTCCATTGTTGAAACAGAGAGAGGAATGAGCAGAAAACAAGATGTACTCAGCTTCCAGATAATTTGGTATTTGATGGAGAGAGAGAGAGAGAGAGAGGAGGAAAAGAGAGATTTGAAGAATCAAAAAAACCAAATCTTTTTATGCCTTTTTTTCTTGCTTTTTTAAAAATTTGGGTTATAAAAGTACTATAAACAACATTTCAACATCAAGAAAATATTGCAGAAGCAAGAACCCACTTCACCAAAAGCCATAATCTTTTGTTTAGAAAAAAGAAGTTTTTTTTTCTGTATGTCAGAAAACAATATAAAAAAAAAAATATATATATATAACCAGATTCATTGGTAGTATAAAGTGAAAATTCATAGCATGCTTGTCGATAAAGCTTGTGTGTGGGGAGACCGTTAAAAAGAAAAAAAAGAAAAAGAAAAAAGTAATACATAATTTGATTTAAAAAATGTTAAATAAATAAATATATATACCCATATTCCTGTAATCGACAAGAATAGTCAGTAAAAAAGCAAATCTAATTTTGTATATTCAAAAATTAAAAAAGGGTAAAGCAGGAACTTAAAATACTGTTCTTTTGCTAGCTGCCACCCTGTCATGTTTTTTGTCTATGGTTTTTGGTTCTGGTTTTACAAAAAAAAAATAGCAAAAAAACAAATATATTTGTTGCATTTCACATATAACTAATTACAATATCTAGATTTTTAAAGTGTAGAAGTATGATGAAACATAAGTTTTTAAAAGTTTCAAGGGTTGATTAAAAACTAGAGTATTGTTATGTTTTCAATCCACCATAGTTAACTGATGGCTTGGTCATTCATAAGCTTTTATCAATTCCTAGCTCAGTATATACATAAATATCTTTGTACATGTAATCAAAAACATTTGGGGTTGTGTTTTGAGAATGTGAGAACTTCGATGAGAAGATTAATTGATTCTATGAAACCAATTAAAAGAAACTATATATAGCTAGGCTCAAGATGATAGTATCATGTTTTCTTTATTTATTTATTGATTTTGTTGCCTGCCCACTCAATTTTCAGCATCTTTGTCTTCTCGATGTGTGGAAAATACGAACATCTTACATATATATGTATACCACATTACAGTAGTATTTTGGAGACTCAAGATAATATCAACTCTTTTATATAAAATTTAGATCTTAACAGCCAGAATACTAAACTTTATCCCACTCCTTTTCACTATTTTACAACTACAAAATCTTACATTTACTAGTATTATAATTTATATTTGATAGTTTGTATTTGGAGTGTACTAATAATATATACTCACTCCTACAAGGATATATAATGAGATAACACAGAATCCAAGTCTCTGAAGAGCATTACAATTTGTCCAAAGCGAGCGTCGTTTTCATGAGTTTTTGTCTATGAGTGAGTTGGCAGTAATCTTATGACAACCATTTGCATTTGTTCAAAGTATCTATTTATACTATAACTCAACTACTACTACATTAATTCGTGGTCGAACAAATGTGGTTTAGTTTAGTTTAGGTCATGTACTCATGTCTTTTTCTGTTAACCAAAATATTATTTAGTTAGCTATATCATTCATTAGGGAGTTTTGTTGGTTTTCTTAGATTATTGAAGCTTATCTGATCATTATACGAGACCATTTCAGACTATATATTTGTTTTCTTTTTCAATAATGTAGCGCACACACACTAAAATGAGTTTGCAAGGTGTTATATATAGTTCGTACATCATTCATTGTTATCTTCATCGATGCTGTACCGACCTGAAGATTAACCAAACGGAAAGAAACAAAAACAAATATTCTAAATTTGTGGTGAACAAATAAAATAAAAATAAAATTTCCCTTGTTCAAGAACTACTCATTCCTAGTCAAGTTTTTATAGTTTTGGTCTCCACGTGACACGGTTTCTTAAGAACTCGATTTATGAGAAAACAATCATTAATATTTAATGCTTTATTTTTTCCTTAGTTTGATTTTGACGTTTGATGGAAAATGAGTTCTGTGCATTCAAGTAGGAAAACAATAAATAAATGAAATAAAAATCAAAAAAAGTTATGAAGATTACAAAAACATGACATGAAAGATTGTGCAGAATGCAAGATATAGAGAAAAATATGGTTCCCAACTTGAGTCTAGTCCTATATGCCTAAGTTGGTTTTATTTGTCTCAACTTCAATACTGTTCTGTTTGGGAGATTAACTGACGATGTTATATTAGTCTGTTTCTTTTTCTTGATTACTAACTACAATCTTTGCACATTGTTTAATTTAGTTTAAAATTTTGCTACATTTTTGTATAGCTCAAGAATCAAGATTAGATACAAAGATGATTTTATTTTTGTGGTTTTTGAGTGATCTAACTCGCTTATGAGAATTTGAACTATTTCTGCCATTTACAGCGATTACTTTGTATATATATATATTTGGCAATGTTATATAATACGGTACACCCAATTGTCTAAACACTTTGGTTTTTCTTACTTAGAGTTTTGTATTTGTCTTTTTAACTCACCTAATTGTCATCAACGTCCTGGTGAGACGAGACCCGATATATATACTAAGCTATATAAATTTTTTGTTTACATCCAAAGACAGTTTTATATGCTTGATTTTAACGCTCAAATTAAAAAAGATACTTACAAGTTTATATGGAAGCTTTTTTCTTTATTTTCGAATCTTATAAACTTTTTATACACTCCTAAAGTGGACTGTTCATTAGGAGTCATCAAGTAGACAATTACAAACATTTTATAATCATATTGTTTCAAAATCATCCGTTGAAATCATGGAATATTGAAATTATTTTCGGTTCCATCCGGATAAAATTTTCTCAATAATTGTAATTGCATGGTTTATTGGAAGGAATATCATGATTATAAACCATGTCTTGTCGGTCCATGAAAATGAATCGTCGAAGCCACTTTCCATCATTTCCTTCCTTATCTTTGTGATTATTACATCAAAGCGTGACATTATTAGTTAGTTACTTACTTTACCGTTAATATTTCTTATCAAAGAGAATTATCTCTTATTATAAGATCACTTTATATCATGTTTGTATGATAATTTTTTATAAACTACTTCTTTTTTTTAATGATTTTTCATATAGATATTTTTAAAATCTGTAAATTTTTGTTATACTTTCTGTTAATACACCAAATCATTTTTTCTAGTTAGTAGAGACTAGAGAAGTATATGTAGTAGAGACTAGAGAAATATATGTTTGAATATATAGTTGATGCAATACCCACACAAATCATCACGAAAGATTATAACGAGATTCTGTTCCAAATATTAAGGTTATAGTAATTTCTGAGTCGTGACATGAGGAGTGTAAAGATCCAATCTAATTATCCACACTTCATCACGATTTGTAAATTTGTTTGGTTTGTGGTGTAATACAATTATTTTGTTATGTTTTGTGAAGCATGTTTGGACCACACCCCCAACCTTCCAAATTAGTGGTTTTAAGTGCGGTTAACATTTTTCTTTTATTTTATTCAAAAATATTTTAAATGTTTTAAAATTATTTCTTCCATTCGAATAGTAAAAAAACTCATTAAATTTATATATCATATTTATTATATATAACTGTTATATAAGTTTTGCATGATCCATACTAACAAGTACGTAACAACACTAGCTCAGATTGTTTACCATAGTCGGCTTCTTTTGAAGCAACCATTAATTCGGGTGTCACCCTTTCAAAGTTTCAAACCCTAAATGATAAATCAAAATCTTATTACAAGTTTCAACTGTGAATTTTCAAAAAAATAATTGTGGACAAAATCATGACCATTGGTTTTGGATGTATCATGGGGCAACTGTGTTCATATTTCTCTTTGAAATATCTACATCATGTGTTTAATGCTTCTGGATTCACCCCAACACACCAACTACTACTACTACTCCTATTCAACTATTCCTTCTTGTGTTTTGTTTTGTTTCAACAACATGCATCATGGGATTTAGTTTTAATTATTTGTTTGGTATATAAACAAAAACACATCAACATTTCATTTTCATCACTCAACATTAAATGCCACGACATTCTAACAAATCATCTTTCAACCGAAAAACCTACCAATTTTTTTAAAATTTGATTTTAACAACCCACTTGATGATTACATGCCATGTTTAAAAAGTTCATTCCATTCGTTGTATTTTGTAGATAATTAATCATCATATTTTTCAAGCTAAAAGAAAATTATACACGAATCTTAGAATCATGACTCATCCATCTATTCTATATATAGAGCTCATTCAAATTTAAATAACTTGATGATCAATGCGTAAATATTAGATTAGAGTAGTTGCATAAACCAAGGTCCCCAAAATCAAGCGGGGTAAAGCGTGCCTTAGTGCTTACACAATTGATTTTTTTCCCTTTTTAAAAAAAAACAATCTTTCTAATTTCCTTTTGAAGCTTTTTCCCGGGAAAGTGATAGAAACTTTGTCTCCTCGTTTATGAAAGTTGGAGGAACCACCTTTAAACATAGGAAATATGCTTAGTTGTTCTCTTTCTTCTAACTAAGTTGCGACCCTTGAGCATATGGCTTTGCTTCTTCGTAAAGCCGGAAACCCGCCGGATGAATCCAAGGGTTTTGAAACGGTCCCCTTTTGTTTAAACAGCAACTAATCATAGAGGCATCATGACACATCTCTCTCTTCTTTCTTTCACTCTTTCACTTTCTTTTGTCTCATTTCCTGGAAGAATATCAATTAAAGGCTTTGGCTTTTTATGTTGCTTTGTCACTCTCTCACCGATCTGTTCCTCCTCGTTCAGTCCTTTTTCCTCCACACCCTCTCTGCACAAAAATTCAAAACCACTTTGCAGGGATGATGCTATTGACAATGAGAATGATAACGGTGCAAGGTTTCATACATCCACATTACAGATTTACACATCAAGATTCAACCATAACAGATTCGATATACACCACGACAAAGATCATCACTACAATGCAATAGCCAATTTACAAAGCAGATCGTGCTTTTGTGGTCCTGTTTCTCTTTCAATAATCAGAACCGAACAAAGACTATGGAAAACTATCCCTGAGCCTCTTTCTCTATCTGATAGATTAGTACCATTGGTGTCTATATCTCTCTGAGGCCCATGAATGGTTTACAAAAGGCTTGGTTGATTCCCTGCAGGCTGCAACAAAAGTGAAGCCTTTTTTTGGGTTTTGGCGCATCATTTCCTTCTTCTCAAGTTCTACACTAAATAATGAGACTTTCATATACAAACATCTCATCAACATAGGTCATCCAATTTTGATACCATAAACACTTGGCAATGTCAAACACAGGTATTTGATCAATGGGCACTAACACATTGGTACATAAGAAATTAAAAAATGAAAACGAGAGCTACAGACAGATCTTGTTGATAATACTCAGAACAATCCATCATCCATGGCAGAGCCAAGAAGCACAAGATGATAATCAAGTGGAAATAAAAGAACCAGAGTACCTTGAAATTATTTTGCCAGTGCACCAGGTTGATGAAAACAGTTAACTGGTGAATGGTAAACACATGTAAACAAAAAGGAGAATTTCTGGCCAAAATTTTTGAAACAAAAGCCCAGAAACAACAAAACAAGACTTGAGGGAATGTAAACTTAAACTAGAGCTAGGCTGAAGCAGCCAAAGGTTTTTCTACAGCAGATTCATTAGGTTTCATGGAATTGAAGAGTTCTAGAACATCTGGATTGTTACGGATATAGTTTGGGCACAAAGAGAGTAAATCCTGTGCCTCACTGTGCCTTGCAGACTTCAACATTGTTTCGAATACACGCAAAACCACTGACATAGATGGAAAGTTCTTCGAAGTCATAGCTTTCATAAAACCGAGAGCTTCCGTGCTTTTTCCTGTTGTTGAGAAGTAATTCATGAAAGGGTCAATGAAAGGAGGGAACCCGTGATCTTTCATTATCGGTAGAAGACTCAAAGCTTCTTCAAACCCACCATCTCTTGCAATCTTCTTCTTCAACAGATTCGTCACCAAGATTTTGTATGTGCTATGACAAGGTTTCAGCTGATTGTGTTTTACTTGAGCACTTAAAAGCTTGTATGCATCTCTTGCCTGATTCTTGTTGCAATAAGCAAGAACCAACTTCTCAAATGCATAATCAGCAGAGGAGACTCCTGCTTTTCCAACCATTTTCTCAAAACACACTAAAGCTTCATCAAATTCCCCGGAATCACAATACCCTTCAACTAGAGATGCCATTGCCTTGTCATCTAGATTATTTCCAGATGCTTCCATAAAGACTACAAATTCATCAGCTTCGTCTTTCTTCCCCTTATGACTTAGACTTGATGCAATCATGCTCTGCAGATCACTACTAGGAACATAGCCTCCTTTCTTCATTTCTTTCAACACTTCATTGCTCTGTTCAACCCGATCCACGCTTTTTAAGGACTTTAAGACAGATTTTAGCAAGGAATCCGTCAAAGAGTTACCATTTCTGGTATAAGCTTCCACAGCTCTTGAAAACAAATTCATATCTAAAATCTTGGCAGTGACAATTTTCTTGAGCAACAGACAGAAGCAGTGAGGGGTGGGTTGGTTACTACTATCACCCACCATTGCAATCTCGAATAAGTCAACAGCTTCCTTGATCAATTTGGTCTGGCAGAACCTCGTTGAAACTCTAACATAAGTCTCTAGTTCCACTTCATAACCAGCACTCCTCATTTCTTCGATGATGTTCTGAAATCTATCGAGAAACTTCTCTTTTCCCAAAACCCTAGCCACAGCATTATAGGTTTTCTCATCATGCTTAAAGAGACCAGACTCATCAATCCACCGGAAGAACAACAAAGCTTTCCTGGGTTCAACATCAAGACTTTCCACAATCGTCTTCACTAAATCACTTTGAAACTCAACATTCAAATCTTTGACCTGTTTCTCGACATCATCACCCCATTCTTCTTTCATCACAATCTTACACACCCTATCGCAAACCTTCTCCGACGAATTATCTAAACAATCTGAAGAGAAAAGCTTTTTCAGCCTCACCAAATCACTCTCAAGGCCATCTTTCTGAAATTTCTCACCGACTTTATCTCTAACGTTAGCCGACAAACCATGTCCTTTCTTCTTCATAGCATCAACCAACCCCCAAAACTCATCAACAAGTCCATTACCACCTAGAATACGCAGCATCATGTTATAGTTCTTCGAGCTAAGGTCCTCATGATTAGCCTCCTTAATCCACTGAAAAAACCTTTTCGCAACATCAGGGTTTGATTCGAGCTTTCTCAAAACCTTCAAAGCTAAATCTTGGCTAATCACGACGATATCACCCGATTCCAACTCTTTCCTAATCTCATCTCCACCACTTAATCTGCTAAAGATATCAATCACGCTAGCCTCAGGAGAAGATTTCTCTTCAATGGCAGGCTCGGACGAGAAGCTTCGACCGACTGACTTAAGCAAAGAGCCAGAGCTCGTCATTGGGGATCTTAAGGAACCAAGTTGTTCGCTTTGTTGCAAAGCTCCGATCCCAGAAGGAAGGTGAATGAAAGAAGAGAAAGATCGAGTTGAAATGGAGGTTACCTGAGAACAAGGGGAAGGATAAGGAAGACGAGATCGGTGGTAGCTTCGAAGAAGCAGCAATCGCCATTGTTGATATCTCATCTTCTCAGATTTGATCCGGGTTACCACAGAAACAAAAGGGTATAGTAAAATGGATTTGATCTGATACAAAAGCTTGATCCTTTAGAAAGAAACGAGAGACTGAGGAACAGCGATTGCGAAGCTCTGGGAAATGTTAGGGTTTTAGTGAGGATTTTGATTTCTGAGGTAAACGAAACCATCTAGTTCAGGGAGAAGGTCACGTTGCAATGAATGACGCAGAGAGCAAAACAAACAACCAAAAATAAACTTATGATAATTCGATTTTCGCCCCTAATTTATTGTAATTACCAGTTTTCTGTCGTATAGTTTTAATTGCATCAGTATTAACCATGACCACACCGATTTTAGGACTGGTAAAGATAAATAAACCAATTTTTCTTTACCTTAATTTGTTAATATTTTTAGTGATCCTTTTTTGCTTCTGTGTGAACTTTATTAATAATTCGACTTAATTGATATGAGAAACTCATGATCTTAAAGCTTTAAGTGAAAATAAAAGGTAAGGATAAAGCTAATGGAACGTAATAAGTAGATGTTTTTGATTGACTTGAAGCTAAATTACATTAAACATCCAAACATACATCTAAAGGGAGAGAAACATTAAAAACATTACAAGAGACTAAAAACAACAACAACATCAGCAACAACATGGTACGATGAATATCATGAGAATCAATTGATAGATCGAACTCCCAAATTTATTTAAAATCCCCAACAATTAATTAGAACATTCCATTGCTGTGATTCTGGATCGCTAGCTACTTGTTCATGCCGGTCTTATCCTTCACAAAGTTAACACCTCCAGCTGCTGCATCCGATATGTTCTTTCCCGCCTATATACGTATACACAATACAAAAATATCAGAAATCTACCTACTTGTGATATGTAATTTTATATATGTGTGTGTGTGTGTGGATTGTTTACTTGTTGTGCGGACGCTCCAGCTGCAGCAGCAGCATCCTTGGCCTTGTCCAGCAGAACATTGCTCTTCTCCTATATACACACCATTGTCAAACACAAACATCAGTAACATAATTATGAAAAACTAAATTAAACAAGAGAATACAAGTTTTAAAGCACAAATAGTAAGTTTAGAGTATATATATCGAATTACAAGTTTTAGATTGAACAATTAGTTCAGAATAATTCTAATTTTTGTGAAAGAGAGAAAAAAGAGACCTCAGCTTTGCCAGCGGCCTGACCGGCTTGGAAGGCATTCTTGTTGGTTTCCGACATTTTCTTTTCAGATATTTTTTTTCCTTAGAGAATTGGTTTTGTAATGAATTTTGATGATGAGAGGAGTAGTGGGCTTAGAGTTTGTACTTATAGGCCAAATGGAGATATTTGTGTGGTTACACGTGTAATCTTAATCCACGTGGATTACGTTTAATGGCTACGATGAGTTTTGCCTTATGTCGGTAGCTTTTTATTGGCTGTTCAAGAGTTCACGTGTCTTTGTTTGTATAGTGTGATATGCATAGTATAGCTACGATTTGAAAACTCTTTCTGTGTGGTCCTCTCGCGGCGAGAGTCTCGCCTCCGTGTGGTTTAGTTTTTCAAGATGATGAGTCTTTCAAAATATCTCGTGTTATAGTAATTTACTAGCATAGAACTTTTTTTGTTTTTTTTTAAACAATATTACCTGCTCTGCTATAAATGTGGTTCAAAACAGAAATGTGAAACGTGGGGTTTGTTGCATATGCGTTTGGCAAACATTTCGTGTTATCATCGGCGAAGAAATTAAAACTTCCTAGAATGTTTCAATTTCTTATCAGAACAGCTTAAATGGTGCCTGCTTTTAGAATGGTTGGAAAGTTAGATGGTAATATGGTATTGTTTGCCAACTTAAATGTTGTGTTTACCGAACCTCCCGTATTTTCATGTTTTTTTTTTTTTTTGTTTTTTTATAAAACCATTCTAAATACACAAAAAAATTGAAAAAAAGTTTATATAATTTTGTTTTATGAATTGGTAACTTTCTACACAATTCCAGCTTGTATTTGTTGACATGCGATTGAATCTAGTTGACTTACTACTATTCGATGGTTGCAACGACATTGGGTTTTCATGTCGGATTGGTGAGGACTCAGGAGGTATGGGGACGGATACGTTCATCGGCCCAAGAGTATGACGTACTGTATGAACCACAATTGTAACTTATTAAACCAAAAGGAACTTAGATATTCTCTTTATTATATTTGAGTTTATATGTTTGCCAATCCAAACAGTTTATGGTTGAATTAAATTTACTTTTTATCCCATTGTATGTATGTACTCTGAATAACCTGCATCCAGTATTACAAATCGATTTATATATTTTCTCATTTGTACATTAGCCAACACATTGTCACATATATAATGTACAATTTTATACATTAGCCAACACATTGTCTCATATACATTAGCCAACACATTAAAATTAGCTATTTTCAAGAATAGCATATACAACTTGTTGGTTATGGTTATGGATCTCTCATATCATCAAAGTTAAACTAGAAATATTTTGTAAGGTGATAATGGTCTGGATAGGTTCATGTAATGGTCTGGGTTACGTGATTTCCTCTGTGTGTAAGGATTATGGAAAGCTAGCTAGCTTAAGCCAAACTTTGGGTACCATAGTTGCGTTATTATAAAACTTCAGTAGTTCGGATCGACTTATATACGTTTTCTGATCCATTTTTTTTATCCCTCACGTTTTAAAATTTACAACTTCCCTCTCACAAAAAGCAGTGCCAACAACAATATCATGAACGCTTTTAAAAAACCAAACGGCATATACACACAATCGAATTCGCAAACACGTTTCCTCTCCCGTTTTGGTTAGAATAAGAAACGTAGTGATTCTCTTTGAAGACAACCTCGTTCCGTTCGTATGAACTATGAAGACTACCCAGCCAAACGTAGTCGTTTAGATTATCTAACTACGAGGTCAAAACTATATTTCAACCTTCAATGTTAATGTACAGTGAATCCATTGCAGAGTAAATCAAAATCATGAAAATGATCATCATATTAATAGAGATAAAATTTATAATATTATTCATCATCCGAATTCACATAGACCAGACACAATCACTGGTTTTAGGGAAATAAGAAGAAAAAAACATTATCCATAACACATTATTATTCGAGAAAACAAACTTAAAAAACTTGAGCTTATTAAGTTCCCTTTTATTCCTTCTCGTCCTCGCTGTGGCAGCTACTGTTGCTGCTCCATTCACATTTCAAGGTAGATCTTGGAGAACCGCAATACTTTCCTAGCTTCTCAAACCTCTGATACATCACTGCTCCTCTCTCTTCTCCTAGAGACTCCATTGTTAACTCTCTGCATCCGTAATCGTCTAGGTCCACAGCGAGACCTGAGCCATATCCCTTCTGTTCGACGCTAGAGTGGACAGCTACTGAGAATTGCTTTGGCTCGAAGCAAGTTAGCACCTTCGAGACCAGGTGGCTCAAGTCCATGGTTGTGAAATCGTATCCCACTGCTTCAAAGCTAGCGTAGCTGAAACCATCCTCTGGAGTCACATGGATGGTGGAGATTGCATCACCTTCGATGCTGTTCATTGAGTAGCCACAGGGCTCAAACTCAAAGTCACAGATCTGGGATTGAGGAAGTATCTTTCTGATGCCAGAGTTATCAGTCATAGAACCAGCCGAGCTTGATTCCTTCTTGTAGAAGACAGATGCCTTGTCTTTGTCCAGACCAGTCATACACATCTCGAGTGTGTAGACATTCTTGTTGTTGTTGTCGTTCTTGGCAGACGCAGAGTAAACATGCCATTTCTTGGTTTCATCATCGTTGCCCATGAGATATGCAACACTGCTCAAACCCAGCTTAGCGAAGTGGGCATCGAGAACAGAGACTTCTTCAGAGAAGTTGCGGTGAGGGAATGGCTGGCCTCCAGGACAGAGGAAGCTTCCACGAGTGTACCTCACAGCCTTAACCTCAAGAGAGAGCTCAGCGGCCAACCTCAAGAGTGGCTCGATAGAGAGGAGGAGCTTAGTTGTGCCGCAGGTCTTGATAACGATCTTGTAAGGGAAGATAAAGAGACTGGACTCAGAGAGAACATAAGAGTCGAGCTGATCGTTGGAGAGAGAAGAAACGATGGTGCACTCAGCTGGCTGGAGGATCTCGTCGATCTGAGACTTGGCCAGAGCACGGAGACCTTTGCCTTGAGGGTCAAGAAAGAGACCAGGCTCAAAGAAAGAAACTTCAAGGCGCTTCTCGTAGCCTTCAAATCCGATAGCAGACATGGCCATATCGGTTTGTTCTTGTTGTTGTTGAGAGGAGAGAAGGATGGGAACCAGAGCTTTGAGAGGTAAAAAGAGAATGTTTTTGTAATTGGAAAGCAATGGAGGAGATTGACTAGTAGTACTCAGGATGGCCTCTTAGCGCAGTTGGAGTAGACAGAAGATTTGAATTTCTTGATGCCACCGAAAGGACGAACGTCTTCAATGCTGTAGCCGAGGGGTGCTTCGTAAAATAAGGAACTAGTGCTTGAATTCTTATTACCAGCTTTCGATTCCATCATAATCTCATTCACGCTTTTCTGCAAATTATACAAAAAAACCACAATAATCAAAGTTAGATGATTAAGTGGAATCATTACCAATATATATAACCAGAGCCAGCATTACCAACAATGTAACAATAATCAGATATTAATTTCCAAACAAATCGAGATAATCTCTCACAAAAACATTTATCAGATTAATTTTCATCAGATCTACGTTCAAAAACAAGACGAAACAAGATCGACGAGGACTTACATGTAAAATAAAATTGATAACGATCCGGAGTAGTGTGTAACCTCTCTTGTTTGGTAATCCAAGATGTTAAAACGAAACCTGAAAAACGAATCAAAACGCCACTCACGTTAATCAGGCTGGAACAAGAGGGATGAAAACAAAGAAACAGATCTCAATCTCTAAAGGGATTAAAAAGAAACAAACCTTGATGAGGTGATTTAATGATGATTGAGGAAAACTCGAATGTTTAATCAAAGAGAGAGATTGAAGCGAGCTTTGAGAGAGATATTGTTGTTGTTGTTGTTTGATTGTTAGAATGAGAAGGTGTAGAGGACTTGTTTATATAGTGCCTAACCACAGATGCGTTGTGAGGCTATTAGGGCTCGGGGCTAATTTACGACTTCGCCCTTATTATTATTTTTTTACTAAAAGAGCCTTTTACCACTTTCTTTTTGTGGAATTATTATAAATACTATTAAAGGTGCGAGATTCGCGACTATTCTTGGCCACAAATCCAAACTTAAAAGTAATAAATATTTTTTGTTTTTGTTTTTAAAGCTATATTTATCAATATGTCAGCAAAGAAAAGAATCTTTAGATGAAGGAAGCATCCACGTTCAAAGGATTTTGATACTCACGATCATTTCTGACCACGAAAAAGATAACAGCCATAAATATGAATAATCTCGTCGTTTTTATTTAAAGAATTTGATTCCTCTTTTCCTCAAATCGTATTTTAAGAGATTAATAATAATAATAACTACGGTTAGATCCCCGAGATAGGCTAAGCCACAAAAATACTGTAACCAATGATAAAGAAACACGTGTAAGGTCTAAAACGACACGTTTCAGAGTTTCGATACTCACAAGAAAGAGACAAGACAGGGCAGAAGAGAGAAGTGCGTGATCACCCTTGCTTTAAATGTTTGGGTGGGCCCCAGAGAATCAAATTCTCTTTTTCTCTCTTTCCTTTTTAAGTCTTTTATATGCCAAATTCACCAAAATGACCCTATCAGCATTTCCCCGTGACTCTCTCTATCCGTTTTTGTTTTTTTTTTTTTGTCAACTGAAATTTTATTGATAGTTTTCACAGCAAAATAAATCACAAAGTTCAAACAAGAGAAGCTAAAGCCGACGGACGAAATAAAAGTTTTCGGAGTCAAAGCCGGCAGAAAACGTGATTTCTCCGGAGTTAAAGCCCTATCAAAGAGAAACGAAAACCATAAAATACAAAACGGACAAACTCGAACCTAAAACGAAAGAGGACGAACACTTAAGAGAAAGCATAAACAACTAGGTTTAAACCTTACTAAAACATACTAGTCTAAAAGAAGCAAGAAACACTCTTCAAAAGAAGCACAAGCTGTTGAGATTTATCAAGGATGTCCACTCAATGATATACCACTCTGCATAAACAACTATCCGTTTTTGTCTCATTGCGGAAAAAAGTAACCACCACTCAATGATATACCACTTTTTCAAATTATAAAAACACAGATTAGTCACCCAGATTTAGTTAACCTAAAATAATTACAAAAGTAATGTGGCAAAGTGCAAACTAAACATTTTCCATCACTTTACAAATCAAAGAAATGATTCGGTTGTAATATTCATTTACAAGAATATGATTTGCAATATGACACAAAATCACAAGGTATATCTCATCTAATCGTTTGACTTTTGAGAGTCACTAGAATTCACAACTATGAGAGAATCATCACCATTTTATTTAACAACAAATACAATATAGGAAGCCATTACTATAGAGGATTAGAAGAATCTATACAGGATTTTTGGTCTCTTGCATAACTTGTGTTGTTTGTGACTGAAGCAGCTGCAACTCACTGAACAGATCACAACTCGTATCCCACAGTTGTTTTGCAAGCTTTGTACTTTTAGAAACTTTTGATGATTCTATCGTCTTTCCTTTTCCTCCAAAATAGTAACTACCTGATCTCTCCTGCAAAATGAACAACACATGCAAATGTTTTTTCTTCTGAGTATGTCATGTAATGCAGATCAAAGATCAACATTCATCCATTTTCATATAAGTTTTCACAAAATAGCTTTTTTTAAGATGGGAAACTTTTCTTTACAGGTGCGGATAAAGCGGCATCGATGATAGATTCAGCTCCAGCATCTGGTGACTGCAGGATGCCAATAATTCTGAAGCCAAGAAACGCCATGGAAGTTATGCAAGAAGGAAGCTCACGCATTATATTTGTTTTCACAAATCCTGGATCAGCAGCTCTGCATTCAACAAGGCAACATCCCACAAAGTCAAAAAACACAACTCGTTACAGAATGAGAATAAAGTTTAGAGAGCAACGAGTATTATGATGCGTACATTACAGAGACATGGTTTGAGTCGTCTATGATCCGAAGCTGTCTGTGCAGTTCATATGAGAAAAGTAGAAGACATACTATTCAACCAACATTAAGCCAAAATTCAGTTTCTCGATCATAAAAGGAAGAAGGAAACTATGTTTATGCTTTTGTGAGAGGTTTTGGCTTACATTTAGAATACTCATAGATTTGAGCACAAGGATACTGGTTTGATGTCGAATAACACGCTCCAGTAACAGAATCCCTGTCAAACTTGTGAAGAGAAGCTACAGAGAAAACAAATACATGTCAGGTCACTTAAGCTAATCTTTCAAGTTTTTTGTTAAAAGTATATTATCTTACTGTTGGTTTACCTGAACGATGTGTGAATGATGTAACGTTCACGACCCGTGAAGGAACATTGCTCTTTCTCAGAAGTGGCAAAAGAAGCTTTGTCAAACAGAATGGACCAATATAGTTTGTAGCAATCATCCTGACAATTCAAACAAAAAAAAAAAACAGTTTTAAAATATCAAATCCATAGTCCAATACATATGCATGCGCTAATTTAATAAAAACTGAAACATAAGTGCGTCTTCTCAAAACCAGACTTACTTATCATAACCTTCAATGGTTGGGCGACTTGAAGTTGCTAGTATCCCAGCATTGTTCACTAAAAGCTGAATCGAAGGATGTAACTCTGAGTCTGAGAGCCATTGCTCTAGAGAGTTTTTAAACTTCAAGATTGATTGAAAAGAAGACATGTCGGCTTCGAAAGATTTGAGTTGCGCATCTTTGTTCTTGCTCTTGATTTCCTTCAGTGTCTGTCATCATAAGCCAAGAAAAGGTATTTTGTATCTAAGAAAAAAACATACTTACTTCGACAAAGCTAAAACAAAAGGATAGTAAGAAAGAACCTCTGAAAGATGCTGAGAGGACCGTCCAACTGAAAAAAAAAATCAAGAAAGATTCATGGCATTAGTCTAGTGAGGACTGAAATGAAGAATATGGTAAGTTTGATGAAACCAGTGTGACATTCTAATGTCTATCTTTGTGATGGGAAACTACATTATCCAATACTGATACATTAGCACTTCCGGAAGCAATGCATCATAGATTAATTTTTACCAAGAACAACGTAGAAACCCTTCTCTGCAAGAGCAACTGCAGTGGCCTTACCAATCCCAGAAGTAGCCTGAAATCAAATTCCATAGACACCAAATGAAACACCAAAACAAGTCTAAAACTAAAACTGGAGGAATTACTTTACAGTACAACCAGTGATGACACAAGTGTTGAAGTTTTGATGTAACAAGAATAGGTAAAGCAAATTGCAAGTAAACATAGTACTTCACTTACACCAGTGATAACACAAATGGGTCTCGAAGATACATTATGTGGATTGATGGAGCAAGAAATGGGAATAGATCTTGAGCCAAAGATCTTTGCTCTAAGCAATTGAAAGTAAGAAGAAACAAGACTGATACTCCAAACAAGAGCCATCCTCCACAACTCAGATGAACATACAAAACGAAAAGCCTCCTTTACCTCTTTCATCATCTACTGAAAATTTAATGTCAGAATCCAAATGAGCATTTATCATCAATGGATACATATACTTCAGACAAAATTTACCCGAGATCCAAAACGAGTCAGGAAACTGCAGCAAAGACTTGAATCAAAACCCTCGGAACTTTGAAGGAAGAAATGATTTGGAGTGAAAGTGTTGCTGCATTTATTTAAGAGTTAAATAAATCAAAAGGTTTGTGCTTGACGCTAACGTTACCTTCGCCTCGATCAAATCAACCAGACTGGAGTTAAAAGGGAGAAAGACTAAGGATTTGGATTTGAATTCTAAATCACCATCATCACAACAAAGTTACACATGTGAACAGACGTAGATATATACATTTTGTCAAAGAAAAAGAGTTATTACAGATATGCAATGGATTTGATTCTATATATTGAAGCATGAGTTTTCTATTGAAATTTGACTTTTTTTTTTTTCCAAAAAGAATGGCTGAATGGAGAATATAAAACTGCTATTGTTGTCACACATGAGTTGTAAACAAGAATGAGAGAAAGATAAAATTTGCACAAAAATATGGAAAAGAATGGAGAAGAATCTTCGTGAATACGGTCTTGGTTTGATTCGGCTCAAGAATATCAAACCCTATAGTTGAACCGGGTTGGCTGGTTTAGCTACGGCTCTCTCACTATCCTGATTCATTTCTTCCAAACGCTTTGATACCTGGAGGAGATCCATAACAAAAACAGACAGTGACACAGAGCTTCAGTTTCAAGTATCTAAAGGAGACGAGCATCGTAGTCTTTGAGTAGGAAAGAGAGAAGAACCTTTATGGAATAAGCCAGTGGAAGCAAAGTATCAGGATCCATGGCATCTTCAGGGAAATTCCTCAGAGCATGCATGAGTTCCTCAAACGGCAATTTCAACAAATCATCATGGCAGTACTTCAACAATGCTAAACCAACTTTGAACACAATGTTAACACCCTATACCGACAAACAAAAGATAAGAAAACAAAGATATTACATACAAAAGAAAGAGACTTTTGAGATTGTAAGACGTTGACTTTGAATTACCTCGGCTAGAAACACATCCCAAATTCGTAGAGCTGAAGGGAAAGGAACTGAATATGAAAAGACAGTTATGAACCATTGACTTGCATACATACTCGGATTGATCATTTCTTGAGTGAAATGTTCTCCTAGTTTCGGCATTAGCTCCCTTAACAACTGGTCAAACTGTAATAGATACTGCTGTACAAGAGGAAGCCCTGCCTACATTTACACAAATCAAATACATTTTACATAATTCGAATCAGCTGAGGAATTGAAATTCTGTTTTCAAGTATAATGTTCCAAAGAGTTAAACACAATCATAACTTCAGTGAGAAACTTTACAGAGAACGAACCGCTAATACTGAAGACTCTAATCAGGACAGAAGAATAAAATGTCTCTACAGGATTTGACAGATAATTTGAAAAAGCAGTCATAAACTAATAAATTCATGAAAGAAATGATTCTATTTATTTATCTAACTCTATCGTTTTCAAACTACCGTAATTCAAGAGGCAAGTAGCTACAATATAGGTATCTTCTAGAGTAGAAACCCTCACCTGATACAATCCTTCCATTGGGGAGTGAACAGCTCCTTTGAGTAATGCAACTAACAACCAAAAGGCATCTTCTTCGCTCATATAGAGAAGCAACAAACCTGCTACGAAACCCATTCCCTGCAAATTGTGTTTAAAATCATGAGTCTTTATTACAATCGCGGGGAAACAAAAGAGGAAATGAAAAAGTTTCTGGAAAGACCTGAACATATCCGACATCTCTGTCATATACAGAGTATGCTTTTAGAACATTGTATAATGATCTTTGGCCTGGTCCATGTCTCTTCTGGAAGAAAACATGTGATGGGAAAGTACGGGAGATATCCCTAATGATATCGAGTTCTGATGCTGATGTCTCGTAAATTACCAGTTGCTATAATGAAATCAAGAGTATTATCAGTTTTTTTTTTCCAGCAATGAAGCCAAATGAAACAAAACGTATCAAAGACACACAAGGAGATTATGAGTACCACATAAACACCGGGATTCATAAGCAAAAGGTCTCGACTTCCAGAGATCAATTGCCAGACGAGACCCCTTAAGCAATCAGGGATCCCTTTTCGAATTCGCCTCTTGACAACATGAGGTTTCCTCCTAACATATTGCTTCCAATCACTACCCCCAGTTCCAATCATTTTCCTCCATTTCGTCACTCTTCTCTCCTCCCTAAAGAATTTAGCATCCATGGTCAAATAACTGATTCTCAAAAACAAGAAGAAGATATTTTTCAATAAGACATACTTGTCATAGTTACTAGATGATCTGGTCTTGGTAAAACGATGAGGAGAAGAATTGCCATGTTCCTGCTTCAGAAACCCAAACCTATCAACCGGTACAAGCGGAGGGACTGGTCCTGTTTCACTGTCATCTATTCCTTTTCTCTCCATTTAACGAACCTGAAAAGGACCAACATACTCTTAATATCCCCAACATTGTCATCAACTATTGAATGAGACCTAAAAGCTTTCTTCAAACTCAGATCATCATCTAAGATCCTGGAGCTTTAATCACTATATGACTTTAAAGGGCATTCGCAGATAAACGCAATCAGCAAACAATTCAAGGGCTTTGCAGATAGAATTCGATCCATGGTGATATATACAAAGTGCAGCACCAAAAACGCAAACAGCAGGAAAATGCTGAAGAAGAGCTAACTACTCAAAGGGAATCAGTTCTTTCTACTGATTTAAAAACGCCGGAAGACAATAACAATCAGGAAATAAAAAGTGAAAGCTTTGTCGGAGAAAATTCGAAACCCACCAACATTCCGGCGTCAGATCAAGAGGGTCGTATCCAAAACCTTAACTTTCTGAAATAAACAAAGGCGATCAAGGAGAAGCTTACTTTGAATTTCCCAGCAAAATTGAAATCAGAAGAACAATGGAGCGATGAAATGGAAGATGACTTAAAAGGAAGGAACTCGGAAAAGAGAAAAGGAGACGTTGGAGATCACATCGATCCACTCACACGCGTATTTTATCACGTTCCATAGAAATATATCAGAAAAACATGTTTCAGAAAATGGAGCTTTTTTACCTTTTCCAGAGAAAATGAAAAAAAAAAAAAAATGACACGAATTCGGTTCAGATTCAAACTGGTCAGACCGGCTGGTTTAATACGAATCCTACTTAAATACACTTGTTTTTCCATAAACCCAAAATATATTAGAGATGATGATGTTAAGAACATTGACTAGCTTCGGTTCGTCTCATGAGACTGCCCCAACTATCACCAAAGCTCCAAACTTTTGAAGGCTGCACGATCCAAGGACCATTCATGATGTTCAGAATGCTACAGGCTTCACTGTATTCTAGCTCTGGCAGGAGCTTTGGTGTCAGTAAGAAGCACCTACAAGAAAAAAGACCACACATTGTCTCTTACTTTTCTCACAGAAATTTTCAAAACTTGAGAGCAATTTCCAAGGTTATTGAGAAAGGACAACTTACTGTGGAGTGTTTGGTTGGCTAGCAGCTCTAACCAACTGTTGAAACATCTTCCTTTCGTTTATAGGATCCATACCTACAGAAGTAATCACGTATTTTAGAAATTTGATTGCTGTTTCGTCACAGTTTTTAAAAAAATAACAGCATCACAATTTTTTACCTTGATTAATCTCATCAACGACCCTAAAAGGACAGTTTGTCAGATCTTGAAGAGAGACGAGGTAAAGGATAGTCGAGACAGAACGTTCTCCCCCAGATTGGTGGTGAGAACTTAGAACCTGTAGTTGCCCTGACTCCCTGAATTTCACTTTGATATGTATTCCATATTGGTCAAAGTCAGTGTCACGCTCATCCAGTGATACTTCTCCTGCAACAGCCATTTCCTGAAAGTTGTGGCTGAAAGTTTCATTTATCTGAGCAACAAGCTGTCTCAATGTTGGAAGCCATTTCTCCTTTAGCGAATCGATATCTTTCAAGCATATGCCCAGATCTCTTTTATCAGCTTCGAGCTTTGTAGAGATAATATCTATCTGTTTTTGGCGATATTCATACTCTTGGAGTATGTTCTCGTTTACGAAAAGGATCGAATTAGCTTGAGACATATTGTCTTGTATAGCCGCTTCCAGTTCTTCGATTGTGGTAGGCATTTCCATAAACTCCTTTTTAAGCTCAGGTGTGATGGCTGCAATAGATTCTGCATTCCTCTTGGCAGCTGCTAGCTGCACCTGCTTTCCTTCTACCTCTTTCTTACAATACTCAACGCTGACAGATAGCTGCTGTGCTGTTTTCTCATATTGTTTGATATTGATTTCTGACTCTCTGATCTTTCTTTCCAGTTCAATAGAAGCCATATGCTTCTCCGCGTAACTCCACCTATAAGCAACAGCCTCCACAAGCAATTTCTTGAGATTTATCGCATATGTATAGCGGTCACCATTAGCTCTGGAAGCCTGATCAATCAGCTTAGCAACTGAAGCATCCATGTCCTCCTCTTGCTCCAAGGATTCTAGCCTCATCTTCCTTTGCTGGAAACGGGTTTCCAAATCACGGCGTTTTTTCTTCTCCAGATTCGAAACATTAACTATCTCCTCCCTCTCTTTATGAAGTTTAGCTGCTTCTTCTTCCAAAAGTCTTTGCTCTGTTTGAAGACTCTTGCTAGTTTCCTCAATGAATGAAATAGCGTCTTCTAACTCCTCCTTTCTTGATCTCAGTTTCTCAAGCTCTCCAACGTCTACCCCACATAATAGAAGACGCGATGGATATACAGAATCTACACTTGCAGAGGTATGACCACCATACCTTGAGGAAGACCACCGGTAGTGATTGTCCGGTGTCCAAAAATCTTTTACCCCCAGCTTGGAGACTTCTTCAGCCCTCTGATCAGTAATCTTCGATCCAATGTACGAGTCATCCAGACCAAACTGGGAAGTTAAAACCTCCTTGATGGCGTCAGGAGCATCAAATATTTGATCAAGCCGAGCCTGGATCCCAAGAGAACGCATCTGATCAGAAATATGAAAGGTAGCCTTTTGATTGCCGCCTTCGCCCACATAGTTTAGAACGGGAACATCAAATCGTTTTAGATTTCTAACCAGCAAATCACGGTCTTCGGGATCCTGAGTGATAAAAGACTTCCAGACATAATAAGGAACATGACCCTCCAAATAGCAAGCATTCTCTCGATTTGGAACGTTAACCTCTACCAAAACGGGACCATATACTTCCTTTTTAAACTCATGACGATTCTGTTGCACCCATTGATATGCGTCAAATATCCTTTCAGCTCCAGAGTTACATAGTGCTTTCAATAGTTTGTTATTTGCATTCTCCATGTCCTTCAACTTATCTACGCACTGCCTCAGGGTGACTCTCTTCTGAGACAAAACCGTCTCATTCTCACCCTTCTCATTCTTTTTCCGGTTTATGCTCTGATGCAGGTCTGTAATCTGTGTGCTCAGTTCTTCAAGTTTGGCTACAGGACGTTCATATACAGGCAGATTTTGAAGTTCTCGTTCTGCAGCAACCAGATCCTCAGTAGCTTTCAGAATCCTGTCTTTGCGATGTGCTTCTTGTTTCTTCAATTCCTCCAGTTCTTTGTATGTTGCCACTACACGTGCTTCTGCCTCATCTTCTTTCTCAAGCAAGTTACCACGGTTTCTTCCATTTGCATCAAGGAGATTCTTAGCCTTTTTGCATTTTGAATCTATCTCTGCTTTCTCCCTCTTTTGCTTTTCAATAGGTTCCTTCATGCTGTTCAAATTCCTTGCAGCTTCATCCAATTTTTTCTGGGCTTCCTTCATTCTCTTCTTAGCATCCATGTACTCAGCCTTTTTCATATCATACTTAAGCCATGGCAATTTCTTCTTCATAGAATCAACCTTAGTCAAAAACAACTCTCTCTGCCTAACACGTTCCACATCCTTCTCTTGCTCATCAACAAGGGCTTTAAGCTGATTCAGCGTCTCTCCATTTTTCTCCACAGCTCTCTCAAGCTGCTTCAGTTCACGGCTTTTGTCAACAAGCGCCCGATGATGGACTGGCAACTGAGGATCACCAACAGCTTTTTCTGTCTCCTCCAAAAGCTGAACAGGCGTTAACTTAGCAAACTCGCAAACCCTATCTTGTGGCAGGAATTGCGTAAGATTGTTAACTTGGATGTTAAATTTCTGGATGATCTCAACTACCTCTCTCTTACTAACTGTGTTTCCATTGAACATCCACTCCGACTTGTTACGTGTATCAATCTTACGAGAAACCGTAAAATTTTCCTCGCTCGTCTTCCCTCTCAGAGAGATCTTGACGTAGCCAGAATCTTCCCCACGCTTAACATATGCACCAACACTGGTTGCTCGGCCAAGAAGCTGAGGCTCACCACCAAGACAAAGTGCAATGGCACAGACAAGAGAACTTTTACCTGATCCGTTTGGTCCAATAACAAGGTTCAAGCGTGATCCCGGTTTACATACCAAGTGATTGAACGTCATGAAATTGTGAAGCTCGATTTCGATAATATTCCCAGGCAAAAAGTCATCTTCCCCTCTGGAGATTTTGTGACGCTTAGCACGACGTTCAGACATTGTTGTTCAGCAGGCAGAGATATTATCTAGGTTAACCTGAAAAGTTTCAAAACTTTCTTAAGAGATCCACAGATATAAAAGCACAACTGGTTGGGGGAAACAATGTAGCATCGAAAATTAGAAACTTAGAAAAAGCTTAGAACTTTGAATCTGGGGGATGCAAAAGCTATACCCTAAAACCAAAACTGAAGAATAAAAAAAACTAGACTCTGATTGAACAGAAACTTGTAATAAAAAAACAATCACCAGTTTCTTCACACTATCTCTTCTCTCCAACACACAAACCCTATGACTGACAAATGAACAGTAAAACCAAAACGAACAACAATAATATAAGCAAAATCAACTTACAAAGAAGACAGAGACGAAACATTAAAGGCACTAATGAGAAAAACGAATCCCAAAAAGAAGAATACACGATTCGATTCGCTGACAAAATATTGAAACAAAGTTCAATTTTCTCAATCGAAAGAAGAACTGACCTGAAGAAATAGTGAAACCTAGGCGAAATCGAAGTTTCTCCAGTCCGCAATTGCACCATACGAAATAAAACCCTAGACTCTCTCTCTCTCTCTCTCTCTCTCTCTCTCTCTCTCTTTGGATTGCGATTATTCGGGTTGTTTCGATTTGGAGAGCTGAAAGTGAAAAGCGAAAACCCGGGAAACCACCAAAAAGCACGACAATCAAAGCAAAATCACACTCCCTCTAGGTTATGCCTTTTTAAAACCTTTTTTTTAAGTCCGGTTTGACTCCTCCTTTTAAAATTATAGTTGGGTCAAGGATCATCATACGCGGTTATGGTTCAGTCCGGTTATTAGATAAAACCCGGTTTATCAGCTCAAAAAAGGCCAAACTTACTCAACTTTCAAGTCTTCGCAATGGAAGATTATCGCAACGAAACTTTTTCCCTCTATAATTCGATGCTTGACATTGTTAATTTGTTTTTGGCACGACACTAAGAAAAAAAATATGAATCTCTATTATTGCTTTAAGCTGCTTCAGTTTCAAAATTTATTTGGTGGCAAAAACTAGAGACAATGGTTGTTACATTTGATTTAGAGAGTTAAAACCCATAATAAGGAAAAACTTTGTTAAGCCAGTGTCGCGTTCAGTGACCGTGTTGAAGGATCCCGTATACATCGATGATTCCAGAAGCGAACTCGGGATCGACTGCAGCTTTTACCGCAGTTCCTGCAACGGACTTTACATTCACCGGAGGTATTAAAAGTGGCCCGATCAGAGGAAGTTTCGTCACCTCTTTTGGGAACAGCTTCAAAACCTGCAAATGATCAAAACGTTTTGAGACAAAAGATTCACACTTCTATGTTTTCAAAACAAACCAAGATTGATGATGCAGTTCTTCTTTTACCATTTCAAGTGGAGCTCCAATGAGACTAAGTGGCAGCTTTATGCTACCGACCTGACGAGTCCCATGTACGAATCCTGGCCTTAAAACCGTTCCTAAGAAGCCATAGAAACAACCAAGTTTTCAGTCAAGAATATAATGAACACGCATAATACAGCGAGGGAGTTTAGCATAAAAGTGAGAAGATTTACACACCTCTGTTTCCAAATTTATCCAAAATTGCAGCTTCAGTTGCCCTCTGCAATTTTTTATACATAAAATGATCAAAGCGAGATGTAATAACTAAGAACAAAAGCCCAAAAGGCAAAGAGTAAGAATAAGTACCTTTCCTTCGAAATATCCTCGAATCAAGTTATTTATGATACCAAAATCCGCAGCTGATATATACACAAATCTTTTCACACCTAGACATAATATAACAAGCTTCTGTTTTTGTCAGTTTGCAAAAGAACATACAGAAATATAGATAATCTATACATTTCTGCACATACAAACAAAGAAGGCCTTTACATTAATCACAATCTATGAACATTTACCTTGTTCTGCGGCAGCGTTAACAGCATTAATGTTTGCAGTCCCGTTAATCTTGACCATATGTGAATTGGAACCGAAACCACCAACGCATGAAATCTGCACAAGTTCGATATGAGATGCGAATGAAACGAACCATATGATGAAGTAAATTTCCAGGAGATTTCTTAATTACCACAGATGTAATTCCTTCTAGTGCAGGTTTCAGAGAATCGGGTGAAAGCAAATCGCCTATTGTTTTAGTAGAAAACAGAAACCGAGTCATTTATCCTAGTCTATTGGTTTTATAATGATGAGCAAAGTGAAATATGTATTCAGATCTTGAGAATACCTTGATGCCAGGTTACATCATCGACCCATGAACCATGCAGAGAAGATCTTCCAGACCTAATAACAGTGCAAAAGACTAACATTAAGGCATTAAGCTATGAAAAGACAGTATATGAGCAAAAGGTCAGATTTAAACCCGGAAAAAACAGAAATACCTGCTAAGACTAGATACAGAGAAACCTTGTCTCAGTGCCTCCTTGCATATATGTGAACCTACGTAACCATTTCCTCCCAAAACCAATATCTGCATTCAAGACAACACAATGTGATAGGTTCAGAGAAAAAAAGAGAGACAGTTTGTGAACAAGTTTATTAGCATTGCACTAATGATAAACGTCGACCAACCAGAAAAGCAAAGGACTCAACCAAAACATATCTGTAACTGCAACTGAAAAACAAACACAAACAGAGATTGAATCATAGAGACTAGAGAGCTATCAAATATAAGCCAGGAGACTTTCCAACAACAAACTCATAACTAAAGATAACTGTACACTCTTGTTTCAACAAATTCTATACTAAACAAAAATTTATAATGTGGCAATCGGATTTGAAGAGGTCTCTTATCACAATGTCTCATCAAACTCAAAATCAGTGAAATAAGTTATGGTCAATTACTTTAGTATCTCTTGAATGTGAACCAGCGGCTTCAGACAAAAGCCTTTCATTTCCTCTCTGAGTGATTGAACTGCTAAAGAGATAAAGACAAGACCATCATCAGTATGTGCAAACAAAAATCTATGACTGAATGAATAAATCACACTATTCAACAACTGGGAACAGAGTGTCGATGCCTCAAAAATGGAAACCCCTAGAGAAATGATCCGTCTCTGCTAAGCTATTTTTCCGACAGAAATCAACCTAACATCAATAAAGATCAATGCTTTATTCGAAATCAACATTCTACAGAAATTTAAGAAGAAGAACTCACGACATCGTGACGGCTGAAGACGATGCCTGTGATCGTTTCCAAATCAGAGACCTCAACATCCTACAATTGACCCTAAGTAACGCTGAGTAGTTAACGTATCGTGACCTGAGACTGAATTGAAACTTGGGTAAATTTGCGATTACAAAATTAGAGCTGAAAAGCTAGAAGAACTCGCGATCTTGGAGAAAAAGAACAAAAAGGAGAGACCTTTCACAATCACAACTGTAGAAACGATTGTGGCGTTGTAGCTTCCACGTAGACTATCCACGTGTCACCCTCTTATAAAAACTGAAAATACGTTTTAATAATTATAGGAATAGGATCATATGACTTGTGTTGGTAATTTAGTATGAGACTATGACTCTATGAGAGTACCAAGTCATGACTTGTAGTCTATCAATGTTGATGAATGATAATGATTGAGGTTTGCGTGACGATGATGAAATTTGGATTTTGATGATTGTGGTTTATTTTAGATTACTTGTATGAACTGGATTGATGATTGCTGTTCACTTGTTTGATGTCTCTGTGACCCCATTTGCAAAAACGGAAATAAACATTCCCGAACCAAACCAAACCGAAACCGAATCAGAGAGGCTGGGATAGTTGCAACTCAAGTGATCAGGTCAGCGACAACGACATTGTTGGCCTTGTGTGTCCACAAATATTTTATAAACGTTATGGTTATATAGGCTTTAGGTTATGCTTTTGAGTGTATTACTTGTTTATGAAATACAGTACTAACTCGATTCACGAAATTTTGGTTTAAGATCAAATGAAACAGTTGTTCTTCTTACCAAACCTTTTGAATAATAATACTATAGACAAGTTGCTAAAAGGAACCTACGTACATGGGTGAAGAAACTCATATATGTTCGTCTCCTAATCATTACTTTAACTTGTTTGTAACAGTTGGCAAAAAAGCATACTAACTTGATGATATACTCAAGAATAATAGTAGTCAAGTAAACTATAATAACTTCTTGTGACACATTTACACATATATAACGACCTACAGGCTAATTACATGTGTAATTTATAATTAAAACTCATGTTAAGGTCCAAATTGCCGACAAAAAACGTCCAAATTACTGAATAGTCAATCACCCTTGTGAATTTATTGTTTGATTGGTTGCTTTAATTTCTTCTGCTGGCCTTTTTTTTGCAATAATCATAACTCTTTATTTAGATTTGATACCGACTCTTTTTGTTGTATCACAAATCTTTTTGCACAACTTATAAAACAAATTTAATTAGTCCCAAACTCTGATATAATCCTTTCCTATTGTTTTCTCTCTCTCTCGAAATCTCTCCACTCTCTCTGATCATCTATCTTTCCTTGCAATGGAGCTTCTTCATTCTGCAACATTTCCAACTAAACAAAAGCTACTCATCGTAGTGATCATTGCCACAGCTCTCCTCACCATCATCCCTCTTCTCTACCCTTTTCTTGAAGACCCTAACTTCTTACTCAAGCAACAGCCTCCAAGCCAAAACAGCATCATCAAGCTCCAAGACACCGTCGTAGCATCGCACGAGGGCTGCGACTTATTCTCCGGAGAGTGGGTTCCTAACCCCGAGGCACCTTACTACACGAACACGACGTGCTGGGCGATACACGAACACCAAAACTGCATGAGGTTTGGAAGACCTGACACCGATTTCTTCAAGTGGAAATGGAGACCTTACGGGTGCGAAGATGGCTTGCCTGTTTTTGACCCCATTCGGTTTCTTGAGATCGTGAGAGGTAAAACTATGGCGTTTGTTGGTGACTCCGTTAGCAGAAACCACATGCAGTCTTTGATCTGCCTTCTCTCTCAGGTAACACAAAGTTCTTCTTTTTATTTTCTAGCATAATTTTGAATTTTCTAAAGTAAGAAATTAAATATATGATGTAAACGGATCAAAGTATTGTTGTGTCCTTAAACCAACTTTTTGCGTCATTAAAACCTCGTCAGACAATTTTTCAGTTTAACCAGCAAAAAAAATGCATTAAAGTATAAGTAAATCATATTTTAGTACTCATGCACCAAGGAATATTATATGTAAACCACTCTTTACTTCGAAGTAACATTCTAATCGATGAGCTTCTATAACTGTCGAATCATTAGGTCATAGACTCGTATGTAGATATGATTTTAAATTTTAATTATTACATCTTTTGATAAAAGTAGTATAAACGAAGTTAGATGTGCATGAATCATTACTTTCGCGATCATATATATACCCCTATTTTAATTAAGAAGTGTTTGCATATACGTACATTAATCGACATGTACGTTATTATTACTTAAATTTGATAAACTTATATAACTACTCAATTAAATTATATACAATCAAAGACAAGACTGGTTCGTGCATAAAGGTGATTGTGGTTCACCGGTGCCACAATTATTGAAATAACGTTTTCGTATAGTAAACAAAAGAAAAAAGCAATTATGAAACAGGAATGTGCAGTCTGACCAATGGTGGTTTGTAGATGTTTTAATTATATAAGTTTACTTATGTGTAAAGATTCTGAAAAAGGAATAGAGAATACATACATTGACATATCCACAGAGTCCATGTTGGGTTTGTATTATCAAATCGCATGACACAATGTCTTGTCCAGCTTCTTTTTGTTAAATTTTGCGTTTTGGATTTTTGTGTATTGATTGATTAATCGAATCTTATCTGAACTGGTTTTGTTTAAGAAGTTGGTTTCAAAGAATAATCATAATAGTTTGTCCAAAAAAAAAAAGAATAATCATAATGTTTCCTTTTGTTTTTATCTTAATCAAAAGAAATTCAAGTTTTGTATGGTACGATTTGGTTCGTTTTAGTTCCATCTTATCGAATTAGAAAATTCCTCATATGAATTACTTATTAGTTTCTCGAGATTAAACTAGATTTTGGCATTGCAGGTTGAATATCCGGTGGATGCTTCGGTTAAGGATGACGATTATTTCAGACGATGGACATACGAGACATACAATTTCACTATGGCCGCATTTTGGACACCGCACTTGGTAAAGTCCACAGAACCCGGCAAGACCCATCCCAAGTATACTGATATTTTTGATCTATACCTTGATGAGGCGGACGAGATTTGGACAGCAGATATAGGAGATTTTGACTACGTTATCATCTCCTCTGGCCATTGGCATTACCGGCCATCGCTCTACTACGAAAACAAGTCAGTCGTTGGTTGCCATTATTGTCAATTACCGAACATAACCGATCTCACCATGTTTTACGGGTATAGAAAAGCGTTTAGAACAGCGTTGAAAGCGGTCTTGGACTCGGAAAGCTTCAAAGGGGTAATGTATTTACGAACTTTTGCACCATCACATTTTGAAGGCGGGTTATGGAACGAAGGAGGAGATTGTTTGAGGAAACAACCTTATAAGAGCGACGTGACTCAAGATGAAACGACAATGATGCTACACAAGATTCAGTTGGAAGAGTTTCAAAGAGCTGAAGAAGAAGCGAAGCAGAAAGGGAAGAGGTTAAGACTGCTAGATACGACCCAAGCAATGTGGCTAAGACCCGATGGTCACCCGAGCCACTACGGCCATATGCCAGAGACCAATGTCACATTGTACAACGATTGTGTTCACTGGTGCTTGCCTGGTCCTATTGATAACCTTAATGACTTCTTGCTTGCTATGCTAAAGAGAGAAGAAGACAAAGGATTACTGGCTCAAGTTCGGAAGATGTTGTCCTAATGAGTTATGACCAAGCCAAATTAAGTCTTCTGCTTCTCTCTCTCTCTCTGGTTTATTTAATTATATTTAACGACATGGTCAACTGTTGTGCCTAGTTACTGGATGACCACGAGCTCACCATTATACACCATATATACATACATATTTATGATCATCCCGGACACCATTGTCTCGAAGCAGACAATGGAGCTTCCTTTGTTTGCAATCCTTCAAAGGACACCACGAGTTGCAGTTACATTAGCTTTTGTTCTATTTCTCCTCACTATAGTCCCTGCTCTATATTCTCTACTCGCAAATCCAATCTTACCTCTATCAATCTCATCATCTGAAACAGATCGTTCCCCTTCAGTCAACCATATACATTACAGTAATCATAATTTTTCATCAAATCAGATTCATTCACCCCTTCCCGCTCCACCCAACCATACGCCTTCACGACATCGAAAATCTTCTTTCCATCGGATTCCTACACCTGAGAGTGGTCCCATTCCCTCTCCAACCAATCCCACACCTTTAACACAACAAAGTCCTTCATCCAATCAGATTCTTTCACCTAAGAGTAGTCCGATTCCTGCTCCACTCAATCATTTGTCTTTAAGGCATCGGAATTCTTCATCCAATCAGATTTCATCATCTGATGATCATTCATCCCCGGTCACTACATCACCAGCAAGGACGCGGATCAGAGATGATGAGCAAAAGTGTGATCTTTTTTCCGGGGAATGGGTGCCAAACGAAGAAGCTCCATACTACACCAACATGACTTGTTGGGCAATACATGATCACCAGAACTGCATTAAGTATGGGAGACCAGACACTGGGTTCATGAGATGGAGATGGAAGCCGGACAGCTGCGACCTCCCCATTATTGATCCTCAAGTATTCTTGGAAATGGTGAGAGGGAAAGCCATGGGGTTTGTAGGTGATTCCATTAGCAGAAATCAAGTGCAATCTCTCTTGTGCCTTCTCTCTAGGGTAAAAAGTCCAATCTAATTGCCAATGATCACCAACTAACCAACGTCTCTCTAAGTGTTGGCTTGTTTGATTTCCTTGTAGGTAGAATATCCTGAAGATATTTCTCCTTCACCAAATACAGATTTCAAAGTATGGAATTACACATCATATAACTTTACTCTTCATGCCATGTGGTCACCATTTCTAGTGAAGTCTACTAAACTTGACCCTACAGATCCGAAGTCCAACTTCTTCAACCTGTACCTCGACGAGTATGACACTGAGTGGACGAGTCAGCTCGACTACCTCGACTACCTGGTTATATCATCCGGCCACTGGTTTTACCGACCGGTTATTTTCTATGAAAATCGACAAATCTCTGGGTGCCAATACTGTGGGTTACCAAACACTACTGAATTGCCTTTGGACTATGGATACAGGAAGGCTTTAAGAATATCTTTAAAAGCTATACTCGAAAAATTCAAGGGTCTGGCATTTTTAAGGACTTTTTCTCCTCAGCATTTCGAAGGTGGGCCTTGGAACAAGGGAGGGGACTGTGTAAGGACACGACCTTATAGAAGAAATGAGACTATAGCCGAAGGTGCAGATCTCAAGGTTCATGACATTCAACTGGAGGAATTTAGAGCTGCAGAAGAAGAAGGGAGGAAGAAGAAGGGTTTGAGACTACAATTAATGGACATGACACAGGCAATGCTATTGCGACCAGATGGGCATCCTGGGAGATATGGCCATCTACAGAATGCGGAGGTGACTTTAAGAAATGACTGTATTCATTGGTGCCTGCCTGGACCTATCGATAATTGGAATGATATTTTACTACAAATGATGAAGACGGAGAACTAGAAAGCATCCCTCAAGAATGAGTAGAAGAGACCAATATCTAAAATCAAGAAAAAATGTAAAGAAAAAATCATGCAGAAGTCTCAGAATTCAATCGCCATATACTATATGGAAGGACAGTAAATCATTTGAGAACAATTATCGTATTCCTATAAACTTTATATGTAGTATTTTGACCCCTTTGTGCAAACTAAAATCACAAGAGAGCACTCGTGTACACAATTTCTTAAAAGGATATTTTGATGAAAACCAGGACGTGCAAAGCCAAAATGTAGATGACAAAAGCTGACCTGAGATACATAAGCCTCGTTTGGGTCTCATTTCTTGTAGCAGATGTATACGGAAGGTAGGAATGACCATCAACTTCCTGGTCTGAACCAAATCCTCTATCTGAATTTGTTCTCTTAAATCTGTTCCTTGCAGCGTTCCCCTCAACGTTAAAGCTCTCATACCTTCTCCACAAACTGTTTAGTCTCTCTAACTCCATCTCATTCGAATGAATCTCACCAACAATCCCCTCTGCTTGTGCCTGTTAGGCATATCAAAAGTTTCTGTTAAGAAACCGTCTAAAGTAAAAGTGCAGACTAATTTGGCTTGAGATGGACCTGCTTTGCAGCTAATTGTTCGATTAGACTATGAAGTTGTTTATCCAGTGTCTTCTCTCTCTGACCTGTGAAAGCATAAAATTTCCAGTCAGATAATGTGAATGAACATTTTTCACACTATCAACCTATCTAACGAAACCAATAACAAAATCTCTATCGGATTCTTACTGAAAATAAGCTATCTAACAAAGATTTTTGGTTTCATAAATGTTGAAGACATGATGGTTTTGAATGATGAAAAATTAGTAATTTAACATCTAATCAGATTTGATGACAAAAAGTACCTGGAGAAGGCTGCTTCAGTGCTCTTTCCTGTATAACAGCCCAACTCCTCTCTAAATTCTGAACCTTTTCTTCCATTAAACTCTAAAAGGAAGATATAACTTAACACTGCCGTTAGATATACGGCCAGGATTAGAGAATTCTATACCCTTAAAGGTAAAATGAAAACTAACCAAATCATTCTTTTTCCCCTCCAACTTCTCTAGCATAACAGATTTCATAGCTTCTGTATCTGCTCCATCTTTTCCATTCCTATCACCCTGAATAACAGATTCACCAGAGCTTTTGGAATGACTTGCTTCTAGAGAAGCTTGTTCATCTTCCTGCTCATTTCTCAAGTTCTCCTCTACATCTTCGAGCTCCTACAAACCATACTATATCAGACCGTGGCCCCAAATGGTAACAAGAGCAACGTTCACACCTAAACAAGATCATAGACAAGAAAAGAACCACAATCCAAATTTGAACAAGAAAACGTCTCTTATCTGGTAACTCACCTTCAACTTTCTAAGAAGAGAATCTGCTTCGTTCCTTTTCTCTTCTATTTTGGTCTCACAATTTGATATTGCATTCTCATATGTACTGTTTTCTTCCAGCAGCGTCTGCTCTCTCATTTGAGCCTAATTGCAATACCAAAAGAAGAACCATGAGGATACATAAATGTTTCCCTCAGTAAATTGGATCATTTCTGAAAAAAAAAAAAAGCCATATCCATTTCAAGACTAATACTACAATGCAAACACACGATTCCATAATCAGCTTCACTCTTTCAGAAACTCGAACCTGTTCACGAGTAGCGGAATGCGAATCAAGCTGAAGAGTGAGAGCGGCATTGGAGGCGAGGGAGTGAGCAAGAAGGTGAGGCAGACGCTGGGAGATATCCGGTGGAGGCAATCTAAGCCTTAGATCTTGGATCGAACGGCTGAGGGTTGTCGCTTTCCGGCCAAGCTCGTCGACGTATCTCTGCTGCTCCTCCGTGAAAACAAGTGGGATCCGATCTTTCTCATCGTCTCCTTCTTTTCCATTTTTACCGACGACATCGGCGGCCCAAGCTAAAAGTCCGGCCATATCTCGTCTCTTCGTCTTCCTCCCTTTCTCTGTGTCTTTGGTGACTCGCAGAACGATCACAGAGCTAAACCGAAGCGGTTGGTGCTTAAACCGGGACAGTTTGGTAAAGGTGAATTCTATTGTTGGTTCGGTTAACATTCAAAATGGCTTCTATTTTCTAGTATCCATCCTATATATGGGCCTTAAAAAAGGCCTTGTCTATCAAACATCAAACCCAATCTATATCAAATCAAAATTTAACAAATAATTTTCTTTTATAATTAACCGTTTAATAAAGATTTTAAATTCTTAATAAAGTTTTTATAGAAAATTTTACCAGTAATAATTTACTAATAATTTTTATTAACAATTCATACTATAAGAAATGCATTGAAGCAACATTTATCTAAGCACTTACAAATAATACAAAAATCTTGTCCATATCGATGTAAAAAAAAACCGTGTCCAATTGTCCATATGCATTGCCACGCATATTACATTGCTTGCAATCAACCCTCTTTCTCCTTTGCTAAGCAAAACATCAAATCACAAACCTCAAGCATGCTCCAAAGTCATCCACCAAATTTGGAATTTGTTGAAAAAAATAACCAATCCATATCAAACATGTAATATTCCACACACATCCCACTTAAGTTGGTACTAAACATTTGTTTGTTACAAAAATACAACTTACTTTCATAGAAAACTATTGTGATCACAGCCATATTATTAGTTAGTAATGGGTTCTTTTTTCCACTTGCTTTCTCATTTGGGCATGTATCAATATCTTCTATACGTTTAGCATCTATAGCAAGTCTCCTGCACGTTCCCAAAACCTTAGCTTGGAAACAAACATCTATCATAAATTTTACAAAATTTCTATATCCTTTTCTAATAAACAAACAAACCCCACAATTGTCTAACAATGAATTAACAGTTTAAAACCATCCCCCCCTTTACTTTTGAGAACTCATTTTTCCAAATTTGTCGTTATCTCTTTCTCCTGTTGACTAAGCAAAATGTTGAAAAAGGTAAGGCGAAAAGTCAAAGTGTTAATCGCAAAACCCTTTAAAAGGCCAAAGAACAGGCCTCTAAGACCACCATCACCACCACGAGAAACAGAGCCACCTCTTCCTTCACCATCTCCACCGCCTCAAGAAATGCCTTTCTCAAAACAAAGAAACACTCCGTTTCTCTTCCCTAGATCCAGTTCTTCTGTTTTACCCGACCCGTCTCGTTTCTTCAGCCACGATCTCCTCTCATCTCCTCTCCCTACAAACTCCTTCTTCCAAAACTTCACTCTCAAAAATGGCGACCAAGCTGAGTACTTTCACCCTTACATCATCAAACCATCGGTCTCATCTATCTCCATCTCATACCCAACTCTCTCCCACAACTCTGCTTTCATCTACGAAGCTTTCAACGCAGACATCACCATCACCGGCTCAGACGGACCCGACCCGCATTCTCGAAAAACTCATCTGATCTCTTCCTTCAGCGATCTCGGCGTCACGCTCGATTTCCCTTCCTCTAATCTCAGATTCTTCCTCGTTAGAGGAAGCCCTTTCATCACCTGCTCCGTTAACTCCTCCATCACAATCTCAACGATCCACGCGGTTTTATCTCTTTCCGGTAACACCTCATCCACGAAGTACACCGTAAAGCTCAACAACAACCAGACATGGCTAATCTACGCCTCTTCACCGATCAATCTGACCAAAGGCGGCGTCTCTTCGATCAATTGCGGTGGTGGGTTCTCGGGTATTATCCGTATCGCCGTGTTACCGAGTCCAAATCCAGATTTCGAATCAACCCTCGACAGATTCGCTTGCTGTTACCCGGTTTCCGGTGACGCTGATTTCACAAAGCCCTTTGCTTTAGAGTATAAATGGGAGAAACGAGGCTATGGAGATCTCCTAATGCTCGCTCATCCCCTTCATCTCAAGCTTTTATCACACAACGACTGCTCAATCACAGTTCTAGACAATATCAGATACAACAGCATCGACGGAGATTTGGTAGGTGTCGTCGGAGATTCATGGGTTTTGAAACCAGACCCTGTTTCTGTAACGTGGCACTCTATCAAAGGAGTTCAAGAAGATGCTCACCAAGAGATCATCTCAGCTCTCATCAAAGACGTTAACGCTCTAGATTCATCAGCTCCGGTGACGGATTCGTCCTACTTTTACGCGAAGTTGATCGCCAGAGCTGCGAGGTTAGCTTTGATCGCTGAAGAAGTTTGTTATCTCGATGTGATTCCAGCGATTAAAACTTACTTGAAGAACATGATCGAACCGTGGCTTAACGGGAACTTTAAACCAAATGGGTTCTTGTATGATCCTAAATGGGGAGGTGTGATTACTAAGCAAGGATCGAGAGACTCAGGAGCTGATTTTGGGTTCGGGATTTACAATGATCATCACTATCATTTAGGTTACTTTGTTTATGCGATTGCTGTGCTTGCAAAGATTGATCCTTTGTGGGGGAAGAGATACAAACCTCCAGCGTATTCTTTAATTGCGGATTACATGACATTGGGGAAGAAGGGAGCTGGTTCCAAGTCGAATTCGAATTCTAATTACCCGCGTTTGAGATGCTTTGATCTTTTCAAGCTTCATTCATGGGCTGGAGGGTTGACTGAGTTCGCTGATGGGAGGAATCAAGAGAGCACGAGCGAGGCCGTGAACGCGTATTACTCTGCTGCTTTGTTGGGGCTAGCTTACGGTGATACACATCTCGTGGCGGCGGCTTCGACGGTTCTGACGTTAGAGATTCACGCCGCGAAAATGTGGTGGCAGGTAATATTATTTTAATCTTGTTAAACAAAACCGAACCGAATAATGGAATTGAACCGCATCGAATTGAGAATGCTCAGTCTGAAAACCGGAATTTGGTTTTATATTTGGTTCGGTTTTAGTCATATCATTTTGGTTTAAAATGTTTTTGGCATATAAATTGGGAAACCACATGGAAATTGAATAATATTTGGTTTAGTTTCGATTTTGACAGAAATTTGATTTTATAACTTTTTAAAGTTGGAACTTTGAAGCATTTTAAAGAAATTAAAGGTCCGATTGGTTACTAAACCTATTCATGTTACGTTGGTATTAATTTGATTACTAAATTTTTGCTCTTGGTGGTGGCGCAGGTGAAAGAGGACGACACTATATACCCTCAAGATTTCACAGCGGAGAATCGTGTGGTTGGAATTTTATGGTCAACAAAGAGAGACAGTGGCTTGTGGTTCGCGCCAAAGGAGTGGAAAGAGTGTCGCCTTGGGATACAGTTACTACCGTTGCTTCCGGTGTCGGAAGTTCTGTTCTCCGATGTGACATTCACGAAGCAGCTTGTGAACTGGACTATGCCCGCGTTGGCGAGAGAAGGCGTTGGAGAAGGGTGGAAAGGATTTGTGTATGCTTTGGAAAGTATATACGACAAAGATGGAGCGATAGAGAAGGTTAAAGGATTAAAAGGGCATGATGATGGGAACTCTTTGACTAATCTGCTGTGGTGGATTCACAGTAGAAAGAGTGGTGATGATGACTTCACTGAAGACGACGATGAAGGTGGATACGGCGGTCACGACGGTGGTGGGAAGTATTGCTCGTTTGGTCATTATTGTAATTAAGCTTTTAATTAAAAGTTGTTTGGTTTGTTAAACTTGAACCTTCACTATAATATTTGATTTATAAAATAAACATGGTTTCAAAATCGATCATTGTGGCCCTCTTTCATATTGTATGTATAAAAAGGAATAACTTATAATTAGTATATTATAAAAAGAAAGCCCACGGCTTAACAAACAACAAAAAGTCCACTATCTATGCGGTGTGTTTTTGATTAAGTAATTTCCTTTTTTCTTACTACATATTTCCTTTCTTATGACACGTAAGAATTTTCTTTTTTTTATTTATAATTAAAACCAAACTTAACAATTTCCTTTTTTTATTTTTGTCATCAACTTCCTTTTTTTTTTTAATTAAAAACCAAACTTTACAATTTCCTTTTTTCTTTATAACATTAATCAATAAACGTAAAAAGAATTTCCTTTTTTTCCAACTTAACAATTTCCTTTTTCCTTTTCTTATAAAAAGGAAATTTTCTGTTGTTTAATTTTGGTCGACACCTCTCTGTTTATAAATAGAGACTGATTACTCTTGAGTTTCTTAATCCAGTAGAAATTAAAACTAGAACACATTCTCTTCAGAGACTGAGAGACACAGCGGGAGAGAGAGAGATATAGAGATTCTAATGGCGACGAGAGAGAGCCAACATAAATGAAGGCGCAGAGGTATCTTCTCGTATTCTTCTTACCCTATGAATCGATTTGATTTCGTGTGAATGTTTTTGCTTTTGAAATAACGAGTTTTTTTTCTCACAGATTAAATGGCGACGAGAGAGCAAAACGAGTAAGAGGTATCTTTCTAACCCTATGGATCGATTTTGCTTTTGAAATAAACTTTTCGTATTTGTATGTACCATCTTAATTAACGGGTTTGTTGTTTCTTTTTGGGTGAGACGAAACAGGTGCGTGTTCGTGTTCAAACCAGGACGATGACTCGGATGTTTACAAAGACGAAGTAGATTCAAAACAAAAACGGTAGTCGGCTTTCTTACAATAAGTTACAACATCAAACTTATCGATGAGAAGTTAATCTAGGTCTTTCTAATTCCATAAAAGAGAGTCGAACTTGCTTTCTAATGGGTTTGTTTTGTGTATTTCTTTTGGGTGAAACAGGTGTGTGTTCGTGTTCCAACCAAGAAGGACGATGATTTATTTGACTCAGATTAATGTTTTGAAGTATGATGAAGTAGATTCAGAACAATCACGGTCGGCATGTTCTTTTCTTACAGTAACAACATCAAACTGGTCGATTTAAAGGTATAGATAGGTCTTTGTCTTGACTCTGCACCTCCTCTTCCCTTGTCCGCTTCCTCAAATTTGCGGTTTTCTTTGTTTTCAATATTAGATGAGAATGTGACTGATATTCTATATTTTTGTGCAGATGTGATATGGTTTGAAGAATGAAGAAGATTCATAACAAAAGGTGGTGTTGATGTTTTGCCTTTGAAAGAAGAGTTTGTTTTTGCATATGAGATATTAATTAATGGATTTGTTGTTTCTTTTTTGGGTGCAGCGCAACAGGTGTTTGTGTGTGTGTCTTTGTTCGTGTTCCAACTAGGACGATGACTCAGATTTTTTCAAGGAAGTACAAAGTAGATTCAAAACACCGAAAAGATCGCCGGCGTGTTCTTACAGTAACAACATCTTGTCCACTTCCTCAAATTTGTTTTCGTTTAGGCTATTGTTTTAACAAAGCTTCTTCTAATTTTATACTTTTGTGCAGGTCGGAGATATGGTATGGTTTGAAGAATGAAGAAGATGTAGAACCAACAGAAACAGCCTTACGATAACAACGTCAATTTGATATTTTTTTTATTGTTTTCTTTGTTGCTTCATGCCAATAACTCTCTTCCACAGGTAATAAACAATTGAGGTACGCTCTGGTTCCTTTTAACTTTTCTCTTATCTTATCTTTTTTTTTATTAACTTCTAAGATGGTGCTGTTTTCTCCAGGAGATAAGTCAATGGAACTTAAGTAGCTGCAAACTGCTAAAAAGATGGTTAATCTACAGTCAATGAAGAATCCGTCTGCACTCAAGCCAAAAAACCAGTCAAACCAGTCACAACTGTCTCAAGCCAATGGCAGGCATCATAAAGTTTTAAAAAGGTAGCTCACATTCATAATTAATAACCAATAACCATTTTGATACATAAATCTGGTTTCACGTTCCTACTTTTAGTAATGTTTTTTTTTTTGGGCCTTTATTGCCTCACTGCAGGGAAAATAGTGTTAAAAACATAGCTAGCTCTGCCAAATTCATTCAGGAAAATGAAGCTATCAAAAGGCAAAGCTAGATGATTCAAAATCAAGACAAGTAAGCTTAATGGTTAAAAGTTCAGCATGATCTCACTACATGCCTGAAACTCTTTAAACCTCATCATTGACTTAAATGTGTTGATTAGGTTCTTTAATGTCTTGATTCTTTGACGGAAACAAGTATTCAAAATAACACTACCAATCTGATTCAGGAAAATCAAAGCGATAAAAAAGACAAAAGCTTGATTATGACCTAACGATGGTAAAAGCCTCTTCTTGCACTGTAAGTGATCTCTCATTTGAATGTTTTGCTTACTTGCATATAAATTTTGTTTGTATATATGGTCTTGATGATAATGAAGATTTTTTAGTTTTGCTGTTGCTGCTTCTCTAGATGATGGAGATATATAGAGATTTACTTTCTTCTCATTGTTAAGGAGGAAAGTCAATGGACCCTAAGAAGCAACAAACTAGGCTGAAGAATCCGTCTGAACTTAACTTTGGTCTCATGTTCCTCTCGTAATGCGGTTTTATGTGTTATGTATCTCACTGCAGGGAAACAAGTGTTAAAAACGTAGCTAACACTATTAGTCTGATTCAGAAAATCAAGCCATCAAAAGGCAAAAGCTAGGTGATGCACAATCAAGATAGGTGAGACAAAGTGTTTCAATATCAGTAAGCAATTCACTCCATACATCCAGCTTTTGCATGCACCACATCTGCCAGCATTTCAGGTAAATATCACCCATGAGAGATTATGCGTAATGAATCTGTTTGATTAATGTACTAGGATCTCATTTTCTTATTATTTCATCTTCAGACAGTGGCAAGGGCTAATCAGCAGCATGCAGAGCATTCTCAATAGATTCAAGCCTTCAACGTTGAAGCGTTTAAGCAGAGAATCCAAATGTAGAAACTCTGTGATTAATTTGAGAATCATGAAAAAGGCTTTTGAGAAAGCGGTAATGTTGCCTCCTGGTATATATACTTTAGATGTAAGATTTACAGAGTTGAGGCAGCAGTAAACTAACAGCTAGAAAGTTAGTTGATCTGCTGAAGAATCCATTTGCACTAAGGCCATAAAACAACGACCTAAACGAAAATAGATTAGTTTGTGTTTGCTTTGAGAATAAAAAACTTAGTTTCACTACGTTTCTGATGCTTGTATAGTTTATAATACCAATAAACCATGTTGATGCAAAAGAAAAACAATTTTTTTTAGCAACAAATGGTATGGTCTGTAGTTGGTGGGTGTGCCACTGCCCACTGCGTCACATGATTCGTCGAACTTTCTCAAAGATTCTGAAATATTCGTCATACTTGACCCACTAGTTTGGCCTTTTCTGAACGTGGTGAGACACATCTTAAGCCCCTGATTTGCTAGATACACTAGCCTCCAAGTCGTCACCACTGGAAAGTTTTTATTATAAATTTATGACACAAAATTCAATAAATTTAACATTAAAGATTCATTAACTGTGGTGTTCGCATTTGTGATTCTCTTTAAAATCATCATTACATGATCAAAGGTAATTTAATACGAGGTAGAAACGACGTCGTCTTCGTCAACTTTTTTTGGTTTATAATCGTCAATACACACTATAATATTTCCTCTTGGAGAAGGGAAGCGAAAAGCGCACAAAAGCTGAGATATCAAAAACAAGTTTGAAATTAGAGAAGAAAAAGAACCAACAACACGACAGAACACGAAGAAACAAAGTGTTAGAAGAGTTTCGGAATCGAGATCCGCTCTTTTCACAGCGTTGAAGATGCAGCCGGAGCAGCGATGCCGGCCGATGACCTCGACTGTATCGGAGATCGAGGAAGTTCTACCCGATGAAGACTCCGATAGAACGACTCTTCTCAACGGTGAACAAATGCGTCGTCGAGTTACCGGAAAGTTTGCGGTGGACGGAGGAAATCGTCGGATTTGCCGGCAGCAGTCGTTTGGCCGCGAAATTGGCCACGCGGCAGCTGAGACGTACCTGATTACTAGACTTAGCTTCAAGCTTCTACGTTACCTCGGGTACTTATCTTCGTTCCCGGTTAATTGATGATTACACACAAGGAACTCGTGAATTGTTTAGACGTTTTAGCTGGCTTTGAGCATTGTGTGCACGATACTGTTTAATCATTTTATATATCTGATTTTTGTTGCTCTTCAAAGAAAAACAGTGAGATATATGTTTCTGTGTTGTGTCTGATTCACGTTTGATAGCTAAGTTTTAGAGATTCGCATTTAGTTCCCCTGTCCTGTATCTTGCAAGCCTTGAAAAAATGTTATTTTACTTTCATATATCTGTTGACTTCTAAAGTACTGTTTTTTTTTTAATTCCATTTCAGCACGAATTTATCTGATGGTTAAGTTTTGTTCAGGGTAGGCTATCGATGGATGACAAGGTTATTTGCCCTTACATGTTATGCTATGTTGCTTATGCCTGGCTTTCTTCAAGGTTTGGTTTTTGTTTTGTCTTTTTACTGATATACAGAAAATTCATGGAAAGGACTGATTTTTATTATTGGAAAATTAGTTTTGATTTCTCATCCTAAGTTTGTCTATTTTTCTGCAGTTGCATATATATATTTTTTCTCTTCACAAATCCGGAGGAGTATAGTGTATGGAGATCAACCAAGGAACAGGTTTGTGTGTTTAACTTCATAGAATCTTGTCTTCTCCTTTCACCTTGGCATGTTGAATGCCTGCCCTTATCACATCTCCTCTGTCTGAAAACATTTGATGTATTGCATGTTATGAACTGGGATTTGGTAGGCTGGATTTGTACTTACCGAGCAACAATGATGGCATGAAGCCAGTTGTGGTTTTTGTGACCGGTGGAGCTTGGATTATTGGGTGAGTTGCACATCGGAGTTACGACATTCTCCTACTGCATAAGATTGAAGTTCGTTTATTTTACAATTTCTCGTGTCCCAGTTCCAGTGTTCCTCTCACTGTTCTTTTGTTGATGTTTGAGTTTAAAAAGAAAGAAGAAGAAGTAAAGATCCTGAGGTGCTCTGTGCTGATACTTTTGCTGATATTTAGGTACAAAGCTTGGGGCTCGCTCTTGGGAATGCAACTAGCAGAAAGGGATATCATTGTAGCATGCCTTGACTACAGGTAAAGATTGTACACAATTCAAAACTAGTTCTCTTTTAACTTAGATTCCTTACTCTGGATTCTAGGAATGTGGTATATAGTCCACACAGAATCGAAAATCTTTTAGCTCTGTTTGGAGCTTTTTGGGATATGAAGATGATTTGAAAATCTAGATTTGTTTCATGCACTTACTAAGCAAAATCCCTTCCTTTGGGTCTTTAGGAACTTTCCTCAGGGAACAATTAGTGATATGGTGACTGATACTTCTCAAGGGATCTCATTTGTCTGCAATAACATCTCTGCATTTGGAGGTGACCCCAACAGGTTTCAACTCACTGGCTTTGTTTTTTTATGTACCATTTGATCTCCCAATCGGTCTCTCTTTTATTGAACATCATGTATGTGCTTGTCTCTGTAGGATCTACCTAATGGGGCAATCAGCTGGTGCCCATATAGCCGCTTGTGCTTTATTGGAACAAGCTACTAAAGAATCAAAAGGAGAGAGCATCTCCTGGAGGGTTTCCCAGATAAAAGCTTATTTCGGATTATCTGGAGGGTAACTTCTAATCTTTGCTTTTGTATTCCCCATTTGGTATACAGCAATTGATCTGCTTATCATTTTGAACTTGAACAGGTACAATCTATACAATTTGGTTGATCACTTCCACAATCGGGGACTGTATCGCTCTATTTTCCTAAGGTAAATGCTCGGTTATTCAAATCCCAAACGTAGTCTGATGTGTTAATTTTATCTAATGTTCAACTTCCAACTTGTAGCATAATGGAAGGAGAAGAGTCCTTTGAAAAATTCTCTCCGGAAGTAAGATTGAAAGACCCAATTGTTGGAAAAGCTGCGTCTCTGATGCCTCCTATAATACTTTTTCATGGATCTTCAGATAATTCAATACCATGTGATGCAAGGTATATATAATCATCCTCTTGAAGCCATACATGGATAATATATCCTATGATTGAACTAAAACCTCCTCTTTTTGCAGCAAAACTTTTACAGACGCTCTCCAAACTGTTGGAGCCAAAGCCGAGCTTGTTTTATATAGTGGAAAGACACATACCGACTTATTTCTTCAGGTAGGCCACAGAAACTACCTTACATTGTGTACAGAAACTACATTATATTGTGTCACACGCACAAACACTTAGCTCAGTGTGGTAATAACAGACTCATGAGAGTGTTTGTTTATAGGATCCCTTAAGAGGCGGTAAAGACGAACTGTTTGATGACATAGTCTCTGTAATACACGCGGAGGACAATGATGCTCTGACCAAAGACTCATTGGCTCCTCCCAGAAAGCGTCTTGTCCCAGAATTGTTGCTGAAACTGGCTCGTGAGGTTAGCCCTTTCTGACTGCCAAAATACCACTTGCTTGATTTGTTAATTATCAGTTTGTATCTTCGTTAGTTGCCCTGTATTTTCACTTTTCTTTTTCTGTAATTCAATTTGTTCCTTAGATATAAATAGAAACTCTTACCTTTTCTGTACTTGAAGCTAAAACTTATTCCCTTGTAACTCAGAATCTTAATCAACAAGAGCAAAATAGCTTATCTATCTAACTAAAAGTGTCAGTTAGATTATTCCGGCATTTCACTATTACGGATTGCAAACTCCTAATCTTATGGTTTGTTTTAACTCTTAAGACGCAAGAGATACAGTAGTTGTTTAATTAACTAATGAAACAGTTGTGTTTTGTTTTCGGTTTGTGACTTAATGCCGTTAACTTCTGAAATTGCTATTTGCATCGTCCTCCACCAAATTTTATTTGACCCATGTAGTTTTGAACACATCAATGTGTTTAATTCCACAAGTTTGAAATCTAATAAAGCCAAAATTGATAATATCGAGTTTTATCATATTCCCAAAAGGTGACAGAGATGTGACAAACGCTGATGGACTTGTGCATGTTTTGTTACTATGAATATGATGGTGATCATATGCAAATTGGTTTTTGTATAAACAGACCCATCGGTGATGTTGATATAACCAACCTTATTCATCTTTTGACTGACCCACCATTTGCTTCAACTTGTGGCTCATGTTCTTCCTAATCTTTTGACTCGAAGCTACTTGGTAGATTCCAATTGGCTCTTAGGATCTCCACCGTTATGTCACGTCGGCTTGACCGACCTAATATAGAAGCAAACAAATTTAGGACAGACTATATTACATTATTTCCCACATAATCATCATACAAAGATACATTTAGCACCTAATGGTTACAGAGTCATTACTTTCTTAACAATGCTAAAGACTTTCCCTCAGAAGATTATAATCTTTATTAGAAAAGGTGCAGCAACGATCACCTGTGGAACCATGATTGTAAGTAACCCCAAAGCCTCTGAGACTAAAAGCCTTGTTTTGGAGAGAAACCTGAACGGTTAAAACATGACAGAAGTGAAGAATCAAGATAAACATTCAACTAAAAAGGCTAATGGTCAAGCCAAAGAGCTACTTCTTATCTTTCTAACTTTACCAAAAATAGTAGTAGATAAGACGAAAATAGTTAGAAGTTGCAACCTTGATGGCAACATGTGGATGGGTCCGATAACCTTAGGTAGAGCTGTTTACACAGAGAGAGAGAGGGAGAGTAGTAAGTAGTAACTATTGGTGTAGCTTCCTTCTCCATTGCAAAGATATAAGAAGACAATGAGTTTTTTGTTCACATTTTCCTGATGGGTTGATGATTCCAAAAGCTGTAAGCATCTGTGGACTGGACCCCAAACATAAACCTTGTCAGAAACTCAGTCAGCCACAAGATAAAATCACACAACTTGTCAAGGCCACAAACTTCTCGCCACGTGTCCATCCCTCAGCACTCTATCCTTCCTTGGCTTTACCATTCCACAACTAATATAGCCTTATTAGTCCCTCCCTGCTTTCAGATACTTACTACATCAAACTTAATACATCTGAGTTATTATGTTGAAAGAAGAAAGTAACTGGGCACAAGCCTGTGATTCATGCCGATCAGCCGCATGCACCGTGTACTGCCACGCTGATTCTGCCTACTTGTGCACCAGCTGTGATGCTCAGATTCATGCTGTCAATTGTCTTGCTTCTCGCCATGAACGTGTTCGAGTCTGTCAATCATGTGAGCGGGCTCCAGCTGCCTTTTTCTGCAAGGCAGATGCTGCATCCCTATGCATCGCATGCGATTCAGAGATTCATTCCGCAAACCCACTTGCTAGACGCCATCAACGAGTCCCAATCCTGCCGATATCTGGAAACTCTTACGGTTCCATGGAGACTAACCATTCATGTGAGACAACAGTGACAGAACCAGAGAACAGCCTGGTGGTAGGCCAAGAAGAAGAGGATAGAGATGAAGCAGAGGCAGCTTCGTGGTTGCTTCCTAATTTAGGGAAAAACAATGGTAACAATCATAGTCAGAACTTCTCTATTGGTGACGAGTATTTGGACCTTGTCGATTACAGTTCAAGTATGGAGAAACAATTCACAGATCAATCCAATCAGTATCAACAACCCTGCAACGTACCTGAGAGGAGTTATAGAGGAGATGGAGTTGTTCCACTTCAAGTTGACGAATCAAGGGGTCATATGCATCACGGGCAACATAACTTGGAGTTGGGTATTACCTATGCTCCTCGAAGCTCCAATGGTTCCATAAGCCATATGGTAAGCTTTTCCATATTTTATTCAGTTTCTTTACTATGACCAGCATGCTGTTTCTTTCATCAGACACACTAATCCATGAGCTATATGACTAAGATTGTCTTTGTTCTATTATTAGGTACATGTTTCATCTATGGACCTCATAGTTGTGCCAGAGTCAACAACGAGTGATGCAACAGTATCTCAACCAAGATCGCCCAAAGCTGTAACAGACCAACTAACTGAACCTCCACCTCAGATGCTCAGTCCAGTGGAGAGAGAGGCTAGGGTCCTGAGATACAGAGAGAAGAAGAAGATGAGGAAATTTGAGAAGACGATACGATATGCTTCGCGGAAAGCATACGCAGAGAAAAGACCACGGATCAAGGGCCGCTTTGCAAAAAGGAATGAAGCTGATGCAGAGGCAGATCAAACCTTCTCCACGACGATAACGTTTGATACCGGATATGGAATTGTTCCTTCATTATGATGCTTCTAAGGCAAAGCTATATTACATGCTTAGTTATTACCATTGTAATGCATATATACGTCTATAGTTTTGTCTAACTAGTACCAACCAATTAGATCTATTCATATTTTGCTGCTGTAGCTAAAACAAAATTTTCCCACTTTGGTAGAAATCGTACTATCTATGAAATATTACCACCACATCCACATGTAACTCTGCTATTCAGTCTAATTCAAATTTTGATGCTATGAAGAGATAAGGTTTACCTGGGCAGGCTGTACCAAGAAGGCAAGAACATTTAACACGTTTCCAAATGTACGAAAATAACTATTGATTCCTTTCTTGCTGACACTTGATCACCTAGAATATAAACGATTCCACTTTCATCCATCCCTGAGAAAATAAGGTTTTTACTCAACATGCGAATCCAAGTAGATTACAGAGACTAGTGTAATAAACATGTAAAACTTAAGAATTCCAATAAAATGAAGATAACATCACATAATGTGCTCAGATAAAGTTGGAGTCAGATGGCTAACAACCAATAACCCCGATATTGCACAAAGCTACTAGGTATAGTTTACATTGAAGCATATTCTTTTGCCTGATTAACATTGGTGCCAAATCCATTCCCACGTGGTTCTCTCTGCTAACAAGACTCCACCATTCACAACCAAGTTCTAGCAGAATATGTCAATGCCTATGGACCATCCAAATGAATAAAAGATATTCAGTATGAGAAATCTACTTCTTTTGCTATCTTTTAGAATAATGGCTCACTTTTACAAAAGAATAACGAGGCAGCGAAAGGAAAAGGGTGACACTGTAAGGCCTTCACTTTTTGCCACCTGGAAAGGGCCATAGACCTCAACTTATCTACCACTATGTTAGCCAGAACTGAGTCAGTGTAAGATCCATATGAATTTACCTATCAGTTTGTTGTAAAATATGTTGTATTGGACCACATAAATGCATTCACTGAAGCCAAAAGTGTTTACAGCAGCAAGTTCTCAGATCACCAGAAAACCTATTCGGCGATCTGGTTTGATCATGCACCAAACATATTAATATTAGCAAGCAAATCAAAGGTATCGCCAGTTGCATATAATACTAGCATATCATCAACAAGGAAACTTGAAGTAGTAGTAAAGTCTCTACTAAATTTCTTGTCAGGAAATTTTAAGATGCAAAGACAACCACTTGAAGCACAAACGAATTTAAGAGCCAACAGAATGTCAGTATTTGGTGATGGATTCGAGATATCACGTGAAAGTGCATAAAAGCGATTACCTTTAGCCGAAGGTCACTGCACTTTTGCACTTTTGCACTTTTCCTCTGATGCTCACAGTCACAGCCATGAAAAGTGGGAGAATCCGCACAAAACGTACAACTACAAGCTTTATATGGTCCCTAGACTCTTGTTCTCTTTTCACTCTTTGCAATGAAATAGGATTTCCAAAACTCTGAAAGAAGTGAAGTATTAGCAACCACAAAAACTGATAAACAATGAAAACTAATAAGCAATGTACTTTTCTTTCCTCAATCTGTTGAAATGAATCACAATAAGCAATATATTTTGCCTCCAGAAATTCTCGATGCAAGTTTCATGTTATCCGAAGGCCTACACATGTGACAGAAGTTCCAAACCGCAACAACAATGAACTTGCAGATTTTCAGAGAGCAATAATAAGCGAGATACATACCTATTACTTGAACTACAAGTGAAACAGGCCAATACACAATTTACTCTTCATGAACTCGAACCACATTAAAATCTCCAAAAAAATCCATCAACAAAGCACTCAAAGGCAATTTGGCAGGATAAAGATCTCTCGATATGTTTACTAATGTAAGGAACCTTGAATCTTTTTTTTTTAGAATTCAATGATCATGAAATCATTTCATAACATTTCTACATGCCATTACACTCCTCATAAAAACTAGTAATTAACAAGAAAAAATTGTTAAGTTCAAATTACCAAGCCAAAAAAACATTTTCAAAGTTTAAATTTACCATATGGGAAAGAGAAGTGCGATGTAAGCAAAAATGAAAGAGGCAGAGATGCGAAAAGTGTATCCTAGGACCAGCATTTTATACAGAAATCTAACTTTTCAGCTCTAGAGGCGTAGAGTGAAGGAAGCCACATGAATTTGGCCACTAGAGCGTTCAGCAAATCTCATTCTTTTTGGACCACAAAATGGGTATCGTACATCCACTGGACCCAAAAGCGTAACTGGAGCTAGTCCTCAAACCTGAGAGTATCATCATATCCTGTAGCTTCCACGTAGTAAACATTTTTGCTCATAATACAAGAAAGGCAACTCAAAGTACTAATTAATGGACTAATGGTTACTAGTATAAGCAAACCCAAGATGCTGACCACATGATTAGGTCACCAAATAGCTTGCATTTTCGAGAAACTAGCAAGCAGAGGTGCTTTACACGAGTGTAGCTCAAAACTTTACAGTTACCTAATCAAGTAAAAGTTCTCCTACATACTATTTACGGAGTTGGGATATAATTAACCTTTTCTTAGTTGGACTCCAAAATGCCTTTCAACGTGTGAATCAGGTAAATCCTAATCTTAAGACTCAAGACTACACATGGCGGATTCGAGTTGGGTCCTATAACACCCACCGTCCCTATGTTTTCCAAGTCATTTTCCAATATGTTTCTCAGTGCCATTACTTTATTAACCAGAGTAAACACTAAAACACTTTTCATCAAATAATCATTTGAAAGTTTTATGTACATGCATATCATAAAAATTTTAACAACAACTTTACCATATTCACGAGTTTGCGTAACTTTCTCTTGGTAGTAAGCCCGTAACAGTTGGTGATGACTCTGGGACTCCAAGCCTTACTTGGAGTATATCTGGACAAGTGGACAATAATCACAAAGTTCAGGATGAATATTCAACTATGTAAACCTTGTATGAAGCCAAAGAGATAAACGAATCTAGCTTTACTCTGCATATGAAAATAGTAAAAGGTGATACGAAAAATAGTAACAACGTGTCTGCAACACCAAGGCATTACCCGGACCACTTCCTGTTGAGAATCTCTGTATTGCAAGTGGCAAAACCTAAGCAACTTGTGAACGGGTCCCAAGGAAGAAGTGCATAGGAGGCGATGTTTACACTTTACACTTTACACATAAGCCTTCCCAAAAGTTTAACTAGCAGGTAGATGATCCAATAATATATAAGAGCCACCAACTCCGTGCCATGTGTAGGCACTCAGGATTTGATCTCCCCTCTGCTTATTCTCTCACAACAGATCTAAGCTTTATTAGCCCCTTCTTACTAAATCTGAGTCATTATGTTAATACAAGAGAGTAACGATATTAGTAGTGGAGAGAACAACAGGGCACGAGCCTGTGATACATGCCGTTCAAACGTCAGCACCGTGTACTGCCATGCAGATTCAGCCTACTTGTGCATGAGCTGTGATGCTCAAGTTCACTCTGCCAATCGCGTTGCTTCCCGCCATAAACGTGTTGGGGTCTGCGAGTCATGTGAGCGTGCTCCAGCTGCTTTTTTGTGTGAGGCAGATGATGCATCTCTATGCACAGCCTGTGATTCAGAGGTTCATTCTGCAAATCCACTTGCTAGACGCCATCACCGAGTTCCAATTCTGCCAATCTCCGGAAACTCGTACAGCTCCATGGCCACTCACCACCGAAGCGAGAGAACAATGGACGATCAAGAGAAGATGCCAGTGGTGGATGAAGAGACAAGTAAGGAGGCTAATGAGGATGCCAAGGAGGTGGTGTCTTGGTTATTCCCTAACTCAGATAAAAATAGTGGCAATCATAACAACAATAACCAGAACAATGTGTTATTGTTTAGTGATGCGTATACAGACCTTGCGGATCACAACTCAAGTATGGACTACCAATTCACAGGTCAATACAATCAACAAGAACAAGACTGTGGTGTACCACAAACGAGCTACGGTGGAGATAGGGTGGTTCCACTTCAACTTGAAGAATCAAGGGGACACCTGAACCACAATGAACATAATTTTCAGTTCGATATCACATATGGCTCCTCAGGAAGTCACTACACCGACAAAGGTTCTCAAAACAATAATGTAAGGCTTTAGTATATATGTTAGCCCTTCAATTTGGCATCTTCACAATAAGCAGCAGGCTTTTTCTTTCATATTATACACAAAAATCCACGAATTAACTGCCAACAGTTGATCTATACTACATAGAAATTTCACCAGAAGTCTTTAATAATAACAAAACAAATATGCTTACTTATGCATCGACTCTCTTTAGTCCTCTTACCAGGGCGATTGAGTGTCTTTGTTTCTGTCATTAGGCATACATTTCATCCATCGAAACTGGTGTTGTGCCGGTGTCAACAGCATGTTTCACAACAGCTTCACATCCAAGAACTCCCAAAGCGACAATAGACAAACTACCTGACCCTCCAAGTCAGATGGTAACCCAACTCAGCCCAACGGACAGAGAAGCCAGGGTCCTGAGATACAGAGAGAAGAGGAAGACAAGGAAATTTGAGAAGACGATAAGGTATGCTTCAAGAAAAGCATATGCAGAGAGAAGGCCAAGGGTCAATGGTCGTTTTGCAAAGAGGATAGAAATCGAAGATGAGGACCATGGGTTCAACACAATGCTAATGTACGAAACAGGGTATGGCGTTGTTCCTTCATTCTGATCCTCCTACGGCAAAATTAAACAATAGATACCAAGGTGTAAATTACTTTTAGTTTGAGATTCTGTAAGGTTTGGTGAAATTCTTAGCTTCAAGGACTATCACCAACGCTATGCAAATAGGTTTGTAGTTTTGGCTAATTATTACTATGGTATTCCTCTTTCTCTGCATTAGTTAAACAAAACCTGTCTACTTGGTACAAATCCCAATATGTGAAATATACATCATCAAGAAGTGTAAACGCAGATTTCATTTTGATAAGATGGACACTAAGGTTCAAAGCCAATGACTTTCGGACAACCTGAACATGTGCAAGCTAGGTGAGTACTATTATCCCATCCCACACAACATTTGTAATCCCACTAATCAACACGAAGTCAATACACGAAGTGGTCAGTTTCAGTATGGTTCTCAGAAAAAGGGGTATACATTAGCAGAAAACCAGAATCCCTGAGTGAACCATTGCTATTGTGAATAATTCATCGAAGCATATTGTTTATCTCAATTGGCACTAAAGATGATTTCAGCACCGAATATGCATTCCCGCGTGCTCTCTAGTATATATCACTAACAACTACTAAGAATAGGTAAATGCCTATGAGTATGGACCATACGCATAAACATAAGTACTTACTTCATGAAATAAAGCTCATACTCCAAGGGTATATGCTGATAAGAATGACAAGCTGCAGAGGTCTTCATTTACCCTACAATAATCATAGCTATCAAAACATTTGGTTTATGCATATATGTTATCGGACAAAGATCTGAGACAGGCGTTACATTGCCCTGACAACATGATTATGTGTAACTTATTAAAGAAAGCTTATAATAGTAAGAATAAAGTCTACTGAGCAGTGTATCAGCACTTATAACTAAAATGAGTCATATCCCAGTCCTAGATATAGAAACCATCAGCCAAATGTGTTTTCTGCTTCAAACACTTTAAGAAGAAATAACAACCAAGTGAATAGCTTACTAAGCGTTAATTTCAAAGTGATGGATTCGAGACCTCACATGAAAAGTGCATAAAGTGATAAGAAGATGCTGCACTTTTATACTTTTCCAAAAATCTAAGGATAGTTCAGATCGTTTACTTACTCACAGTCACACCCATGAAAATTAAAAACCATCTGCAAACGTACAATCAAAAGCTTTACAACGGTCCCTGGGACGTGATTGATTCTCACTCTTCAAACATTTTGCTTAAATGACCATAATCCATATAGTGAAATAGCAATTTCCTCCACATAATCCAGGGAAAAAGAACTAACTTTTGTGTCATGTGAGAGCCTAAACATGTGAGAGGAGCTCTCCCCTAACGACCATTAAATCCACAGATTGGAAAAGAAGAAGAAGCATAAAAAAACTTGTTTATTTGAACCACAAAATGGAAAATGTCAAGTTACAGAACAACAAGCAAAACTATATCTGAACAGATCTCTAAAACCCCAAATGAATCAATGATCATCTCTCTATCCTTTCTAACATTTTATTTAAAAAAAAGGTGGAATCAAACAAACACACACCAATCAAAAAAAACAAAAAACACTACCATTCATACAAAGTGGCTAGAATTTGAATTAAAGGAACGTACTTTCTCAATCCGTCACAAAAGTTTTGGGATTATTTTGGATAAATTTGAGGGAAAAAAATTGCGAAATTTGATGATTCCATAGATTGAATTTGGACAGTGAAAATTCCAATAGATTTGAATTCACAGTTTTGTTTGCTCAACTAAATCCAAACTAATCCCCAGGTAATGAATCCGACGAGTACCAGAAGAAAAAAAACCCCAGATTCTTCTTTACAGTGATGACTTCTCACCTACGGTCAAATACTAATGGGCCAAACCAAGGATAGAAGGCCCATTAATCTTGCGCGCTAAACTTTTTTTTTCCTTTTTTATTTTTAACCACTTTTTGTAATCTAATTTATATCATAAATGACATTTAAATAAAAAAAATAGTAAAAACGTACGTAACCGAAAAGAAGAAATTTCCTTTTACTTTACTTTGTAGACACTTGTAGAGAGAGAGAGGTCATCAGAGATGATAAGTTTGATATCTAGAAAGATCATCCTCGAACTATTTTCACCAAGAATGCTAGCTGCATTATCATTCACCATACCAAGAACCCTTTTAAAATTAATTTATGCTATAATTCTTATTCAAATATATATATATAGAGAGAGAGAGAGTAAAAGTTGGCTATTGAGAGCAATTGGGGTGAGCAGGGTCGGTGGTAGTTGTTTGTTTGTCTTCTTTTCTTTCTCTCCTACAATGTATACATTAAAATATATATTCTTAATTCCTTTTTCAAAAATTTATTCATTAATTAGAAACTATAATTCTTTGTTTACTAGAATTATCTTCAAATGGAAGAAGAAAATATCCATCTCAATTTATTCTTCTTTTCTGCTGATACAATATAACAGAAAATAGAAGAAATCTGATGACAACCCACCAAGGATAACAAATAAAACCCCAAACTTTGGTACGTAGTTAATTAAACCGTTAAAAAAAAAAAGTGATGCCAAAGAAAGAAAAATATAGATAGATTAATTAGAGAGGCAGAAACTTCAAAGTAATTAATGTTCTTGATCTCGATCACAAAGATCGACGTGACGACTCATGATGGATGATGACTTCTTGGATCATCTGTAATAGAAGAGAAGTCTTCATCCATTGAAGAAGAAGATGGATACTTCTCATGGATGCCTCCTCCAAGCTTCTTCATGGATGTGATCACTTGACGAAGCTCCAAGTTCTCCTCCTTAAGATTCAAGTTCTCTTGCATAACGTGATCATTGCTGTCGGAGACTTGGTTAAGCTTATCTAAAAGCTGGTGGTTCTCGCTTCTAAGCCAAGCAACCTGTGACATAAGCTCATCTAAGTGTCTTTGCTTTCTCATTCTTGACCTTCTTGCTGACTCTCTGTTTGATACCATACGTCTTTGCTTTCTCTCGTTGATGACGAAGATTCCTTCTGTTGCGTCATCTGAAGTCGTAGAGTTGTTGCTTGCCGGAGATTGTAGGTTGAGTTCTTGATGAATCTGAGGGTATTGGAGCAGGTTGAGATTGTTGTTGGTTGAAGGGGTTAGGTTGTTGTAGTAGTTGTTTAAGTGGAAGTAGTCTTGTTGTTGCATGTTGTTAAGACTTAAGCTATCATAATTTGGCTGCATGGTCAACCTCTATATCTCTTTTCTTGATTAGAGCTATAGCTCAAAGAGGTTGAGTTAATGGTGTGGAGATTGGATGAGAAGGAGTGTTTATACAGCTGAGAAAGGCATACAAGTGGACCACACTTTTTTTTGGTGCAAATTGGTGGCTTTCGTGACACATGCTTAAGAAGGCTTTGCTTTTGAATATATAATAATTTAGATTATGTCGATCGAAGACACTTGCTATGGCCATGGGCATGCCTTTTATTGTTAACAATTATTAAGTTTACATATCGAAGTTATTTTTTTTACTTATTTTCTTAGTTTTACATGTTGCTACATAAAATCGACGATGACTAATGTAATAGATCGATAAACAGGTTTGAAATGGAAGTCCCATTGACGTATATATTGGCTATTCATTGGTTCATGCATGAGAATGAGAATATGAGATCTAGGGAAGGCATTATACATGCCTTATGCCTAGCTCGTATTTTATAATAACCATGACTTGCATGCATGGTGTATCACACATTCATATAAATTCATAAGTTATATATATGTGTCTGTGTGTGTATCCATATATATGATCATGAACATGGAGGTGCTAGATCATCATACGATTAGTTTAATAATCAAATGGTGGCATCTTGTGTCCGATGCATGTGAGTCTATAGCTAGGAGATGGCGCCATAGCCATTTAGTGGCATCTTCATGATCATGATTGAACTGAAAATTGTTAAATTCTATGTATCATCATGCCCATGCATTATGATGATATTGACACATGAGGACTTGGATACCATGTATACATGTTGTGGATAAAATCAAGCTTTCGATCAATGTTATGTGCTTACATCAGAGAGAAAGTTTGTAGTTTCTAGTTGTGGGGTTTCAAAATTATTTTAGTTTGGAAACAATGCTTTTGTTAGCCAATACATAAAGTGGCAATGATGCCAAATAAGTCAATTTATAAAGTATATATGTTCTTTATTTGATTCTAACATCTACACACAAACTTACTCACCAATTTCTCTTCTTTCCTTTTCTATAGAAAAATAATAAAAATATTATCTCTTGGAGCTTTAAGATTTGCTTCTCTTCTTTACTTCATTATCATATGGTTTTCTAGCGTAGATTTGTGGAGGTCCTAAATAAAATATAAAATATGGTGTCTTTGTATACTACAATATTTCTTGTCATTTAAAACTATTACGTACAGTGATCAATTATAATTGCAATATAAAGACTCTAATTCGGATCACTCGATTGATCAACTTGATTATTCATCCTCGATCCTTTAACCATGCACATAATATATGTATGGGTTATTTTTCGTTTTAAGTGTTATGTATGTTTAATCTCAATAAACCAAGTCATATATTAGATCATGTTGATACAAAACCTTGATTATTACTTGCGCCAACTCGTCTTATATTATATATAGATATATGTGGTCAAAGACCAGCATTAACAAAAACCAAACCAAACAAACTTCTTATACTTTCACAATGAAAGCAAGATGTGTTAGGCAGGCTTGGCTTGTCGTTTTATGATGTTCATTACAAAAACAAAGGCTATATAATACATTTGAGGAATTGATGACTCAACAACCACTTAAAACCACACACACACTTGCATAATGATTAGTGATTACAAACTAAAACCAATATGTCTTTCCTAGCTAGAGTTACTAGACGAGTGTTATATCTTGGTTGCTTAATAATCAAATATCAAGAAACTTGATTGTTAATTACCGAACGCATATATGATCATTTTGTTGTAAACTGTCTGAACTTTTCTATAACGAATGAAATATTAGGAAATCTTTTTTTTTCTTTTTTTGAGTTTTGTCCTATAAGTTCCTGACTTTATGATAAGCGCAATGGAAGTTTTTGGGAAACTCATTAACAAATGGAGAATTCAAGAAATCTTCTTTGGTCTCCTCTTTTCTTTCTTAATTGCCACTACTCTACTATATATATTAAAATGTATCCAACTTTTTTAAACTAAATATAACAAAAACAAAAAAACTTAGGCATGCATGGGTTCTATATTATAATCCCTTTGTAAAAGGCAATTCTAATTTTAAATATGTGCATATTGATGATATTGGTCCTCTTGGGTGTTGCTTGAAAGTTATACAGTCTGGAGCTTGTTTTTTCCAATAACTAATTAAGTTCGGTTATTACTACTGATGCAATATAACTTACTATTTAAGGAAACTACATATGTAAGAGACATGCCTAGCTAGTACTTTATGTTGAACATACAATATAGTGTATTTTTAAGTCTCTGGACTGATATTCATTTGAGTTTTTACTTAGTTCAGTTCAGATCATAGATCTCCATATGTATGAGTTTATATTTTGTAATGTGCAATTCACAAGAATTTGAGTGACTTAAACTTTATTTTGACAGCATGGTTTAAATTGCATGTTGATGCAAAAAAAAAGAGTGCGACTGTGTTGGTCAAACAAAAGGCAAATATAGAGATACCATCAAAGTCATATCATTCAGAGACAAAGTCTATTTCATCTTTATTTCAGTCTCATGTCCTTTGCACGGTTTGTTCTTCTTCCACAGCCTCAAGTTTTTTTTTCTTCTTCTTATTATATCCTTTTCAACTTTTTTTTTTCCAATTTGCTTTTCCTTAGTGTCTCCTTTTTCTGATAGTCTTTTTAGTAATACATATATTTTTTACTCGATTAAATAAACTTTAAAAGTATTTTTGAATGTTTCATTGTTTTGGTCCCATCAATGACACTACCACCTGATATTGCCCTACCTTGAATATTCAATTCTTTACCAAATAATTCCCTCAGATCTTCAATTCTGTTAAGAAAACAAAAACTAGTTTTCGTAACTGTGTTCTAATATAATTAGTAGTACCTACCATGTATAGTACCTACCATGTGAAATATGTAGTATCTAAAGGCAGTTCAGACTTCTAAGTATATATATAGAACACTATTTTAGTATCTTCAATACACATTTGTTCGAACATCAAGTTTGACTCGCTGGTAATTAAGTGTGGTAATAAAAGGTTTTTGATTTGTTTTGTTAGATTCGTCTGCCCCTTAAATACCAAATATGAAAATTTGGAATTCCATTGAGATCTTCTTGGTTAAGAAAACTCCAAATATCATCAACATATTAATTTATCGTTATACTGTTTTTTTAATGAAAAATGGATGAGGTCATGATGGTACAACTGATTGGTGGATTAAGGATAAGCCAATCACCAAAGCAAAGCCTATTATATCATCACACCTTTTTTATAATTCCACACCTTTTGTTTTTATGAAAAATATTGTAATTATATACCCATAGTTTATACTTTGGTATTTTTCGTCCGTACCTTTAGATGAGTCTATCCAATTTGCCGAATGAAGAATTCTCTCAATCATATTTCATATATATATATATATATATACACCTAACTTTTTATTATTTCTTCGAGGGAAAAAATTGATCTCATGTTTGATAACCTTAACAAATATAAGAAAATTACGTAATATAAAATAACTAAATAACCATAATAGTTACGATTATGCTATAAATTTTACTACTGCCTGCAGAAAGATTACAATTGTCAAATGACCCACTTGTTCTTGCCTAATTGTGCTTCCATTTGTTTTTTTTATAGATGTTTTCTTAGGTTTTTAAAAATTTATTAGGATGCATATATAGCTTTTGTATCAAAGCCATATTATCTGAGTATGGACACCAGCAATAATTACAACTTTTCGCCATGCAAACTTAAATACATTACACAACCACAAATTTTGTCTACCATCATCTAACCTCCATGAAGATTACTGTAACTCAACTCGTGTAAGATGTTACAAGAAAAGAAAAGAAAAGAAAAGAAAAAAAGAATAACAACATAAAATCACAAACTTCTGTGCCATGAGATTAGACTAGTCTGAATTTTGATTACCGTTATACATTTAACTTTATAATCTTGTCTCTGGTTTATTGATTGCCTGGAGAGTAGTTAATATATATGCATTTTGGTATAGAAAGCTTAAAGAGAAGAGAAGAGAGAATCCTAAGAGACAAGAAAACAAAGTGGGAGAACGTCACTGAAGACTACTCGAGCGCAAATTTCAATTACAAAATGATTGAGGTAATAATTATCAAATGAGACATTTCAAATGGTGTGATGAATTTATTTTTGATGTGATGTTATTCACCCACTCCAACTACAACAAATACGTTTTATTTTAAAGTTTCTCATCTTTTCCTTTACAGTTCACTTATTTAATCCGTTTGTTCTACACAAATAAAGTTGAAAACGTCACAAAATGTTTTAGAGATATATTCGCGTGTTCGAGGTCGTGTTTTCATGAAAATATTATGTCTATACCATGCCGTCTGCTGATTCGTCATAAGAGGAACATGATCTAAAACAAGATAGATAACGCAGTCTATCTATGGTTAGTGGTTGATGTGAACGACTAACTATCTATGGTAACCTTTTAGATTTCATAGAGGAGGAGCTTATATTTTTAGAAAGTTAAGAAAATTTATGTGTGGAATGAGACAAGAGACATAATTATTGCATGTGAGAGGATAATCAAATAGTGTTGAGCCAAATGGGCATCCAAGAGCCAGAGAAATAGATTTTCCAACTTTCATTTTCTTCAAAAAAAAAAAAAAAATTAAAAAAAAAGATCGACACTCAATGTTTGAAGTTTGGCTCTTTAGAAATGTAAAGTCACTATAGAGAAAAGAGCCAGCCACTCGCTTGTGAAAATGACTTACGAACTTTAGTTTTTTTTTTTCTTTTTAAACAATCTTAATCATAATAGGCTTTCGGTTCATATTTGAAGTAGTTAATTTCAATAGACATTAAAATATAAAGACTAATAATAAATCATTTTTTTAATTCTTGATTTATTAATTATTACAAATGATGAGAACCGTTAGAAAACCGATTCTACCACATACAATTCTCTCCCATCCTATTAAACAAATTACAGATTATTTTTCTTTCTAGATATACATCATTTCATTTTCTCAATATATAATCACGGTGAACGACTCTAAATTATGCATCGTTGTATGTCTCTTATAAACTTGTTTCCTTAATCTGTAAATTAATTAATAAACCACAATATATGTGTGTTGAATCCCATACCATTTGGTGTAGAAAAATCAATTATTCCTCAGTCAATCACTCGACTAAGGAAACTTCCACAGCAATTATAAGTCGAGAAAGTAAAAAATTATAATTAATATCATTTCAAAATAGCTTTTCTAGTTTTACCCAAGTCCGATTTTAATGATCCCATTTGTATTTAAATTTGGGAAACAAAATGTGGATATAGATAAGGATCGTATGAATATCCAAATATTTATATCCAAATATTTATTTATGTAAAGACGTGAAGAGAAAAATTATATCGGAACAATATATACATAATAAAGGTAATTTCCAACCAAAATTCTAACATTTATCTAACTTAGTGAATATTTAATAGTAAAAAATTATACAAAACAATATATTTAAACCACAAGCCAACATTTCTGTAGTTTAATGAGATGTTTTTAAGTAATAATTTTTTATGTTATATATATTAAATAAAATATATTGTTATCTAGATTAGTATAAGTGTATAACCCAATCAGGAGAAAAAAAGAAAAAAGAAAAAAAAAAACCCCCAATCAAGAGAATGATCTCATTTCATGCGTTTTCCACATATTTAAAATATTTGTATTACGCATACCTGAATTTTACTGCTTTTTAGAGCTGACTAAAGGTTTACAGATAACAGATAAGAAAAAAGAGCTGACTAATGAAATAAACGCAATTTAACCGCCTTTTAGAGCTAACTAAACATTTTCCGTCGATCGGATATAACTTTTAACCAGAGATGATCCATTTTTACACTATTCTTTGGTGGACTGGATATACGGAGTATAACCAACAAGAGACAACAATGAATCTGCTCAATGGGGTTTTGAGTGTAATATCTCTTTGCAGCTTCCACCTTGATATCTATATTCCCGCCCATCAAAATAAACCCCAACATGATGGATCAAAATCTTGTCCACTTAATTTTATATAGGCCACGAAGTCACACATATGCCTCTATTTACAACATCTCTTACTGATACAAATCCAAACTGAAATGGTATTAAAACATCAACGGGCCTTTCACGTTGAACAGTCTAATCTTTCACTGGTAAAGTGTAGAAGCATCAAAATCATATCAGAAACAGAAAATATATTCATATTTAGAACTAATCGAAGTCAGATCAGCAGCAATTCCTCTATGATAAACAAACTGTGACTGCAATTATCAGCAAAGTCTTACAAGATATATAAAACCTAAATAACTTACACAATACATGGCTGCCAATGTATTCTTCCTTTTAACTATGACCAATATGTACATCATAGCAACCAGAAACAAATCATTTTACCAATGAGGCCTTACCAAAGATCAAAGCACAATTACTTCTTCATCTACCCGGACATTGACTCCATTGCCAAACCGCTGCTACCTCGCCGTTGTGATCTCCTAGTCCTTTCATACTCAACATCATCCGTAGGTAGCTCATACCGACAAACCGGGCACGTATTCCTTATCCCCAACCAAGGTACTATACAATCACCATGATAGAAATGCTTACAAGGAAGCCTCTTAGCTTTCTCCTCAACCACAATATCATCTTTGCAGATCGCACAAACAATGGTGTTCCCGTTGCTCACTTGTTCAGAGGTAATCACCACAGCAGGAAGATCATCAACCACCCTTTTGGATGCGGGAGGACTTCCCACGACTCCATCCTCGTTATCAAACATTCGTGCTAAAACCGCATCGTACTCTCCATTGGTTTCGCCATCTTCATATGAATTAGCTAGATAGACGCCGAGATCCAAATCCATCATATCTTCGAAAAAACTGTTGGCATCCCACAACAATTGCCAAGCATCATCCATTGATGGGCTGCTACTAACTTGAACAGGCTCTTGAACCCAGTCAATCGCGTTGTGCAAGTTCTCCCATTCGAATTCTTCATCAAGCACCATAGCTTCTTCAGATAGATTATTATTATTATTATACTCAACACGAGTACCAACTTCTACCCGACCCGAATCAATTTCCCTGTGAACCACTAACCCACCTGAATCACCCGGACCTGACCCAGACCCGATTCCAAGCCCTAATTCTATATCCTCCTCCCAGATATTGAAACCACCGAAACTACTACTCACCCTCTGATTCGAACCTATACGAAACTCACGTCCCATGTCGATCTCGTACGACTCTCGATCAAAGAAATCGATGAATTCAGGTTCCGCCTCCATAGAAACCGATCCAGAGTCCGAATTCGAATCTAAGAAATGGTAAAACGGATTGAAATCCTGTTGGATACCAGATCGAGGAACCTCAAGGGCGATTGAGCTTCCACCGCCGCCTTCTTGCTCTGCTTCGACGTTGATAGCACAACCGAAAAGTTTCGCCGATGACATTGCTGAGCTTCCCAGAGAGAAGAGGTCAAAAAAACACGGAGAAAATCAAAAAAATTCGAAGAAGGAAGATGAAAAGATTCGTATCTATTATACATTAAACAATAATTAATTAAATTGTGACGGTGTATCTGTATTAAACTTACACTCGTGGGCTAAGATTATGCCACGTAATAACCACAATTTTAGAGAATGGGAAATATATAAAAAATAACGCCGCTGCCGGGGATCGAACCCGGGTCACCCGCGTGACAGGCGGGAATACTTACCACTATACTACAACGACTTGTTTGTTCTTTATCCAAATTTATTGTTAATAAAAATTATATTTGTAATATCGTGTTAGTCATGCCACAAACAGAGTTCAAGAGATAATAATGATACTATGCTTCTTATCAGTTTACACATGATTTTTGCTTTTTGTTTATGGATCTATACTAGGTTGCCAAAGAAGCAACTAAACTAGAAATAATTATGAAAATTTGAAATTATAAAAACACTGAATTAAATAAAAGTGTTGCCTGTTGGTGATGAACAGTTACATATTACAATTGTTTGTTTTTTTAATAGTAGGTAACAGATCTTTAGAACCCCGTAGACTTTTTTTGTTCCAAGTCTGCAAAACAGCAAAAGTGCTTAGAATATATCAAAAACGCAAAACTCTGATGACAATTTTTTTCAAAAAGGACAATGCAAAAATCTTTTAGAGGCAATATCCCCTATGATGTTGAGGCAATATCCTCTGCTGTCTTTTGGCGTTTAAGATCTGGCTCATCCTCGTTGATATCTTCTTGAGTCTCTTCTTCTTCTGCCCCTGCTTCTTTGTGATTGCCGTTGAGATGACCGTTAACTGCTTCATGACCCAGAAGCGAGACATGTTTGCTTGTGATTGTACGGCCAGCCCTGATCTTTGGACCCCAATGTTTCTCTGGGTTTGGTAGAAACCGAGCTACTTTCTTCGCCTGTGCTTTGCTAAGCGAACCAGCATGGCGAGAAAAGTCAGCCTGTCCAAAAGAAAATAATGTAAAGATTCAAGCTCAATACTTTAAATAGAATCTAGGAAACCATTACAACAATGGCTAGTGAACTAGGACCTGATGTGATGGTTCTTTAGATAGAATCACACTTCCAGGATGTTCAGGTGATTGCGGTTTAATGGGATGATTTTTCACCTACAACCAAACAAAACGAGTTCATTCATTATTAATGAGGAAAAGAAACTTTGAACTTATTTGAGTAAAATGAAGGAACGAAGATGGTTTACCCAGCACCGCATGATGTCCCAGATAATCTCCATTGGAGCATCAGTTTTGATCCCAAGCGGGTTCACATGGGACCCTGAGACACGGTACTTTGCATTAATTACCGCTGATCGAAACAGAGCAGCTGAAGGTGAAGTACATTTTAGCGTCGCAGAGAGACTATGAAGGCTCAAAAAGAGTGGAACATCTGGCAATTCCTGGAGACAAGCAAAACAAATATAGGGATTTAGAGAATTTAAGCCAAACCAAAAACTAAGATTTACAGAGTTTGGAGGAATGTTTTGCCTCTGAGATTGTTGTAAGAACAGCACAAATTCGGTCATAAGCAGGATATCTGTCTTTCATGGATTTAACACCGTTAAGTATCGAAGTCACCCATTCTTGATCGTGCATTGGAGCAGACCATATTGGTCCACCCATGTTATATTTCTTTCCACAGTGAGTGCAATCCTGAGGAACAACAGGACCAACTCCTGGTAGATACCTCACACTGTTATTCTGTAAGAAAATTGTAGAAGAGGATTATCAGAAAAAGGAGGCTTTCAGTAACTAAGTAAACTAAATATGCAAAGAGACAGACACGAAACCTTAGGGAGAGATCTTCCAACAGATTGAAGATGAAAGGAATCACAACCAATGCACTGATAGACGTATGAGAGCTTTAGTGGAGTGTTTTTCATTGCACTCGCCGAACTGCATTTCATAAAGCTTCAGTCTTTACTTTGCCTCTAGCTGAGAGGAAGTGTTTGAAAAGAAAGGATAACTCACGTGTAAACGCGGACAAAAACACGGACGTAGAAATCCATTTGGACTGATAGAACTGGAACAATATACCGTTTATAGCGATTTGCATGGCTCTGCAATCAGTATGACCAAAGTCAATCAAAGAAAGCTTCCCGACAAGAAATACTAATAGAACGGTGTTTACCAGTAGCTAAGAAAATTACCTCGATGCTGGCCAGGAGGATCCGCAAAGCCATCTCATGACAATATTTTCCTTTCAGTGGATAAGAACCATATCTAACAATAGACAGATTAGAGGCAGTTAGACAAATTAAGGATATTTGTTTTCAGAATAAGGTAATCAAGGGGAAAATCTCACTTTGAATAGCAAACCTCGCCATTTGCCCCACATAACACTGCCATGTCAGTTGCTGTACACATTAGCAGCCCACCATCAGCAACTGATTGAACAGCTGAATCAAGGAAAATGGACGGGGCACCATATGGATCAAGATCAACCTAAGACATCAGTGAGCCAAATCAGTTAACAGAATAATGCAGTCAATCAGAAGAAAAACGTCCAAATCTTTTGACAAAATGAGTATAAGATTTTGTAAAAAATTTGAATGCATACCACATCAAATTCCTTTGGGTTGCTAAGCATGTGGACACGAGCATCAGTAAGATGTGACTCCACCTTTGAAGTGGACATCAAGCCATTGAACTTAATGTTTCTCTGGCAAGCTTCAACCGATGCTTTAATAGGAAAATGGTAACACTAATATTATTCTGGGAAGTTAGGATAGAAGAAAAGTTGCGTTTCTAACATCTTCACAATCACAAAAGTTAGGATGAAAATATTACCTGGGTCATTATCCAAAGCCACAACTTGACCAATTCCTTCAACTTCACGAGCATACCTCAAAGCTCTTAACCCTGAAGCTGACAGGGCCTATAAAATGCATAACACAAGAATAAGTTATCAACTCAAAAAAACGATATAAGAAAACAAAAGTACAACTATAACAGCCAGAACTAACAAACAAAAATATATAACAGTCATAGACTCATAGGGGAAAGAAGATAGGTAGACCTCAAGCACTCTTGGTGGCTTGAGTTCTCTTCGTGCAGATTCATATGCGATCTTGGGAGCTTCCTTTGGTTCATCCTGAGATGTTACTTTGTGTTCTCCATTGGTTTTACCATTATCCTCACCGTTTTCAGTAGGAGTTTCTTCCTTGGAAGTCTCAGAGACTTTCCCAGATGATCTAGCTCTTTTAGACAACATCGCCTCATGCTCTTGCTTGCGTTTGGATATAAATGCCCTTAGCACAGCAATGGACATGTCCCTATTGTTAACCTAACCATAAAACAATAAGCACTTAGATTTAGCTCACACGTACATCCAAATGGATTCATAAAAAAACACTATCTAAGGAATTCTAACTTAAGTGTGTGCTAGAACTGCTTCTAAGAATATGGTAATCATTAGAAACACTGAATTTAAATTCTCAAACAAAGATAAAAATGCCCCAAACTAATACTTGATCAATCTTAAGATTTCCCTTGACGTAATTCAATCAATGATCACCAAAAATGAAGATCCTTTGCAACAAATCAAATCCAATAGCAACAAGAAGGCAAAAATGAAACCTGAGCTTTGTTGAAGAAGACTTGGTTCTTCTTGTGCATTAGGACCTCAGCCTCTCCTTCCTTGATAACGGTATAATCATTTAGATCTGTTTCCATTGCTGATCTCAGATTCTTCGCTTTAGGGGCCAAAGGTTCACAAATTGAACTACCAACACGAATCTGTAACCCGAACTGCAAATCACAAAGCTTGAAGCTACAGATATGTGAATATATATGCCGAAACCTATCGACTTGTTTGAGTGAAGCTTGAATAAACCCTATCGCTTCTCCTCTTGTTGCAGTTTCAGAGAGAAGGAAAGGTGAGAGAGGCCGTACGGAGTAAACTTGTTTAAACCCTACAAACCATTGCAGATATTTTGCTCTTTATTTTTACTTTAGGATGGGAGTTGATGATATCAAAACTTATGGGGTCAAATTGAAAATAACTAAAAAGAGAGAGAAACAAAAATAAAAAAATGGCCTATACAGGGATCGAACCTGTGACCTTCGCGTTATTAGCACGACGCTCTAACCAGCTGAGCTAATAGGCCAGTTGCTAAGACTTCTCTTCATCAGGTATACAACACACTCAAGTAATGATAAAAAGCTAGATATTCTTTCGCTGAGTTACGTAAAAAAGTGGCCTATACAGGGATCGAACCTGTGACCTTCGCGTTATTAGCACGACGCTCTAACCAACTGAGCTAATAGGCCATGTTTGGTAATCGTTAGATTGATACAATACTGTACGTTGGTAATGGGAGAAGGATATCATTATCAAATTAAGAAGAACCAGAGGAGAGCAAGAGAAAGGGGAAGAAGAAGAAGAAGAAGACGATGCAGAGCTTAACATCAAACGAAGTTGCGGGTTTCGCAGTAGGAGCTCTGCTTCTCGGTGCCACCCTCGTTGCTCCTAAAGTTGATGCTTTCATCGCCGCTTCTCAGAGAAGGTAAACAAATCTTTTTTACAAGTTCATTTATCTCATAACACACACAAAAACCCAATCTTTCATGTTCTTAGTGAAACCCATCTCATTTAGTATCCAATTATGATGAACATGTTTGGATTCTAGATGAACCTATTTGATTAATGATGATTCTAGTAGCTGCGTATAATTGTAGTAATCAAGAAATTACTTGCTTGATTGTAGTAGCTGCGTAGAATTGTAGTAAGCTGTTTGGTTTACTTCTCAATTTGCTGAAAATCTGAAAATGATAGGACTTTAGGAGTTCTTTTTTTTTCTTTTTTGTCATGTGTTGTTTGAAATCTCAACCAAAGTATAGATTTTGAAATCAAAAAATTCATATTGGGTTATGCTTGTAGTTTCACTCTCCAGTAGAAGCTTTTTTTCTTCTTAGTTCTGACCATGTGAAAGTAATGGTTTCTTCTTGGTTCATATGTTCGTCTTCAAAGAATGAGACTGTTTTAATTTGAAGGTCTTCTCACTATGTTAAGATTCTTGATTTTGATTATGGTTTCTCAAGTTCTTATCTTTGTAATGAGAGAGACCGTGTAAGCATCTGATCTTAAAAGACTGTTCATTGTGTCTACAAGAAATGTTCTAAGAATGTTGTCTGTCTATGGCTGAATGAAACTAGACTTGTTCTTGAATCTATATCTTATTACAATCAGATGTTTCTAAAACAATTGTTTGTAGATCTCTTGGCATGTGCCGAAAATGTGGAGATCTTAAGAGCGTAGCGTGTGGCCGCTGCAAAGGAACAGGAACGATCAAATCAGGCGGATTTTTTGGATTCAGTGACTCATCGAATTTAAGATCAGTCGCTTGCGATAATTGCCAAGCCAAAGGTTGTTTCCCTTGTCCCGAATGCTCAAAATCTTGACCGTTTTCTAAGGTAGAATTACAGAGATTGCTTCAATACTAAAACTACTTTGTTTTCATCTTCTTGACCTATATGATAATGTGTAATCAGTCCATCTGTAATGTTGAATTTGAGAAGCTTACTGCACCAATTCTTGATCAGTTGCTGGTTTAACCAAATAAGGCACTTTGATTAGATAAACCGGATGCTGGTAGATTCTTGATATGGTTAACGTTAACCGGTCTCGTTCGGTAATCAGAAGTGCTCTTCTAGTCCTTCCATTCCGTAAGCAAAACATTAGGTGGGGTTTTTGGCAGTTGATATAACCATAATTGGGTGCAAACACTTATTTTTCAAGAATATTGTTTAACTTTAAGTTACTTTGTTTTCTTTTACTTTTTTCTCAGTTTGAATATGAAAAATATCAACCATTTTTTTTTGTTTATGGGTTAAGTGGATTGGTTTATTTTTCTTTGTTTTTGTTTTCAACACAATTTAGAAAGAAGAAAAAAAACGTACGTGCGAAATGAAAATTGAAACCATGATTTGGTAAAACATTAAAATAAAAAGTATAGACGGTGTTATGATATTTAAAGAAAAGTAGAAGGGTAGAAATGTTAAAAGACATAGCGTAAGACAAGTCACTGTTAAAAAGGAGGCTTCGGCTCAGCGAGCACGTCTCCGACAGAAGTCTTCACTCAATCATACCTCGACACGTGTCCGTCAGACCACATCACCCATCTTGTTCTGTAATAATTTCACTGTTATGATTCTCTCTTCTTTTTTTTTTTTTTATAACTTTTACACAACGTCTTTTTACGCTCTGTAAATCTGTACGGACTACCCACGTCACCTGAAGTATTTTTTATTTTTCTTTTAGCTTCTAAATTCTCTCTGACGAGAAATAAAAATATACAAAAGTTATTTATACATTTTTTTAGTGGCTGTGAGACGTGTGTTTAAAAGTTTCCTAATTGAACAAAACCATATGAGTCCATTTATATTGATGCAATTCGCAATTGCGATCCAAAAATGTATTTTTATCCCACTCTTTCGAATACATATACAGTATATAACCTTTTAACTAAAGATGCGTTTACTGTATTTAATTGATGATCTTTTGGCACTTCTTAAAAAATGACTATATACAGTATACGTTTACTTATTTAGTTGATGATTTTTTGACACTTCTTAAACAATGAATATATATAAATATAATTGAGAACATATATCATCTATGTTTTATTTCCTTCTTACATAATATTCATTTGATATGTTTGTACCTTTTTTGTAAATTATCTATGTAGATATCCGCCATATTAATTGTAGCTTACACGAAGGGGGACAAATCAATCTATGTAGATCTAAATTATACTGTTTCTTTGTTATTTTACATAGCTAAACTGTGTATTATATATATATATATATATATATATATTGCATACACAAAATAGCTGTAGTTTATGTTTCCTACAAATATGATTAAGGGCAAACATGCATGGATAACTCGATCTTGACATACAAGTTTCTCATTTCTAAAACTTTATATTAGAAAAAAGTAAACTCCAATAAGATACAGACACGTGGAAATCCATTTTAATGTAGGAGATGCTTTTCCGCGGCTTCTGAAAACAACTAGGAAAATGATACGATACGTTGCTTTCATTTTTATTTTGTATCAATATATATATAACGTTTAAATTGCTATCCTAGTCCAAGCTATATTCACAATACATATCATCTCACGCGCTTCATATTTTTACCAACACTACAAGTCTACAACTTGCACATTTATGTTTCACCTTATGTGAAAGTAAAACCTTTCTTTACAGAGAACTTCTCTCTCTTAACACACAGTTCATCTTTTAGAGAGAGAGAAGGCGATTTCCGGTTAACCGGAAAATTTTAGTTTTGTTTTATAGATTTCCGACTTGGTTCGGATCTTTTGTTCTTCTTAGTCAGTTTTAAATAATGTTTATCTTGTTTAGTTTATTGACTAAGATAGAAAATCTATGTTTTTTGTTCTTGCCTCTTTCTACAAAGAAATATATCGAATCCCGTTTGTTTTTATTGGATTAGCCATCAACTTGATTCTCCTTCAAAGATAGAGTAATATATTCGCCGTTATATCTTCATCGTTAAGGATTGAAGAAGACCTTATCTAGGTTTTAGGCGGAGCTTCTTCTTGGAGTTTGGATTGAGTTTGACATTTCCTAAGGTTGATCCAATTCTTGCAGCGGTTAAATTTTGTAGAAAGATGGTCCCAGAAGCGTGATTTCAAGCCTTCATCTGTTGCTACGTTCGTCGTCGGCGTAAAAATCGGAGTACAGTCTCAGATCTAAGTCGGTGAGAAGAATTGAGAAGAAACAAGAAGTGGGCCCTCTTGCTTTTGCTTCATACACGTTGGTGTTACGTGTCAATGTTATAGTATGTGGGTTCATTTTAATTTGGGCTTAAATAAGGCTTTGTATCATGCTTTTGTACTCTGCCCATTTTGGGCTTTCGTTATAAAAACGAATGGTCGACAAAAAAAAAAAAAAAAACCTTTCTTTACCGATTTCAAAGTTAGATTTTCAAAAAAAAAAAAAACCTTTCTTAGATTGGTCTATTAAATTGTACTTTGTATTTACTTTTTACTAAATCAACAAGTGTAAACAAGTTCTATGGCAGGTTTATGTTGAAATATATTGCGCATTCTTTCTTTTGGGAAAACAAAATATATATTGCTTATTAAGTAACAAAATAACACGCTATGACGATGAAAAATGAAATTTTAAGTACATATGAAAAATCTATGTTATTTCCCAAATATGTATTCACCCATATACATACACACGTAAGAGTGTACTTTTATTTTAATGTACCCATTTACATCCAGTACGAGGTGTGTGTATATAATAATACTACAAACTTTCTTAATATCGGTTAAATTGACTTTTTAAATGTGATAGCTTCAAGACCGTATATACATATATGCACATGTTAACCATGATCAGCTTTGGGCCTCATATGTTTAGTTACCGGTCAACCATCAAACGTGCATGATTTTTTTATTTTAATAAGCAATGATCGTCATTGTTGCATTATATACAACAACTAAACATAAATAATTTGCTATTCTGATATAAACATAGAATCTCGAAGAAATAAACATGTTTTTAATCATTTGCATAATATCAGGCAGTTATATGCCTAAAATAGTAAACACCATATATACACAAACATTATTCAACCTGAGGAGAGAAACACACAGATAATTATATACGTTCCAATATATTTCATATAAGTTGATGAATATATTACGAATCCACTGTTATATATTGACCGGCTAATAGTTACGTTATTATAACTCTGTAAGAAAGATATAAAGTAATACGAACTGTATAAAATTTATTAATCTTAAATAAAATACAAATGTAGAATGGTAACTGTGTAGCACACGTGCTTAGAGAGAGCGTGGGAATGAAGGAGAAGTAGTAGCTAGAGAGAGATGGCTAGAAATGAAAAACACACCAAACCCTAACCTCACCCCTCACAGATTTCTTATCTTTTGCTCTCATCGAATAGATTCCATTCATACAAAAATAATAAATTTCATTAAGATTGCACAACCTCCACACACTTCCAAACACACAAAAGAGAGAGACAAATATAATATAAATCAAGAACCCTAACAATCAAAACCAGTAAAAGCAAATTAATCTTTCCTCTTTTTCTTCTTCTTCTTCTTCTTCTTCCTTAAGCTAGCTAGTAGTACCCTTGTTCTTGAAATTAGGGTTACTTTCCTATCCCCTTTCCATCAAATTCTCCAGAGACCTTTAAATACTCAAAAGATCAGATCTTTCCTCAGAAATAGAGATACCCAACTCAGGTTTTTGTGTGTCTGTATATAGATAAACATTACATACCCATATTTTGTGTGTGTGTACGTACATATATAAAAGTGGAAATAAGGGTAACAAAAGAAAAAAGAAATGGGAAGAGGAAGAGTAGAGCTGAAGAGGATAGAGAACAAAATCAACAGACAAGTAACGTTTGCAAAGCGTAGGAACGGTTTGTTGAAGAAAGCTTATGAATTGTCTGTTCTTTGCGATGCTGAGGTTGCTCTCATCATCTTCTCCAACCGTGGAAAGCTCTATGAGTTTTGCAGCTCCCCCAAGTAATTCACTCAGCTCTCTCCCTCTCTTCTTCATTTTTCAGTTTTTTTTTTCATAAAATAAATTGGGGTTTTGCTAGATCTGAGCATAGATCTTTGTCTCAAGGACCTGTTTTGGGACTAGATATCTAGATCACCCGATCTTGATTACTAGAACGTCGTGATCTTGAGTTTAATCAGGTTTCTTGATTTCAGTTTCTAGGTTTTCTTGACTTCTTGATATTAAAGATCTGATTTCAATTTCTAGGTTTCTTGAGTTCTTGATATTAAAGAACTGATTTCAGTTTGCTACAAGTTATGTTATATGATATTTAAAAAAAAAAGAGGTATATATGTATAATTGAAGATGGATTTGAAGGTAAATCCAAATCCAGATATGCAATCTGAAAAGTTTTATATTAATTAATATATATATATGTCTGTCTGATTGGAAACTTAAAAAAAAAAAGATGGATTCACAGATTTCTATGAAAATAATTAGTACCCAACGTAGAATGATAATATATGGTTCCATGCATTAACCATTTGTTAGTTCATCATACTTTATGGTGGTTAAAACTTTAAACGTGTGTATATCTATGAAGGCTTTAATATTTATTTTTTAAACTTTTGTTGCTTAGATGTTTATATGTTAGATTAATTAGTTCAGTTAATTTCATTCAAGAGGATATAAAATTGATTTCCTTAATTTTAACAAAAAGTATTATTTGCATTTGTGAATCAACTCAAATGAAAAATGTATAAGAGATTGCTTGCAAATAATATTCTTGATTAGTAAACACAAACGCAAAACTTAACCCTTGGAACAAATTAAACAAATCCCAAGTATGCTTTAGATGAGTACGTAGTAGAAATAATCTTCAGTTTTGAAAGAAAATATATACTTGGAGAGCTAGCTCTTGATTATGGTCATGTAAGGTTTATCTACTAAGTCAAGTATGATTTTTTCGATTAGCTTCTTATCATGCTTGTGAGTTTTCTTTCAGCATGCTCAAGACATTGGATCGGTACCAGAAATGCAGCTATGGCTCTATTGAAGTCAACAACAAACCTGCCAAAGAACTAGAGGTGTTTCTTCAATTCAGATAATATTTTTCGATTCCTATCATAACATTGCAAGAAAGATATCCTTTTAAAAAGTCTGTTTTTTTCTTGAAATTTCAGAACAGCTACAGAGAGTATCTGAAGCTTAAGGGTAGATATGAGAACCTTCAGCGTCAACAGAGGTATATATTTATCTATTTCTCTCTCTACATTTATATATATAATTATACATGTACATTACATATTCATATTGATATATGTATATGATATGGATCTTTTGTTTGGTGCAGAAATCTTCTTGGGGAGGATTTAGGACCTCTTAATTCAAAGGAGCTAGAACAGCTTGAACGTCAACTTGACGGCTCTCTCAAGCAAGTTCGGTCCATCAAGGTTAGCTAACTAAAGCTATGTAGAAGTAAGGATTCAAGTGAGATTAACTAATGTGTGAAAATACGCTAGCTGTTTATTAATTATAACTTCTACATATGGTGGTATGATCATGAGTGTTTGCAGACACAGTACATGCTTGATCAGCTCTCTGATCTTCAAAATAAAGAGCAAATGCTGCTTGAGACCAATAGAGCTTTGGCAATGAAGGTATGCATTATATTAGAATCTCATATACACATTAAATGCATTCGATGACTGCTATCAATCTCTTTCACAGGTTTTAAAGTTTCTAAACATTTTGGAATCATCTCTAGTTTTAATTTCTCTTATTTGAATTATTGTCTTTAATTTGGTGAAATGTAATTGTTTAGCTGGATGACATGATTGGTGTGAGAACTCATCATCATATGGGAGGAGGAGGGGGAGGATGGGATGGGGGTGAACAGAATGTTACCTATGCGCACCATCAAGTTCAATCTCAGGGACTATACCAGCCTCTTGAATGCAATCCAACTCTACAAATCGGGTAAATCCTTTGCCTTGAAAAAACCATATGCAAATCACAACTTAGATTGTCTTTGCAGTTTAAAGGTTTTAGTTGCTTGGTCGATATAGGATCATCACCCTTTGAGAACCTTTTAAGTTTATTGAAAATGTTATGGTGACAGGTATGACAATACAGTATGCTCAGAGCAAATAACTGCAACAACAACACAAGCTCAGGCACAGCCGGGAAATGGTTACATCCCAGGGTGGATGCTTTGAGAGCCATCTTCTGTGATCAAGCTCACCAACAAAAACCTTTTTATATATATAAAAAAAAAGTATAGACAAAAGACTTTGATTTGTAGACATAATAAGTACGTGGCTATATATTATGGTCCAGAGGATCTTGCTTATATTATTAAGGATTGAAATGTGTGGAAGTTGTTTTGACACTGAACCATTAGACCGGTTTATTGTCATGTAATGAGAAAAAGTTTGGGTGACACTGGGATCTCTTCTTGTCCCACAATAATTAAACATCTATGCCAAAATAATAATCATCACATATATGCTATTAATAAAAGGGTTATGTAGTTCATACAAAATGATGTGAAAAATTTCAAGCCATAAACAAAACACTGCCCCATAGGCACATCTTGAGAAACATGCCAGACTCCTGTGTGCATGTGTTTTGTTGCTGCTGCTGTTTTCTCTCAAGAGGGTTTTCCTCAGAACTCCATTAGCCAAATGTGCAGAGACATTCCTCATTTCCATATATACCATATATTGTAAATTAAAAATATTCACAGATCAAATCAATTTGCAAATCTGTCTGCTGCCTTGTCAATCTCCTCACTTTCGGTTTAGGCAGTAGAAGACAGGATCAATGGTAACAAGTTACGGTGTTTCGTTGAACTCCATCACCTGCAAATGAGACGAATTCAAAGCAGAGAAAGATTATTCTTTTATCAACATGTGAATGCCAAAAAATGGCTTGGAAGAACATGAAAAAGTGTTACCTTTCCACAAACAGGACAGTTTTCACTTCTCTCCATCCATTCATAAATGCAACTGAGGTGGAAGTGGTGAGAACAGTTTGTAACAATCTTTGGGTTCTCTGATGTATATTCTGAAACAAAAGATCCAAAAAGAAAAGCTGATACTAAGCTTCCTTCGAATGGCATTGATAGAAGTAAGAAGAGAGATGAAAATGACTACCTTCAAGACACGTTGGACAGACATCTTCATCATCAGATGTTATATACAGGCCGTCATCACCACCAGTAGACATTGTCTTTGACTTAAGAATCCTTCGAGTGGATTTAGAGAACTCTTCTCTGGAATCTTCACCAGAGATAATAAGCTTATTAGCCCATTTGCTTCTTTCCACTGAGAAAGACTCAGAATCCACATCAGAATCACTTCTCAAGGGCTCAGTTTCCTCATGAGAATGACTTGAACCCTTATCGCGTCTAGAGACAAGCGAATCACGCCTTGACCGGAAGCATCTTGGATCAGCATCATAAGGCAGAGGCCTTGGAGTAGAATGGAATGTATTAGACATAAAGTTATCATAAGAAGTAGATGAAGCTAGAGATACATTAGTAGCCTGTAAGGAGGATGGGAGAGAGCGGGTTTCGCCTCTTCTGAACAACGAGATATACTGCAAAGAGAGATCAAACACAAAGCTTCAATGAGCTCTGCTTTGTATATAACTAGCGGGTGAAAAGTAAAACAGTGGGAAGAGAACATTACCAGGTTAAGTAAGCTATTAACAAGACATCTCGGGCATGAACTAGTTGGATTCGGGTGATCCTCAAAGTCGTCGACACGAAAACAAGAAGAAACACAGCCCATCTCCTTCTTCTCTTGATTTCTTGAAATGTTAATTCCAATATGATGATTCTTTAACTTTAAAACTTGAGAGGAAACAAATTGCTTTGAAAAATTTCACAAAGATTTACCAAAATCACAACACCCGGTTTGAAACTTTTAGGAGGCCAAATGAGAGAGGCTACAGCAGCAATCTACTTCACTCCCTCAAAGTTCGCCTGTAGAATGATCTGTTCTAATGAGCTTTTCAGCATTGAACAATTGTAGAGAGATTCCCAGCAAGAGACATCAGTCAAACGATTCACCAAACTCAGTAAAAATTAATTTGTGTGTTTTGGTCAAAAAAAAAACAGAAGGCTCCATATGGCAAAACTGGTGAAAGTGAAATGCAAGCAATTAACCCACTCAAAGGTGAATCCTAATTCAGGTAAACCCCAAACAAACGCAATAATAACAGAGAAACCATATAATAAAAATAAAAAAAAAATAGAGTCAAGGCAGAGACATTTGACCAGACACCAATAAAAACAATATTTTTGTGATAGTTCTGATCAGAGTCGATCAGAAACCATCATCCAGTTGCTTGTTTTACACAAGAACATATTTTTCAGAAGAAATAAAATCAGACGAATCGGAGCAAAGGCTATACCTTTCATCGAAGAACAAAATGGGTTTTCGATTTTTTTTGATCGGACTCGACGGAAAAAGGAAAGAGATTGAGACAAAGAACCGACGAAATTTTCAGTTAAGAGAGAAAAAGGAAAGAAAGGAACTTAATTTGCTTTTTATTAGCAGATTCCCAAGGAAAGTGAACAAGTACTTTAATCTTCTTTCTATTTTGTTTTTATTAAATCCACTCAGAGAGAAGGAAGAAAAAGTGATGGGGGAAGGAAGAGGAGTCGTGTGATGAAGTTGGTGTGAAGGTGGGTGGGCGTTGTTGCTCGACACCAATGGCTTCAGACTTGAGTTGAGTTGAGTTGAATTGAGAGTCTCTCTATTCAATAATCAACCAAAACTATTGCTTCTCTTTTCAAAATTATTTTTAGATTTATTATTACTACTATGAACTTATGAATATGAACCATCTAAACTTACCTATGTGTATGTGGGCTCTTTTGTTGTTCAGATCAGCCCATATATCAAGATATGGGCAAGACCAAATTTAAAACCCAATTCAGCCAATATACATATTGATGATATTCAATTTTTTTTTTTTTTTTGAGCACCTATAGTCAACTGTATGTATCTATAGAAACTTTGTAGTCATCTAAATTTGTATATTTGTTTTTGATAAATTTAAGAAATACCCATTGGTCGATCTATAATGTTAGCATAATATTTCGTTTGTTGTTTTTTCTGTCGTCGGTTTCAAAATTCTAATAAGAGTAGAGAGTTTGTTTCATTCTCGTGAGTGGGTGATCTTTTTAGCATATATGACATCCTGTTAATATAACACAAACTAAACAGAAAAAAACAAAATAGAAAAAGGTTAAAAAGAAGAACATTCACAATTCCTTCTTTATCAAAATGAAAAAACATTCGCATCTTCAAATTATCTATTTACTTTGTCCTTTATCAACAATAATGATTTTGTATACATATATGATATACAAGAAGACAGAAGTAAGAATTGGGTATATATGGTTGTGTGGACATCCTTAGTGTCTCGTGAATCGACAGAGACTCTCCAACCGTATTCGCTTCCCCATTCTCATTCCCATATGCCTTCACTTTCGTAATTTTCATGTAATGTTTCCTCTGTTACAGAAAAATTATTTACTCTGCTAAGTCTAGTTATCAACTTTACTCGCATTGGCTTATATGTTTCTCCAAATCTAAACCCAATTGTTTTTTAAAATCATCTGTGGGAATATATATACTACTCTTCCAAAATTCCAATGGTTCAACAAAAAAGTACTTATTGGTTTTGGAGTGTCTTTAGTAGATTGTAAGGTAGATATAAGTTGCCAAGATTAGTTTTGGTTAAAATATATATACAATATTTTAGAAATAATTATTGTAAATTTCAGTTCTTTGAAAACATGGATGTAGACAATACATAAAACATCAAAACATGACACACATGGATTCCAAGTTTGGAAAATGAAAAATTAAGTCATGTTTTAGCTCATTCAAAAATCCAAAATGTACATAAGGGAAAGATGAAGAAAAAAACATATTTTCGAACTCAAAATATCTCAAATGTGTTCTTCAACCTTTAGCATGAAACATAACTTCATATCTACAGTTCATATGTTAAAGGAGGAAAGATATCAAGAGAATAGTAGTTTTAGCAACCCCGCAATTCAAGAAACAATGATAACAGATTTTGCTTTGGTTTTTTTTTTTTTTTTTTTATAATTCGAACGTGTTTTTACCGTGTAACGATCAATACTATTTAATGGACACGTCTACGTGAATCCAAAATTATAATTGTTGTCTTTTTTCTCACCTCTTACTATTTTTTACAATAATTCAGCATCTGAGCTGTAGAAGGATAGAGTCACAAGACAATATAGTAGCTAGCTTTTGTAGTTAGAGTTTGTATTTTTCCCATGATTCACATTAACATAGAACAAAAAAATAGAAAGAGATAAGCTTTCTTTTACAATCTCTTCGTTTTTCGTGGCTCACTCATCTTCACACCAACAATCCTATATATATCCCTCTTTCCTCGATAACCCTCTTTTTCATAAGACACGCACACTCAGAGAGTCGATAGTTAGCTATGGAGAGAACAACCACCTTATGGGTTTGGTTTAGTCTTATGTTTTTCCTAGGCATCTTTAGTACTGGAGGTTTGTCTCAAAGACAACAACATGTTGTGAAGAAGACACGTTCTTCTGCAGTTGTAGTCGGAACTGTCTACTGTGACACTTGTTTTAACGGCGCCTTTTCAAAGTCACCCAACCACTTAATCCCAGGTCTGCTTTTCGTTTTTTCTTGCTCGTTTTTTATCCAAATATATTTGGTTCTTGGAATCTAGAACAGAGCTCTCTGTTTTACCAAAACATGATTTAGTTTGAGCAGTTATGGTTCAAGATTACGACAGGTTAAAGTCTGGTTTATGCCGATTATTAGATTAGTACAAAACCTGGTTAATATCGTTTAAGTGGATCAATACATGAGCTTTCTTGTTTGTGGGTCTAGAATCTTAGAACGAATTATGAACAGTTGTCTGGATCTTGTTGCAGGTGCTTTAGTTGCAGTGGAATGCATTGACGAGAACTCGAAACCGAGTTTCAGACAAGAAGTGAAAACAGATGCGCGCGGTGAATTCAAAGTGAAGCTACCTTTCTCTGTGAGCAAACATGTGAAGAAGATCAAGAGATGCTCTGTGAAGTTGCTAAGTAGCTCACAGCCTTACTGTTCCATAGCTTCTTCGGCGACATCTTCTTCTTTCAAACGCCTTAGATCAAACCACCATGGAGAGAACACTAGGGTCTTCTCCGCAGGATTCTTCACTTTCAAACCCGAAAACCAACCAGAGATTTGTAGCCAAAAACAAGTCAACCTCGGCCAAACCACCAAGCCTCTTTTACCGGATCCCTCATTCCCTCCACCGATCCAAGATCCGCCTACTCCTTCCGCTATCCCAAATCTCCCAATCGTACCTCCGCTTCCGGACTTGCCTCTTCCTACAATTCCTCCTCTTCTTCCTCCAGGAACATCAGGATCACGGAAATCAGCTTCCTTGCATAACAAGAAATATGGTTCCTTGGAAGACAAGAAAACCGAAGTGCTAAAACCCGATTTCTTCTTCCTTCCTCCAAACCCGCTAAACCCGCCATCCGTCATCCCTCCAAACCCTCTGATCCCTTCTATCCCAACCCCAACTCTTCCTCCAAACCCGTTGATCCCGTCTCCCCCAACTCTCCCTCCAATTCCCCTACTTCCCTCTCCTCCAGCAACACCAACTCTACCACCGATTCCGCTACTTCCTTCTCCCCCGGCAACACCAACTCTCCCACCGGTTCCAACAATTCCAACTCTTCCACCTCTTCCACCTCTTCCGGTTCTTCCTCCTGTTCCAGTCGTAAATCCGCCTTCGCTACCTATGCCGCCACCTTCTCTCCCTATTCCGCTCCCTCCGGTCCCTCTTATCCCTGGAATCCCTCCAGCTTCATCTTCCTTATCTAGTCTCCATCAACCCTAAATTCAACAATCCTTTCCTCACATATCCCAATTATGTAATCTATATGTATCATCCTGTTTCATTTTTTTGTGTGTTCTCTTCTACATTTTCACTTGTTGCTTTGTAATTTCAATAAATATTGTTACCGAACATTTGCTGCTTTTCTTTAAATCCTCAACTACAAAAAAAAAAAAAAAAACCGGGAAAAGAAAAATAACATATCAGAGAAAATTTATTTTTAAAAAAGTGGCCTATATTGAACAGATCCAGAGATTTTAGCAACTTTTGTAATTATCTAAAAGCTTAAGCATTATTTCGTAATTTATTACGTTTTCTTTATACATTTGTGGGTTATAATATTTTCAGTTCCAGTGAGCGAATCTTATCAGGAAAAAAAAAAACTCAATCAAAATTATCCGATCTGATCGATGGCGGAGACATTCAAGATCCGGCGACTTGAGATCTCCGATAAGAGAAAAGGATTCATAGAGCTTCTAGGTCAACTCAGCGTCACCGGATCAGTGACTGACGAAGAATTCGATAGGCGATTCGAAGAAATCAGTTCGTACGGAGACGACCACGTGATCTGCGTGATCGAAGATGAGGCGTTGGGGAGAATCGCAGCTACGGGAAGCGTTGTGATAGAGAAGAAGTTTCTGAGAAACTGCGGTAAAGCTGGACACATCGAGGACGTTGTTGTGGACTCGAGGTTTCGCGGGAAACAGCTGGGCAAGAAAGTGGTGGAGTTTCTCATGGATCATTGCAAATCGATGGGTTGCTACAAGGTGATTCTTGATTGTAGTGTGGATAACAAAGCCTTCTATGAGAAATGTGGGTTGAGCAATAAAGCTATTCAGATGTCTAAGTACTTTACTTGAAAGTTTCATGTTTCTTTTTTTTTTGTCTTGTAGAAGAATCTTGAGGTTTGTTCAGTTTTACTTATCTATGGTTCTGATTCTGCACAATCTACAAAGCTTCTCACAGTTTATATTCTGAATTCGCTATTTCTACTATGAAAATGAGAGAAGTTTCGTCATTTTAATGTTCCTACACACGAAATGACACAAACACGAGCGTTTGCATAGAGTAGACAATGATAAACTGCTGAGTTGCTACATTTTCACATCTTTGAACATTACATCCATCAAGACGTGATCTTTTCAGAGTTTCGATGATTCATTTGAACAGAATTAGGCAGCACAAGGGACTAATGTATGATACACTGAACAACACAAAAGCTAATACCTATGATAAATAGCTTGGGTGAGTTTCTTCCATTGACATCTCTAGTGACTGGTATGAATGTGAATCTGATCAAGACAAATCTCCACCGCTTGATTGCCATAGATTGATGATGTCTGTAGCTTGGTTAAGGAGGAAGACGCGGTGTAGCTCAGAGATCCAAGGCTTGCTCTCTAACAAAGCTTTGAGCTCTTCCCAAGCATCTTTCCTAGGCCAGAAGTAGTATGGACTAAGTGGGATCGTTCCAAATCCTGGAATTATATGGTCTAATGCAACTCCTATGTCCTTTTGCATCCACACAAACTTTAGTACCACCTTTGGTTTCTCCAGCGGCTTCACTAGCACACGCATCTTCTTCTGCAATTGAGACAATCAATAACCTCCTGGTTTTAGTGCAAAAATAAGAAAAACGAAACTGAGCGTTCCCTCAACTTTCTTCCACAAAAGGTTTCCAGAATCAAGCAACATTAGTTAGGTTTCACTAGCCCACAGGGGGGGAACGAGTAATCAAATGGATAAAGACAAAAAAAAACTTCAGTTTAGGGTTCTGGATATGAAGCAGAATGAATGAAACTATGCTTGCATTGAAACCATACATCTCAATTTGTTTAGTAGTGTTCCTGAATCAGAAATGATGCAACATAAGGGAGCTTATATATAACAGATGTAGATGTGTTTAGACATGGTTTCAATGGAACAACTTGCTTAACCACATTTTCCGTTCCAAAGTGACATAAAGGCTGCAACTTTGACTAACTAGCTAAAACCCCAATTTGTTTAAACAAAAAGTGTTTGACGATGACTGACCTTTCCAAGTGACGGAGACTCAGATTCTGGCGGTTCATAAGAAAATGTGGAATTGGAGGAAGAAGCGAATATTCCGGGACTGATGCCGGAGAGTCTCGCCGGGATTTGACCAGGGTTCCAAGTTGAGCACGAAATCGATGGTAGACAGGACAGATTAAGCTTCGTCGATAGAGAGATATGAGATACAGGTTTTGAGGAGAACTTTTGAGAAAGTGAACCTATTCCGATCCCAAAAGATGCACTCTGATTTGATTGAACCGCCATTTCAGCTGTATTTGAAGCTTCTAAGCGAGCGAGAGACGGAGAACGCAAAACACACAGGTTTTAGTTTTTGACAACCTTTTCTGGTCGATTCGGGTTATTCTGGTCGGGTCGTATCAAACGGGTCTCTCTGAATTTTTAAGTGTATTTTCAGTTTAAAAACAATTGTATTTTTTAATGGGTCAAACAATAATTATATCAAATTCAATATTATGTCCTGTGATACTATATCACAGAAATAAGATTCAATTCAATATTTTTTTGTGATATTATATGGAAATTTACCTTTGCAAATATATGGAAAAGTGAGAAAAAATATATATAATGGGATTTTTTTTTGAAAGTAAACATACAAAAGAAAAAAAAAAACCCAAGGCATAGTAGCACATTCAACCACATTCTAAAAAACATAAACCAAAAACCCAAACCCTGCAGCAATAGTAGCACTGAACCTTACTTGGCTTCACTTCCTCAGAGTCAAGCAATCATGTCATAATCATCCAATTTGTCATTGTACTGAAGCACCTTTCGTTTAATCTTGGATGAATCAACCCAGGTGATGAAATCTTCCATGTTCCTAGTTACTAAGAAAGCTGGATCAGTAATTGTGTCTGGGCCAACACGAATGTGTCCTTGCTCTATGTATGTCACAGCTTCTTTGTGGTGCTCTGCAAACTTCAGGTGAACCAGCACCGTCGACAGCCTACGCCTGCAAATTATTAAAGAAAAGAAGAACATGACATGAGGCCAAGGAAATGAGATCATTGACTAAAGTAACTGCCTATATAGGATATCGCATGAACTCTTTACCTACAAAAGGATGAAACTGATAACTTATCAGTTAAAGCCAAGCTTTTCCTAGTAGGTATAACACCCATGTTATATCTGCCATTACAACATACATGGAAAAAAAAAGATAAAATTCAGCCATTAAGAAAACAAGCTTTCTAATCGCATAATGGAGAAAAACAGGCTATCAACATGATTAAGTAGAAATGCTATACTTTCCTATATTTAAATGTGTAGTTCAGGGGATATGCACAGTGTTAGCTCTGAATTGAAATTAATAAAGAAACCGATTTCGTTAGACTCAACAGTGTATAGTTAACAAGCGTAAACCATTAATCAAACATTTTCCAAGGATGACCTTCAACCTTATACGAAATTGCAAACCAACAGTCCTGAAATCTATACAGATAGTTATGAAGTAAGAACCCCAAATGCATTCGTCTATAAGGTAGTTAACAAGAAAAACCACCAGAGGTCTCTAACATGACCTCTAGGAGCAACATTACAAGAAAGACAATAGCTGAGATCGGTGTAAAAGCTGCAAAAATTGGTTTGGTTCAAAGACCTAAAATCAAGAGAAAACAAAGAAAGAGCCATTGCTTGTAATAAGCTCTACAAATGTAGACACTAGTAAATAAAAACTCACAGCTTCTCCAAAAGCATATCAGTCATCTGAATCCGAAAAGGATCAGCCGGATCCATCTGTTTCACTATACTCGTCAGTTTCTGCACTATCCTACACAGTCCTGAATATCTGCCAAAAAGGAAAGAAACCAGACTCTTCAGTAATCAGAAAAAACCCCATTGTTCATCACAAAACACTGAAACAAAAAGAAGAATAAGCAGAACAGAGCATTGAGAAAGGTAGCAACTTTTTGTAATCGTCACGAGAGCCCATATGGTATCGATAGGTAATCAAGTTCTCCCGATGCCCACTTTCTCGTTTCCATTCTAAGAAATTTACTTTCTTCGCAAGCTTCTTCTCGTGGGGCTTGAGCTGCCTCATCTGAGGATATGCAAATTATGCGAAATCAGGGTTTTATTCTTCAACTAACACAGATTAAATCCTGAATAATCAAAAATCTTATACAATCTACTGGAAAAAAAAACAAAACTAGGATTAATCAATCTTTGTACAATTGGTCTACCTGGGAGTAATTAATCGGCGAAGCACAGAGGAACGGCGGTGTGGATTTTTTTGGGGATGAGCAGAAAGAAGAAAATGCTAGAGACGCTAAAACCCTGATTAGCAGAGTAGCTCACTACAAGAACCCTACGAGATCCAAGGGGAGAAGAAGCATAATAAATCCGACGGTCTACATCTAGAGGCCTTGAGTAAAACTAAATCTTATTAAGTCAGAGTCTTTTAAACTTCTTCTCATGGGCCTTAAAAGCCCATATCGAGTTGATAAGTGCTCTTCCCATATGATAAGGGGAAGTCGAATTACTCAAAAAGTCAAAAGCAATAGAATTTTAGAAACACTCTAGAAGAAGAAGCCTTTCCAATCTCACTAAGCATCACGGAAATAAACCATCCAATAATTTCTTAATTTCTCTGCCGACGTAAAACGATTACAAGTTTCAGACTAAAACTTGCAGTGCTCTAAGCCTCTAAATGTAGTTTTTGCCAATGCATGTGTCACTCACCACCATGAGTTCCTTCCAGGCTCCAGCTCCCCGTATGAAACTATCTATATACATATTGCTTGGAAAATAAAAAAAAAGATATTATAGAAAGTAACAAGGGTCCCAATTAATAATACACTACACAACATTTCTTCAAAAATGAAACATAATAATATATATCTACTAGAGAACTCTCTATAACAAACAACCAAAAACTTTCAAATTATCCAATGCACACGCACGCATGCATGGGGTTTGAAAGCCACCGACACCGAGTTTCGTGGGCTATGGCATACATACTAACTCATGTCATCTCATAATGCGTTTTTATGATATATCTTCAAAGTTATGGGTAATTGTTAATTCCTCTTTCCTTTCTTAAACTAAACATTATATATGGAGTTTAAGATATCTTCAAAGTTGATTGGTTTCTTTTATACAATTCTACGTGTTTTGTTCTATTTCAAGCTTAAACATAGCTAAAGGAAGAAACGTCTCCTTTATTTTTGTTTTGTTCGTTTCTTGATACTATTGATTACTTGTGTTAGTTTTGATTATCGTTTATATATCGTTAATGCTTTTGTTATAACTTTACCTTTCTAGTTTTTTTTTTTTTTTTTTTAATTATTTCACATGCCTAGCGTGTGAAGAAAATATTTTCATTAAATGTTACTTAAAATATTTTGACATCAAAACTTGTGGAATACAAATTCAATTAAATGTATACACTGAAATAGAAATTATGCATTTAAAATTAACCTGCAGATAATTTGCACGCTTTTCTCTCTGTTTTCTTCTCAAACGTAACTCTTCTATAAAACGACAATTACAACATTATAATATTATTAGTTATGGAAAAATCTTAAAGTCTTAGATTTTCATTTTTATAAATTATGACTATATTCCTTTTTAGAAAATAAATAATTAAAGTCCGACAGCAATGTAATGTCCGATGTCGGTGGAATGTATATGGCCATAGATGATAACCTACATTAATGTCGTATAAGCAACTCGAATTAAATCGAATTCTTTCTATATCGCCAAGTTCAATCGTATTATATATTGGAGATGCTGTCAAGTCATTACGTACGTGACCATTGACCTTTTTACTTAATTTCCAATATATATGTAAGTATGTAACAATCGATGTTACACGGTTTGATATAAAGAACCATCGTTTTCGAATAGCAAACATGAAGGAGATTGATCTCGATATTGTGACCGAACATCAACTTTTATATCATGATATGATATGTACATTTGTTTATTAAATTTTCAAATACTTAACAACCTGTTCGTAACTTCGCATCCACCTACACACACGTGTATGTTTCTTCGATTGTTTGTAATTTTATAAACCTGGCCGGCGAGATCATTGCTTAAAGCTTTATTAAACTAAACTACCGCTGCAACTATAAATCTTGCTTAGTCACTTTCACATATGTTATCAAAGTTTTAAACCTGGCCGTGCGAGATCATTGCTTTAAAGTTTTACAACTCGTCAAACAAAGAAAATGAGAAATTTTAGTTTATAGATAAAAGTTTCTTTAATATGTATGTTAAAGATCTTTGGAGATTTAGTTTATAGTCAGATTCAATGATAATAGATAAAACGTTTTTTTCTTTCTTTTTTTTGGGGTTTGTGTGGTAATTTAACTATAGGGACTCTTGAAGATTAATTAAAATATCTAGCTTATTTCAAATCTCATAAATTAAGTGATACAAAATTTGATTTCTATTTTTAAACTCTTGATTAATTTTAACTATTTTTAAAAGAAAATTACGATAAAGACAAAATTGTAATAAATAAAAAATGAAATAAAAAATCCAATTTATCAAAAGACCATCTTCTAGAAATGGTTGATTTTAGAAAAAGTTGGAAATGTATCTATATATGTTTATTACTTGTTTTAAAGACGAAACATATTAATTCCTTCTTATGCATTCATCCATTTGTTTCCTATAAATACCACTTATACCCGTTTTCACACCCAAAAAAAAAAGAAAGAAAAACTACACACAAAAAAAAAAAACAGTGCTCAATCTTTGAATTAATCTCTCAAAATCATAAGTTATGTTACTTATAAATATAGAAACATATTTTCGAAGTTTCGAATAATCATAATAATGCTGAAAATGATAATCCATTCGGCTAGGGACCAGATTTATACCATACTTCAAACGAAATCAAGGTAACAATGCTCAGCTTAAACTATATATTTCCATCCCCTAATTATTTTTCTGGACCTTTTTCACGTTCGTTTCATGTTTTTGAAAACAAATAAACATATATTGCACTTCCATAAACTTTTTTTTATAGTATAAAATAAATATATATGACAACTGTGAGCACTGAATATAGTTGGTCCATCTATTTTATCTATTTAATTATCTTACATACTGTAGTCTGTAGGCCTACCTTTTTATTTATTTTGCCAAATATCATTATTTATTTGGACATTGCTGTCACAATTCTAGAGATCCACAAGTCTAGAATATGCCCTTTTGAACTATTGTAATTTTATTTTATTTTTATTAAAGAACCGACACAAAATCAATTTCGCCGTATTAATTTTTATTTATCTCTATAAAAAAAGCAAAGAAAAAAGGGGAATATAAAGGCAAATAGAGAAACCATTTATACATGCATGATAGGTTTTTAAGTATTAACTTCTCCTAGTATAATATTAACTTTATCTTGACCAAAGAAAAAAAGAGAGTAAAATATTAACTCGTTGATGGTCAAATCTTGTTTTCGATATACTGAATCCTTTTAAATTTCGATTAGGTTTATTGAATGTCTGTTTTGTTTTAAGTTCGATGAAACCAAAACTGCATGAATTGGTTTTGGTATGTAGGCTTGAATTCATTTAGTCAATTGTTTTTTCTTTGGTTCCTGTGACAAACTTATTGCATTTTGGATATATACATATATAATAAAATATTTTAACTGAAATAAATAAGATTTATCATTTGTATTCAGTAAACTTTAAAATGGTTTGGGTAGATAAGATCAAAACGCACAGTGGGTTTACACATATGTATATATATATTTATATGATCGATAAAATTGGCAGTTAACTTGTGGATTAGTTTGGAGGCAAAGTACCTGCTAATGTGGTTTAGATATAACTGAAACTTTTATAAAAATTTTAACTTGGAAATATTATTAATCTTATCCCACTAGAAAAATAAATACTTAGACTGATGAATGTATTTGGTCAACCTAAATTCCCAAATTCATTGTTTCTTATTCTATAAAGATCTTAAATTTATCCAAATACCGATAAGTAATAATAGGACAATATACTGAATTTTTAATACAGTTTATTTAATTAAAGGTCTACTTTGGCTCTGTATCAATTTTGATATAGATTATTTAATTCCAAAATACTAGTACTTAAAAAAAAAAGTATTATTTCGTTATTAAAAAAATCTATATAAATGACAGTTTTTTGCCGACAAAAAAGAGAAAACCTAAAGACTGCTTATTTTTTATTTTCCTCCTTGGGGTAGAAAAAGTGGTGAATTTTGCAAATTCTTTTGTCTATTTCTCCGACGTCCTTCATCTTCACTCTCCGGTCAACACCGACCGGATTCTTATCTGAGAGTCTCAACCTAAAACATTTACAACTATTTTTGTTTCCGTGCTGCAATTTCGAGAGAGTGTGTATAAAGGATTCGATCGCCATTGCTTGAATTTCAAAACCTTTTATTTTATTTTTGGTGGGTCTGTAAGTTGAAGTGTGAGCTTCATCTTCGTCTGGGTTGCTGGGAGTTTGAAAGCTGTCGTTTGTTTTCGACTCTTTTTATATTAAAAAACTTTGAGATTCCTTCTTCTTCTTTTTATTTAATTGAAAGCAAGATCTGGGTTTAGTCAGATTAAGCCGAAGATCGTGCCCTACTTAAACAAAAAAGAAAAAAAAAAATCTGGGTTTCTCGAGGAGTGATTAATGCACAGAGTGTGTTGTGTGGAGATTACATTTTCTCTGAGTGTTATTAGGAAGGGATAATTAAAACTTGAGCAGAGTTATCTTCTAAATAACAATTACTATATTGTTTTCTGTCCTTTTGAATCTCTCTAGTTTTTATATATTTTTCTATCAAGTTGAAGAAGCTGTGGTTAGTGTTTCCAGGCTTACTACCCCTTTTAAGTGTTCGATGAAATTCCTCTGAGAGTCTTTGGGAACTGTGGGAGTTGGGGTTTGGTGGGGTGTGATTTAGAAAAATGTGTAAAATGGACAAGTTTCTTTACCACAGGAAACTCTGGGAGATGAATGTTAGGCTTTTAGGAGAGAGTAAAGTTGAGAAACTCAAGAACTCTTTTGTTTCGAGGCCTCGTATGAGCCTGTGGATGATTCGTGCCGTTACTGTTTTGTTGCTTTGGAGCTGTTTCGTTCATTTGATGGCTTTGGGTGAGATGTGGGGACCAAGATTGTTTAAAGGCTGGCCTTCTTGTTTCAATCACAATGGTTTCTCCTCTGCCGCTGATATGACCTCTCTCCCCACTAAAATTGCTCTTCCTCCTAAAAGTAAGAGATGATTGTGATTGGTGAATTTTTTGTTGTTGAATTGAATAGATCATTTTCTATATCGTGGAGATGACTCTGTAAACTAATATTTGGTTTTTCTTATCAGGGATATATGTTAACAATGGTTACCTTATGGTTTCCTGCAATGGAGGACTCAATCAAATGCGAGCAGCGGTAAGATTAGAACTTAACCATTGGAATTTGCTTCTCTTTTGCAAAGATTTCTCTTTTAGTTATATGATTTACTTACTTTGTTTTTGGTCTGCTTTCTACAGATATGTGATATGGTGACTATTGCAAGATACATGAATGTCACACTTATTGTCCCGGAGCTTGACAAGACCTCGTTTTGGAATGATCCAAGGTATGTCTCTTCATCAGACTCACTTTAAGCTTCTTTATGGACTATATATTTCTAACTCGATTCAACAATCCCTTAATATGTTGGGCAGTGAATTTAAAGATATATTCGATATGGATCACTTCATAAGCTCATTAAGAGATGAAGTTCGGATACTCAGAGAATTACCTCCAAGGCTTAAGAAAAGGGTTGAGCTTGGAATGTACCACGAAATGCCTCCTATTAGTTGGTCAAATATGTCTTATTACCAAAATCAGGTTAATTTTCCAAGTCTCTTCTTTTGCTTTAACATTAGTCCTCACTTTGCTTATTATACCGAAACCATTTTACTAATTTTTCAAACTTAACATACATTTGGAAACAGATTCTTCCACTGGTGAAGAAACATAAGGTCTTACATCTGAACAAAACGGATACACGACTTGCTAATAATGGACTGCCCGTGGAGGTTCAGAAGCTGAGGTGCCGAGTAAATTTTAACGGGCTTAAGTTTACTCCTCAGATTGAGGAATTGGGTAGACGAGTAGTCAAGATTCTTAGAGAGAAAGGTCCCTTTCTCGTCCTGCATCTCAGATATGAAATGGATATGTTAGCATTTTCTGGTTGCTCACATGGTTGCAACCCTGAGGAAGAAGAAGAACTAACAAGAATGAGGTACAAAAAAGACCCTGAAAATCTTCTTGCTTTTTGTTCTGGCTTTGATGGATATATTGATCCAAATTATCTTCGTTGGCAGATATGCTTATCCATGGTGGAAAGAGAAAGTCATCAACTCTGAGCTGAAGAGAAAAGATGGCCTTTGCCCTTTAACTCCTGAGGAAACCGCTCTCACGCTGACCGCATTGGGTATTGACCGAAATGTTCAAATTTACATAGCTGCTGGAGAAATCTATGGTGGTCAAAGGCGAATGAAGGCTTTAACAGACGCTTTTCCAAATGTGGTAAGTAGTCATTTCATTGTTTTGAAAATTTTCCAAAATTATGTCTTCCATTAACTCCATTATCTTACTTATCTCAGGTCCGGAAAGAAACCCTACTCGAACCCTCAGATCTAGATTTTTGTCGGAACCATTCATCTCAAATGGCTGCACTTGATTACCTAGTGGCTCTTGAGAGCGATATATTTGTTCCAACTAACGATGGCAACATGGCTAGAGTCGTTGAAGGTCATCGCAGGTGAACTATCGTTATCTTTCTTTTTCGATCTTCGCATATTTATCATCCCGAGGCTGACACCAACTTTTTCAGATTCTTGGGGTTCAAGAAAACAATCCAGCTGAATAGGAAGTTCTTAGTTAAGCTGATAGATGAATATACTGAAGGATTGTTGACTTGGGATGTATTTTCATCCTCGGTGAAGGCGTTTCACTCTACTCGAATGGGAAGCCCGAAGAGACGGTTAGTGGTTCCCAATAGACCAAAGGAAGAAGACTACTTCTATGCCAACCCGCATGAATGTTTGCAGCTGTTAGATGAACCATTGAGAGTCCTTTGAGGGATGTGACTTATCCATTGGCGAGAGAACAACTGAAATATCGGGTCTAAAGCTCTAATTTACTACAGTCTGAAAGATGAATTTACAGTGAGTTTTACAGATTGAAGTTTAAGGGTTCTTGGGTGTAGAGATTTCTGAAAGAGCTTACATGGATGAACCAGAAGATACGTTAGTTGAAAGCTTACATTGTAAAGTTTGGCATCCATGGCATTGCCAGTTTTGTTAGCTAAATAAGAAGTGCCATTTTGTGTAATTAAACCTTGGTTACAGTTAAAGATTATATATATATTTCAGATCATTATATTCTCTTTTTCAGCCCAATATTTTGTACATGAATTATTTTCTATAGCAAGCACATTGTTTACTATATAAAGAAAAACGAATTTTAATGACGGGAGTGTTTCAAAAAAAGGAAAATCAAATTTCCCAATAACAAACAAAGAAGATACATTATTCAACATTTGAGTTTGGATGATTTATCTATTTTTTTAGACAAAGAAGATACATCACTCTAAAATATTGAGTTTGAACTTTGGATAATCAATTGAAAATTTAAGAGATATATTTAGTATGCAGGTATCCAAAATACAATTCATGTGTCTTTTTGTCAACTTAAAGTTATGAAATTGAGAGAACTATAATGGTTAGTATAATAAGACCACTAATGCTCACCTACTTATTCAATATGCTCCACTACCTAAACACTTAATAGAGTGGAATCCGCCCCTATTATATTGGTTGGTTAGTACTAGCTAACTAGTAATACAAGATCACTAAATTTTTTCACCTATTTTTTATGTGCTGAAAACTACTTTGGGTTCAGAAGTTCAAAGCCAACCAAAACACTTCAATTTTTGCAATCATTTCGACAAGTGATAACAAATATTGGAGAATTGCCCTGTGGACTCACTAACCCCATTATGTCCATTTTAAAAATTATTATACGGAAATCAAACTATATTTTATATCTCGAGCAAATAGTATACATTATTATCGAGAGCTAAGAATATATATACAAGTTTCAAGTGTATTCGAGTGATCCAAGAGAGAAGATAACTATTCGAGTCATAGTTTTATAAGTGATCCAAGAAATATTCAATAGTTGCTTTTAAGATACATCAATGGATGATCCAAGAAATTCCATTTCATATTCACTCATCAAATTTCGTCGAGGTTCTTGATCTTATCAATACCAAACTCATTAGTCATTTGTATATATCTTTTACAATATACTTTTTTTTACTTAATCTCATATGTATATATCTCAGTATGATTATAGGATTGGTTTTACTAAATGAAATTTTACAAGTTATGTGACATAAATGTCATATAAAGTTTTTCTTTTGTTTTGTTTGTTTGTCAACAACTTCCTTTAATTGCTTATTGATTGGATTTAATATGTGTTGGATCCACCGAGCCACATTGCTTTCGCAGCACAACAAGTACACAATAAAGTTGATGAAGATTTCATTATTTATTTATGGGGTTTTCAAAATATAGGCAACTATTGTTTATCAAGTTTAATAAGCTATGTGAACTTGTTAATTTATTTTTACAAGGTTTAAAATTCAAATGTTTATTTTTCTGTTTGGATTTCTGAATTCCTTTTCATGTCTTCTTTGGTAGTGATTTTTTTGGATTGAAAGTTACACACAACATAGAAAGTAACATACTAAGATTAATAATTAAAGAACAAAAATTTATATTTAGTTAAAAGAGTTTTTGGAAACACAATCTTAATTCTCAAAACCTCTTTTTTTCTTTTGGCAGAAGAGGATATCTCTATTTTGAGACTCATGTGGTAGGTAATATGTACAAAAATAATTCCTCAGTAAAGAGTTAGGAGTTAAGATGTTGTCGTATGGTTCCTATCTTGATGATCCTCTTCTTTAACACCAGCCAATAACCCTAACTCAACATGCTGATCCTTAATCCTGCTCATAACCCTTGACAGATCTTCCTCATAACCAACACCAAACGATGAAGACATCGTGTCCTGTCTTCTTCCTCTAGACCGACCTTGTTTGATCTTTAGTATGAACTGTGTGACTTCTCCAATGGATGGCCTTTTTCTTGGTGTCTTGTGCACACACCTGTTTGCAATCTTCGCCAATAACCTCACTTCTTCAATGCTTGCATTGCCCACTAGTTTCTGATCCAGTATTTCGTCTATACCATCTGGACTCATCGAAGCCTGCTCATCAGGAAAACATAATCAATGATCACACAGTCACTCACTGAGTTTTGGTTCGATTTGGATTACTTTTTAACCTACCAGGTTGATGTATTCCATCAGATTCTGTTGGGGATGAATTGCAGTAATGAGCTCAAGAATGATGACACCAAAACTGTAAATGTCGCTCTTCATCGTATATTTATTAGTTGAAATGTATGATGGATCCATGTATCCGTGAGTACCCTTCAACCCTGAAGTCATTCTATCCAAAACCATCTCTTTTGACAATCCAAAATCCGCAACCTGTACCAACAAGAAAATTAATATCAATTTTAAGGATTTAACCAAACAGTTTTGAGTAAGCGTATCAGATATCTGTTCTCTCACCTTAGCTCTCATGGAGTGATCTAACAATATGTTTGCTGATTTAAGATCACGGTGAATAACTGGTGGCACGGCCCCTTCGTGAAGGTATTCAATGCCGTGGGAGATGTCAAGAGCAATTTGAAGCCGTTCTTCCCAATTCAAGACTTGCATCCCTTCACCTGAAACGCAAAGTAGAAAATCTTATGAAACACTAGAGTGATAAATTTCTTACTGCGACTTATACTAAATGTAGAAAACAAATGACGACTCACCACCATACAAAAGATTCTCCAAGCTTCCATTACTCATGAACTCATAGATCAACATCGTGTGATTTTTATCAACACAGTATCCTATCAAGTTCACAAGATTCCGGTGATGCAGCCTCCCAAGTAAAGATACCTGGAAACAAGAACCCCAACACTGCTCTGTTATCTCCAATACGCATGGACCATGGCAATGAACAGATCTGTACACTTACCTCGGTTTGAAACTCTCTATCTCCTTGACTTGAATTAGAGGCATGAACTTTCGCTGCAGCTAATCCTCCACTGGGCATAACCGCTTTGTACACAGGACCAAAAGATCCTTGTCCTAGAACGGTTGTGAAATTTTGTGTTGCTTTCTGAATATCCCTAAAGAACTTTCATACCATAAGCTACTACAACCTAATAACAAATTCATGCAAACTCAAGCTTTGGACAGAATACTCACTTGTAGTGATATCTAGGAATGCCAGATGCAGATACAGTGAGATCTTTGTTATGATTGTTCCACCATGGCTGATGTTGAGTGGGTGCTGCGTTCTCAGGCGGCTGTAACGATGCTGAATTTGAGCTATCATCAGGGATCACTATGCCTCTTTTAGCAGTGTGAACAGGTAGAGTTGGGGTATTCTGTTCATTAGCGCATCGCCTTAGGTGAGAGCGGTCATTATACCATTTTATGGCAAAGAACAAGATCAGAGCGAGCAAGAGACCAAGTGCAAGCCCAACCGAAATGCCAATTACTACCAAATCACTTCTATTCACCATTTTGATATCATTTTACAAACCATAAGGGAATTGAATTCAAAGATGGAATCTTTTAAATTCTGACGAAACTTTCCTGCAAAAATTAACAGTTAAGGCCTTGCATCATGAAGCAGTATACACATTATGACAAGACATTCAATTCATAATCAATCAAGATGATCATGTAGACATTGTATATAAGCTCTAATCACTGTAAAGCAGCTAACTAAAGTTACAAACATAGCCACATAGGTAAACGCTAACTGAAGCTTATATACAAAAACATTCAAACATCACATAAACTTCACTCACTCACAATGATAGCTGAATTAACTCAATAACACAAGCTTCTCAGAACTGAACTGTTCCAAAAATGGGAATGAGGATAGAAAACTTCAATTTTTTCCTTCAAATTCTAAAAGTGATCATCTCTGTGATATAAACAAAACTAGATCGAGATCCTTGCTAAATAAAAGATCACTCTTTTTTGTTTTTAATTCCTTTTCTAGCCGAACCCCAAGAGTTAACACACAACCATAGATTCAAATCCCCAAAAAAAACACAAATTGTTTCTCTAACACTACTGAACTCAGACGAAATTCAAAAAATTTCTAGTAGTCCTCTCAACTAATCGAGATCAAAATCAACTGGGGTCGATCAAAATCTTGAAAAAAAACATCCCAGAAGCAGCAAAAAAGCAATTGAACCATTCTCAACACTTACCTAGAGCCAGAACCCAGAAGAAAGGAGAAAGTAAGAGATCTATGGTTTTGATCTGTGCAACATTTAAGGTGTTCTCTTCGTCTCCTTATTCCGCTTAGAAACAAAGTCAATCTACATGAGGAGACCTCGTCCATAAAAGTAAACTGATGAACCAGAGAACAGAGCAAACTAAACCATTTTAACTCTTTTTTTTTTGTTTTTTTTTGTTAATTAATACTTTTTTCTTTTTATTCACAAAGAATATTTGTTGGCAAAAAAGCTAAAGAATACGATAACGCGTTTATTTAAACCATTTTATTTCATAACTATTAATTATTAATAGTTTTATGGTAGGCTCAAAGTGCTTTTATAGCATTGCCAAAGTTAAAGTCCCCTAATTAATTGCATAACAACAAAATCAACCATACTGCAATTAAAGGAAATAAAAAACACAGAAAAACTCAATTACATTCACATTCACATTCACATTAACACTATTAATAACATTCATATACTACTAGGTTTTGTGATATGGTGCACTAATTACCTTACATCCCCATTTGATCTTTTAGGCTAACTATAGTACACACTCTTACATTTCATTTTCTTTAGCCTTTAAGATATTGTTAATTGTTTTAGTTCAAATGTGATGTATATGTTGATCATCGAGTTATAATATTGTAAACCATATTAAGTAAATTAGTAGTTAACCATGAAAGATAATATAGTATGTCTTTTTTTTTTTTTTTTAGGTGAATGATTTGAACTTTTGAAGGCATGACCCAAAGGCATACAATAAAATAAAAAGTTGGACACCAAGTTGGTGTGTGCAAAATGATATAAAATAATCAAGTTTTCTTATTGAATACAGTAGTTCACAATTGATGACTTGACCAAATCCAGCCAGCTTGGTTTGTTTCTTTTCTTGTTCTCCCTTTAAAAATATTGGATATACACATCATATTTCCGAAATAGTTAGAGAGAAATGTCATATATACATTTTTTTTTTCTTTCTTAACAAAGCATATTCTCTTAGGAAATAAATTTCAAAGTAAGGCTACTTCCAATTCTATTTATATAGAAGTACTAACTAAAGTCGAATACTCTATATATACATGAGCTTCGAAATATTAAAATATCTCATACAAGAAAATGAGAAAACTTTTCAAAGATGATACAAGGCACTCTAAAAGTTTGATAAAATCTGTATACAAAGTATGTAATACTCAGCATTACATGATACGTCCATTAATTTTATGAATTTAGCTAACTTATTATACATAAAAGTAGTAATAGAAGGAACAAGAAAACAAGGGTCAAGTGGTGTGAACTGATTAATTAATGACCATAAGGCAGGCCATTGTGAACCGGAGTTCTTTTCCTTGGCTTCACCGGTGAAGGATATTCGTGCCTCATCAGATGATCCACTTCTCTCTCTAACTGATCTGTTGATGAATCTTCCAATGTTCTTGCTTCATTTTTGGTTTCAATCGGCTCCACAGCTCTTAACTGCCAACAAAGAAGAAGACTAATTAATATCCAAGAATATTATTGTTTACCATTGAGAAAAGTATATCCTTATAATATATGATGGGTTGATTCAGCTTATCCACATTGGGATACACTTTTAGAAATGAATTTAATTTATCCAGGTTGATGATCATTCATTTTCAAAAGTATTTCAATCTGGATTAGCTAAATCAGCCCAACTCAAACAACACAAGATAAAAAAGAGGTTAACTAGATAGTTTTGTTCAAACATAAAAACCAAATGTTATTTTAATTCAAACTTTCGATATGTCATTACTTCATTACCTTCCGTCCCATCGACATCGAGAGATCTCCATCCTTCGATCCACCTACATATAAATATTTAATTATAGTCACAAAATAAAAACTGCAAGTCATTTACATATTTTAAAGTTTCATTCTAAGAATATGGTTTTAGGATGATGCATCTTATGGGAATGCAACAATTACATATCTAGAAAAGTCGTTTAGTCGCTGTAAGTATATATGTATGTGTCTCTTGTGCACACTCATTACATATATGCATGTACGAAAGAGAAGAGCATATACTATACATAATATTCAAGGATAATTAGAATCATGCAAGTAAGTAAACTATATATATATAACGTCATCATCAACATCATATGACCATCGATGAGTAGAGTCAAACCTCGAGGCTCTTGAAGAAAAAGGTAAATGATGAAGAAAACCCCTAAAACGAGGGTCGTTAACTTCAGAATCGTCTTCTTCATGTTATATCTCTTTGGTCGTTTGTATTCCTTTTCTTTTGTAAAGTTATATGTATCAGTTCTTCAACCTTTGAAGTTAAGATATCGATATCATTCAAAGATAATATTAAGGGCTGTTGTGATGTTATGGTTTTGTGAAAACAAGAGGCTAGCTAGGGTTTTCCGACAAAAGAAAAGATACTTCTCCTTGGTATTGGCAAAGGAGGTTTAATAATTAATGAAGTATTTATCGAGAAACTAAAAGAGAAAATATACTACAAACATATCATTCAGAATTCAGATTCCAGATAATTGTTTTGAAAAGAACTGATGACATTATTAGCCTTTGTATATATATTTCGAAGCGAGTCTTGTTTCATTGCCAATGATGTTTGTAGTCGTCGGTACACATATATTTTCCTGAAATGAATCAGTAGGGTCAAGTAACATATTCATAAGTTTCGAAGATAATTGAAAGCATAATTTGCTCCTCTGAAAACTAATAAAATTGGTTGCTTGCTAGGTTTCTGAATAAGTCAATCATCGGGTTGCTAAATAAATATGCTTTGGTGGACCATTTTATAATCAAATTATTATAAACAAGTACTATTTTTGACATCGAAGTTGATATATTCTTTTTGAGACACGAGGACGACGAGTACTCCGATTCTGGTCCTTCTTGAAAACCCTCACAAATTCAATACTATCTTTTATTTTTATAAACAAATCATATTTTGTATTTTGATGAACACAATAGTAATCATATCTGAAAAAAAAAAATAAGAAAAGCTAATGAAGCATATAAATGGATCATGGAAATTCCACTAAATCCAACGACTTAAGGCCCCATATCAGGCCCATTATAGATAATTCAGAAACTATATAAACCGGTTTTGACACATACAAAATAATCTGAAAAAACATAATTTTACATAGTAGTGACAGAGTCGTCGTCGCTCGTAATATTTCAATCAGAATTCAGAAGCTATGAGAGCAGACCATCAATGACTAGGATACAGATTTACAAAACTAGGAGGTTTAGGGGATAGCTCCTCCTAAAAGCTGTCTCTATAGAAAAGAAGAAGAAAAGAGTAATGAAAATAAAGAGAAGAGCAGTAAATGAAAAAAGAACAAATCTTTTAGAAACAGTAACAGTTAACCACTACACTCCATGAGATCATTTACCACGACCACTTCCTCTGTGAACCCATACACGCTCTCTCATATGTCACCTACGTTACCATTTCTCTCTCTCTCTCTCTCTATACAATGTGCTTATATCTGACCTGCTTATGTTATGTATACATACAAATCCGGTTTTGGTTTTCATTCGGTTTATAAATTCTGGAAACGAAGTGTAGTTTTGTTTGGATTTGGTTTTCTTATTCGGTTCGGTTCTGATCACTATCTCTGTTCGGATAACTCTATGGTTTGGTTTTCAAAATCAGTTAAAACCGAGTGGGCAACTCTTGACTTATATAAGTGACTGTATGTAGTAGAGTTGTTTTCTTCATAAGCTTATCTTAAGAGCTCCAAGACAAAGAGAAAGGGAAAGATAGTAACCAAGCATGAAGAGTTTGTTGATCTGTGTTGTGTTGTTAGAACTTGTCTGGTTTGGCCATGGCCAATCTGGAGATCATCATCCTCTTGCTCCAGCTTTCTTTGTCTTTGGAGATTCCTTAGTCGACAGTGGAAACAACAATTACATTCCAACTCTCGCACGAGCTAATTATTTCCCTTATGGAATTGATTTTGGCTTCCCAACTGGTCGTTTCTGCAATGGCCGTACAGTTGTTGATTTTGGAGGTACACTAGCTAGTAGCTTTAGACTAAAAGATCATATGATGAAGTTGGTTTCACATTTTTTTAAAACTAATCTCTCACATTTTTTCCTTCTAACGTAGCAACATACCTCGGCTTGCCATTGGTGCCACCATACTTATCTCCTTTATCCATTGGGCCAAATTCCTTAAGAGGGGTTAACTATGCATCTGCAGCAGCTGGGATTTTAGATGAAACCGGACAACATTATGTGAGGATCAAGAAACTAAAACTCTTACAACATAAATTGTTTTTCTAATTTTTCTTTTCCAGACTTACCTTTGTGTTTTTTTCTTCAGGGAGCAAGAACTACATTTAATGGACAGATATCACAGTTTGAGATTACAATCGAGTTACATCTCCGGCGTTTCTTTCAAAACCCTGCGGATCTGAGGAAGTATCTTGCGAAATCGATAATTGGGATCAATATAGGAAGCAATGATTATATCAACAATTACCTTATGCCTGAGAGATACTCCACCAGCCAAATCTACAGTGAAGAAGAGTATGCAGATCTCCTGATCAAGACTCTGTCAGCTCAAATATCAGTTAATCAAATTTCTTTTATAACACTCCCAAATTCTCATAATACAGTATTCACAATAGTGATGCAGATTTTCATCTCATACTCAGAAAGTGTTAAGTGTGTTCTTTTATAAACATTTGGCAGAGGCTATACAACTTAGGTGCAAGAAAAATGGTGTTAGCTGGGTCAGGACCATTAGGTTGCATACCAAGTCAGCTATCTATGGTAAGCGCTAACAATAACAGCAGGTGTGTGATAAAGATCAACAATATGGTATCGATGTTCAATATCCGCCTGAAAGATCTAGCAAATACTCTCAACACAACTCTTCCGGGATCATTCTTTGTCTATCAAAACGTTTATGATCTGTTTCATGATATGGTTGTGAATCCTTCTAGATATGGTAAATGGGCTCAATCCCTATTTATTTAATAGGAGGTTTACTCTAATTCTATATACCAGTACTAAGTTTTGATTCTCCTTTTTTTTGCAGGTCTTGTAGTGGCAAATGAAGCGTGCTGCGGTAACGGGAGATATGGAGGAGCCTTAACATGCCTTCCGTTGCAGCAACCATGTTTGGATAGGCATCAGTATCTCTTTTGGGATGCATTTCATCCAACAGAAACTGCCAACAAAATCATAGCTCACAATACCTTCAGCAAGTCTGCAAACTACTCCTATCCAATCAGTGTCTATGAATTAGCTAAACTGTAGAGAAATGTGTCTCAAAGCTAGATTACTTCCACAATTTAAGATTTCCTCAGTTTTCTAGTTTCTAGTTAGAAAAAATTAAGTATGGGATGGGATTTGTATGTAACAATTGCCCAAATCTTTAAGATCACATCTATATTCCATGTTATGAGTTAAACCTTTCTCTTACTCATACTTATAAGTTTTAGCTAACAAGACATTCTTGAACTAGCAGGTCATTATTTGCACAGGGAAGCTTAAATTTAGTAAAAAAGGAATTTTAGCATAGAAAACTAAAATAAAGCATATATATATATTTCATGTGGACGAGACAGATATAAAGATGAACTTTTCATATCCAGTGAATGTTAATTTACAGAAAGCTAGAAACAAGTTTATCTTACAGTTTTCTCCCCGATATTGTTAATCATTGGTGAAGCATATCATTGCTGACAAGGTCTTCATTAACACTGAAGGTAAACACAAAAATCTCTTCGATTTCATAACTCTTGACATGTTTGGTTAAGCAGCCAAATTGTACTTTTTCAAGAATGATGTGAGAAAGACAATTCCTTTATGGTTCAGTGGACAGAGGCATCAAATCTTGGCTCATAAAAGCACACTTGGCTGTTGCATGACTGTAAAGCACAACCAGAAATCCAAGACCAAATCTTCTTATCCACATTGTACAGAAGACCTTTTCCTTGATTCCAAGATGTAAAGCAGATCAAATTATCTTGTCCAAAACACTCAAACCTCTCAGCCGAAAGTCTCAGCAGTGCTCGAAAGTATTTTGGTGGCATTCTACTTATCTCTACCCAAGAAACCTTTGTGTGATCAAGCTCCCATATCCTCATGCTTTGGAGTGTACTGTAGAGGCCAATCCTTCCTACGAGAAACAATCTCTTCTGAGTTCCAGCGACTAAGTAACCATCCAATAATGATCTTGGGAATTTTGCTGGAATGTGTTCCCATTTCCCTGTATCAAGCCGATACATCATCAAACCAAGAGGGGAAAGAGTTTCTAGATACAATCGGGAATCACAATAAGCCATTTTTGAAGAGCATAAGTTCACCGCAGGCATTATTTGATGTAAGGACCACTTGTCAGTTTTGGAATCATAAACCTCCGTAGGCAGTGACTTATCACCGTAAATATCACTTGTAGCTATGACTTTGAACGATTTTTCTGACCGATCTACGACCATAATCAATTGCCTTTGTTGGTTATAGTGCATACTCGGTAGAGTCCTCCAACTCTGCATCAGCGGATTGCATACTAAAGTTCTGAAAGTTAGACCATCAAGACCAGAAAAGCAGACGAGACCACCTGAAGAACCAACCAACCAAATAGCCCATGGAGGCAAAAATGTGAATGGAACTTTGTACCATGTCTTCAATGGCAAACTAAAAACTGAACATTGTGGAATCTGCGGGGAGTTCTTCCAAAAAGTGAGAAGACAAGGCCCATGAGATGAGACATTTGAGTGAAACTTGAGAAAAGCATTATCTTGAAGAATGGAGTTCCATTTCTTACAAACAGATCGGATTCGAAATATCATAAATGGTGGAACCCTAGCTAAAATCTCGTTGAGCAAATCCTCAGGAAGCATTGCCCATATACCATCCTCCATCTGCACATCAGCAACAACTGGTTTACCAAATGAAGCCACTGTTTCTTCCTCAAAACCACGAGGTTTCGTCTTAACCACTTTCTGCCTAGAAGGGCTGGTGTTTCTCGACCCAACTCGACCTAAAGGGCTAGTATTTCTCGATCCAGAACTCCTCAATGGTGAAGCTTGCTTCGATGAAGAAGTACTCTCTTCATCTCCATTCTTCGTAGACGAAGAGCAAGCCAGCGAATTTACAGAATCCGATGGCTTCTCCACACTACCCATCAACAATCCCCAAAATCCTAGACGCTCCATTCAAACTCAAATCCAAACCATTAGCTATACAACCTCAAGCTGACTCAGATTCCCAAAAAAAGAAAAAAAGATCACCCGATCATCGGCATCAGATCCTCGAAGCAGAAGAACAAAGCAGTGCCCACAAAGGAACTCAAAACTGAGGCAGAAATCGATCGGAAGCTACGCAATCAGCTAGCCTGGAGTTGGAGCAAAGATTCTAACTTTGGATCAGTAATTAGTAATTTACCTCAACATATTATGCAACAAGCTTCGTCCTTTTGGAATCCGATGACATAATATGAATTTGCCAGCTGGGTTTTGTCTCGAGAGCAACGCGGAGAAAGAGAGAGACCTAAATACAACATTTCTCTGTAGCTCCAGTTCCGAGATAGGAAGCAAATCGGGTTTGTCACTTCCCAAACATAAGTTTAGGGGCTGATTTGTTATATATTAAAATTATAGAGGTGAAGAATATCAAATTCGGAGAGATAGTAATCCGCTGTGAGTAACCCATACATGAACCCCTGCTAACATCCAATCACTAGTCGACACATACCAAGAAAATCAATTTTTTGGGTCTGAATTTCATTTTCCATGATAATAATTGAGTATTAAATCCCATTGATATTTGTTGACCAAAAAAAATAAAATTCAAGTGATTCATATAATCCATATACCAAATCTTTATATCTTACTACATGTTTATGATACTTTGGATTTGGATTGTAATTGGGTTCCACCTTTTAAAATTTTTTTTTGCCAACAACTAATTGGGTTTCCACTACAACAAATTTGTATGAACTGGTCAAATTAAATGAGAATATAAAATGATGCCAAAATATTAAAGAAGAAAAGAAAATAAATTCATTTATTGATTTTTACTGATTGGGCTCCATGAATTCCTCAAGCCTTTTTGCTTTGTAAAAAGACTTTGGGTCGTATTTAGAGGCCTTAATCAGATATTTCCGGGTCGGGTAAGGACATCGTATCCGGGTTGAATTTAGGGTAGATATATTTTTTAATTTATTTTAATGTTTGGCAATATGAGAACAGAGGAAAAAAAAAGAAAAAAAGAAAAAAAGAAAGAAAGAGAGAGGCCTTTAGAAAGCAAGGGTTTTTAAGAAAGGGTTTAAGGCGGCTTCGTCCTTGGTCGTGTACTCTTACTCACCATTTGTTTTTTTTTTTTAATATTTTTGTTCAACTCTTCCCAAATTGCCTGTATTCTAGCTCATGCGATCGAATTAGTTCAGTCTCGTGTTGGTTTTTGTTGTGGTTTACTCATCTTTAAGTACGATTGATGTCCAGTACCCACACGCCAGTGTTGTTGGCAAATCATAGTAAGGTATTTGATCATTTGATTCCATTGCATAAACCCTTGATTTCTTCTCCAAATCCAGTTTCCCAATCCTTCCCTATGTGGAGAAACATTGCTAAACAAGCAATTTTGAGGTCAGCTGCTAGATTAAACGTCGGTTCCCATACTCTTGGGATTTCTCAGGAGTCTGTCTTCTCGAAAAATTTGAGCTTTCGGTGTTCGGTGCTCGGTTCCATCTCGGGATCACCATGTCACGAAATGGGTGTTCGTCATTTAAGTGGGATCACGAGGCGAGAGGAATTTTTCAACAACGAGAGGGGCCTTAATGGGACATTGGCTAGAGGTTTCACGAGTGTAGCCGAAGAGGTCTTATCTACAGATGTTGAGGAAGAGCCTGAGGTAGATGAATTGTTGAAGGAAATGAAGAAAGAGAAGAAGAGAGAAAGTCATCGTTCGTGGCGGATGAAGAAGCAAGAACATCTTGGAATGGGTCGTACCAAGTTTCAGAATCTATGGAGAAGACAAGTTAAGATCGAGACAGAAGAATGGGAAAGAGCTGCTGCAGAGTACAGGGAGCTTTTGACGGATATGTGTGAACGAAAACTTGCGCCGAATCTGCCTTATGTGAAATCCTTGTTTCTGGGTTGGTTCGAGCCGTTACGAGATGCAATTGCTAAAGAACAGGAAATGTATAGTCTAGGGAAGAGCAAAGCAACTTATGCACATTACCTTGATCAGTTGCCTGCCGACATGATAGCTGTTATCACAATGCACAAGTTGATGGGGCATTTGATGACTGGTGGTGAGAACGGTTGTATTAAGGTTGTTCAGGCTGCGTGTACAGTAGGCGATGCCATTGAACAAGAGGTTGGGCAGCTTGATTTTTCTCTGGTTTCTAGTATGTTTATTTAGATCATCTGCCAGTAATTTTCTTGGTTTGGTAATAATAGGTTGTAGTGGGAAGTCTTATCTCCATAAGCTGTTTCCCTCATAAGTGAACCTAAACCTTATAAGGTTAAACTATAATGTATCCTGTAGCTGGAAATTGCAAGTGTGAGGCCTGAACTTTAAGCAAAAGTTTTTGCTTTAATATTGGGAACATGATCTTAGTAAGGTGTTCACTATCTTTTAAAAGAACTCGCTTTATTCAGCATGTAACATGGATTTCTGCCGTATCGTTTTCTGTTGCATTAGTCTATAGAGTTTCCTTGCTTGTCTATGATTGATCTGTTCTTTGGTGTTTTGGATGACTTGTATCCTTAAGGTGTTTTTCTCTTTCCGTGAATTTATAGATAAGAATATGCACATTCTTGGATAAGACCAGGAAGAAAAAAGGGGATGACAATGAGGAGAGTGGGGAAGTTGAAAATGGAACTGCAATGAAGGAACAAGATAAGTTAAGAAAGATGGTCAATGAATTGATAAAGAAACAGAAGTTGTCAGCAGTTAGAAAGATCTTGCAGTCGCATGACTATACAAAACCATGGATCGCAGATGTTAGGGCTAAGGTGTGTATATTCTTGGTAAAAAAAGTTTTTTTTTTGGGCTGCATAAATTGCTAACATTTTGATATTTGCTGCTTCATATCTTAGGTTGGAAGTCGTTTAATAGAGTTATTGGTAAGAACAGCATATATACAGTCTCCAGCTAATCAACAGGATAATGATATGCCTGATGTCCGACCTGCATTTGTGCATACCTTTAAGACAGTAGCGAAAGGAAGCATGTGAGGAAATTTTGTCTCTGATTTTTAAGTAGGCTTATCTTCTTGTCCTGAATGTCTGAGGCTCATTTTCCAGCCTTTCTTGTACAACAGGAAATCTGGGAGAAAATATGGTGTAATCGAATGTGACCCTTTGGTCCGCAAAGGCTTGGAAAAAAGTGTAGGTGACATATTCTCATTTTTGTTTGTTTTCAGAATAAATTTTACCCAGACTCAACAAAAGTAATAGTGATTTTCTTTCAGAATTTGGAATAATTTATGTTCATAATCATTTTGTTGTATTTTATATCTAAAGAGGGTTTGGCATGGGTAGTACCTGTAAATAAGACTGAATATATCTGGGATTTGAAGACTAAGGTGTAACTGAGACATATAATCTCTATATCGGAGGAAGTGTGATTGCCTCTTTTTTTACCTTTTTGTCGTGCAGGGAAGATATGCAGTGATGCCATACATGCCAATGCTGGTTCCCCCTCTCAAATGGTCGGGGTAAATAAGCTTTCTTTGTAGTGTTTAATTTTAATTTACATTTCTTCATAAAAGCTTGGAAAACTTTAATTTTAGTGAAAGTATTGTAAGTCATTTCACTTTCATTTTGTGTTATTTCACAGATACGACAAAGGTGCTTACTTGTTCTTAGCGTCTTATATAATGAAAACTCATGGAGCTAAGCAACAACGAGAAGCAGTTAAGAGCGCACCTAAAGGACAACTACAACCAGTCTTTGAGGTCAGAGATTACTTGTTTCTTCACGTGCCTTATGTGGAAATCAATTACATTTTTTATCTCTGTAAATAATTTATGGACATTATTAGGCCCTGGATACACTTGGAAGTACTAAATGGAGAGTAAATAAGCGAGTCTTAACGGTTGTAGATAGGATATGGAGCAGTGGCGGATGTGTTGCTGATCTAGTTGATCGGAGCGATGTGAGTTCTCCATAAGTTACTTTGATTTACAATGACTACTGTTTTTCATATGTAGTTCTGTACAATAGTTTGACATTAGTTACTGTTGGTACAGACATATTTTCAATCCCTTTTGCATCACGAGGCCTCTTTAATTTTTCATTTCAAACTGCAGGTTCCTTTACCAGAAAAGCCTGATACTGAAGATGAGAACATTCTTAAGAAATGGAGATGGGAAGCCAAATCTGCTAAAAAGGTGAACAGCGAGAGACATTCTCAGCGCTGTGACACGGAACTCAAGCTTTCGGTGAGATTTATGCCCCCTTGCTATATAAGTATGTTGCCAGTTTGAGAGTTATGTTCGTAAGTGTTTAAATGTGATGCAGGTAGCACGAAAAATGAAAGATGAGGAAGGTTTTTATTACCCCCACAATATTGACTTCCGTGGACGTGCATATCCCATGCCCCCACACTTAAATCATCTGGGCTCTGATTTGTGTCGGGGTGTTTTGGAGTTTGCTGAGGGAAGGCCTCTGGGAATCCCAGGCTTACGCTGGCTGAAGATACATTTAGCAAACTTGTATGCTGGTGGTGTAGATAAGTTATCCCTTGAGGGACGGCTAGCTTTCACCGAAAATCACTTGGAGGACATATTTGATTCTGCAGACAGACCACTTGAAGGAAGCAGATGGTGGCTGCAGGCTGAAGATCCATTTCAGTGCTTGGCTGTATGCATAAATCTGACTGAAGCTTTGAGAAGCCCATCTCCGGAGACAGTTCTCTCACATATTCCTATACATCAGGTACTTTCCGGCAGAAGTTGCCCACTTTGACATCTCCTCCTTAAGGCTTGAATATTTTATAGCTTTACGTTGTCATTTCTCGTTCAATCTGTGTATGCTTTCAAATGAACTTCCCTTCGTTTACTTTGGTCCTGGCCAGGATGGCTCCTGCAATGGTTTACAGCATTATGCTGCTCTTGGGAGAGACACGGTAATTCTCTTGTTTTTAACTTTCAATGGGTATTTTTTCTGGCTGCTTGTCATCTTTCTTTTCTGATTATGGTTTTTTTTAAATGATTATCAGTTAGGAGCAGAAGCTGTTAATCTAGTGGCAGGTGAGAAGCCGGCAGATGTTTATTCAGGAATAGCTACCAGGTAAGCGTATTTACAGCTAATTTAACTTTAATCGAGAAAATATATGTGTCCAAGATATCATATGCATGTGCGTTGCAGGGTTCTTGATATTATGCGCCGAGATGCAGACAGAGGTCCTGAAGCTTTTCCAGATGCATTGCGTGCAAGAAAATTACTCAACCAGGTCCATCTGAAATTCTTTGCATTGTTTATCCAAGTTCCTAACCATGTGTATCTCGGTTCCCTGCTTGCATAGTGGAGTAGAAATCTCATACAGTACATACTCAAAATCCATAGTTAAATT